TCTGCTACGTTACAAGCCGCTCAACTTCGACAAGATCCACCCCGGCTTCCGCGATGTGTTCTCCGCCTGGTATGCCGTTGTTGTTTTCGGTTGGACCAACATCTGGAACGCAGACAAAGTTTCCGAGGGTCCTGTCGATTACATCGACTTCCTGAAGCCTGAGTATAAGGACAAGTTGGTGTTTACATATCCTAATGACGATGACGCAGTTCTCTACGCGTTTGACCTGGCGTAAGTTAGCACAGCACTACAGAAATACATTATTGAAACTGTAGGTTTCACAGGGGGTGAAACGGAATTCCGTTCGTCAATAACAAATAACAGTAAATTGGTTCTAATCGATGGTTCATTATAGTTGAAAGTGGTGTTGTTGACTAGAAGGTGGGGATATTCCCCCTTGGCCTGTCACGTGGGTCTGGGAGGCTTGGGCCTCTCAGCCTGGCGGGCGTGTGGCTGGAAGTGCTATACGACTCCGTATTCTAACTATCGCAACACTAGAAACTCTCTTTTTATAATATTAAAGCGGTTAGAATACGTTATCCCTATATAGTTCCGTCTCTTCGTCAATTCGGCCTCCTATCCCTACTTTCTCCCGTAGTTACGGTCTTGTTACCTATCCCTCTATACGTATCGTTATCGTATTACTATTAACGAATCTCTCGAGGGCTTGATTTGGTTTGCTCTTCGTAAAGGTATTAGCAAGGTTGTCTTCGCCGTTAATCTAACGAATTTCTTATAGTTCTCGTCTTTCGTACGATTATCTTAACGCTATAATATCGATTATAAGTCGCTTTTCTTTAGTAATGCCTAGCTTTACGAGATACTCGTATAGCGAATAAGAATCGGTATAGATAACTATCTAAATCGTTAGTAGGTTAAGGTAGTTAGTAATTATCGCTAGGGTTATAGCGAGGGCGTAGGCTATATCGACGCTAGCGACTATCCCGTAGATCTCTAATGCTAATACGCTACGGGTAACTTATTTACTCTTCGTAAAGCTATAATAAACAAGGTTATTATAAATCGTAAATTCTCTATTATTACTATTAGAGGAAGTATCGTTAGCTAGGATAATTAGAAACCCTAATTAAGAGAAAGGTCGTAGTTATTAGCAAACAACCTGTTAACGAAAACGAATAGCTTAGCTATTATAAGGTTAAGTAGGATAAACGTTATTCCTCGGTTAGGCGATTCTATTTGCTATCGAATCCGTTGATTTAGTACTTTTATCGCTTCTAGCAAGGGGTCTTAGTATTAGGTAGTAGTAGATAAATCGAAACAAGCCTCGGGTTAGCAAATTAACGCGATATACGCCCTTCTAGCGCGTTGTTCGATATATTACTATTTTAGGTTAGGTTTAGTAGTCTTAATATATCGTAACTTCTTAGCTTATCCCTTTTACCTTAAATTAATCGAATTATCGGTTAACAGCGCGATTATCCCTCTATTAAATTAGAAGGGTTTGTTAATTATAAGGATATTCTTTGCTTTTACTATAAAAGCCGCTTTTTCTAACTATTCGTCTTCTAATTATAAGAACGCCTTGTCTAATAAACCGAGGGTATCGTCGGTTTTCATGCCGATATAGCCAAAGTATAGATTTTCGGTAGATGAGATCAATAAGCATGGATCGTACGAAGAAGTAACTATCTAGAGATTCTCTCTATAATGCTTATAATACGTTGCCTACTAGTAGGTTCTAGCTTCTGCGATTCCGTACAGAGGCTTCACAACCTCCATAATAGTCCCTTTTGGGTACTAGTCTTGAATTTGCTTCGGTAGGTAGGCGAGAATAGTATGATTAAGCCTTATAGAGGATTAAACATAGGCTTATATAATATCTCGAAGCTATAGTTATTTCCCTTCTCGTAGGAGTAACAAGGTAATTAATAGAATTAGCTATTAACTTGCCTACTAAATCGTTAGCGATTAGGTTAATATAGCCTTCTTACTATCGTCGGCGTAACCTTATATTATAAGTCTCGATTTCTCGTAGGGTTTAGTTATTTTACTTTTGACTTTGTTAACGATACGAGATCGGAAGATTCGTACGTTTTAATACCTTCTCTTATTAAACTAGGTAAATTTAAATACTCTTCTAGCAATAAGGCTATTAATCTCTTATTTAGTTAACTATTCGAACGGTTCGCTTAGTATAGTAATAATACCTTCTCGTCGTAGTTTGATTACTAATTCTTCGTCTACTTACTTCTTAATCAATAGGAATATTTATTAATAATCCGGGTTATCGTTAAATTCCTTTATAAAGTAGGCGATTAGTAGTAGTCTCTTCCGGGGTCTGCCTAGGCGTCTTCTCGGTAGCTCCGGTGCCTCTTGCGGTTCGTCCGGTTTACTACCTTTGCTAGCGATAATAATTTCGTCGCGTACTACTTCCTACTACGGTATCTTAGCTTTAGGTTCTTCTTCTTCTAGCATAGCGATAGAATTAGGTAGTTAATCGGGATCTTTATAATATAGTTTAACTACGGTAGACCGGAAGGTCTTTAGACTACGTAGCATATCGATAGTATAAGTTTCGCTATTTATAGCTACTAAAGTAAACAGTCTAGTCTAGCCCTTCTTTTCGCGCTATACTTATACTTACGACCGTAGTAGTAAATTAATAATTAGCCTTATATTAAGGCTATTATAGGTAGCGATAGCTTCTACTACCTATCGCCTTACGTAAAGTTTATATACTTCGCTTATCGCCTTCTTAATCGCTTTCGCCCGCCTTATAACTTCGGGAGATAGTAGCGAATCGTTAGTAATTCGTAGGTATAAGCCGAATACTAAGAGTATTAGCATTATTCCGTTCGGGCTAGTAGTATCGTTAACTGCTTTAACTACTATTTAAAGTATTAATTCTAGCGTAATTATTAAGTCTTCTACTTTGATAATTTCGTACGCCTTCCTTAGAAGTATATAGTATCGTTTAACTTTCCTAATACTATTATAGGATTTTATAGGAATTTCCTTGATTTTAATTGCTATTCCTCTCGCTGCGTTTCGGAATTCTATTAAGCGGAAGTTTATTCTAGCGTCGGTAACTAGCTAGTCTAGGGGTCTCTAATATATATCTATCTAGCAGAGGCGTAAGGCTTCCTAAGTAGCTTTCGTAGAAATATCCTTAAGGAACCAGGCGGCGTTAAACGCCGTAGCGGTATCGACGACGTAGAAGACTAGTCTATTACCTTCAAGGTATATTACGTTAGCGATAACCTCGTAGTTAAATTCGTAATCGTCTTATAACGTAAATTTAAACTATGATAACGCTAGTATATATATTTAGCATCGATAGTAGACTTTCGATAGTTACTTAATTACTGTAATTTCAACTAGGTAGCTAGCCTTCTAAAGCACCTTATATAATCGTTAAATAGATAGGTATCCGAAGCGACGGTAAACCCGTCGTAATTTAGCGTCTATAAGGTAGTTCTAGGCGAGTAGTTTCTCCTTATTAAGTAATAACTATAGGTAGCCTTATTTACGAATAATAGGTACGACCTTGTTTCCTTAGATAAGGGTATTCGTAACGTTATTAAAGTAGACCTTTAATCGGTCTATATCTCCTAGGCATATAAGGAAGGGAGTATTAGTCTTAATAACGTAAAATTTAACGCTTCTAAACGGCGTTAGCACTTTAGTAGTCCTTATAGACTCTAGTAGTATCCTATCGCCGAATTTTACTATAACGCCGCTAGCCGCCTTAGTATTTAACGTAATTCCTTCGTAAATTTATTATAAGGCTACGAATTATAAGTAGCTAGCGGTTGAGAATCCTGCTACGCCCGAGTCAGGCATAATCCCTTAGAAGTTCTAGGCAGAGTAGCGTCCCTCGAGTATAAATTACGAAGGTAGCTTTTTCGGTTCTAGTTAGTTGCGGAAGAGGTCTTCTTTCGTAATAGCATAGCAGGTTAACTAGTCTACTAAGATCGTAGCGATCCTATTGCTATTAATTGCTATTATAGTAAAATAGGCGGTAACCTAGAATTGACTATCGCTACCGGTCTCTTCCTCTTCGTTACTTTTACTAGTTTGTTTAGTTACGTAGTAGTATTGCTAAGGGTCTTCGGTAGTAGGTTATAAGTCTAACCCGTCGAAACCCTCGTATTAGACGAGAAATTAGCTATATGCTAGAAGTAACATATCCTAGGCATATTAGGTAGTTTTAAACTTCTTATATACTTTTCGTCTTTCTTCTATAGTATATTTAGTTAACTAGTAGTTAGGTTTTCTATATACGTAGTACTTCTTAAGCGTTAGCGGTAATAAGGGTCTGTCACGGCTTCTTCCTCGTAATAATCGACTTCGTAATAAACGACTATATCGTAAATAACGCCCTCAACTATTAAAAGTTTTATTGGTCTAGTACTACTCTAGTAGGTTAGCTACTATGTTGAATTGTTGTTAGTTAAGACAGGTAGCTGTCTCGATCGACGAGATTAATTAGCTGCAAAGTCCCTCGTACGTCTCAGCCGGTATAAATAACGCTATTATATACTTTAGAATATCTCTATAAGCATATAGAAGTTAGGTATAGAGGGATCGGTCGTTATAATCTTATTATAGCAAACTAGGCTAAATCTTGCTTAATTTGTTATATAGTATGTTAAAATACTCCGATTTAGTCTTTCTAGGGTTATCGCGAATGATTTAGGGAAGAATAGTTATATTCTACTATGTAACGTACGCTTATTACCTTTCCCTAGTCTCGAAGTATAATTTCAATTAGTTAATTATAGTCTCGAAGTTAGGCTATAGGTTAATTACTTTAATCGAGGCGTAGAAGTAGGTTTTAGCTATTCCTTTCAGTATTAGGGGAAGTACCTTATTATATTAGGAGGTATAAATTCCTAGCATTCTATAGTAATCTACGAATACTAGCATCTTCTTTTCGAGTATATCGTACATATCGCCGCTATATTTCATATCGTCGGGGTATAGTTTTGCGAATTCTATTAATTACTTTCCGATACGGTCTATTAACTCGTATAGTTAGAAGTCTATTAACGGAGAGACCGTAGGATATAGCGGTCGGTACGGTAGTTGCTACTGTTGTTGTTCTTATAGAGGAGGTGGCTATAGGGTTGGTTTGACTCTTCCTCCTATGCTGTTAGCTACTATTGCCGGTCTCGTAATCTCTTCGTAGAATTCGGGGTCTTTTATTAAAGCCTTTAGGTTGCGATATCTCTTAACGCCTTGTTCGAGTTCTTAAGGTAACTAGTAGTAGAATTCTTCCTTTTTAAAGGCTAATGCTATGTTTTTCGAGATTTTCTTGCTATCTATTTCGACGTAGACGCCGTTACCGATTAAATAGTCTCTAAAGAATCGTAGGATTAGGGGAGGTATATTCTAAAAGTCTTCTTCTAACTAGTCGGCGAAATCGGGAGAAACTTCGTTCTATAGCTTAAGGCTTATAAGATTCCTCTTCTTATAAGTCTTAAGTAGGAAACCTATATAGGAACCTAGTTGCTATAGGCTAGCGTTTATAAGGTCGATTGCCTAGTTGCCTTATACTGCTAGATCGATTATACTTTCGATTCTCTATAGGATAGGGACTGTTAATTAGCTTTTAGTAGTAACGCTGCTCGTAGGCGATCCTTCTTATAAATTTCGCTCTATTTTAATAGTATAAAAGGATTACTTCTATTTAGAATCTTAAATTCTAATCCTTAATAGCGTTAGCTACGATTAGTATAAGATATAAGCTTAGAAGTAAGAGTTAAAAGACGATTCGGGATATTACGATTTTGAAGGGAAAGAATCGTAAAATCGGGGATTTTCGTCGGTTTATCGTTTATTTCCGTCGGCGCCGTTCTCGCTAATGTTTATAGATTCTCTCGTAAATCTCTTTTTCTTACTTCAGGCTTCGCTCCTCACTATTAGGAAGTTTAGAATCTAGCAGATAGTTAGCCTTATAACGCTTATAACTACGTGCGTTTCTCCTAAGCCGTAGCCTCGGAGGTATATACGTATAGCTATATAGGCAGATTACCGCTAGTAGTCTCTGCTTGCCTTTCGGCGTATTCTTCTTCTAGTAGGGAGGTTTCTTATAGCAAGCGCCTTACGGTTAGTACCTCGTCTAGGGATTTATTAAGAAACTAGTAGGCGCCTTGTGATTAGTACTACGCGTAGGGGATAGTTATAGTTAGGGAAGTTGTTATCCCTTATAGGATTTTGTTACGGCCAGCTAACTGACAGTGGGTTTGTGTTAACAGTAAGCCAGGGATTGAGAGTAGTAACAGTCGTTCCGTGGTCCTGGTCGAATAGATCGTAGATCTTCAAAGGGCTTGGTGATCAGTCAAGGCCTCAACAAGAGTCGTAGAGTAGTTCGTCACTTAGGATAGCTGAAAGTACCGGTGAGGGTAGTCACGAAGTTGATTGCTGAAGAACTAGGAAAGGTAGGACTCGAGAGGACTCGAGTCCCAACTATATACAAGTCTGGTTCCATGCTGAACACTTCCTGATCCTGGGGGACCGACACCCAGGACGTCGGTCCATCGCCATGGACCGCCCTTGGCACCGTCGGTCCTGTCCCAGGACCGCTTATCGTCCGTCGGTCCTGCTTATCGTCACGTGACCTGTATCCTAGTTCTTCCGTTCCGTGGGGGTTGTTACGACGTAACGGCTGACGGCCGTCCCTATAACCGCTGAGCCCCTGCGGGGTCGTCGTCAGTGGTCTGTTAACTGTCGGGTCGTAACAGATTTGTGAATCTTCGCCTTTATAGCGTGAAGAGGTTAGAAGACCGTCGATTCGGTAGGTTTCTTCTTCTAGTAATTGAAAACGCGTAATGGAACGCTTTTGCTAGCGATAATTAGCTACGATTAACCTTATCCTACCTAGGGTAAGCATAGCAGTCCTTAGGTTACTCGAATAATCGGATTACTAGTAGATTCGAGGAAAAGAAGCTTTCTTCTACTAGTTTCCGTAGATCTTAGTTACTCTCGCTTCTTCTCTCGTTAGTACGAAATCCCTACTTTTACCTAGGCTTAGGTATCTAGTTTAAGAAGTCGTCTCTTCTAATATTAACCTTGCTAATCTACGGTTTATCCGTAGCAGAGTAGTAATTATAAAGTTAACTAAATTAATAGCAACTATAAGGTTTACTACTAATTAGTATAGGTTTCATAGGGGGTAAAACGGAATTCCGTTCGTTAATAATAAATAATAGTAAATTAGTTCTAATCGATAGTTTATTATAGTTGAAAGTAGTGTTGTTGACTAGAAGGTGGGGATATTCCCCCTTGGCCTGTCACGTGGGTCTGGGAGGCTTGGGCCTCTCAGCCTGGCGGGCGTGTGGCTGGAAGTGCCACACGACTCCGTATTCCAACTATCGCAACAGAAACTGACAGATGGTTTAGAATGCAGCAATACGGTTACAGCTGGTTCGAGAACCTCCTTACCCAGAACCCTCGCTGGGTTCGCGGCACTGCTACACCTACGACCGTGATGGGACAGGCCAACAACTCCTACGCTGTCACCTTCACCGGCAGTGTCGGTATGATACCCTCGGCTCCTTACAACATCTCCATCCCCAAGAATGGTTTCTTCGTCACCTGGGGCCAGCGCGGCGCCATCTTGAAGGATGCTCCCCACAAAGAGGGTGCCAAGCTTCTGCACAACTTCCTACTCAGCGATGAGTATCAAAACCCGAACGTCACAGGTTCCTGGAGCGTCCGTCGTGACATCCCTCCCCCGACTGGTTTCCCCGACCTCATGGAAATCAACTCCACCAACCCTATCGACTTTGAGCGATTCATGGCGAACCGCGAGCGTGTTGAGAGACTGAAGCTCTTCTTCGAAGACAAGATTGGTTCAGCCCAAGGTGTCAGCCCTCTGATTGACGATCTGTAAAGCAAAAGATATTATTACTTTGAGCGTATACATAAAAAATGGAAGTTAGTGGAGCATGCCAAGTGTACGTCGGGTTTTTGTCGCAATTGTATTGGGTCTTTCTGTTTCTAAGGAACAATGTACACTTTCGCCTTACCTCTGCTTCCGTGCCCGTAACTAGTATCAAAGCCTGGCCGCGGAGAAGCTCGACTTGGCTCTCTTGGCATTATCATCAAAGCAATATCTTGAGACATGAAATCATTTTTACGAAGGGCAATCGCAACGCTGTGTCGCTCACACTAGCTCTGAAGCTGCCCCTGACCCTACACAACCTTAACTGTCCGATAAACTAAGAAAAGAAGCATAAATAAAGTTTGGTGACCTCGTGGGTCGCTTTTAGGAGGGAAAAGACAATTGTGGTGACTGTTTAGCACCGAATTTTAGAATAACGATGTGCCATGTGGTCGTTGCCAGTAGAAGGAATAAAGGAGTATTTGGCCTGTCACGTTATTCATATTGACGGAAGTAAAGTCACATAATCAAGCGTTCCTGGAGTCACTGACGGCATTCAAGGAACCACTGGTATCGAAATCATTCTTGATTGGGAGAACCTCCAAGTACCATCAGACTGAGCCCAGCTATACGCCATAATGCCTAAACCTCTCGGTTGCATTGGAAATTAGGAAGAATGTCTTTCAGATGTTACTTAGAATGCCATATCTCGTCACAGTGATGTGTGTCTCTCCGATATCATCGCATCGATCCTGTCTTTGATAGCAAGTTGATCATTGACGAGGGCAGGCCATAGCCAAAGTTGAGGGTGATGAACGTCTAGGCAAGACAATCAGCACGAGCCCTCGGAAAGTCACAAATTTCCATCCCCGACAAATTTATCATGTCGACTTGTCGATAAAAGCCCATTTTGGTCATGATCCTGCGGCTTCACCGATACGAAAGCAGGATGACCTACAGAGCTTGGCATTAGGCAGACGATGCCGAGGACTCAGGAGCAATCCCTTTCCTGGATGAGCAGAAGGAGGTAAAGGCGGGCCCACATGCTTTTCTTACTAGCTGCTGAAATAAGGTTATGATCGACATTGTTGAACATACTGCGAACCCGAGTCGATCAATCTTCCCTCGGTCCGAGTACGAGAATGAATGCGGCGCAAAGAGTGGCCACTGTTACCGGAAACGAAGGAGTGAAAAGGCAGGGGAAACTACACAGTACCTGAGAAATATGTTGTATGAACAACTATCTTGAGGAAACAGCAACGTTTGTGGCTTGCAGAAAAATGAATTATTTCACCGATGGATTTCTCTGCAAAACCTCGATTTTCTTCGAGTCAAGGTATGCAGAGTAGCATATGGGGTTCGTATGGAGGGGATGAATCGATTGCTAGGTATACTCTATTACCCCTGACTTACACGAGCCGAAAGCATGCGCAGATCATTTTGAGACATGTCTCAGAGGCCAGGTGGATGGATCATCAAGATGATTAGGTGTTGAAGAATATTTTTCAAATAGTTGTCGCTTTTTCTGTCACGTGAAATGAAGAGAAGCTTCTGGTTTTCTCTTCCGTTTGACGTACTAAAACATCCAAGTGCGCAGGGTGCAAAGAGCCATGACGCAATGAGACGCGGTTGACTGATGTTATGTCATAATCTCAACAAATTGAGCCTCGAACGAGGATAGAAAGCGTTCTAGAGGTGAAAGCGACGAGAAGCAAAAGCACAGCCCTTTTCATGTCCATAGAATTGTGTGAACAGCATTAAATCGGGTTTAAAGTACCTTACTTGAAATCACGGTTTAGTGACATTGAGTGATCGCTGTGATACTCCGCGAGAGGAAGGAGAATCGCCGTACACGTGGTGGTGGATGGATTAGGCTAGATATCGACTCATGTTCCTGAGCTTATCCAACATCAGTTGAATTGGTTAGCCCCTTTGTAATCCCTAGAATCTATCAACATGTCAAGCGGACGGTCCCCAGAATGGGAGATGATCTGACCATGCAGCCAAGTAGCGAGAACTGGAATGTGTTTTATAAGACAGATGAATCAGCATGTCCTGCTGTTCAACAGAACACTGACTTGGAGCACTCTGTCCGACTTACGGCCGCAAACGTTATCCCAGAGGGTGTCATTGACAGAAGATCCTACAGAGAAGGACCAGATCCTCACCTGCACGCTACAGAATAAGCTCACTCCGTCGATCGAAGGCAGCGGGGAAGTGTCCCGCTGTCGATGAATGCGGCCCGCGGTGAAGCTCTCTCCCGGCGGTTTTTTTCCACCTGCCAAGCCAAAGGCTAAGCTTAATCTAGCTGGTGTCACTATTGTTCAGTCTTGAGCTTTAATAACGTTTAAGTTGAGTCATCTTGGGCCGAGCCGACAGGAAAGTTGTTCCCGTTGAATGTGGAGTAACTGGGCTTGCCTTGCGCCCTGTTGATTCGTGAACAGTTCTGCTAGTTTTGCAGTCCAGCTGGGGAGTTTATGCAGACGATGGCACATTGTAAATCCAACCAGCTTTACAATTGCCTCATTCGGTTGAGTGATAGCATGAGATTGAGATACATCGTCCGTTCTCAGCGTCATCACGGCGAGCCTAGACGGACAGAGGTGGGCTGTGGCATCTAGTCCTAACAACGAGATGAAGACGCCTTGCCCGACAGGTTTCTCAAGAGCAAATCAACGAGCGCAACTCTGTTGCTCCAGGCTAGCATATACTTTTAAGGCTTCTCGGCCAGAGTTCGAAGCGGGAGTGTTTTTAGTCCTGCATTAGCATTGAATAAATGTGTAAGTTTGATTCTTGCTAACCAGAGCGTTGCACAATCGTCATCACATAAAATTAGCGCAGGCGTAGCATTCCACCGAATTACGTGAACTTGGTGGTAAATGATCACGCCAACGAGCGCAGAGTGGTGACTTGAGTTCGTAAGCAGGAGATTACGGATCGCCGAATCTCGATGTTGATGGTCTCATGTTATTTCAGATGCAGAAACCGAGTAGGACAGGGGTTCCTCATAGCATCACAATGATGTTGTGCGACGTCTTATTCTTGGAGGCAGAAATACCTCGACGTTTTTGGCCACTACGCTCCTTGGCATCAGGCGGGGCGTCCTGACATCAGAAAGAGACATTCTATTCGCTGCTTGGGGCACACCAATCTTCTTGAGCGAAGCTCTTGATACCGGCTGAGGAATGCGGGCCCACTCCGTATTGTCATAGGTCTCCTACGTCAATCACGAAAAGGTCTGTTAGCGCGGCTCTACCAATCTCATCCCACATCCCCTACTACGACGGTCGTTCCATAGTACGGTAACTTGTCTTCAGTCTGCAGGCGGAAATCGAGAGAACTATCTGTTTATGGTTTAGACAGGGACCATAGTGTTGAGCAAGGCTACGACGCGAGAGAGCCCGGGGCTCCGGATAGAGCTCCTGGCTGATGGACACAACCTCACGTAGGAAGCCACTTCAAGCTCAACACCCCGCCCTAAACAGACTATCATCCCTTCCGGAAACTTCGCAGATCACCACAACGTTGATGAAGCCCACGGTTATCCTAGGTCTAGATGGCAGCCTCAAATTCTATAAGAGATGTCGACGCCTCCCGGCTTGGATCCATCTTTCCTCTCTCCTCATCACACTCATCAGCTCACAGTCTATCAGCCTCTCATAACATCTTCACTCTGCCTTCGGCTTCTTAGTACTCAAATTTCTCCGACTACAACTCTACTCGACAACCTTCCAGCTTCGTCCGATTGAGAAAAGCCGATCAACCGTGAAGATGCAGTCGAAAATGTACTCTGCCGCGCTTGCCGCTCTGGCCATCGCTTTGGTCGACGCTGCCGCCGTGTCCAAGAGACAACTTATCACGTTCCAGCCTGGCGCGATTGTCGGACCTACGATCAACACAAACTATGGAGATCTTCAAGTGCTTGGCGGCGAGGCTGTTGCTTTCAGGGCTCTTGATGAGATCCGCAACGACCTTTTGAAGACTGGCACTCTCGTTACCCAGCTCAACAAGGCTACATCCATGAACGCGGAAGATGTAAGCATGGTCGATGTATTTATGATAGAAACACCCAGGGACTAACAAATTTTGTAGAAAAGAGTCCAGGCTGCTGCCGTCGTATCCCAGGTCCAGCAAAACGCGCAAAGCATCACTGGAAAGTTGGCCAACTTCACCTCTCTCATCCAAGGCAAGATTCCAACAACCCCAAACGTTGGAAACGTTGGTGGAGTTCCCAACCTCAACCTACCAACTCTCTCACTTCCTAACCTCAACCTACCAACTCTCTCAATTCCCAACCTCAACCTACCTACTCTCTCAATTCCCAACCTCAACCTACCTTCCATCTCAGTTCCCAACGTCAACCTGCCTTCAGTTTCAGTTCCCAACGTGAACGTACCATCCGCTACACTTCCCAACCTTGGTGCTCCTTCGGCTCCGGGAGTTCCCGCAGTCCCCGTCCCCCCAGTTGGTTCTGGCGCCCCTGGAGTCGGTAACGTTGGCGCTGTTCCTTCTTTTACCGTCCCTGCTCTCCCCACCTCGACCTCGATCGCTATTGGCACCATTGGTGGCGTTGTCGACCGTCTCGATGCTGTGAGTTTACACCTGCCCAGCCCATTAGCTAGAGAATCAGACTAACGGAGAACTTATAGCTGGTCTCCCAAGCGCACACCCTGAACAACCAGGCTAGAACCCAAGTTAGCTTGATTGGAAGCTTCCTTGAGACCCTTCTCACCCCTCTTTTGGGTACCGTCAAGGGCAGCTCGTCCAGGGATATCGCCAACTCCTTCAAGCAGATTTCCAGCTCCCTCGACAGTTTTTTCGGTGTTCTTAGCACCCTCGCTACCAACGGCGGTGTCGGCAGTGCTCAAAGCTACATCAATCGCATCAATGAGGCCCGTGGCAACATTACCCCCGCTTTGGTTGCCGGTATCAGCGTTGACGTTACCGTCTGAGCAGCACCATTATATCATCATAACCAAGGCTCTCGTACCCCGGTTTGGTCACAGGGTCTTGGCCAGTTTGACGAGCCCATACATAACGGGCATTCACCATTAGTTGATTTGCTTGAGCGATATTAATATCATCAGATGCAGGGGCATTGAACGCATAATAGCGCTGGAGGATAGTAATGGATGTGGCGGATGGATTACGCTCCTTGACGGATGTCGCGCTTTATAATACTCTACTCTGCTTAGCCACAGGACTACTATCCTTAATGCAATGAGTCGAGGTTGTTCTTTAGCCTATTGTTTCCCTTTGAGTGAAGCTTTCCTAGCTGCAAAGTCGACTGAATAATATGTGAATTGGATTGATATATCGATCCGAATTATACTTAGACATTAAAGAAGTAATAGTACTGTCAAGGTGAGATATTAACATGGATTTATCTCAGAAGAAGATGTCTTCACTGCCATTCCTCTCATGCCGGCCCAAGTCAGCTGGTGCCGACTGAGTCAATGTGGCAATGACTTTCAAAATGACTGGCACATGTGGTTGTCTTCTGGCCGGATTCGGTGCACGGGAATGCGGATGAGTAAACGCCGGTTACGGAAGGCGGAGGCAGACGTACCATTGCGCTCCGGTGACCGGGACCAATGAAAACTGTTTGGAGGTGATGGCCGGAAACCTTCCAAATCCTCAACCCCTTTCTGCGAGGAAAATTGCTGAGAGAAAAACTGAATTTATGCTCACTCAGGATGATACTATTGACAGCTATAACCGGCTTTCATATTGGTGCTGATCGATGGGCTCAATTGGTGGATATGTCGGCTTAACCGTCACCATATTAAGGCATCTCCTCCTCGATCTTGTTGTGGATAAGGTAATATGCTGGGGATCATAAGGATGGTTTGTTTTATGTAGACAAACCATGGCCCCGGCGCAAAGCATCGCAAAGGTGGCTGTGGGCCCCCCTACGAGCCCCGGAAATTCAGGGGCGGAGAGGGGCATTAGTTAAGCCTGATTTGATGGGATGACACAATCCAACATGCGCAAATTGGAGCTTTAGGGAGGGAAAACGCCCTCAGGAGAGACGTGTGGAGAGGCCAGTCGGCGGCCCTGGCCCGAATCTGTCCAACCGCGCGCCAGCAGTAACCTTGTCGCTTAGAGTAAAAACCCAGAATACCACGGGAGATCCCCTTCTGGTCTGTAAACCCTTGCATCATTTAATCATTTCGGCCGAAGCCAACGAGGATTTGCACCAATCTGTTTGTCTTTCAGTGACTAGGGCGGGATGATGCCGGATCGTCGGCTATCAGGGGGCAGAGCTTTGAGCCTTGGATAGATTGGACGAGGATGGCTCCATCCAACAGGTGCAAAGGGGAGGAGAATGACCCAGCAGGATGGGCCAGAGAACATTTATAAACACTTCTCCTCCTTGCCAAGCATCGCGATGTTTCCCTCTTGATTCTCCTTCTGTCGTCTTTTGCCATCCACTTCCATTCTTTTCTTGTTCCCTCGAGGCACATTCACATTCTTTTTCTTTTCCATCAATTCATATCTACCAGTCTCTCCTTTATAAACTCATTCAAGATGCGTTTCTCCGCTCTCACAGCAGCCGGCCTGCTCGCCCTCCCAGGCGTCAGCGCCAACCTGCACGAGTTGGCCGTCGCCGCCGGCAAGAAGTACTTCGGTACCGCCACCGACAACTCTGAGCTCAAGGACGCGGCCTATGTCGAGATCCTCAAGGACCCCAAGATGTTCGGCCAGATCACCCCCGGTAACGGCCAGAAGTGGCAGTTCACCGAGAAGAGCCAGGGCGTCTTCAGCTACACCAGCGGCGACGAGATCGCCGAGTTCGCCAAGACCAACAGCATGCTCTTGCGCTGCCACACCCTCGTCTGGCACTCCCAGCTGCCCAACTGGGTTTCTTCGGGTACCTGGACCAAGGAGCAACTGACATCCATCATTGAGACGCACATCTCCAACGTCGCTGGCCACTACAAGGGCCAGTGCTACGCTTGGGACGTTGTTAACGAGGCCCTTAACGAAGATGGCACCTACCGCGACAGTGTCTTCCACAAAGTCCTCGGCACCGACTTTATCCCCATCTCTTTCAAGGCCGCCGCCGCCGCCGACCCTGCCGCCAAGCTTTACTACAACGATTACAACATTGAGCTCGCTGGCAACAAGCAGAAGGAGGTTCTGAACATCATCAAGAGCATCAAGGATGCTGGCGCCAAGATCGACGGTGTCGGCCTGCAGGCCCATTTGATCGTTGGCAGCTCTGGCTCCCGCTCCGCCTTGAGCAGCGTCCTCAAGTCGTACGTCGACGCTGGTGTCACCGAGGTCGCCTACACCGAGCTCGATATCCGCCACAAGAGCATCCCTGCCGATGCCGCCGCCCAGCAGAAGCAGGCCGACGACTACGTCAGCGTTGTTGGTGCTTGCTTGGACGTTGCCGAGTGTGTTGGTGTCACCATCTGGGACTACACCGACAAGTACTCCTGGATCCCCTCTGTCTTCCCCGGCACCGGCGAGGCCCTTCCTTGGGACAAGGACCTCAAGCCCAAGCCTGCCTACACTGCCATTTCCAGCCTTCTCGCTGCCGCCGGCAAGGGCGGCGCTGCCCCCGCCACCTCCGCCCCGGCTGCTGCCCCTACCTCCGAGCCTGCTGCCGCCTCTTCCAGCGAGCCCGCCGCCGTCGAACCCACTGCCGAGCCTTCTGCTGAGCCTACCGCTGAGAAGTCCGCTCCCGCCGCTGCCCCCGCCGTTACCCCTGCTCCCAGCGCTCCTGCTGCTACCCCTGCTCCCGCTACCACTCTCCGTACCAGCGTGAGGAGCAAGTGCGGTGGTGCGAACGCCGAGGCCGCCTCGAGTGCCCCTGCTGCTGCTGCCTCTGGTGCCGTTGGTGCCACTGCCTCTCGCTGGGCTCAGTGCGGCGGCATCGGATTCACTGGCCCTACTGCCTGCGAGTCTGGATATACCTGCAAGAAGCAGAACGACTACTACTCTCAGTGCCAGTAAGCATGAAACGGAGAATGAACAAGGTTGCTCCGGATAGCATTCCTATGTGAAGGCGAAAACTTTTCTGTACATATCATTCAATTGTAAATGCACATACCTGCAAACTTCAGACTTTCTGATTACACTTGGCCCTTTGAGCGCATGCTCTATTATGTGAACACTTGACTCTACTAAGACTATGAACGCGGACCTGCCTGTCGTTGCCCCCGTGCAATATGACTCAATTCATAAAGAGCTGGTGTTAACAAGAGTCTAACTGAACCATTGTTACGAGCTGAAATTTGAACTTTGAACCGCTGCCTTTGTGATGTGACCAGCTGGGAGATTGACTAATGGTGAGTATGTTGTCGCAGATGGATATTACTTGAGCCGGCGAGATTGACTAACAACAAGCTCACTATTAAGAACGGCGACAGGTAGGGCTGGACAGTTCGTTTTCGATAGCATTTCGAGTTTGAGATATCTTCATACTCCTCCGGTGCCAGTATTGCCGACTCACCCGTTCTATTCCCGCCATTCATCCCATTTCTCTAGAGCTCGGAATTTTCGACACATATCGAGACGGCCTCGCTGAGTCCGTCTTATGACCGAGGTTGTAATAGGAAGAGTTCATTCTATGCAACACCCCCGCATTGTTAGCCTTATTTCGACTTGGCGCACTCTGCCGCCTCTGGATGACGACACCCGGTCGAAATGCTCTATATATAGGCTTTTCAAAGGACGGAAATATCTTCACGACTTATACTTTATCAGGCTCTAGTCTGTGCCAAAACACTTCAATCTTGATCACGACAACCGAATTCCAAGACTTCGCAGAATGGGAAATGAAGCTGCCACCCAAGATGCGCTTTCATCGCATTATCCAGGCGCAGAAGGCGCAACACAGAAGTTCAGTGACTTCATCGTCGATACCAAGTACGAAGATATCCCGCCACATGTTATTGCAAAGCTGCTGGATCTGATCATTGATCACATCGGTGTGGGAGCGGGCGGCGGAGCTCAATCAGAATCAAGCAGCTACATTCTCAAGGCCATCGAATCCTTCGCCGAAGGATCGGTCGGTGAAAGCACCGTGTATGGCAAGGGAAAGGTTTATCCCAAGCACATTGCCGCCCTATTGAACGGCGCATTTGCCCATTCTTTTGATTTCGACGATACCCACGCTTCCGGCATCGTTCATCCTGGCGCGAGTGTCATCCCAGCCGCCTTAGCACAGGCCGAAGCCTCCAACGCGTCAGGACCTTTACTACTGACTGGCCTTTCTGTCGGATACGAAGTCGCATGCCGCCTTGGCAATGCGTTGTCGTCAGGTGGCTATCCTAGAGGCTTCCACAACACAAGCACAGCCGGCATCTTTGGTGCGACGGCGGCGATTTGCAAGATCAAAGGCTTGACAGCGGTTCAGATCTACAACGCATTTGGACTCGCCGGTTCCAAAGCAGCGGGCTCGATGCAGTTTCTCGACAACGGATCTTGGAACAAGAGACTTCACCCTGGGTTCGCTGCACATGACGCCTTTCTCTGTGTTGCGCTCGCTGAAGCTGGCGTCACGGGCGCGTCGCACGCGATTGAGGGAAAATGGGGTTTCTTGCAGGCTTATTCGTCCAAGGCCAATGCTACCGGTCTGACGGACGACCTGGGGACGTCATGGCTATTTGAGGAGACTGCGCTGAAGCCGTTTCCTGCTTGCCGGTTTACGCACGCTGCCATTGAGCTCACGGCAAAGGTCGCGGCCGAAACTGGGTCGCAGAAGCTACCTGAGAGTATCAAGGTCTGGGTGAACCCTTCTGGTTATGATATCATCGGTCGGCCAAGTCCGAACAAACTGCACCCAAAGACCATCGTTGATGCCCAGTTCAGTATGTACTACCAAGTTGCTGTCGCTTGGCTATTCGGTATGGAGATCGGATGGAGTGCCTATGATTCGGAAAAGATGAAAGACGGGCAGGTGGCGGATCTTTGCGACCGGATTGAGGTCATCATAGATGAGGATTGGAAGTACGATTTCGGGGTGCGGATGCTGTTCAATGGGCTTGACGGACGAGAGAATAGAGAGGAGGCTATGCTGCATCCATTAGGCGAAGTTCATCATCCGTTTCCCAGCGCAAAAGTTCGGGATAAGTTCAGGGGCTTGGTCAAACCTGTGTATGACCCGGAGCGGACTGAGATGATCTTAAGTGCCGTGGAAAGCCTCGCCGAAGGGTCTTCCCAGGATCTGTTAAAGCTGCTATGAAGTTTGAATAGTTAACAGAAATCCCACATATCAAACGGAGATTGAGGTGCGAATCTCAGGGCATGTCGACTAAACCCCTATCTTCGCCCCTTTCCTGTCTACGTCTGGGTCTCTTATCTAGGACCCGCAGCATCCACTTGCAACATACAACCCCGGCGCTCTGCCATTGCGTGAAGTTGTGGATAAGATCGCGCCCTCCGAGGTGGGTTCCGGCGTTGGTTTGAAGCTTGTTCCAAAGGATGGGGTTGGGTTAGAGTCATGGCAAGTCAGAGAATGCCCCGACCGCACGGTAGTTGAGGGCTGGTCCCTGATTTTGACAGCCGTCTGACTTATTGTAACGTATACTAAGAAGATTAATTGTGCTATTCACTGACACATCCGAATAGCATCACTACCAACCTGCTCGTAGGAATATTTAACGCACCTCGTCTTCGTCTCGCTTCGTATTTTGGCCTCATAATCGCCACCTCCAGACAAGATACCTTAATGACCGGGTATTCCGGATGTTAGAGAATTTTCTGACACAGCGAATGGTCCTCGGGTCAACCCATGAAGGGGGATGGGATTTCTGGATGAAGCGGAAATCCACCGCAGTGGCTGCGCCGCGCTGTATGAGGCAAAGGACTTGTTACGACCGATACATTAGACAGACTTGGTCTCCCTCACTCAGCGCCGCTCATACGACGGCCTCTTTAGACTTCCATTCCACTTCAGGTTTTGGTAAAATTGCTCATATGCAATAACAGCAGCCGTCTTTGACATTCACCAGGGATGTCACACACCAGCCCGCCCACATTCGGGTATCCAGTCCGACGTGGCTCCACCACTGTGAAATCGCCCCAAACTTGACGAGATCAAGAAGAGTTATTTCTCCGTATGGAGTGCATCCCGTCCCCCGGATGCAGAAAGTCTTTCGGGGCTGATGGTGTATTTATGTGTCGAACCTGGTGGTCTGCAGTCTGGCCCGACGTCCAGGGGTATGATCTGACCGAGCCTGGACTATTGAACGGCACAATCCATGGCACGGCCCATCAGCCAACCATCTGCTCAAAAGGCCGCTCTGTTTGATGATGCCTACCAACATAGGACCCTGGCCTCATGCTATACAACACGAGTTTGATTGATCGCCTTCGCATGCCCAGTGCAGCCGTTGACACCAGCTGCGGGAAGCCCCGATCCGCCAACGCCGCCTTTTCAACGACGCTTTGACCCTCTGGGGCCCGGCCGAATGCGGGGGATGATACGCTGGACTACCATTTCATCTCGCTTGCTGGTTTCGACAGTCAGGGGGATCCCTCTACTCCCAATGATAGGACAGCGGATATGGCTGTACCTTATGCCTGTCCTTGAAGAAGGATCGCGTTTTTCCCTTTCACGAACCACGGTCTGTTCGGGCTGCGTTTGGTGTACCATCCAAACTCCTTTCTCGGGTGATGTGCGGAGACAAGGAGCCTGGACCTTGACACATCCAGATCGGACATGGAAAATGACGAACTTCTTATAACCAGGCATTGCCGTCTGGGGCAACATTATGGGTCGCGGAGATCGTTTGGTCTGTACGACCGTTTATTGTTACCTTGTCTTGTCCCCCCCTAGGGAGTAGAGAATAAGGGAAGAAAAAAAACAAAAACGAAAAGCCTGCGACGATCGCAGAGTGTTCTCATATTATTGCCTCTCGTCAGATGAGGGCACTCCGCTTTCATGGACGGCGTTCCGTTTGAAGAACTTCCTCACGATGACTATGGCCCGCGGTTGCTTGCTACCATCTGGAGTCTTGGGGCCATAGCTGGAGGTTTCATGGGGCTTCGGCTTTACTGCAAGTTCACGCGACAACGAGGGCTATGGTGGGATGACTATTATATGATCGCGGCTTGGGTAAGTTGACTCTCGGCAAACCCTTCACTTTGGCTACAGTTACTGACAGAACAGCTTGCCTATCTGACGTTTGGGGTTTTCATCACCATCGACGTGTCGTACGACTTTGGCAAACATAACTGGGATATCACGCCGGGCAACTGGTCCTGGCTTCTCCTCCACGCCAATCTGTCCGGCTCCTTTTCAATCATCGCCGCTTGTTGGAGCAAAACATCTTTTGCTTTGACCCTTCTGCGAATCGCAACCGAGCGCTGGATGAAATGGCTCATCTGGTTCATCATGATTTCGGTCAACGTCGCCCTGGGACTCAACGTCCTCTTTACGTGGATTTCGTGTTGGCCAGTCGAAAAGACATGGCGAACAGCGTCCACGCCAGGGACATGCTGGCCGAAAACCGTGACGATGAACTACAATGTCTTTACAGCATCTTATTCCGGCGCCATGGACATCGTACTCGCAATCATCCCGTGGAAGATTATCTGGGGCCTCACCATGACAAAAAAAGAGAAGTTCGGTGTTTCGCTTGCCATGAGCATGGGCTTTTTGTGAGTACAAAGTGTACCTGTTTCTTGTATTAGAAGAAAAACGCTTACCATTTCTTCCAGCGCCGGAGCCGTCTCCTTTATCAAGATCAGGACCATCACGGCTATTGGAGCCTTCGACATCATCGACACAGTCGACTTGACAGTATGGGGCGCTGCAGAGAGTGCAGTCACGATCATCGCAGCGTCAATACCAATCCTACGGGCTCTGTTCCGAGACTACAAGCCGCCTCCAGCCAGGTTCGTCAGCGACGAAGAGTCAATGCTGCGCCGGCTGGGCGCAGGGTCGGTTCGGACAATGACAAGGCCAATACCAGCAGTCGGACGATCTCGATCAGACGTGGAGCTGATCGAAATCGATAGGGGGATCAACTCCCGAGGCCATGCAGACAAGAACGACTTGGCGCTGCAGGCGTGGAGAGGGAGAGATATCAAAGTTGACCCGAGAAGAGGGGCCGAAAACGGAGCAACGCTATCTTCACATTTTGATGTTTATGGGAGAAGTGGTAACGGAGAGGTGCCAAAGCCTGCCCACGTGAGGAACTTCTCACGCGGATTTTAGCTTTGCCACTGTAATGACTTCTTATGATATTTGATGTCCTTCGACAGTTTTTTTAGTCTATTACTAATTACTATGATGCCTGCGAGTCGGGTAACTTTACATGGCTTCATCACTCACCTCTTTTGGCACAAAATACTATGATAAGTAGGGTGAATTCGTGCTCCACGTGCCATGATCAACGCAACTGTGATGGCCATCGCATTTTGTGTAAGTTCATCCTAAGCTAGGCCGTACAAGCATCTGGGAATTTTGAGAGATGCGTCAGGTTACACCCTGTCCTCTACATGTATAAGCGAGTGCGCCAGTCTTGGCTGGTCAGCGTAGTGTCTCTAACGAAGGATCCACCCCTCGGCGCGTATAAAGAGCTTTAATACGGCGGGAGTTTACCGTACTTGTTGCAGCCAGTCGGATGTCTCTGGGTTTGAAGCGTGAGAAGATGATATTACCCGAAAAAACGACATTCGTCTTGGGGGTGTTACACCTGGAGTGGACAGATTTACTTTGTGCATCCTTTTTCTCACTGTGGGACTAGGCAACAGAATTAGGGAATTATAGGAAGAAAAGACGGTAACACTAGAAAAGCGCTAAAATCCTTCTCCGTCCTTCGTTGTCTAGCTTGAGTGGCCTTGATTTATGACCGTGCGTTTCAAAGACTACCTAATCTCGGGGACATAAAAGAGAGCAGAAGCCTTGACCTGAAGAAGGAAGTGAGTGTTGCGCAATCAGCATAGGAACTAGATCGCCCCATTGCTCCGACACTTTTCTGTCGACTTTGGCCTTTTATTCCTTGTATCTTGCCTCCGCCAAATGCTCTCAAGACACGCCCAAAAGAGTCTGGCCACCTCAATCAACTCAAGCAAATCACCAAAAGTAGTGGGCGTATCAAGCTCTCAAGATGATTATTTTCACGTGCACCTCAACTCTTCTCGCTTGGATGGCGCTTTCTAGGGGAGCTTTTGCTATCGTCCCTAATTATACAACATCCGAAGCCGGCAACCCATTTGTTGATGGATGGTACGCCGATCCTGATACAGGCATCTACAACAATGAATACTGGGTTTTCCCAACATCTTCATACCCGTATGCTCAGCAAACATACCTTGACGCATTCTCATCGACAGATCTTGTGCACTGGACAAAACACTCCAACATCCTAACGAAATCCAAAGTGTCGTGGGCGCAAGAGGCTATGTGGGCGCCAGCACACGTAGAACGTAATGGAAAGTACTACTTGTATTTCGCTGCCAACGACATACAGGAGGGAGACTCAAAAATCGGCGGCATTGGCGTCGCTGTGGCCGATAAGCTCGAGGGCCCCTATGAGGATGCCATTGGCAAGCCGCTTATTGGTGAATACCATAACGGCGCGCAACCTATCGACCAAGACATTTTTATCGACGACGATGGACAGGCCTACATTTACTATGGCGGCCATCGTCATGCAAACGTCGCTAAGCTCAATAGCGACATGATCAGCATAGGAAACTTCTCAGATGGCACACAGTTCAAAGAAATCACCCCCGAAAACTATGTCGAAGGATCTCTAATGTTCAAAAGAAAGGGGAAATATTACCTGATGTGGTCCGAAGGAGGCTGGACTGGGCCTGACTACTCCGTTTGGTATGCTATTTCTGATTCTCCTCTGGGTCCGTTCCAACGTGAGGCGACTATACTTCAACAGGACACTGCTATCGCAACGGGCTCCGGTCACAACAGCGTTTTTAACGTTCCCGGGACTGACATCTGGTACATCTTCTATCATCGCCACCCGTTAGGAGACAACGACGGAAACCATCGGCAAATCGCATACGACCGCATGTATTTCGATGAGAATGGCAGGATCAAGCAAGTCAAAATGCTGGTAAAGGACAATTTCAACGATGGGAACTTGATTGGGTGGAACACTGCGTTTGAGGGGAGTTTCTCCATCAAGAATGGTGAGCTCTTTGCGGAAAAGACCTCTGAATGGAGCGGCAAGGCCCTGCAAAACACTGCATTTGAAGACTTCGTCTTTGATATTGATATTACGCTCGTTGACCCTGATTTGGGCACAAATGCCCCCGACTCAGGGGACGCTGGTGTTCTCTTCGCCGTCACCAGCGCTACAGCCGGTATCAATAGTGTGACTGGATTCTATGCAGCCATTGACGCGTCGGGAGCCGTGCTCTTAGGGAGCATGGCCCAAAGCTGGGAGTTGCTGACATCCACGAACATGACGGTGGAGGTGGGCACGCAGTATCATCTTCGGGTGACTGCGATGGAGAAGGAAATCGAGATTTTTGTGGACGATATGAAGACGTCCAAGCTTACATATACGGTGTCCAAGAGTACAAAGGGGACTACAGGTGTTCGGGTGTTCCGGACTGGCGCGCTTTATGACAATCTTTCAATAGCGCACCCGGATAGCGAATGAAGAGTAGGAGAATAGGTATCAGTCAAAAGACATAATTATAATTGTGTATCCACAACAACCGATATCTTCGTTGAAGAGTTTCAGGAGAATTCCGTCCACGTCTGTTGTTGGTCGTACAAAGTAATGGACTGCACATTACGTTCTTCAACTGTTCCTTTTTCTCTGAAATATTATTTTTGTGCTTCTACAGACATTAGAAAACATGAAAACTCCGCATCGCTAGATTGGCGAAAAGCAAAAATGTCGAGCGCCCTACTAAATGGGAAGATTTTCATAAGAACGGATTGTGGCTGTTGTTGCACAATGGACAACAGGGTGCAACTAGCCGACATACAGTAGACAACTACAGCTTGACTTGAAGAAGAACATTTTCCCGGCCTTCCAAAGAATTAGCATGCCATAGTACTAGCCAATTGCTTTAGTTTGCCAATAAGATGGATGGCTTTCCTTTTTCAATAATACAGTTCTATTTTCGTCTTTACAAGTTCACTTCACCCGTTCGGTAGCATCACAGTAACCAGAATCCGAAAAGGCCCATTCAAACAAAGGGGTTTCTGACTGCACTTCGGTCCCACTTATTAGACTCCTCCAACCTCGGTCTCGGTGTGCCCTAAATAGATGCCGCGGCTGCGATGGTTGTCTCCGACAAAAGCACAGAGCTCGTCTGATAAAAGCCGAAAAATGTCTCCACATAGGGCTCCATTCGCAGCGGAAGCCGCGGAGAGTAAGAACCCAGAACCACGGGCAATCTGTTCCACCGATTGGTAATCAGTAATCTGTAGCTAGAAGATGTTCTGGTTACGTCAGTGAGGGGACATTTTGGAGAGAGATATTTAGGTCACCTGCAACCTGGATTGTTCTGAGTCCTAACAACCACCAACACCAGATCTTAATACCCATAAAGCCCAACTCACTCCTTTCCACATATTGTTTGTAAACTCATACTCGAACAATTTCCTCAGCATCAAAATGGCCGTCACCGTCTCTGTTCTCTACCCCAACGAACCCGACGCCAAGTACGACGTCGACTACTATGTCAACAAGCACATGCCTTTGGCCGGCTCCACATGGAAGGATTTCGGCGTGAAGAGCTGGTCCGTCATCAAGTACGCGCCGGGCCCCGATGGAACTGAGCCCAAGTACGCTTTTGCTGGTGTTCTCCAGTGGGACAGCCTCGAGAACGTCAAGAAGGCGCTCGCCGCCCCCGAAACCGCCAAGGTCATGCAGGATGTTCCCAACTACAGCAACAAGCAGCCCGTATTTCTGATTGGAGACGAAGTCAAGGCTGTTACGGTTTAAATGTTTCTTTAGCAATTTCAAGCGGATACCAGGAGGCTCAAGAGGCGGATGGGATGATGCATGGCAGCATACGGACTCTTAGCACGATGAACGACAATTGAATCTATGAACACACTCCGTAAATTCCCTACTTGAGAAGCACACTCTGTGATCATATGTGGACCTCGAACTGATCATTGTAAGGTACTCAGGTGATGACAGATAGCTTCTGCATAACTTTGTTAGACAAATACGGTTGGTGATTTGAAATCAATCACGCCTCTGAGTCGATATTCTTGAGGGTCATGAAAATTTCGTAGGCTCTGTAATGTCATGACACCGACACCGGTTGACTCTAGCCCTGTCACCAACCTCCTTGGCCGCACTCCTCACCATACCTAGTGAAGCGTGTTTGGAAGCAGCGAAAACAGCACCTCTGAGAAAGCCTTGAAGTGAAAACATGCTTCCGACATGAACAAAACTTCCGCCATGTGCCAAAACTCCAGGTCTAAGCGCTTCCGCAAGGACGTTGAATGCGCCCCTGATGTTGAGGTTCACGATGAAGTCGAATTCCTCGTTGCTTGTTTCCCAGACAGATTCAGTACCGAGCTCGTGGCCGCCGGTGCCTGCAAAATTGGCAACTCCGTCAATCTTTTTGAAGCGCGACTTGGTTTCGCCCAGAAACTCTTTAACGGATGAGCGGTCGGTAACGTCAACTCCCTTGATGAAAACTCGGCTCTGGGCTTCCGGTTCCAGATTGTTGAATATTTTCTCAAGGCCTGGCCCGTTCAAGTCACACATCCCTACTTTTGCTCCTTCGGACAACAGTGTCATGGATGTGGCAAGGCCCATACCGGAGGCGGACCCAGCAATTACAACGACCATGCCACGAAAGGAGGCCATCTTAGGTACAATATGGTGGATTGGGGTAAAAAGCGACAGTAAAGATAAATGAGTTGGGAAGACATCACAGAGAAATATTCCTGCGTTTAAACCATTATCGGTGACTACTATCCCCGCCATTTTTTGCTGATGACATTATCATCTCTAAAGCAAAAGTCTGGCGCGTCTTGACTCTGTAACAAGTTGTGGTGTGTGCCTAGGCACGCTAATGCAGCCTGCTGACACTTGATGCCGGAAAAGGAAATATCCCACCATATGGTAGGTCATGTATGCTTGAGCAACGTGTTGCAATGCTAACCTGCATAAACCACGCAGCTTCATTTTCAAACAGCCTCAAGTAGAAGTTTGTCTGCGACTTCTGAGCCCTGGGACACCTTAACAGGACGTCAAAACCAGCTGCATTTACTCCACAAAGCCATGGCACCACAAACCCCACCTGGTTACACCTGAAGCTATACGTTATCAACCCCCAAATCGACAAAATAATTTGATCTGATACGTTGAAATCCGTAGTCGGAATTGCGGGTTGCAGTGGCTTTGTGACCGCCCAAGCTGCCAGCTGCCTGCCATCCAGACTTCATATGGAAATACAGCCTTAACTATGTACCTTACCCACGCAACAGGCAGCTTGAGGAGATATATCTCTTTCATTCGCTTCAATCAGCTCTTTGCTTTGTGATCCATATACATAGAACTCACCCTGTTTTGAACAGATTCCCTCTTCTTATGGCCGTATGGATATCCTGTGATATCAAGACAATGCATGTACATTGTTCCTGCTGCAGACTCAAACTTGGCGAATTGTTTGACTGGAAACAATGCTAAATCGTCAATCATCCATTGGCCATGCCTTTTCTTAGTGTAAAGCACCTTGTTGAATTCCCTTCAAGTACCTTATAATGTAAGCTCGCATTGCACTTTTCAGCAGGCTACAACTCTAGCAAGTCCACACTAAACCAATAATTGGCGAGTTCTGTTCAGTCTGTTCATTCAATTCTACATGAATAATCTGCTTAAAATATGCTGGTAAAACATGCGACTTGGGCTAAAAAAAAAACAACTTGTGCTGGTTAAAAATGCTCCTTCTACTGAATGTTGAAACCAGACAATCCATTTGAGGCACACTCGTTCAGTGCCCACTGGTATGCAGGCAAGCCGCCCATATAACTGAGAGCCTCGCGAGCTTTACCGGGAACGTTTCCACCCATATACCATGTTGTTTCATTATGACTTAAGAGTGAGCTGTCACAAAATTCTGTGGTTCGACGACCCCAGTCTTTCTCTGTATCTGGTCGAGGGTCAAGACGCGTGAACCCGTTCTTTCTAAGGTAAACCAGGGTTTGAATGATCCAGTCGCCTTGTATTTCTGAAATGACAGGCCCAATGGCTGTTGCCGTAGGGCTCTGAGGCCCATAAAGGAAGAACATGTTTGGGAAGCCTGAAGATGTCATCCCCAGAAAAGTGCGCGATCCAGTTTTCCATTTATCGTTGAGTGACTTGCCTTTGAGGCCCCGGATGTTGACTCTAGTAAAGCTACCCGTTATGGCGTCAAAGCCAGTTGCTAGAAGAAGGGCATCGAGCTGGTGAATAGTTCCATCAGACATCTTAACTCCCTCAGGAACGATCTCATCAATGGGGTTCTTCTTCAAAGACACCAAACTGACGTTACTCTGATTGAAAACTTCATAGTAGCTCTGTTCCAGCGAAGAGCGCTTCGTGCCGAATGGATACGGAGGCTTCTCAGGCGCCAGGTTCTCAATCAACTCAGGGTCCGTTGTAGTGAGCCTTTGGCGGACCTTATCACGCCAGAAGTCGTAGAAGAGGTGATTTGCCTCCAGGCTTGTGTTCAGATCTGAGTAGTTGCCATGTGTTGGAGCAAAGCCGCCAAGCTCCCATAGATGTTCAAACAGAGCCTTTCGCTGCTCGGGTGTGTCATCCAGGGCGCTCTTATCGACGATCGGGTAAGTAAATCCAGCCTTGGACATTTTCATCTTCGGGAAGAGTTCCGAGTACTTGGATTTGTCCGGGGGACTCAGCCCCCATGTCTCCTGCCTCATTGGCATTGCGCAGTTTGGTGAGCGCTGAAAAACCACGAGCTGTCCGGCAGCAGGCCCTAGTTCCTGGACCAGCTGCACACCGGTGGCACCGCTGCCGATAATACCGATCCGTTTGTTTGCGAGGTCGGGATGGTCTTCCGGCCAACGTGCTGTATGGCACGAAAAGCCTTGGAACTTGTCGAGGCCTTTGATATCGGGCACATACATCTTGGCAGCAAAGCCCATTGCGAGTAAAAGATAGGTTGACGAGGCCTTCTGGCCATTACTGGTCTCAATAGTCCACTCGTTGGCTTGGGCGTCAAAAGCTGCGTCGGTGACTCTGACACCAAAGGTAACATCCTTGCTGAGGTCCCACTTCTTGTCGACAAACTCGAAGTATTTGATCATCTCAGGCTGGCTGGGGAACTTCTCCGTCCACTCCCAATTCTGCCATATTTCAGGATCGGAAAACTCGTAAAAAGGAGTGTCGGTGTCGACTCGGGCACCTGGGTAACGATTGTGCCACCACACGCCTCCCAAGCCAAGGCCTTCTTCAAACACACGAACCCGGAAACCCTGCTTTCTCAAGTTCCTAAGAAGGTAACAACCGCCGAACCCTGCCCCGACAATGATAACATCTAGGCAGCTGTCTTCCACGTATGATGGCATTCTTGTTTTGTTGGCCTTGGAACGTGGGATAGGTGACTACAAAATACACAAGTAAAGTTTCTTTGTTGACCTGAGATAACTAGATCAAGATGCCCGAGTTGCTGGCCATACTTATATTTTAACATATTGCTTTTCCTTTCCTTTGTCTCGTTGTTGGATGTGTTCCATTTCCCTGCAGCATGAACACGTTTGCATTCAAGATCCGATAGTGTTTGGAGTATCTCTCTTCCGGAAATCAGATCCGACGACTGCTCTCGAGCAAATGTAGATAAAACCAATGAACTTTGAACGAGAGGCTTACAAGGCGCAGTTGCTTTCACGCGGAACGTATCTTGGCTGGAATCGAACATTCTGATTATCGGATGCGTTTACCGTAGTGCGACGCCATGGTGCGAACCTGGCCCTCTGAAGGGGGTGGAAACGCGGGGAAAGTGGACCGACCATGTGGGCAAAACCTGGGGTCAAGCATGGGGGGGGCCCAGCAAGATAAGCTGTCTGCCAACTTCTTAGCAACCAGCTGATGGCTGGAGGCCTGCAATCTCCCAAGCCACCAGAATGTCGCGGGGTTGTTGATTGGCCAACACACTCAGCTTGCACGTTTGGTTCATAAAAGTAGCTCGGCAATACCGTAGCCTATCTTTGGATGCTTTCATACCCGAATCTCGGAATACATAATAGTTAATCTGCCCACAATCATGGTAACGCAGTCATGCAACTCGTTTGAAGTTCACTCTTCTTCCGAAGACATAATCCCGTCAAAGCCTCAGCCTACCATTGTACCGCGCTCACATCTGACAAGATGACAAACTCCAATTCTTCTCCACTAGCAACCGATGATGTGAAGTTCACGGACAAACAACCCGAGAATGGTAGTCTACATCCGACGAACAGCGTTGTTGAAGGCCATACACATCAACTGCATGATGACCGAAACGGTCAATTCCATCGGTCCTTTACTCCACGTCAAGTCCATGTAAGCCTTTTGCTACTTGTCATGTGTGACTGTGCCTTGCTAATCATGCCCCCCGCTAGATCATCTCTTTGGGATCGAATATCGGAAGCGGCGTGTTCATTGCGACGGGGAAAGCTTTGGCCACCGGTGGCCCGGGAAACATGGTGATAGCTTACTTTATGGTGTGCAGCTGTGTCTGGGCCGTGCTTCAATCACTCTCCGAGATGACAATTGCTTTCCCTGTGTCTGGAAACTACATTGACTATGCCGATCGCTGGGTAGATCCAGCACTGGCCTTTGGTGCTGGCTTCGCCGAATGGCTTGGTAACTGCCCTTATTCCGTTCTGCTAATATACTCAGACTAATCGTTACATCAAAGGCTGGACTGCAATCGTCGCCGCTGAATCGGGATTCTTCCACGTCCTGATCCAGCTCTGGGCAAGAGACTCTTTCCCTTTGGCCGCAACCGGTATGTACCTCACCCCTTATTGTGAACTGAGTTGGAGGAAAGAGTATTAACACTTGTCTATCAAAGTATCACTATTCCTCGCCGCTTGTTTTGTCATCTTTATGCTGCCGAACAAAATTTTCGCCTGGTTTGAATACTTGACATCCTTGATCAAAATCTTTCTCTTCCTCATCATCATTGTACTCTCGTTGGCTTTAGTATTAGGAGCTGGGCCAACCGGCTATGTCCATCATGGAGAAACATGGACAGAGCTCCCTCCCTTTTTAAACGGGTTCACTGTAAGTCTTCTGTTAATCTTTTCGCTTCATCAAGAATACGAGAGGTGGCTAACTATTACTAGGGCTTTGCAAACTGTGCCATGCTTGCGACATGGGCAGTGGGTGACCAAGTCTTTATCGGTATCATGGGCGGTGAGGCAGAAAGTCCACGTTTCTCGATGGCCCACGCGACAAAGCTCGTTCCTTTCCGAGTCAACTTCATCTACATGCTTAGCGTCGTCTTCATCACTATTTTGGTGCCCTCTAATGACAGTAGACTTCTTGGCGGAAGTAGCGTTGCGGCTTCTCCCTTTGTCATTGCCGTCGATGATGCCGGCATCAAAGGAATTTCCTCACTCCTTAACGCTGGCATGATGTGTGGCGTTCTTGCGATTGCGGCCGAAGCGGTTTACCTGTCTTCGAGAATTTTGAGAACAATGGCCCATCAAAGACTCATCCCGGAGAGGCTCGCCAGGGTTGACAGCAAGGGACGACCAAGACTAGCACTTATCATTACGTGCGTCGTCGCCACCGTGCTCTCTTATATCCAATTAGCATGTAAGTTCTCCACCAGACTGACTTATCATTGAGGCCGTCGCTAAGAAATAATCAGCTGGTGGTTTGAAGGTCTTGAACTGGTTGATCTCTATCACCAGCGCCTCGTTTTTCACAAACTGGATCATCATTTCATTTACGAACTGGCGGTTCCATTGCGCTTTGAAAGCACAAAATGACCCGCTATTCTCTCAAACCTACGCCTGGAAGTCAACGGCCTGGCCGCTCGCACCATCGTGGCTGATGCTCATCTCACTCCTGCTTCTTGCTTCCTGTATTGTGTGCGGAGTTGACCCAATTGTACGTCTACGAAACTTCTTTTGTGGCTGCTAATCCTTCTTTTCTCCGCTCGGATTTGACCAGAACTATGATTTGATGCAACTAGCTGACCATCCTGCTATATGTAGGGAAGCTCTGACTTCAGTGTAGAGAACTTCTTCCAGTTTATGATTGGATTTCTTGTCATCTTTGCATTCACGATTGGGTACAAAGTCATCTACCGAACTCCATGGAGGGATCCAAAGACCGCAGACTGTGTTACTGGCCGTCGGAACTTGAGTGTTGAGGAAATTAATCAACTAGACGACTACTACAAATTGTCTACGTGGAGAAGATTTCTCACGTATGTACAGCTTTGGTAAGAAGATGGGACGCGGAGGTAGATGTAGTCGCTCGAAACTTGCCGTATAAGGTAGTTTATTCCGACGGTATCCACGTAGGACAAACTTTCACCTTTGCCGAAGGCTATTAAAGCAAAGGCTTCACTTGGTCGGATAATTGAACGAAATCTGTGCGAGTCCATTGTGTGGAATGCAATTCCTTCTGCCAGGCCTGCCCATAATATGCTCATTCGCATCAAAAGCTCAAACCCATGCATCTCTATCAGGATGCATGCAAAGAAGCGAATGTTATGTGTTTGTTGTGGGCTATCGCCTCAATGCCAGCATTGGGCACCAGTTGATATGCATTTCCCGCGTGTTATTTCAGGTCCCGCAAGGATAAATATTCACATCGACAAACTATTGGTGCATAATTAGAGTCATTAAATATACATTTTATGGCCAATTGAAAGTTCATGTACCCAGAAGACAAAGACAGGCAAGCAGGTAGACGAACAGGCAGAGAAGTTTGTGTCAATTGGAGACTTCAGCTTTCAGGCGCCGGATGCCGTTTGCTGTGAGAGGCACTCTGTTCTTTTGTGCTGTCCAGTAGTAAAGACATACTCCAGACTGGTCATCTCATGAGACATTCAAAAAGTCCTGCCAATGGATACCAAAAAATAGTCTAATTGATAACCGGCTTGGGCTTGTAGCCTCCCATGTGGCAAGAATACCCCTCACGCAATTTCGGGTTGGAGTAATGGGACGCAGAAGAACCCCTGACTCCAATTACTACGTAGAGTACCAAGAGTAGTAATGCATGGCAAATTGTGGCAAGCTCTCCAAGATATCGGAAAACGCATCCGGTCCCCCCTGCCCTACCGGCAGTGCATCCGACATCATCTGCCTGATAACGAATTTCCTTGCGACATGATTTGAGTCCTCATTGAGTGTTCGGGTAGTTGGTGATACAAAACGTAGTTGGTAGGTATATGTTCGATGCAATGGCAATCCTATATATACCGGTTATAGAATACATTTGATACCCAATCTCACACTTGTTGGGTCGAAAAACCAAAATAGGCCCATTCGTCTTTGGACAAGATAGCCATCATGACGGTAAACCAAACAAACCCCGAGATATTTTACGTTCCAGCTACACCGCATTCCCCCAATTCCACCCTACCTGTGGTTGTTTATAGAAATGTACTTGTGGACAGGACATCTGAAGATGCGATAAAGCTGCTCAAAGAGAATCAATGGATCAAAGGAGGGCACTGGAAGATAGCCAACGAGACTCTCGCGGCGACGCCACACTACCATGCAACAACCCACGAAGCATACACAGTCTTGCAGGGCACTGGAACATATATGCTCGGCAAGTCGCCACTAGACCCTGAAACACACGATAATGGAAAACCTACTGGAGTGAAGTTTGTTGCTCGTCCGGGAGACGTGTTTGCTTGGCCAGTGAGTTTTCGAGGCTACCAATGTTTTTGATGCCGCTTCTTACATACGTTTTACAGGCCGGAGTAACGCACTATGTTACTGCCACCGAGGACGACTATGAAATCATTGGCTTTTACGGCTTGGTAAGAAAGAAAACATGTTTCAGTGAGCTCATTAGACTAACCAGCTTTCAGACTGGATTCAATTCACTTGAGGAGCCCTACGATATGGAGTACGCACTTGATTCAGTGGAAGAAACGGAGAGAAAGCGGGAAAGATGTGAGCGGGTTCCTGGGCCAGAGTTTGATCCGGTGTATGGTAAGGAGGGGCCGATGCCGAGGCTTTGGAATAGATCTTGGAAGAAAGACCATTATAAGGCGAAATTATAAAAGGTACTGAGCATCTACTTATTTTCCTAACCCAGCATGCGTCTAGAGCCAGAGACATAAGTGAGAAGTGAGGAAAGCAGAGAGCTTGAAGACATCCGGTAGGCTTTAACATGCAGTTTGAAACACAATAAACGTCGAAAGGCAACCAGAGCAATTGTTATTTTTTATTTTGTATTTTCTAAAAACAACCTATTGCAAGTCGGCCGGGAAAGTTCAACTATGGCGGCGGGACTGTAATTGGTTGGGCCAAACTGTCAAGATCGAGCGAGTTCGCCAATTGCATTAGCTGTTCAGTGCTCAGCTCAAAATTAAGGCCGAAATCGACGCCATCTGCGAACCCAACGTCTAACATGGAATGGGCCGGCAGTTGTGCACCGGAGTTGATCTGTTCCATATCGTCTGAGAGATACTCCTGGCCAGTCGATGCTTCTTCGCCATTCGGCTCGAGTTGATCGAGATATCCGTCAAGTTGTTTGAGTTCTGAAGCGATCATCTCGGCAATTTTGCTTCCATGCGAAGCCATCTCTTCAAAAATTGTATAAGCTCTTTGAGTTAACTGAGCATGATCCGGAAGCAGCGAGTGATCAATAGCAGCTCCCATTAAGATGGAAATGGTTGCCGTAAACGCTGCGTCAACATCAAAGGTCAAAAAGCTCTCTGCAAGTCTGGTTAGCCTCCGAGGTATCGTGACTACACACTTTTTCATTGCTTACCTAGAAGTCCCTGGTTTAACAGCTGTGATAGAATCTTGATAATCTGACAACAAGATTCCATACACACATGGAGAAGACCCTTGACACTTTCTGAATGTGCCCAGCGCAAGGGTGTACCCTGAGATTGGCCCAACCTCGATTGAAGGAATATAAAGAGCAGTGGCCTCGTAGTGAGGACGATGCACTAATGTTCAGGTTGGTTAGTTTGTGTGTGTGTGTGTGTGTGTGTGTGTGTGTGTGTGTGTGTGTTATTATGGTGGGTAAGATTGCATCTTCCTTACTTGATGATATTGGAGATGTAAGTGAGCCGACACGCGAGACACTCCAGACATCTGCTCACTGGGGTCGATGTCAAATAGGTCGTTCAGCTGGTTAGCCGCGTCGGCAATCTTTTGAAGTACCGATTTGGTGGCGCCCAAATAGCGGCTATCAAGCTGCCCGTCGATCCCGTAAACACCTTACGATTGTAAACACTCGGCGTCCCGTTGTCCACTAGCACTTGATCTCGGATTTGGACTCACTGCGGTGTATCTGACCAAGAATCTGGGCTAGCTTCACTTGAATGTGCATGACATTTGTCCTCTGTCCTTGATGCATATGCACAGGGAACGGCGTGCAAATGTTCTCATCTTGTATGAGCATTGGCACCCCCAGCAGAGTAGACATTTGTCGCTCGAGCACATAAATGGTCCACCAAACTAGACGACACCTCTGGATATAGGTATCATCCAAGTATTGGCCTTGCATCTCGGTATACATCCCACCTTCTAGTGCCAGGCTGACGGCTTGTGAGATCTAAGAATGTTAGCATTGACCTTTGCAGAGTCTCGGACCGTCGACCTACAAAGCGGTACGCTGCCGTACGGCAGGTGAGGCATTGCAGATATAACGCAGCGCAACAGAGGACTTGTATTTTCTCCAGCCGGTCCCCTTCAAAGAAAGTAAAATCAGGCATTAACTTCATGGCTTGGACGAAAAGTTCGACTCCAGGAGGTGTCTGGGATTTGGTGGTCTGCACTACGAAAGCCTTCCCGAAAGCCAGAATAATCAAGTAGTGGACATACCACAAGCGAGAGAGAGATGAGAGATTCGATGGATTTTCATGGAATTTTGAAAACTGCTTCATGAAAGTCTCTTCCTCGAATAGATAGAACAATGAACCACAGCGAAACTTTACCGAGTTGATGAGGTAAATCGCAAAGTCCTGAGTTGGAAGGCTGGAATGACTAAAGTCATCTATTGTGGAGGGCGATCGGCTGCCATCCCACTTGAGATCATACACGTTACCATCGAAGAAGAGGTTATCGATTTGCAGAGGAGTTCCTGTTATTGATTCGTGCGTTATGGTCAGAACTCGCCGGCCAAAGGCCCAGTTGGACGATGTTCCCATGAAGACTTGAAGGGCAAGTCAGCAAAGAGTAATCTTGCCGCAGAGGATTCCACAGGAAGTAATTCACCTGGAGATCCATGGGGGCCCGGAACCCAGTCTATTGTATGGAACGCCAGGGGATTTGTGAGTGGTGCCTCAGTGGGCTCATCCATGATATTAGATGCTGTCGGCGCTCTGGATGATGGTGTTGCGGGGCCGAAATTTGGAGAACGTTGATTTATTCTTAGATTGCTATCTGTGAAGGAAGTCGAATCGTCGTCTGGTAGTATAACGTTGTCAGTGGTATGGTGCGAAGGCAATCCCGAGGTCTCTTTCCATCGCGGTCACTCACACATCTCTGGGGTCGCTAGGTGGTTGAGATTATCACCTCTCGGATGGCGATAGGTAGGGTGACTCTCGTACGCCTCAAGTCTCTCGCGTAATTCACTGATGTACCTTGAACCGTTAAGTCAACGCCAAGTTGCCAAGTACAATTCATTCAATAGATAATAATACTTTCTAGTAACCACGATCTTTTGCGATTCGTCAGGGAAGTGGCAATCCAAGTCTCTCTTGCTGCACTGCTGGCAAGGTTCCAGGCCGGAGCACTTTATCTTTTGGTCACGGCATCTTGTGCAACTTCATTGATAGGAGCTGTTAGCAAACAACGTTGTCCTCGATATGCGGGGATAGATGGCCGCACGCTTTTGAGACGCGCTTCCGGGGTGCGCGAGTCCGTTTGGTACTGCTTCTCGTGGGCATGGAGGTCAGTGTCCATAAGTTTCCTTGAATCTCTTGCACTGAATTTTTCAATGTTGAGCAGTGTCCGCATAGCGAAGTATTCCAACATGTGACGTTTTATGGGGGGTGCAACTTTGCGGGGAAGTGTATCGACGGTGTTGAACAAAATGCGGGAGCTGACCCGATTGCTGGGGGGGTTGGGGGGCTAAGTTTTGATAGAACGGGAAGGTTTCCGCGCTGCAAGCCAATCAGAAAAAAAGGCACAGACCAGATAGGTACAATCTGTGGTGGCTAGATAATGAGTGAAAGATTCTAATTTTGTATGTTGCAACCTTGCGCCTTTTTCTCCCTCTTATCTTTTCAAAAAGCCTGTATCATGAACACTGCTTATACCAGTGTAAAAGATGGATCCTTAAAACGGTCCAAGTCTTCGTGTACGAGTGACACACTGTCATAATATGCTGCTCCCCTCAAGCCAAGACATCAACGACATGCCCATTCCTGTCCCCAGAATTTGGTGCGCCTAAGTTCGAATCAAAGCTAAATCGGCGGATATTGACAATGAAGCTCTACACCTTTACATCATCCGCCCTTAGTTTGATCGGCACCACTAAGATTAAGGATAGTCTTGCAGACTGTTTTGATAATTCTTGTCTTTTAATTCTATGTTGAGAAAAACAACATGAGGCTGGCTTTGGGGATATCTATGCAGGAACATGTGAATACAGGGTTTGAAGTTAAGACAGGGTATGACAGCAGGACAGGAAGAGTGGAGTCCAGTGCAATGTGCAGCACAGGAACTTTCCTGGACACGGTACAAAGAAGGCAAACAGACAAGGAAAAGGGACCCAAGGCTTCAATCATGACCAAGAAAGTTCAACAGCACGCTTGGCCTCAAATAAAGATCAAGATGCTCCCAAAAAAGCAAGCCGTAAACATCAGCCACTGGTCGGCGTGAGCTCTGCCGCTGCTACCACTACCCACACGCTCCACCAGTTTGTTGCCTAGGTCAGTAATACTATTCGAGAACTCCTCGTAGGTAGAGGCAGACCAGTTTGCCCCGCTTGCGCCGGGAACCGCATCATCTCCGGTGAAGGCGAGGTAGAGCACATCGTTTTCATCGTGTCCGGAGTTTCCGGTAATGCCGTTGCCGAAGCATGCAGTTGCGAGGGAAATAGATGCCTCACCCACCATAGCTTGACGGCCATCGTCACCATTGGTATCGCCCCAAATGCCGTAAACCTAAGTGAATGACGGTGAGACAGGCCATGATATAGCAAAACAGTCACAACTCGACTTACCAATTTGTTGTTGCATACGACAGCCATCAAACTCAGCGGCTTGACGCCGTGCTTTTGAGGATCAAACGTAGGCCATCCTTTCTGAGTGCCTTCGTTGCCAAATACAACATATGGGTGGACGTAGGCGTTGAGGTCACCCACGCCGTAGCTCTTTAGAGTGCTTCTGAATGTCGTCTCAGACTGGGTATCGGTGGAGCTCTGGCAGCGGCCATCTCCTGCATTTTGTGCGCCGTCACAGTCGACGTCCATATTGACTAGCCGCCCACGCTTGCCTTGCAGATACATGATCTTGTAGTTGTCCAAATAGTCACCGCAGTATCCGAAATCCCCACTGTCTCCATCGGTGCTGTGAAAACCGCCTTTCAAGACCTTGCCGCATTCACCTTTGCCGCGGACATGGTCGTAAAAGTCCTTAACGTTGCTGGGTAAGTCGAGTGCTGATGTTGTCGTGGCAATCAAAGCCAGGCATGCGAGAAACTGATTGATTCGATGCATGTTTACTGAGTGAGAGTTGGTGTTTTGGGAGGAAGGATGAGGTGAGACGACAGCTTCAAAAGTCGAGAAGGGGATGCTTGGGCGCGCTTTGGCAACCACGTGACTTTTATCCTGCAAAGCACAGCATCTTTGCGGTGCTGTTGATGCGCTAATAAGTTGATAAGTCGGTGCACACCGCCCTGCAATTGGACGATTTAACAGATGGATCAGTTTCGGCCAAGACTCAAGCGACTCGGTCTAGGCACTTCAGAAAAAGAAAGATGACTCAGCAATAGTTTGGGAGCAATTAAACACTGGCGAACCCGTTTGAATGACGATGAGACAGATGCTGCAATCCCCTTTGATGGAAACGCCTAATCTTACACACATGGAGAGACGACATCATATATCTGAGCTCTTGTATGGTTCCTTTTTCTGTTCATTTACTCCGGTGTAATTAGGTTGTAGCCTCTCTTGGCTCTGGCCGAATTCTCGGCCCTCGTGTGATGAGTTTCCATCATCCGGGATACACTGTACGACGTCACGATGAAGACCGATAATGGCTGCAGAATCAGGGAAAATATGCCTTAGGTGAGCGGTGTGAGCAAATTAAACAGGCTGAGAGGGTAGATTATGTATTGTAGTACACGATAGCACTAACTAGGTGTCATACGGACGCTTCCAGACATGATTTTGGAGCAGCGAATCAGTGTAATACTTTGTCGAACCAAGGGTCAGTCATTTAAAGTTGTACGTTAGCTAAAATATGAAGGTCTTTCTATTTGGCAGCGGCTCCTACACCTTGTTTTGCAGAATACCTAAGATAGTTATGGCATCAGAGTAATAAGACGCTGGCCTAGCTGACCCATATGGTACCCATTTCTTAATACCGACTCTGTTTATCAGGAAGGGGAATAACTACATAAGGTAGGGAAAGTTCTAGATAATTTCAACGGCTTCTCAGGTATTGATGGTGCGTACATTTCATGAAACGGTGGCAGACCTGAGCCTCAGGGAAACGATGCCTAAACATTTGAAAGAAGTCGCATCCGACCTTCCCTAAGATCCTGACTTCCACCACCATGGCTTGCCCCTTCCTAGCTTGACCAGCAGAGATTGCCCCTTCTACTAATGCCGTCAAGAGTAGCATAGATGTAATAGACGTGTCGTGATAACCCCGCTCTTTTCTTCTTTTCCTTTCCTCACTACACCTACGAAAAAGATCGATGGCTTATATTATTATCCACCCCCGGCATAGCGTTAACCTTCTCCGCCGGGCAGCGGCCTGGTTGGCTGTCGATCTCCTCGAATCGGTAGTACTGCCACCCCTATTCACCGTCATCATAGGTGGCATCGTGGCCTTGAAGTTCAGCGATAATGGATATATCAAGACGGTGCTTCTTGGCTGTCTTGTCGCCATCGCCAATTACATCCTTTATCGCTTGAAACTCGCTTGGTCTGGCACCTATCCGAATAGCCTATCGGAGACCCTACTCCCTCTTCACGCCGGCTACCGCCAAGTCCAACACCGGCTGTGATAGAGGTCCGACCCGATACGGCTAGTTCGCGCTCGACGTCGTTGAATATGGCAGCCAAACTGTGGCTTTACTACCGATGGGTTGGCAATGCCTAGCCTCCCCCCCTGAATTCCGTTGGGGGTTGCCAGCTAGGCACCCAACGCCTCTGGTCTCATTCTGCTCTCCCAGGCAGTCAGTTTACGCCTACCTACGTTGTAGCAAGATGTAAGATGGATTATACACAACTGGTTTGACTATTTGACTTGGTTGACTGCTAACTCTGCTCGAAAGTCAGGCTCCCCACATCGACGACCGGCTTTATCAGAGTACTATCACGAGAGACGCTGCCAACCCTGCTTCTCTTTGACTATTCTACAATGTCGCAAAGGTCGGGCCACAATTATCATTTGCTTCAGCTCGACCCAACGCCTCTGGTCTCACGGCCGGATCATACACCTATGTCCTTAAGTTCGACCCAACGCCTCTGGTCTCACGGCCGGATCATACACCCATGTCCTTAAGTTCGACCCAACGCCTCTGGTCTCACGGTCGGGTCCTATAAATCAGTCGTTCGGCGAAAAAGCCAAATGACGCCCACAGAAATCAAACCCATCTCCGTATCGTCTCGTAGGCCTACCTGGAAAGCATCTGCACCTCTTGGCTTCTATTAGGCACAAGCTTAGTTATCAAGGATTGCCAACCCTGTTGGACATGTTGAGGCCCTTTGGCCCATAGGTCACGTACCTAGACCAACTTGTCAATCCCACTATTCGTTCCCACGATTCTTGCGCCTCCACATGACACATTTAAGCTTTCCAACTGGCCAGGCGTACACGCACGCCTAAACGTTATATACGTGCCTTCGCTACAGGCTAATAAGAAGCTTGACTTTTGAGTTAAATCAAACGGCTACTGACTCGCCGCCACGTCTTCATACATACATCCGCCAGGAAATATATAAAGAGTCACTAGCATAGGTTACCATTAATGAATTCTCGCAAAACCTTCTTACTATAACGACTTTTACGCAGACATAATCTTTTACCAAAAGATCACAGGTACTCCGAAACAACGCATATCTTCATAATGCTCTTCAGATCCATCTTAGGCTTTGTCTCTATGGACCTTAAGAACGACAACCTCAAATTCTTCAGCGTTGCTACATTACTATCCAGCTTACTCCCTTATCAGCTATATCTGGAATTTCTCACCACGCCACGGCCGTGTCGATGGTACACCTTTGTTATTGCGCATATCGTCAGCTTCTATGTTGTTCTCCGCGTCAGCATGCACTTGCTTATCCCAGACAGCCCTCGAGAACACTCTCAACACATCTGGATGGCGATTTCAGAGTTGCTTAGACATTTTTCAACAAACAACGCGACACATATATGTGCCTTTGGACTAGCACCATTGCATTTCATTCTCACTTTCGTTCCATTTTCTCGCAATCCAGCTATAAGAGGAGCAAGCTCATGCCCTTGGGCTGTCTGGGTGTCTTGGTGCTACGAATGTCATTACCTCTGGCTCGTTAGTTTGCATCTCGACGAACCTAAGGATCCGGTTCTTAACAGTTTGATGAGATACACCTTGGGTATCAGCACGCTGGCTTTACTTTATCGCATTTTTGCACTCTGGAGCTACGAGAAGTTCAAATGGATGATATTCGCCTCAGCTGTACCCATGTTATCCCATACCACTGGCCAACTGTCGGCGAAGGTTTTACAGCATACAAGCTTCATGAAACTCGGGTCGTACTTGTTTGGATATTGTCTCGTGACGATTCTATCTTCCGCCCCATTGTTTTGGAAGATGGATATGTCTGGATGACGGCTATGGCCATGACGCTATGGCAGAAAGGGTGTCATGGGGGCGGGAGCAAAGGCAAAAAGAACTGCCCATGGTGTCGCAACGAAGTCATTGATACCAACTTTGATTTCAATGGTGATCAGTGAGGTTATTCTTAAGAAAGCTTGGATCCCGTACTATCTTTCAATCGATGGTTTGATATTTTATCTGGCAGATGTATTGGGGTCACAAGGGTAACCGTAAAGTGGGTTTTCATGTCAAAGGGCTCGACCTACACGATCCAAGCTTTAAGCAACTGCCACAACATGTCCAAGAGCCAGGGTACCGCCATTTGCATAACCAACTGGTGCACTACCGTCAGCGTCCCCTAGCACGACATGGGTCATGGTCGCGGCCGCCAACATCACCGAGGCGTAACTCAAAGCCTCGAACCAATCCTTCAGCTACGGGTGCGGCAACCTGCCATCGAAGTCTGCATCAACACCCTTGGCCGCAAGTCTGAGGCCCCCAGCGACACAGCTGTCCTGTCCCCTCATGGAAACCATATCACTACGGCTCCTGCGCCCACTGAAGTGGCCGACGGCTCCGGCAGTGCTGACAAGCCTCTCGGGCGGTTGAACTCGGTCCACCAGGGCCACTACTGCAACCTCTTCGGCGTCAAGTTCGATATCATCCTGTCGGTAGCTGTGGGCACAATTTTTGGCCTTCTGTCGGATTAAATTAATGGCATGGCTGATGGTTTGCCCTGTTGATTCTTTAGCCAAAGACCCTCCGCCTCCAGCTCTCTCTCCTCTACAAACTCAAACAATTCCCACTCCATGTTCTCGCCGTTCCCGGCCACAAGATCCTCGAGCGCCTTAATGACTTCGTCCCTGGCCTCCAGCCCATATCGACCTGCCACGTCACTTTTCCTGTTCTATCTCCGTCAAACGCATGGTATCTCACACCCCATCGGAACGTAACGGTCTGTTCCTCATCCGAAAAAGTCACGTCATCATTCCGTTCATACTTTCGAGCCCGTTCCTTGGAAGGCCGCCACAGAAGCCAGGTGAGTGTCTCGGTATCTTGAAGGGAGGGCATGTTTTGTCTCTGCAGAGACAAGGCAAACACCAGGAGCAGAGGGCTGGTGCGCTCCGTGGCAGGGAGGATGTGGAACATGTCGGCCTAGCGTTCAAAACAAGTATCGTCGTCGCCCGTGAACTCGGCTTCCTCGTGGAGACAGCAAGGCGTGCTTCTTGTCAGTGTCTTCCAGGCCGGGTGGGTAGTGCTCCTCTCTAGTGATGGCGAAACTAGTGGCTTGGGGGTCTTTTCCTCTTGGGCCGGAAAATTATCACCTGCCATCGGGCGCACACGGTTGAAATTCCACTTTGAGATGCTTCATGTGCAGCCATGACAAGGAACGGAAAAGGTTGTGGGTGATGACGCGGATGCTCAGCTCCTCCAAGCGACTCCCCAGGTCCCGCAGCCCAAGAGACACAGAGTCAATGCCTTCAAACTTAAAGAGGAACTCTGGCAACTACAACGAAGACGTAACGACAAGCTCGGGCATCTGCGCTGCTTATTTCATGCCATCCCCGTAGGGGTTGAGCCTCCAGAACCAGAGACGGGCCTTGGCGAGTTACGATGGTAGCAAGGGCATGAGATCGCGCAACCCGCACCAGAAACCAACGCGGGCATCCCATCAAGGACCTTCCCACGGGCGGGAGAATATACGCAGTGCCTCGGACTAGAAGGCAGGGGGAATGCGCTCTCATAGCCAGGGGCAATCGAGCTTGCGGAGGTGTGAGAAGCGGACGGCGAACTCAAGAGACACACACGGAGAGACAGGTCGCATGTGAACGAAATGCATGTCCGGCTCATTGGAGTTATTCGGGACGGCAAAAACGCGAAGCTCGGTGACGCTGTTTAGGTAGGAGAGACAGGGTGTCCGGATTCTGGACAATGAGGCGGCGGGTGTGAGAAGTGCGGTGCCAGCAGTCTGGGATGGTGTCGTAGGACTGGTCGGTGATGCGGATGGTGGACTGCAAGCCGCCGTCTTTCCGGACGAGGTCACTCATCGGAGGACTGCTCGTCTGCTATATTCTTAAGGGCGTGCAGGGCATTCAAAAGGCGTGTAATTGGACCGAAAAGTGGATGTTGACGGCCTCGAACCACGGTGGCTCCATGCATGCGGCGGACACGCCAGTATGGGTTGAGAAGCACAGTTATTTCCGCTTCTAGATTGCAACCGCCCAGGTCGACGTAGAGGCGCGGTTAGTGCGCGTTTTAGCGACGGCCAATGGCGAGCACGCGTTCCAGCATGGCGTCTTGGAAGAGCAGCGTGGCTAGGATGTGATGGAAATCCATTATGATTACCGCTGCGATGGCTTACAGTTAGTGTGTGATGGACTTAAGTTTGAGGCATCAGGAAAGCTCTTGCTTGAGTTCCCCCGTCTTCATATTTTCCTCCTTGACGCCGGGATAACATGGAGTTTTTACCGGGCACGAGGGAGCAACTCATACTGGTTACTCTGTACAGAAGTTCTTTAGCCTTTTATCGATGACACATGGATCACAGTGGCAATAGTTACGTGAGTTTCTTCGCGCATTGCCTACTGACAGTAAGCAAGGTGATCTCCTTGGGATGAAATAACGAATACTTCACCCACGTTTGTTTTGCATGAAGGCCAAGAAAGCATCGCCTTTCACAAGTCATAATACGAGAATTCGATATCAGTGGGCATGTTCACGAGGTTAATTCGGCTAGTCAAATGAAAAAGGCTTGGTGAAAACTTGTTGGCTTGGGTTATGAGTGGGTGTGTAAGAGCCACCGTAGTGGGAAGCGGGAAGCCTAAATGCAGTCATCGGATTATGACTTCGTTCATCAGCTGGCATGTGTTCGGCCTAGAACTATGTGGTCTGACGAATAACAATGACGACTCGATTATCTTGAAGATGGTCGTTTTCGGTCTTTGTAACCTAATTTGTAGTTGGGTTTTGCCGCTACAAGTCGATTTTCATTATCACACTTATTACAAAGTAGGGCATCCGAATGAGAACCCTCTCGTGGAGAATACAATTCACCGATAAGAGTAATTTGGGAGGAAGCTACAAAAGTTCAGGACATGCCTCAGACAATCACTCAGTAATTTCATGATGGCGTGGTAAAATTGAGTCGACCCGTAATGCTAAGAAAGCTTATGCGGGAAATCGCTTAGGAGATGTGTAAGCAAAGAATAAAGTTATAAAAAGACGTGGTACAACCTTGCAACTGTATTTCCGAATTCCCTCGCGGACTGGGTTGTGACTAGACGACATGGTCTCTTAACGTTTTTGCTCACGGCAGTCAGCCATACTATGCAAGATAGATGCTGCACTCCTTTTAAATAGCAATACTTCACTCAGCGTAGTGCATTGTTCGCATGCAATGTCTTCTGCATTACGCATATACGAGAGCTCAATCTTCTTGACATAGCTTGCCGAAAATGATCCTGTAAAAGCTAGATGCAGAAGTAATGCACCGTGAAAGCAATGGCCTAGTGAAAGAACATGGTCCTGGCTCTTGCAGCATCTGCTATACAAGATACACTTGGTGGAATTAGAAGGCGAAGTTTGGTAGATCCACTCTATTTGTGACTTTTTGTCTAACCAGACTGTGAAATTGCGTTTTCCTCATAACTACGACTGCCATATGTCAAGAACGCGTGTTAAGCTGGACTTGGCGTACTGTGGCGGAAAGATGGGACGGGAAATGCTCTGGACCGCTTTGCCTGGCAATGGAGGGTTCCTTCCATCATCGGATTATCAGATGCTTTTCTTCACGAGGATTAAGATTTGAAGATCATCATTGCTCAGTAATAGTAGCCTACACTTTTTTTTGTCTTATTGGTAGGCGGAAGACAACTCCGCCTGGGAGATACTTCAGAATTAGCCATGATAATGACCAAAGTCTTGAGGCAGTGAACACAAACTTTCAACTAGGCCGTGTCTATTCAAGTTCAAATCTTGAAAATCAAATCTCGGCCTCAGAGAAAATGTTGGTGTTCGTTTTTTTTCTCCACCTTTGTTGAAATCGTCGAATATAAATACATGGACAGAATTCTTGATAGACCATTTCCCTTTCCCTTCGTCTTCTCAAGCCACCGGACATCTCTTTGGCCTTACTTATCGATTTACTTATTCATCATTTATCACTTCTCGTAAAGTTGAACTTCTTCTATCGTCCTATTATCGCTTCATCAAAATGCATATTTCATCTCTTCGTCAGACTACCATCGTTGGCATGGCTCTCTATGCTATTGCGGTGGTTGCTGCGCCAATGGCTCAGCCAGATACGGACGATGCTCCTAAAGCAGTTGATATTACTCAAGTCAGTATAATTGTTTCCATTTCCATGGTCTATTGTCGCCAACTGATGCTAACGCCTAACGAAACAGCGTGCTCCTGAAGCAGCTGTAAGCAAGCGAATACGCAACTTATTTTTATTCCCCTTCACACAGGAACATATCATTCTTATGCCCTGAACTAGGAATCTCTTGCTAACTGATCCATTAAATGACTAGCCGAATGGAGACGTCTTTTCGGTACACACATTCCTACCTATTTCAATGGCTCTTTTTTCGTACTTGCTAAAGATTGTATCCATAGGCTCTTGTCGATGCTATCGCTATACGCGATGAACCTGATAACGTGAACAACGTGGAAGCACGCGACAACCGCAAAGACAACCATGACCAGTACCAGAACAAGTGCAGACGACGCGGACGCGGCGGCCGCGGCGGTAAAGGAGGGAAAGAATGTGACGGATACGGCAGTGGTTATGGGCCCTACGATGATGACGACTACAACTCCTACGGTGACCATGGAAATGGAAACGGCCACGGCAACGGCTACAGAGGGAATGAACACGGAAAAGATGAGAAGGACCAGAATCAAGGAGACCAGAATAAGGATGACAAGGATAAGGGCAAGGATCTCGGTAAGCGTGGTGATGGGGAAGACTATGGCGGTGATGGGGACAAATACGGGGGCTATGGTGGAAAAGGAGGTGGCTATGGCAACGGAGGAGGCTACGGAGGTGGCCATGGAGGAGGTTATGGAGGAGGCCGCGGGCACGGCGGTGGCTATGGTGGTGGTGGTGGCTATGGTAATGGCGGTTATGGTCATGGCGGCTATGGCGGAAAGGGAGGTCGTGGAGGATGGGGCGGCGGAAAAGGGGGAAAGAAAGGTCCCTGGCGCCGCAACGAGGGTGTTGATACCAGCGTGGGTTTCGAAGATGACCAGTGAGTTGATGTTTAAGAAGGTTAGATCGCCCGCTATCTGAGCCGACGATTTGGTATTTTGCTTGGCACATACACTCTTTTGGGGCCATCATTTTGGTTTGCTTAGTATTAAAACTCGGGACGATAGCTGCTGGAAAACTCGGATTCAGTGTACATATCTTTGAGACCTAAACTTTCTCGGTTTTTACAACACAGTTGTGAATTTGGTAGTAAAACCTGGTCGATCTTTTACATTCAAAGAAGTCGTTGTCTTTTTGTAAAGCGTCAACACCACCAATTAATCTTTCTCCTTACTTGCCCAACAAGCGACTAGAACGACATCTGAATGATCCCAAATTCAACACAAATAATGGGGGGGGCAACAGATTAATCTTTCATCTCACATGTACAGTTGTACTGCCCTATACGTTCCGACTTGTATACCGCCGTCTGTTTGAGCGAGGCAGGCAAATGCTACTTCTTATTCAAGCAACAGCAGATTCACGATTCATACAAAAACTTTCGGCCTTTTTTCCGCTCTATTGTAATCACTGTTCACTCAAGAACTGGAGAAGGACCTCTCAAATTTTTGGCATCGACCGCATCGCACGTATCGAATCACTGACCCACACCAACGTCAGTTGAAATCGATCGCCCGATTGACCCGCCTCATCAGTATGATATCATCTGCCTATGTTCGATTCCTTTTCCACTATAAAACCTGCCCCCTTCATAGAGGTGAGAATGATAATCGCTACAACACTAACGAAAACACAATCCAACGTCGCCTCAAATTACAACCTTTTACAATGGAGCCTGAATTTCCGAACAAGAGCGAGCTTCAAAAGCAAGCCGTCGAAGGCAGACCCATCACTCAGACTGAGGCTTCAACTGTCGCAACACTAGAGTCGAATATGACCGGCTCTGGGCCCATCAAAGGCGGTAGCGCGGCCACGGCACAAAGTCTGCATGACAAGCAGCAAAACTTTGTGGCCACAGCTGGCGAAGTTGCGCGGAAGCCTGCGAATGAGATTACAAAAGAGGATGCTGCACATGTGCAAAGTGCAGAGGTATGTTCCTGCGTATCACCAATTGTTATGAGTGATTAGCTAATTATAATACAGGCTCGCGTATTAGGAGGTCGACCGCCCAAAGGATCCACGTCTGCTGATGTGCAGTCGCTTGCTGATGAGAATGAGAAAACAAAGGGATCATGAATCGGTGGCTACTGAATAGATTGCCTGTCTGGTTGTAATACAAGTATCTTTCTGAATGCTGCCTTTCACGGTCATGACAGATATAAAAATGTCTTAGTTCATTGGTTACGTATCATCTCATAGTGAATCATTCCATTTCTATTGGGGCAAAAGAAATATCGAGGAACTCGACCCTGCCGCAAAAAGCGTCAATACTGTTTCGAGCCTGTCCTCCACAATACTCACATCTAGAAAACCACCTATCACATGCCTTCTCTCAGGTACTAGAGTGTTTACAAATATAACGATGCTCATTGTGTTCCTAAGACGCACTACTACGCCAGCACAAAGTCCGATCTAATCAAGCACATTGATACTGCACTCCTTGAATAGTTAGTTATTTGACTGGCCCTGAGATAAGTCACCAAACTTGAATTTCTCAACTGGTCTAATGTCGTCTTCCCTGTCACCGCTCGCGTCGACAGCAATTCATTTCTGATGTTCTAGCTTAAGATTAAGAAGGCTTTTGACATTTTTCCACGCAATTCCCTCCCACTGCTCCTCATTGACAAACCCACTGTTCTTCAACTTCTCCATAAACTCCCGACCTTGTGCGTTGTTTGAGAACGGGTAATCAACACTGAAGATGATCCTATCCATCTTTGCCTCCTGCAGTAAACAAGCCATTGGTGCCAGTGAAAACATGCCGCTGGTTGTAACCCACACATTACTGTCCCAAACATCTCTCAGCCCTCTCTTTCGATCTTCAGAAGGCGGCCATTTTCCCGACGACCTCACGATCCGATCCAGCATGAAGGGGATCATCTCTCCCATGTGTCCCAAGATGATTTTCAGTTTAGGGAATCTGTCAAAGGTTCCAGCCGCGAAAAGGCGAAGAAAGTGCAGAGCCGTCCGTGAATGCCAGCCCCAGCCCCACGCACTCAACGCCTTTGCGATCTCCGCGTCATAAGGACCTTCAAAATTGATTTTAGACTCTTCCTTCGAAGCAAATGTTGGGTGAATGTAGATGGGGACATCTAGCTCCTGCGCCGCCTCCCAGAGAGGATAGAATTTGGGCGTGTCGAAAAAGCTGCCGTCGTCCAGATGGTTTCCGGTAAGTGCACCAACAAACCCCAGCTCCCGCACGCATCTTTTTAGCTCTTCTGCGGCAGCAGCCGGATCTTCGAGAGGTAAGAGAGCAAAAGCGGCGTAATGGTCTGGATGTTTGCTAATCTTGGAATGAAGGTCGTTATTGACGGATTTGCAAACGGAAGCTTCAGCAGTTGTAGGTAGGTGGGAAAGGACCGTCATTGATATGGAGTCATTTGCCATATCTTGCAACCTAGCAGGGCCCAGGTCTCCGAGCTTGTCAAGTACGGCTGGCCCAAAGTCCTTGATACTTGGACGGATGTACATGTTCTTCTGCTCGGGAAGCAGAGGAGAAAGATAGTGCTCCTCAATTGCAATGAGAGGTGCCATTTTGATAGTGCTCAACCGAGAATTTTGAAAGACTTGGAAAATTGATAGCGTAAATAATGGACATAGGTTGAAGGCGAATGGGGTTTTGACATCACATGCAGCCGGTGACGGCATTATTAAAGAGAACGTCTCCGGTGACGTCCGAGCTCTCAACTTTAGGCTCAAAACTCTGCGACAAAGCTTGACCAATCGCCAGTCTAAGGGTAATCAGCTATACAGGTCAAATTGTTATTATAGCAGCCAACCTCTGCTTGACTGCCGCTATTCATTGGTTTTGGACAGTCGTCGCTCGAAGAGGAGATGACCAAGCTGAGGAGAATTGGCATATCCCATCGGCTGTTAAATGATTACAGACAATGCCATGAGGTGGGATATCCAGTCAAGGGTTAGTCTAGGTTGTTTCTAGCCAATCAAATAATGTAATTGTTGAATACTTATGTTGTCTAATTATCCTGACTGTTGCGGAAGTAGTTGTAGTTATCTAAGCTACATGTTACATGCTGCTGTAAGTGGGGAAAAGGTGCGAACCGCCAGAGCGTTGTGTAGTTCTGTTATGCGGTGTAAAAGGTGGACAAAAAACTGGTAACAATGTACCTGTAGCCATTTAGCAGCCGATGGGATACTCAGCAAATGATCGTAGTCCCTGCTCAAACGTTTCAGCTTGGGCGCATGGACTTTGTTGGCGATGAATGCATCGCAAGTCGGCAAGACCCGTCCCAGTGAGTGCATCCCTGGCAAGGAACCAGGTTATGACGGCCCTAATTCATGTGAAGATGCAACAATACAGGACAAAGGCAGATCTTGATTGGCTTTTGTTCCAAGCCAAAGTCGTCAAGATTTTATATTTATCTACAAATTGACATACGCATCAGACCTAATGCGGCTCACTCCTATCAAGGCTCATAGACTTGCTCAAATTGTCCGTTCAGAGATGCTCGGGATTCCACTGGTCTTTCCACCAATCGGCACGTACTCTGCTCTGATCTTACCAGTGTCATCCCCGTATTTATCAAGCACCTCTCCTGGAGACCTCTTCTTTCCAACCCAGTTGTACGCTGGGCGGACAACGAAGCCTAGGAGGTGCCGTTGTCTCAGCGTCAATTTTTCCAAGACTTCTGGTCGCAAGCTGACATATGGGTTAACAGTTGAGCTCATGAAGTAACGACTGAATGCATAAATTAGAGCAGGCCTTTCAGCGCTGGTGGTGTTGACACCCGTTGAGTGCCAGAGCGTGGTGTTGAAAACGAGGCACGAACCCGCAGGGGCTGCTGCGGGAATGGAGCCGTCCTTCGTGTCACCATGTAAGTAATTTGTGTCATTATCAGAAGATGGCCTGATGAGAGAAACCCAAAAAGGCTACTTACGAAGCTGTTAGTATCCCATGGTCGTACGTGTCCAACATGAGAAGCAGGGATGACATGCGTAGCTCCGTTAGATTTGCTGCAGTCTTCGACGTAGAACATGAAACTCAGACCGATAGGTTCATCTGTAAAAGGGTTCAGTGGAATTTGGTCGCGATGAAAAGGCATCGGGATGTTGTTAGGTCCGAGAATGTTGACGGAAGCCTGGGTGAGATAGCCGTAGTCTCCCAAAAACCAGGACAACAACTCGTCAAATAAAGGATGATTCAAAAGATCCACAAACTCTTCACCCTTGTTTATCACATTCCTGAAGTCAAAGTTAGTCAAATGGCTTTCAGAAATTGCTTGAGTACATTTGAGAGCAGCACATACCATAATCGTTGGTTCGTTCCTCCCTCTATATCTGCAACACCAGCTTGGCGCTCCCCAGAGGCCTGTTCAAGAATCGCTTGCCGCACAATTTGAACTTGTTCAGAATTCAATGCGTTTTTCACAATTCTGACGGTTTGTGTTAGCTGCGCATATATTTGGCCATAGTCATCCAGTGCGTCAAGTAAACGTACGCGTATCCGAACCGCTTTATGTTGCGCTTGACCTCGCTGAGATCGGTGGTTGGCTTTGGTAATTCAGCATCAGGAAAGGTATATTCCGCATAATCCATGACCTTGGAGGGCTTGGGGCCCAAAAGATCCAACAGGTCATAGGCTTTAGGTGGGGTCTTTCCCGTTATATTGAACCCAACACGAGCAATCATGTTGATGTCCAAACTACCATTGGCCAGACTAAAGAGCATGTCTGGACGAAGAATTATCGTTACATCTACTTCGGCACCCTCGGCTAGCGACTCAAGCAGGCGGGTGCCGTTAGGCCGAGCATCAATAAACAATGTTTTTGTAAGCTGGCCACGGGGCAATTTGTCTGTAACGATGAATTCCGCCAGCGTGTCGGCTTTGCCCAAAATCTTAATGAGAGTATCTGTAAGCGATATCTGAAATAGCAATTCGAGGAAGTTATAAACCTACTGAAAGTTTGTCTTTAATGATTTCGACCACTTCCGAGGCAAGTGACTCGAATTCTTTCCCCTTAGGATCGCTCAAAGTGAGACCCTTGAAGTCCAGCCCCGGAGTCAAAGAAGCTTCTGCTGGCGGAAGAGTTATGGCGGCCATGGCGATTATTTTAAGTGAGAAGATAAATGTCAAGTTCAGCGTGGAATGAAGCCTTGTTGTGACCAAAAGAGATTCTAGATAGCATCTCAATCAATTGACTAGACTTATATATCCCCTCACGCAGTTCCGTATACGAAGAATACGCCGAATACGAGACCGAGAGCGACACTTGACGCCTAGCAATGCAATGTAACAACCAGAAACTCTGTGCTTTTCTCCGCAGCTTACTGGGTTTGCTCAACACCAACGTGCGATGGTAGGGTTCATACTAGTTGATAGCTGCAAAAAGACGCCAAGAGTGCCAACCTTACATCGATTACATCATTAAACTCTCCAAGTATCATCGCCCTCGCGAAACACGGATACTCCAAGTTACTCTTCCACCCTCGGTCGCTGAATACGCGCAACTCTATTCGGCCATTATTGACACCCTCATTTATACTGTCGTGCTTGCCTTCAAATGCGGGGTTTACTGTTGTCCCGCAAAATATGTGCATTGTCCTCAATCACTGACTTGTTCATGCACGATAGTTAATTGTTTACGAAGGTAGAAATTCGCTCACTTTCTTTTGAAAATACTTTGCTTATTCTAGCCTGACTTTATTGAATCCACCTTGTAGAATAACAGCATCGAAGTTCTCTAGTCAACATGTGTCCATCCTAACAACGCCTCCAGTGCAGCAAGGAAAGGTTCATCAAGTACTTCTATTTCTGATTATTTACTTGGTATTTAGGCTCTATTTAAACTGCAAAGGTTGGTTAATATACTGAAATATGACCAACATTACGTTCCTAGTAAAACTGGTTGGGTCAGTGAGACAACACGCAGTGGTACGTCAAGAAAATGGAAGGTGGTATCATCTAATTAGGAGTCCCAGAGGTTGATACATACGATCCATAGAACAGGGCAAAGTTGTGCTATATAGGCAGTGAAAAAAAAAAATAAAGAAGAGTAAATAACAGCCATGCCGTGAAATCTCGTTGGCTTGGTCTGGCAAACAGTTTGGTCCAGTATCACAAGTCTACGGAGGAGACTGATTCTGTCATTCGCTGCGAACTGGGCTATTCCCGTACATAAATAACAGTACTTAGGTACAACAAATAACAAAGTGTACCTTGTGTGATGTACCGTGACTACCGTCCATGTCCAAGGGACAAGTGAAACTGTCTTGTCTAATAACTTACTAAGATTAATGCTACAATCGCATTTAAAGGGTCTATTACTCGATTGTGTGTCCGAAACCCTTTAATAGTGCGGTCTGGCTTCTACTTCTTTAAAATAACAAAGTATACTGGTATGAAGACAGCACTCCGCATACTCGTACATGCTTGAGCTGTACGAGTCAATTCATCAGATCAGTATGGGTTCAAGAGTTGGTTTCTATGTTAAAAGCAGCTAGAAAACATAGAAATCCACATATCATCATGCATTTCTCTTATGACGCTTAAAAAGCGAGTGGAAGACTGTAGGCTTTGTGCCTTTTGTCAAACACGACAAATTAGCTAGATCAAATCCGCCAAGAAAGTTGGCACGGAACTAATGACAGTCTAGAACTTTCTGTATATATCAATTTGGTTGCCTGATGCAACAGTGTCATACAAGTACCTGATGGAGACAGTCTCGTTGCGTCGGTGGTTCAAAAAGAGAAAGTTGCGAGTCTCGGATGATACGAATACGCCTTAAGTGGCATTCTTTAGTTTGCACCTAGACATATGACAGAATGGTTTCTACTATGAAACTAGCGACACACGACCCCTTCTTGGATTTCAGGTGTGAAATCACTACGAAATCTCACTCGTGAGTTGACAATGTGAGAGCAAACCTGGATTCCGAAACGGAAATTACAACCAAATTCCAAGTCAAGAAATCGCGTCTAGTCGATGACTCAACTGGGCCCCTGGTGGCTAAATAACCCTTGGTCTGTCCATCGGAACGCGTAGCCGGCACCGAACTGACCCATAATCCGGAGCGGAGCCAGTCTCGGTCGTCCAGATTGCGCATCTCGGCGGGATGTGTGTGTTTACGGCTGCTATGTCGCACTGTGGGGCGCAAAATACAAGACTTTCGAACCTCGTCTACATCTCTTATCGGCAATAATTCAAGGTGAGCACAAATTGATTGCAGAAGTGGCGTTGTTGAGCAGTTGTAGTGGCTCCAGTGGTACCTGGACTGTTGGTCTCCACGGTTGGAGGAAGCACTAACTCTCACCGAGGGGACACCTCCAGAAGGGCTTTGACATGAATCACCGCGTCAATTGCGAAACACATTTGGCAGTTAGTTAGAAATCAAAGAACGAAACAGATTCGATCTAATATAAAAGCCGATGCTCTCAGTCTAAACCTGTCAAGTGTCATACGTAGGCAGGCGGACCAATGGAGTCCTGGGAGCAGTGTTGCCTCTCAAATCGTCGCAATGTGTACCATAGTATTCTACCCCAGTATACCCCCCCGCCCCAGTATATCAAGACCGAATGAATAATAGAAGTTTGCTATACAGAACTTTATCTACTGCTTGTGGGTCACGGGCGTCGAATTCGGGCCGGAGCATATATGCTAGATCCCCAAGCGTCGACAACGTACCCACCGCCTCCTTAACTACCGCCATGGGGCCATGACGACCCAGGCGTCTGTCTTATCTAGCTGTTAATCCACGTAAGAATGCGAGTAAACGCTAGTGAGCAGAGGTCTTTCGACAGTAAAGAACGTATACAGTCACCCGCCCCCACCATACATGTCACTGAACATGTCGTCACGTCCGCCCACTCAACGAAATCCTGGTGGAAAGCTCCAAGTATTGCTTCTCACTACCCCATCATGGTTCTTTGACCAAATGCTTGCTTGCTGGGTTCTGTATAACCGTACTGTGTTTCTCAACCTGTCGTCGGAGGCATCATCCAGCGCTGTGAAATGGGATATTAATGGAGGTGTATAGTTTTGAGAAGAAAGTGTTCATTTGACCGCCATCTAGAGGGTAGCTGATACTCAGCGAGGCGGATACGGATGCAATGGTGCCTCACTTATCTTCTGTCATGAGGGGCAGGAAATAAAAAGACACCAGTGTTTTGATCAAGGTTACTTTTATGGTTGCTTTGAAAAGCTTTGGACTTGCTTCAGTTGGAAACTATAAAGTAAGCCCAAGCCCAAGCTGAAGCTGTCAAGCCAATCGGAAAATTGATTCGGGTCTGCGCCCTACACTGCATTTTTAATCCTCCCAAAGGAGGGCTGTCAACTGAGATAATCGGCTTACACCACCACGCTTGGTCTGGAAGAGGTGCTGAATCATGCTGTTATCAGTCGTGCCTATAGCGAAGTGCAGCATCATCGAGCGTCGATGGGTGTGTATTGTAGAGTCAGGCGAAATCAGGACCTCTTTTTACCGTCATCGGATTTGAGTAGCATCCCAATTGACGATCCGGCAATTTGCTTGATGCACCCAGGAACTTTTAATGAGTTTACGACCCAGAGGCAAAATAACCTTTGTTCACGGGGGAATTTCTCATCAACACAGAATACGGAATACTCAACTCGAATCTCATACTAGTAATCGACTGCCCACGCTCATAGTCCGGCAATAACTGCCGGTGAAAGAGAATGCAGAAGCGAAAAACCGGAAGGCTAATGCACGCGACTTTAAAGTGGGCCAAGATGTGAAGCGCCCGCCCGGCTCACGTAGTCTTATTGCCGACGCTGAGCCGTAACTGACGATTGCCTCATCTCCGACGGCGTACGGCACCAGTGCCCGTCATCGGCAGGAATATGCGGAACTGCGATATAGCCCTTGGCTAAATGCCATGGGGATATGGAAATACGAAGGCGGGAAGGCTAGAAAGCTTGGTATCGGCTGGCGATAACGACCTTCTTAAAACAGCAAGCGAATTACTCAGACTCGGTGCAGGGCGCCGACAAAAAAGGCTGCTGTGCCGTTGCGATTCGCGACGTCAGCTCATTTCAACTCGACCAAACAAAGAGGTTACAAAAAACATCTCGTAGTTGATGTGTCTTGTTCTTGCTCCCTATCAATGGCCCGCTCTCGATCACCAGAAAATTCTGCGCCAAGGTCCACAAAAAGACGTAAGAGAAACAAGGGGATGGAAATTGTCATCCTTGGCCTGATATGGAGGGCGGCGGGAAGGGAGGCGAAACAGCTTGTGCGTGGTAGTCACTGGGAATCCGACGCAGCCTATAACCAAACGTGGGATCGCCCATGAAAAGCAGGAATTTTTTCTTGCAGTCGGCATGTCACCACCTCGGTTTAGCGCGGCTTGGTGGCGTTGTGTCAGGGCGTCAAAGGCGCCGTAGGGCTGACAATAACAGAAGATGATGGTAGCAACGGGCACATGGGCGGGAAGAACACCGCAGTATGAGGTATTTGATACCGGGGATCGGATACGCCGCTGAGAGCTCGTAGAGATCAAAAGTCGAGGCATACTTGGCAAGAGCAGAACAAGCTCACTTCCAAGAGCCCCAAGCATATGTTGGTTAAGAAAGGCTTGGATGGAAGCAAAAAGGGTGTGAGCAAGACGTTCGAGAAAATTTCTACCTCTTGGGTGACCAGGCATAGCCTGTCCTTGGCTTTAATCTGCAGGAATTGGACAACAATGATTGGCTTGGCGGAGAAAAGAAAAAAAAGAATTGGGGACACCATCTGGAAGAGGCTCGGGCCAAGTTCGGTGGGAACTGCGTGGCGCGACGCCGCGCTCGATTTTTAACGCAGCCTTTGAGCAGCTAATCAGCTTCTGGCGTAGATACGACTGAAATGCCGGTCGATCGGACGAACTGCGAGCGTGGTGGCACTTGCAGTAGAATGGCATGTCATTGTCCCCCTTCGGACCCTGCCACCGCCTCTCATATCACATTACTACACGTGTACGTAGACTGTTGCTGGTTATGTCGTTGGTCGATAGCTCAATAGCCTGCCTGCTCGGAGCAACACGACCCATTTCCTGGTTGATTGCTGCTTGATGGGCCCCCCCTGGAAAAACGCCGCTGTTACCCGTTGACGGCCGACTCCCGAGTCGCACTACTAGGGCGTCGTGGACCGTGAGCACTCGCGTGCTCCATCGGCCAACCCGCAAGGAGGAAAGCGAAGGGGGTCTCGAGCGAGGCCATTGTGTCCACCTCTAGAGATTTTTTGCCCATGGCCACCGTTACCGGTTGTGATGAGTCGACGCGAAGTGGAACCCGTTGAGTAAGAGAAGCCCGTATTGTATTTAATCATGCCATGAGCTTCTGGTCGATGCGGAACCTGTCCTGTCCTCCCCCAGGTTTTCGTTTGCTCATGCGTCTGGTGGTCTCTGGAGAAGCGAATCAACAGGCTTCCCTCTTACCCCGATCCTCCTCATCTCTTACGTGCTCTTTGCGCCTAGCCGCGGTCGACGAGACTTTGATCTAGTCTGTGAACGTCCCGTGTAGCATATCCCTAGCGAGTAACTACTCAATCATGTTCGGCTCCAAGGAGAAGACGCCCCAGGCCACCGAGGGCGAGATCACCCCCAACAATGGCTCCAAGACTGACTTGGAGACGGGTGAGACGGGCCTTCACCGCACCCTCCACAGTCGCCATCTGCAATTCATTGCCATCGGTATGTGTCGGATTGCGTCCCTTCCGGGGTTAGTCGCGTCCTCTCTAACATGCCCTTACAGGTGGCACTATCGGTACCGGTCTCTTTCTCGGTAGCGGCAAGGCTATCGCGACTTCCGGACCCGTCGGCTGCCTGATTGCCTTCATCTTCATCGGCAGCATCGTGTACTCCGTCATGACCGCCTTGTGCGAGATGGCCACGTACATCCCCGTCCCGGGTGCTTTCACCTCCTATGCTTCCCGGTTCATCGACCCCACTCTCGGTTTTGCAATGGGCTGGATGTACTGGTTCAGTTGGTCCATCACCTTTGCCCTCGAGTTGACTGCAGCCGGTGTCATCATCCAGTACTGGAATGATACCCTGAGCATCGCCATCTTCATCTCCATCTTCTGGGTTATCTTCACTGCCCTCAACTTCATGCCTATTCGCATGTTTGGTGAGATCGAGATGTGGTTTGCGAGCATCAAGGTTGTCACCATTGTGGGATTCATCATCTTTGCCATCTGCATCAACGCTGGTGTCGGCCAGCAAGGCTACCTCGGCTTCAAGTACTGGGTTGACCCTGGCCCATTCAATGCCTCCATGGTTGAGGGCTCTGTTGGCAAGTTTGTTGGCTTCTGGTCCGTCCTGATCACGGCCGGATTCAGTTTTCAGGGATCCGAGTTGGTTGGTATTGGTGCTGGTGAGACCAAGGACCCCGAGAAGAGTGTGCCCAGTGCTGTTCGCTGGACGTTCTGGGGTATCTTCTCCCTGTTCGTTGCCACCATCTTCTTCGTCGGTCTCCTTGTTCCTTCTGACAATCCGTCGCTGCTATTGGATTCCCAAGATGCCTCGGCTTCTCCTCTCGTCATTGCCGCGAATTTGGCCGGCGTCAAGGTTCTGCCTGACATCATCAATGCTGTGCTCTTGACCGCTGTCCTCTCTGCCGCTAACTCGAACGTGTACTCGGGCTCCCGCATTCTGGTTTCCCTGGCCAACGAGAGGTGCGCTCCTCAGTGGATGACATGGACCAACAAGTATGGTACTCCTTACATGGCGGTCGCCACCACGTCTGCCGTTGGTCTGCTGGCGTACATGAACCTGTCCGAGAATGGCGGTGTCGTGTTCGATTGGCTCCTCAACATCACCGCCGTCGCTGGCTTCATTAGTTGGTCCTGCATCAACATCTGCCATATCCGCTTCATGGCCGCTCTCAAGGCTCAGAACATCCCCCGCAGCACCCTGCCCTATGTGGCGCCTTTCCAGCCGTACTTGTCCTGGTACGGTCTGTTCTTCAACGTTCTCATCATTTTGACCAACGGCTTTACCGTCTTCATGGAGTGGAGCACTAGTGGCTTTTTCACCGCGTACATCAGCGTCATTCTGTTTGTCGTTCTGCTTGTCAGCCACAAGCTGTTCAACCGTACCAAGCCTCTCAAGGCCATTGATGCCGATGTGACGACTGGAACTCTGCGTGCACGATCTTAATGTTAGACGTCTTCAAAAAAAAAATGTTGGGATAGTGGAGGATATTGTAATCTGTAAATTAGTAGATATAGTTGTAATGATGATACCCATGTGTTCAAAAAATATTTAGTATAGTACGTGCTTCTTGCTGGTGAATGGTCGAGAATTTGATACAAGCTCCGACAAGCAAGGAAAGACAGAGAAACAGTAGATGGTTGTATCAGATCCAGCCACCTTCACTCTAATAGGATCAAGAGACGATCGTGTACAATCCAACGACACCCCCAAGACCGATGGCAATACTCCTTCCGAGATTGTATAGGCCCCATTGATCGACTAGGTACTTGGCACCCTCCTCTTCCTCCTGGGTTAGGCCAATTGCCATGATACCCATGTCCTTTGTCTCTTCGGCCTTCTTGAACAACTTCTTGTTGATGCTAAGCATAAGGAACTTGGTCCACGGAATAATTGTAAGGCAGAGAGCGCCGGCCGCAGTAAAGAGCCTCGACTTCGTAGGGAGATGTCGGAGGGCGTAGGCCATATACCAGTAACTCAAGGTGCAGAGGAGGACAGGGAGGGGAAAAGTACGGCTGGTTCGCTTGAACATATTGGTCCATTGTCGTAGCATCAGCGGGGTTGGGGACTCGAGAAGACGGGGGACCACAAATACGGAGAGGCCAAGGTTAAGACCTGCGAGCGTCGTGTTCAGGAAGACGGTCGAGGTCTGGATGTTGCGGAGGGTAGGCGATTGAGAAGACATATTCAGAGGACTTAATCCGGACTCGCGAATCGCTCGCGTTCGAGGTGGATTGATGATGGTAATTTGAAGCAATACTGAGGTGCGAACAAGCGTAAATACTGTCCGTCGGAAGAGGATGACCTCGGCGAGAAGAGAGGAAGAGGGGAAGTTGAGCGACCAAGAAATGACAGGGATGATAAGGTCGTCGATAGGGAAACCAGGAGCAGCAAGGTTTGGGGCCTCCTGCAGTGCGGGAGAGGTGGGGCATCTTGAGCTTTTCCCCACTGTCATGTCCGTGGGAAGGTGCATCCGTGCGTCGACTTACTGCTAGAAGGAACTGCTTATATAATTCCTCATAGGGGGCATTTTAGTTGGCAGCGAGTTTGCTTTGTACGGTATGAAGAACTGGCCAAGAAAGCAACAAACTTATGGTATTTATATTAAGAAAAAAACATTTTAAAATCCATTGGCCTATTCTATATACCTTCTCGACGATCAGAGCTTACCAAACCGCAGACCTGTCGCGTTTACAACACCTCCATGAAGTACCTATCCTTAGAGCTCAAAATACCTTACCTCAAGTAAAATACGTATACCATCGACTCAGTACCCCTAAAATGGAGGCCAGCCACCACACTCTCATCATTCATTTCTCCTACAGTAACCCACGAAGGGTTGGCGTATGTTCTTTGCCAGCGTTTGTATTACCCTCTTAATCCGCTTGTGGCTCATCCAGGCTGGAATGAGACGATCTGATTCTTGGCGAGATTGCCAATGCCGTAGGGTCAAACCTTGACCATTCGTTTCTCATCTTTTTGAATATGATATCCTCGTCTCCCTTGTCACATTGATGCCTCCACTTGGCGACTGCACTTCCTCGGACCCCCGCCCCCAAGTTGATACAATAGTTTTGGGACCTACTCGGTCAGAGTGCTGTTCGCTGATGCTTTCAAGGCTGTCAAGGCTATCATTATCCTTTCGTATTTTGTCGTTCTCAAGGTCCGACTCGGCTTGCTGAGTGCTCATCCTCCTGCCATGTGTTCCATGTGACAACCACAACTTCGCCTCATCGTCGTTGGGATCCCGCCTCGATCCAGAGGAGCCCTCGGGCATATCATCTCTGCTAGAGAGTTCATACGTCTGAGCACCACCCATTTTCTTGTTGCTCTTTTCTATAGGGTTTGAGTATGGGCCATATCCGGATCGTTCTTGTGAGGAACGGAGTTTTGATGACAAGATGAAGGGGAGATATCGCATGAAGAACGGCTTCAGCGCTGGCACCGCCGCGCATACTAATCCTGCGTTGATCTCGACAAAACCCCATATTATCTGCGGGGGTACCTCCCAAGTATAATCGGAACTTTCAAGGAGCGGTGGTAGAATTATTGTTCGCTGGATCGCGGCAGTACAGACACTACGGCTCGTCAGAGACACTTCTGAGATATTGGAACAAATTAGACTTACAAGCCACCAGTGGCAAAGAGCAGCACTAGTGACATCTTTTGCCGGCGCGCCATCTGCAATGACCACACAACCTTGATAGGGATTAATAGAATGACAATGTCGATAAATATGTTGGCAACGCTTAGCGTCATCATCGGAATTAGTTTCCCAATACACGTCCCCTTCGCGTTGATATCCCAGCTCATGCTGACTGGCTGACACTGAAAGATGATGAGCAATTGGTACGCGACAGTGTATGCCGCCACAATTCCGAGGAGAATGTACACGATGATGCGAAACGTCCGTTCTGGTGAAAGCCGCAGATAAAAGGTGAGAATCGACAACTTTGAAAATGACACCGAGGTCGAGTATGTAATCGTTACTCCGAGAGTGGTCTATATTTCCCCTCCATAAGCGCGAATTCAACAAGCGGGCAAAGGGACAAACTTACGAGAAGGAAAGGAGGACTGAAATCCGCCACCAGAATATCCCACATATGCTTGCCAGCACCAAGAGGAACAACTGGTTATCGGTCAATAAAACCGCGTGGGAAGCATTAGTTGGACTGACTTGCGATGAAGGGCAAGGCCGCAGAAAACTAGGGACAACGCCATGGCAACCAAAGCGAGATCTTGTTGTTTGTCAGCTCCTTCGGCAAGGCAAAGATGGTCTCTGCTCAACTTACAATCGTCAACACCGAGACTGCCACGCATCACGTATGTTCTGGTGAATATACGAAGAGCCACCGTTACTAGCGCAATAACAGTGGTAGAAATTCCAGCTGGATAAACACCGCCAGAAGTGTCTGGGGGGTTGATTTTCGTCCGAACCTCGCCCTCGGGCGGCGGCATCACGTACAGTAAGTCATCCATAGCCAGTTTTCAAGACCTGAATCATTAGCTAAGAGCCTGAAAGGAGTCATCTGCAAGAGGATCTGAATGCAGGTTTGACACTTTTCACTTTCCCAGAGGAGTGAGTACCGTTGCCCCTTTAACAATTGCACGAGGAATTTTGCTATTTGATCGACAAGGGACGCCGTGTACGCATTTCGTACCTACTAAAGTTCAGTGTCCACAACCGCCTCGGATGGATCTAAGCCCCTGCTTCTTCCATGGATTGAAAAAATTCAAAATGTTGTTGGAACCAGGTCACGAATTCCTTCCATACAGAGGTGGGGTGACCGCTTGCCCTGATGAGCCTGGGAGTTGGCCTGCCGTTGGATAAAGCTGAAGGACTTTTTACACTACATCATACGTGCACTAAGGGTTAATTCTGCACACTGTAAAGTTACTGTCGTATTGGCGTCCAACCAACGGACGAATGGGGCGATAGATTGCGATCTGTCTCCATAGTCATGGGCTGCACCCCCATGCTGCGTATTTCCCAAATCTCAGTCACGCGTCCTTAATCTGCGTTGGATGCTCATTCGGTTAGGTTCGAAATATGTCATTGGAAGCAGTGATAGATCTCAAATATAGGAACAAGGAAGAAAGACAACAACAGAGACAATTAGCCTTCGATGCTCATTTCGTTCGGCTGTTAAATTGAAGACAGAAAAAGAAATACTGGTCACTCAAGGGCAGCAAACCTGCAAAAGGCAGGTAAATGACACCAACATCGAACCATTTTGATACCCTTGATATACGCTGCATAGTCTCCTCCACAGCACTCGGGGTCTTTTGTTGCAAATGGTCAGGTTAGTCGGACCCGCCATATCTGAACCCTCACTGGACACGGCATGTTCTTGATCCCGGCTCGGTTTCCTTTACGCGGACCTTGGCCATGCCGACGAGTAGTGACCAACATAACTCGCGCATGAAGGACGATTGCCTCAGTCCGTCCAGGGTTAAAAGATACTCAGCGATGATGACTCTTGCAACTTTAAGAGGTTCAAGATACGCAAGTACTTTGAGCTTGGCAAAAATGAATGAGGAAACCAGGTATGCTGATCCGAAGACAAATATCCTAGCAGTCGACGACCTCTACGCGAGATTCCTCTTCGCCAGGACCAGACCCGGACCCTTTTATCCGTAAACTGGGGGCCCCGGCATTTTTGACACCCCACGACCTGTGGGTATAGAACCCACTTTCCTTCAATCAAACTAAAGCTGATAACCAACAACACCCTCAACGGACTGATTATCCGTTTTGATCCTTTGGAGAGGCAAACAAAGACAAACAAAAGTTGATCTTGGCTGCGTTCTATGTAGATGTGGGGCCGGGCATATCGTTTCAACAGGAGGAGGGGTGCAGGGATCCAGTCACGTCCCAACTCACCAACCAGGCCGTGAATTGAGTGTAGCATTCAACTATGCAAGACACAAACAGGGCCTCTTGAAAATATGTAAATATGCCACGATCTCTTCTCATAGGCCCCAGTCGAACTGAAAGCTTTTGAAAGACTGCAGTAAGATCACTTTTTATTTCTTCTTCCTCTTCTTCTCCAACACATACTTACTCGTTGAACCATTTCACAGGTTCCCCCTGTGCTATAAAGTTCATAAAATGGGAATACTGGAGCCCACACTTACTCCCTTCGAGGGCAAAGTCATCACCGTTGCCGGCGGCAGCCGCGGTACCGGCCTGGCCACGGTCAAGTATCTCATTCTCCGCGGCGCAACCGTCTCCATGTCGAGTTCTTCGCCCAAGGGTATCGCAAAGGCACATGCCGAGGTCCTCCAGGACTGCCCGGGGAGCGAAGGCCGCGTCATGGCCATGGCGTGTGATATCACAAAGTATGAGGATGTACAGGCGTGGATCTCGGAGACGATGAAGAGATTCGGACGCATTGACGGTTGCGCAAACGTATCTGGTGAGTTCATGTTGCTAACCCTGATATACTACTTCATGTGCTCATTCAATGAGACTGATACGCTGGGAATAGGAAAGGAGCAGAGGAGACTCTTCCCAATTGCCGATTTTCCGCTGGAGGACTTTAACGAAATCATGCAAGTCAACGTCAACGGCCTTTTCCACCTTCTAAAAGAGCAGATGAAGGTCGTGTCCGACGGCGGAAGCATCGTCAACGTCGGGAGCGTGTGCAGCCACTTCTCTTCTCCATGCTACGGCGCTTATATCGCGTCTAAGCATGCGGCTGCCGGCTTGACAAAGGCCGCTGCATTCGAGGGTGCTCCGAGGAACGTTCGTGTCAATGCGGTTAACCCGTAAGTTTGAATCTCTACTTTCTTCGACCTGCATTTTTTGTTGACTTTAGGCAAAGTGGTACAATCGACTCAGAGATGACTCGGCGCCCATTTGAGCTCCCCGGTGGTCACACGTTCACTCCTTCTGCGCAGACGGTCCCGCAACTGTTGAAGAGAATGGCAGAGCCGGAGGAAATTGCCGCTTCTGTGTGTTTCCTGCTCAGTGATGAGAGCAAGTTCGTGACCAAGTCGGAATGGCAAGTGGATGGCGGTTGGCTTGAGGGTACTCTGACTGGGTAGTTAGCGGTTAATCGAAGGGTTTGAATATTTATGGAATGTTTATACACTATGGTATTTACCTTGCACATAATTCAAGAAGTGACGTTCAATCACGCAATGTATATAGTACCGCCTTATAACCCTATAGGGACTAGCTATCGTGTTAAGCTAGCTATATCGTCGACTTCATTCTGACGCGTAGATTAATTTATAAAGCATAGTTAAATACCAAGTATATACTAGATGATTAGATCTAATAATCTGTATAGTTATAATAGCTATCTAACTAGGTTGCCTTTAGAGGTATGACGGGACTTAAAGGCTGCTCTAACTAATTTACCTCCTATATAGTATGAAGCATTAAATGTTGACTAAAACCTGAATCCTACGCTATCTGACCTTGGAAGAAAGTACCTCGTACGTGTACAACAAAATAAACACCAAACTTCTCTCAACCCCCACCACATTCTTCTTATCAAAAGCTGCAACTACAAGCCCATGGGTTCATAAGTGATTTCAAAATCTCACACGGTGAAAGCAGCACTTATCAACGACTAGGATACAGCGTCAGCAAATGACGACTGGGTTTCACGAGCAACGATCAAGACGTAGAAACAGACATCACCGGCTGGAACCAAGACTACGCAAGGGGCTAAAAACGTTTTTAATTGATAGCTATCCTCCTCTTTCACCAAGAGCACACGTCCTCAGTTTCCAATCCCTGTCGGTATCGCTTGGCCTGCAGACCCAAGCATCTCCCCCTTTTTCGATCGACTCCTGCTCACCAAGCCAGGAGGGAGGGCAAAAACAACCTCTCGTGCCCTCTTACCAAAACTCCAGCCCGGCATCTTGATTACTCAAGAAACGCCGCCTTCCTGCGCAGGGATTTCACACGGACCGCCCCAAATTTTGCATGTTGATTCCTAATACCAGTACCTGGTACATGCACTTCCCTAAAATAGCAACCGAAAAGATTGCGAGTCCCAAGTTGATTCCTTTCCCGAGTCCGTTTCAACCGAGACAAATTCTTCAAAGGTCGGTTCTCTGATTACAACATCAAGAATATGATATTGTTCAATCAGCTCAACACAGCGCTTGAAAAGTCACACAGGCAGTATATCAAGGTTACGGAGTCGCCGCAACGTGACAAGAAGAAAACTGCAGTGGCTTGCGCAAGAATCGAATGTAGCAACGCCGTGCCCAACCCCCCCCAAAATGAAGCAACTCCCGCCATTCCAGTCCTCGGATTACCACAGACGAAAGATGCCCAATACAACGTAGAAAACAAACACGTCGCTTTCGTCTTCAACCTGTGGGAAGAACTTGCTGCGAAAGTTCGCTCCGGGTCACCAAAGCAAACATTTCGTATATCAGAAAAAAGAAAAATAAATAAATAAATAAAGGCAAACCTGGCGCAACATCTTGATATACAAAGTGGGCATTGCCGCTCACGTACCTGCCGGTCGTCGGGATCGCTACACGAGCTTTAAATATAAAATGTGGGCGGCAAGGTGTTGTGCCACTACCGGATTGTTTTCTCGTCAACGTCATGTAAGTGTACTTTTTTCTTTTCCGTAAGAGGGCCCGGGTATTTTGTCGTCGCTTCCTTGTATCGTCATTTTTATTTTGAGAAATCCGTTGATTTTTTTTTTTTCCTTTCACCACCTCTTCAAAATTTCCACCTTGAAGATCTCGGTCTCCGTTTCGAGTAATTGCCGGTAACCGTCATCGACTGGTTTTGATAGGTATAGCAGGTGCATTAAAGTCGCATGTTCTTGGGGACAATCCTTTACTCGCACATCACGACAGACTTTTCAGCTCGGGCTCGCATGTGAGTAGCATGAGCTTCCAGGCATCGAGCCATGAGATGGGTTACTGTTCCAAGTCAGTATTTAGAGTCTTGCTGTGCAATGGGTAACATACCTGGCCATACAGCAGCTTTATCAAGCATATAAGCCGTGACTCGCAAAATCTTTGCCGCGTAACCCGCATGGTCGTCCATCTGCATCCTGGTTTCTACTCCAGCGACATTGCCCTGGACTAGTTCCAGGTTCATCTTCATTTCAGCAGAAGCCAACACTTCCTGTATTTTCCCAAGCAACTTGACATCTTCGTCTTCAAGAAGCATAATGGCAGGAACTTGTGCCAAGTCCACATCATCCTGGCCAAGGATTCCCAAGTATCTCCCAACGCGGTCCTGGAGAGTGGCAACCCATTCGGCCAAGACTTGAGCGCAGTCAAAAGTGCACATGGCCGACTGCAGAGGCAGTTCTCGACTGGAAAACTCGGCAAATGTAACACCGAGTTTGTCAGACATGGCGAGGGAGTCAGCGGCGTAGAAAGCGGCCTTCCGGAGATGTTTCTCCCTGCGCGACGTGGAGCGGTTCGTGAGCTGAGCTGCTGGCTGGGGTGGAGGGAACTTGGCCGTAGAGAACTCGGGAGACGAAGATTGGGTTGCTGGCGACTCAGCAAACACCGACCCGGAAAGAGAATTGTCGGAAGGATCGGTGCCGTTTGACTCAGTATTAGAGGCAGGCGAATGTTCCGCATGCTGTACGATTTCACTGCCTCGGGACAGTTCCTCCGCCATTGCGTCCCAGTCTCGCTGCCAAAACTTTTCTTTTGAGCGGGCAAGATTTACGAAAAGCCGGACGTAGGCAAGATCGAGAAGTGGAATCGCATCGGCAGACAAGGGGCCTAGGCCAAACGGGTTTGGTCGCTCCAGGCTGTGATTCGGATTGCTCGCCCACGCAGCCTGCCATGCCTTCAGAGCCGGTTCGATGTGGCGATGCATTTTCTCAGTTTCTTCGTTGGTCCAGACCTTGTTGTGATGACGTTGGCGTGTTTCCCAAATGTAGTTGTGCAGCGCGTTGATGAGAATCAAGCAGCCAAACGTCGATGGTTTGAGGCTGCTCTTCGGAAGCTCATTCGGGTTGGCTCCAGGTCCAAACCCTTGTGCATTGTTAAAGGCCAACTGCTTCTGTTGCTTCTCATTGGTCCTAAGCAGCTCACCCAGGGCCTCATGGAAGGTCATCCGGTTGTGGTTGGCTGCGCGAATGCCACCCTTGGCCGCGAATGCAGTAGCGCTTTCGGCGGCGAAGAAGTCCTCATCGCAAGGCAAATCGAGGAGAATTTCAGAGTTTGTGAGTGCAGGCGTATGGTTGTAGGCGGCAACTAAAAGGCTAGAGAGGATGAAGACAACATAGAGCGTGCGCTTGCGCTCCTCCATAGTCTTCCACTGGATCCATTCAGCCTGTTCTTCACTATCTGCCTTCAGGCCGCTCCAAGTGGCGTCATCATGCATGTGGGTATCATGAGTCTCGCTGGGCTCGACGCGAATGGGGCGCAGCAAGTCAGCAGCTTGGGCCAGGCTGACAAGAGCCGCACAATGGGTTGAGGCAATATCGCTAGCTGTCTTATCTCCGCAATTATGGCCGTAGACGACATTAAGAAGCATAGCCTGCACGAGCCAGACGGGGGTGTGGATTGAAGATTCCTGGCTGTAAGAGTTCGGCTCGGATGCTGGAGTTCTTCGTAAGTCTGCCTTCCTCACATCGGCTTTCCGCCTTTCTTCTAGGTACAGTTGGATCATTTTTTTGGCCATCTCAAACAAGTCTCGAGACTGGACGTGGTCCATTTCGTACAAGGCTCCAATGGCAGACATGGAAAGGATGAGACACCCACTCCCACCGACGCTGTTGGTTCGGTTGGCAGCGGAGGGCGGCATCTCAAAAGTCAAAGTGGGAATGTGCAAAAACGGCAGATGTGGGTGGAAGTAACGAAGATAAGCGCCAACATATCGTTGTAAGTCTTGAGTGCTAGGTAAATTCTTTACATGGTCTGGAACACTGTTGGCTGTGTTCTGAAAGCCAGGCGACAGCGGGGAGCTTGGAGTCGCAAACGAGTATCTCCGTCCACCAAATGGAGAGCACTGGGAAAGGGCACCAACAATGGCACTCCTGGTAGTTTCCGTAATGGTGGAGACTGGCGACACGCCATGATTTCCACCACTAAGAGACGACGGGGTCTCGGGTCCTGCATTGTTGAAATTGAGTGCCTGGTTCAGGTTTTGAGTGTTGTTGAGCCCCGGCACCATGGAAGGGCTCAAGGAGCTCAAAGAGGGAGGGGGGGTCGAGAAGTATGCGTCATTGAGTTTCTGGGTAGCGGGTTGGGGGGACACGGGGGCACCATTCATCAGGTCCGGAAAGACGGAGCCATTCAAGTCCATGGCGAAGGGGTTCGGGACCTGAGGAGGACCCATCACGGCGGGCTGCCACATGGAGCTGGTACCGGCGGGGGCGGGGTGGTTCGAGCCGTCTACCATGACATCGCTAATGCCGCTCTGGCTGGTGGTGCTAATGGCCGACGGGCTGGATCCGTCTACGGCGTTCTCCGCACCCTGGAACGACATCTGGTGCTCAAATCCGGTCAGCCAGTCAAAGCTGTCGTCCAGCTGGGTGGACGACAAGTCGCTGTTGAGGCCATGGAAGGGTGAGGCTTGGTCCAAGGCCATGGATTGAGGCGAGTCGTTATAGTGGAGAGCATTAGGGTTGATGGTGGAGCCGGGACCGAACAACAGCCCCTCGAAGTCAAAGTCCGGGTTGAACACGGCCATGGGAGGAGCGGTCCGCAAGCCGCTAAAGTCCATGCTGTTGATGGTATGGGTCTCGAGCTTTGGCAAGCCGTGAGACATGCCTCGCTGGCCCATGGCAGCCGACATGCCACCAAAGTCCATGTTGTGCACAGGTAGCCCGGCGAGGCTGGGGTGACGGCTGTGAGTGCCAGGCGGCAGGCCCCGCGCTACCTGTGCGTTGGCCGCAGCGATCATTTGCATGGCGCTTTGGTCAACGTGGCTGATGGTGTTTGCCCTCGGACGCATGGAAGCCGCCGCATTTGCAGCAGCGGCAGCATTAGGCCCGGCGACGCTGTTCTTACGAGCGCGACTCGCACCAGGCGCAGCGCTGCTGGCGCTCTCGCGGCGGTTGCGAGGGCGCGAAGAAGGAGTGGTCGTCTGGTGCAGCTTCTGCTGGTGTCTCAGCAGCAGATCGCGACGAGCAAAGCATCTTGTGCATTCCGGGCACTCAAAGGGCTTTTCCTTGGTGTGAGAACGCTCATGGCGTTTCAAATGCTCCAGTCGGGCAAAGGAGCGCTGACAAGTCGCGCATACATGGGGGCGAGGCTTATCGGTCTTGGGAGGAGGGAAATTGGCAGGCGTCTTCGTGTTGACGGTGATTGTAGAAGCTGCTGCTAAGTGTTAAAAAAATCATGTCGTCAGTTAAACTCATCTCAGCGTGTTAACTCCCATCAATCTATCCTCGGCCAAGAGGGAAATAGCATCGGGAGGATTAAATGGCGGGACATGCGGGTGGGAACAGGAGGGGCAGTTTGGAGGGGTGTGTGTGTGTGTGTGCGTGCGTGTTGGTGGGCAGTGCAGGTGCAGGTGCGACTCATACCACTATCTTCGGTGGCCGGAGCAGTGCTGTTGGCAGCAGCTGCAGCAGCACCGCCTGCAGAAGCTGCGGCGCCGGAAGTCGAGGAATTGGTCATGATTGCGTTCTTTTCAACCTTGACCTCGTTATCATTCATGGCCATCGTCTTCGCTTGTCGTTTTTCGTCGTTTTCGTCGTGAAAAGGAAGGCGGGGTGGTTGGGAGAGAGAGGGAAAGAGAGAAAGAGAGGGTCCTTTTTCGTTGGGCGCAGCTCGGCGGCGGTCGGGAGTGCGCAACAGCAGGAAGCGAGTGCGGAAAGTAGGAGGGATGGTGGGGGGGTAAGTAGGAGAGAGAGGACGGGAGTTTAGTAGTAATAGGAGGGAGAAGAAGACAAGAGGGAGAAGTTGTTGTCTGAAGCCGAAAGTCGCATGCTATTTCCAAGCAAGAAGGAAGACAGTCGAGGAACAGCACGTTTGGATGTTGGTCGGGAGCCTTGAGGCCTTCGTCGAACAAACAATTCCCACCGGTCGAAGCAGTTGCTTGGAGAAACAAAAAGAGAAGGGAAGGAGGGGAGTCAGAGGTAGTGGTGGGAAGGGGAAGTTGAGGTACTTGTTAGGTAAAGTGCCGTCGCAGCCCAGCCCGGCGCATCTGGAGCCTGTGTGGGCAAAAGTGAGAGAAAGAGCGACCGAAGTGTGTGTGTGTGCGTTATGTGCGTGAAGTATGTGTGTGTGTGTGGGCGGGTACCTAGCGTAAGGTATCTTTTTTGGGATGACTAGGACACGGATGGGAAAGGATGAAGCATGGCTACTTCAGGCAAGGTACCTTGCCCAACTACGTACTGTGTAGGAAGGGCCAGGGAAGGTACGACTCGCACTAGTATCCGCACGCTAGAGGAAGCAGGGTCTGTCGGTCGGTCGGTGGGATGGGAGATTGATGGGAAAGAGGCAGGAGAGAGGCAAGACCAGAAAGAGGTACGATAGCACTATGGTAAGGTGACGGGAGGTGAGGCAAAGGTGGGCCCCCCATGTGCTTAGTTCGCCCCGGTTAGGCAAGGTCAGAGATACTTGGCATATGTACTCCGTGCACAGTGTGGCGGGTCTATTTGACTGGGAAGGCCATGTACCCTGCTTCTGCATTTAGCTTCTGTCTACAGATACCGCTGCTGCCCTGCCACTTTCGCTTTCCCAGGCAGAGAGAGCAGACACTGCCACCCGGTTTGCAAAAAAATCCGCACACTTTACCACTCTGCGGTACCAAAGTCCTATTATACGTACTATTCTCCCTGTAAGCCTATTCAACACTGCAACAACGAAACTTCACAAATACTTGTTAGGAATGCCAGCGGACTTTCCTGACTTTATCATCATTTTCTCTAATTTTTAGCGGCCAAAATACGCTGTCAAGGCCCTTCCAAAGTTGGGACACTGTTAGATGTGCGGGTTTTTATGCAAACCGGGTGACTGCCTGCTGCTTGCCCGGTCTGGCCTTTGTCACGGCTTCTGCCGTTCTCTCTTTCGGCTTCTTGCCCCCTGGTCTGGTCCTCTCTTCCTGCTGCTGCTGCTGCTGCTGCTGCTACTTGCTGGTCTAATCCCTCTCAGCACATATGACCAGGCTCTTGCTGGGCTATGTCGTAATTGGGGGGGCTCCTTGTCACGAGGAAGACAAGACGAAACTTGGATCGGTAATGAATGCTGCCTTGGGTGAAATATGACAGGACAAGGCATGAACGAAAGATGAGCTACTATTAGGAGCTTCAGGCAAGGGCATCTGAACAAACGGTCTGGAGCAGGGACAGGCAATATTTGACCAGTACCAAGAGCCGTACGGAAACAAATTTGGTCTTACAAGTAAGTCCAGTCCAGTGTAGGTCACTTGACTTGTCTTGCTTTCGCCTAGTAGGGTTCCTGCGTTCCATCTTGTCTGGAATTCCAGTAGGCTCGCTCTCACAGTACACTCAATCTCAACTCTGTGCTCTGCCCTCCCCTGCCTTTAGTTGCTCTCGGTGTACCATGGCATTGCTCTAGCTCTCTGCTTTCTCTCCCATCCCGCTTTCATGTCACAAGGCTGGAGCCGCGGACGAGCTAACTCCCAGAAGAGACTGGTCAGGGGGCTTTGAGAACAAGGGGAGGCTGGTTGGGGGAACCGTTGGACGCTGCAAACGACAGAGCAACCAAGACCTCGAAATGGGGCAGCGCGGAATCAGGCGGTTAAAGCCTGAACGAAGCCTGTTCTACCATAGTACTGCACAGGGGGCTGCTGGGACTGGCCCCAGAAGGGGGGGCAGGGAACATGGACTTGCTCGCCCTCTCTTTCTCCAGACTCTGGAGATAGCCATGGATACGACCGACCTCTACGTAATCGGGTCGACGTGAGGTCCCTGTGCGCAAAAGGGTCTGTTCTCTCGTGTACACTAAATGTTGGGGCTGGCAAGGGAAGGGAAGATGGAAGTCAGAGGGTGATGCCGATGAAGACATGTACTAGTAACACATGCAGGGCCTTTTTTTTCTCCAGTAACAAGACAGGGCCTTCTATGTCTGTGCCGTAGCTAATCGTCTTGACCCGATGGCAAGATAGACATGCAACATCTGTATCGGGTGGTCGGACATTTCGGCACCAAGACGGAAGGGGACCCGACGCAAGAGCCTCGAGGAGCTTATTTGACCCGATGCGACTGCTATATGTAAGAAGAAATGAAGCAGGACGAGACGGAAATCATATGGCAAGACAAACTTTGGCTTTCAGTGGTGGGCATGAAGCTGTGACTATTAAATGCCAACCAGCCATCCTGGGCTTTTGAGCCTCTGCGTTTAGGGATCTAGGATCATCGTCAATGTGTTGGCCTGTACACCGGTTGGCCACGCAAACGCAAAACGCTGAAGCAAACGCAAACGCAAGCCCTACATTTCATTATTGATCCGCTGTTATAATGATGCATTTAATTCACCGTGTGATGTTTACATTAAATACGATGTCTTCGATTCACAAGTCCCTTCATAACGAAGAGGAAGAAGGAGAAGAAGAAAAAGGGAGAGCGAAATAACTAAATACAGATGTCGCTACCTCGAGCTTTGAGATGTCTTCCTTGGTTTCCGCACGGAGCCATAGGTATTTATTTGTACCCACTTTGCAAGTACATGGAAAAGCAGCGTCGTCCGCGTCCAGTCGTATCACTCGACTTGCCAAGCCTATCGTTGGCTGGCTTTTCGGGTGGGTTAAATGGAGCATCCCGCCAGTTGCTTCCTGGGCCTGGGGTTGTTCCAAAGGCAAGCCAAGCCTGGCTCGGGCCATCGTCCGCTGTGAAATTGAGTTTCCCGCTGGCGCTCAGCTGGGACATGATCCGGAACAAAGACGGTGTGTGAGATGCCAGGGCAGTGTGAACGTGGTAGCCACGGTCAGAGTATGAGCCAGTCTTGTCGCACACATACCATACGCGTACGTTTTACACGCATGGGCAACCCTAAAGTATCGAGGGCGAGGGAGAGCAGAAGTACGGTGTATGTAGGTATTTTTCAGATGGCTGGCTCGTGTCCCATTATGCGCCGGACACTGTATGCTTGACCGACATACATCATCTCAGTTTAATTGTGCGTGGGTATGTTCAACATTCTACAAGCCTTACCAACGGCTCCTTATCGGGAAAAAAGCAAAAACGACAATCACGAGAGGGCGCAGAATCAAACTACTTGATAGAGAAGAAACCCCCACTGGTTTACTTGGCGCAATTGAACGTAACTGGAAGCAAGTTATTGTGGTGGCCGTAGTCGGTCCTCTTCCCAATTGCTTTGGCTAGCTCTAGCCAATGATTGTTGATCAAAAGCTCATAGCAGCAGATTGAAGACCGATAGCCGGAGGCAGGGCCTGGAGCTGGTTGTTCCAGGGGTTCGAAGAAGACGAGCACTGCTACTGCAGCTGAGAAAAAAAAAAAAAAGAAACTGCCAATTCCAGTGGCTGCGACTGAGACGCCTGGAAGATGATGGGCTCGGGTACTTGAATGCTCAAGAGTGCCGATCAGGGTTCTCCGTATCCAGCACGGTGCCTCGTTGGCAGCCAGGTTAGGTAGGTACATCGTGGTTCTGCACCGCCAGAGGGAGCAATTGGGCTTCGGGCCAAAGCAGCCAACATTGAAGTTATTGATGGTCAAAATGGAAGCTCGGGTAAGCAGGAGAGGAAATCGTTTATCCGCCGCATCATCACACGTTGAGCAAAGTCGTTGACGTCGATTATACCCTTCATGGCAATCATTAATACAAGCGCCCTAGTAGAGAGCTTCGAGAACTTGGGTCGGGTGAGTCTGGCAGACTAAGGAAAAGACACTACTGTAGGGTGTCATCGAGGCGGTAAGTTGAGGTCAGTTCGGCTAGGTTTGTGTACACAGTACCAGCGGATGGATATCGAAGGGATACGCAGACTGTGAACTGGCAGGCCACCGACAGGGTCGAGCCGTGGCCCTTCTGCTACGTAGTATGGTCGAGGACAAGGGGGGAGAGACCGAGGGCTGGCTGGAATGAAATATGTTGGTCCTGGGGTGGTGTGGTATCTGCTGGCTGTTTTTGCTGCACTGCTATGTATGTGGCCATGATGCTCGGATTGCTTGCGTCTGCTTATTGCTAGCCTGCAGCATGCGAGCAGAAACGGGCGAGATGCAGACGACTGCAGCAGTGCGTCGGGTATCTGAAGGTCGAACCGACGTCAAAGTCCCCACCGGTGGTGTTTCGGCATGTCTGATTTGGTGGGAGAGAGGCTGTCCTGTGTCTAGATAATAACGCACAACAGGGCCCATAGGCGCGTGTGGTTCGCCCCATGGGCGGCTTAGGTCGGGCATGGGGCCTGACAATACATAGTAAGGGCAAGAGACACGCATAAGGTGAGAGATAATGGGCACTCGGCAGACATGACATTACCTTAGATGATACAGTAGCGGTAGAACCACGGGAGACGACATGGCCAGCCCGGGGGCGTTGATGTGGGAGGATGCCGTAATCAGAATGAGTCGATCGATTTGCGACGTGGAGCCCTCTGTTGGGGCAGGGGGGGCGTTGTCGTGAGCTGGTTCCTGAATGGTTGGATGACCACCCGGCGCCCTGCCTTTTACATTTTAGCGCTGCTGCAGGAAGCTGCGAGCCTGCACCTCGAGTGCAAGCCAAAACCAAAACCAAAAAATAGAAATAAAAATAAAAATAATGGGAAGGAGCCAGCCAATGCACAGCACAACTAACCCAAGGCAAAGGTAGAGAAGGCACGGCCACTCATCATCTCAGGTTCCCCAACGATGTAAGGCGCAGGCACTGCAGCAATAGAAACGGCAGAAGAAGCAGGAGTAGCAGGTGCAGTGAGGCTTCTTTGCGGTGCAGGCTGTCTGCTGCTCGTCACAGCAGGCAGTCACAACCGTGAGTGATAGCTCAGTAGTGCAGGTGTGAGGAAGGTACGACCACATAGCCTGCCATGTACAGTGCGGCAAGCTGCCTTCCCTGTGTGGGATGAGAGTTAATAGTACTCAGTACAGCTAGCTATCGTCTGTAGGAAGCAACAACCTGCCTGCTGGACCCCTGTTGCCTTGTTTCTCGGGCCTTCCTCTTCGCCCCGTCTCCAGACTGGAGCTCTTCCTCCTCCACACCACCGTCACCGTTCCCGACCACAATTCATCCTAGTGTACAGAGCGGTGATGCGATGTCACCCAACGCCGCTCAAAGCGACGGAGTCTCCCTCACACGGTCCAGGTGCATATCCAGGCCCGAGATCCACTTCTCGCCGCAGGTCCCTGTCACCATATCTCCATCATCATCGCACGTCGCCACAACCGTTGTAACTGCAACAACCACCACCAGTTCTTCAACCAGGCTGGCCTAGGACATGGAGATCAACCCAGCCCCAGCACGATCTGGTTCGACAAGCGCCCACAACGGAGCCTAGCCCGGCCCAGCGTGTGGTCCAAGTCCACCCCAAGACAACAAATGCATCTGCCATGCCACTTCTAGATATCCGTATTATGCGGCGGAAATCAAACTTGGCTTTGCACTGCTGAATTGCGTGCGCCCCTCATGCATCATGGACAGTTTGCAGTGCGCAGTGTAAGGGTGCTTCCGGACACGGGTGCACAGGCACCAATTACTTACTTGACTTCATCTCAACTCACATCACTCAGCTTGGCGATGTAGCAGTTCTCAATCAATAGGGATATCGACGAGATGACGAAACCTCCCGAGGAGAAACTCTCCAACCTGATTCAAATCACAGCCACGTTAGCCTAGCTTTCATTTCTCTTCAGCTTCTGCTGACTGAACTTTATGTTCCTCTCGTTTATTAATCTTTAACCGTTTGCTCTCCTTCTTTTCAAACGTCAGGGCTCCTTCTGACACCAGGTGCTGTCGCATTTGGACCTGGGAGATCCTGCGACCGTCACCCGACGGCCACGGTACCCGGACACGGCCCGTCGTTGACTTATGATCACTTATCAACGCCCTCCAACAATGACCTCGTCTAGCAAATGATCCAAGTCCTTCGCACATGAAGTCCGGCCTTGCCTCGCTATCTATGGATAACTCAGGGGCGCGAAGCACTGACGCCACGCCTATCTCCGCCTAGCTGCAGAGGCCCACATGCGGTCGCCGCCCGTTGTACGTCAATGGCACAGACGGAAAGACAGACAGACAGACAGACAACCCTTAGACACGGAGCTAGGCATGCCAGAAATCCATGGGACTTATTCGGCGAAGCAATGAAGAGTCACACGGAGCTAGCGGGGCATCCTTTGGTGACACCCGCGATCCAGATTCATCTACTCTACAAGAAGATTCGTCACGGCGTCAGATCTACTTATCTACGCGTTTATCAGGGAACTGCGAGAAACGCTAGGCAAAGAGCCAAACCCATTAGACACAGATTCATGCTTGCTGCCATTATACATGACTTTGGCGGCTCTTGGGGTTCTGAGGAAGCACAGCCAGCTGATTTCCTCAGCGTAACATGTTGCTGCGAGCTAAGTTGCATGCCCCAGGTAGGTAGTGGACCCATGCAAGGAAAAACACTATTGGAAAACGCATAGTCAACTCGTCTAAGAAACCGGTGCATTTCTGATTAGAATCGATCAAATCACATACGAGAGGGAAAGAACAGAAAGTAGATACAAAATTTACCCAAAAAAAAAAAAAAAAGGAGAGGGAATAAACCCTCGCGGAATGCGCCTAGTGCTAATGCACGTACACGTACATTGGCTACTTGACATTGAGAACTTTTGCGGCCGTTCTCAAAGCCAAAATAAAACTTCCGATCAGTACTCTATTAATAACGCCCTTTAACACTCGAAGAATACATATCAAATCGAGACCCATCAGAGCCCCGACGATCGCATCCATCCGTCTTGATCCCGGAGACGCAAGCTGGCAGGATAGGACCCATATGAGGCATTGGCAATGGTGTACCTCCAGACAGTGCTATTCATCTCACCGAGCTCACTGTGCTTTGGTTCAAAGACAAGGATTGGAGGTCTAGCCTGCACACCTTCACACGCTGCTGTTACGTCGGTGGGGTTGCAAACCAGAATTGGACGACGGGAAAGCGCAATGATCCCTATCTGCAAGTCAATGGGTAGAGAGGCTTGGCTATCATCTCTCGTGGTCCAACAGCGAATCGCCCAGGTGGGCTTTTGTGGCCCCCCCAGGAACCCTCGCAATAGCTAACCTCCTGTTAACGACAGGTCATGCCGGGGGGAAGCCCGTCCTTCTCCATGTGCTGGCAGGGCTCGTTCTACGCGCGGTTTCCGGTGGATCGTAAGACCTCAAAGCTCGACGATGCTAATGCTGCCAGCAACAGACTTCTCCAAACTCTCTGTTCGGAGCTCGGTTACCTTGCCCGCCTTGTCTGGTTTGCGAGATTGGAAGGCCCGTCGCTCTGCATCACCCAGCCCACAACGTTGAAACGAATCTTGCTGCCATCCCAGCAATAGAAACGGCTGGGCATCCAGACATAGACGCCGACGATGCCGCCAATATCTTGACAGCGCCCGCGCTACACAACACCACCGTCTTTGCCCACAACAACGCCCGGACCGATCAGGGCACCGCAGCAAGGCTAGCGATATGGGGTATCAACGGCTCAACATGGCACCCCTGTTCCATACACCCTCGTCAGCTGTCCTTGTGACCTTCGTTCAACACTTGTCACCTCAGGGATTCGGCGTCATTGAAACAACGGCTTACCTAAGGCACCGGACATTTTCCCCCCTTTCGCCTCCGGCAAGACGCAAGCCCAACCCCAGCCAGCATTGTTCTGAGTAAATCTAGCGTGGCATTTTTGGTTTGTCTAGCCCGCGTCTCTTATATTCTGGGAGCTGATGAAGCAAGCATGCATCTATAGCACCGGGTGCACACAAAGTGTTTTAGCCATTTCGGTGGCGCCCTCTAGTTCATCAATGATTTTTACACTATCCATCATGGGATACCGCTGCCGCTCCTCTATCTCAGACATCAAGCTTCACCGAGCGACTGGGTCCGGGGTTCTTAGTGAGAAGACGGTGAGCGTTACCACACTGTGGCACACTGGCAACGACGGCAAAAATGCCTAATTAGTGCCTCTAACCACCTCGTCAACGGTAGGAAGGTGTCCCTCCACTTCCATGAACGGATGCCATTAGTCCGGCCATTTGAATCCAGATGCCACACTCGACAAGTCTTGAACAGCAACGTGTTTGACAGCGGATCCCATCCGTTGCGTTCAATATAATTTTCAGATTGCATACTATATCTTGACACTGGCTGATCAATCACACGTTCGGCCTTCCTTGCGACAACGCATGACCATTGCTTATTTGGCCATGAATTTGTATGTGTGTTTCGCTCATTGATTTGGAGACGTATGGGTAGATTCGATACATCACGATGCGTGAGCTCTCGCACGCTTCTTGAGTGCCTGGTCCTAACGGGCGGCGAGCATGAAAACATTTCAGCACGCACCAACCACTAATCGCGGCAGCGTGTGGGGATGTTAAGGTCGGTGGAACGACTGCAAGGGTTCTGTGGTGTGGTCGCCGTCCTCGCATGTCAGCTTCAACGAATCCCAATGATGGCTCTCCGCGAGCAGCTTCCGCCTAAGAACTGGGAAAGCTTGCGCAGCAACGCCCACTCATATTCCGCAGGCTTTAGAGATTACAATTCCACGTTTCTTTTGCACCTTGGGCACTAGCCGGAAGATTTGGTTTTGTGTTCAACGGGCCAAAGCATCGAACGACTTGCCAGGCACTTTCTGCATCCTGCGACGCCACAACATCGGCCAGAGCAGATGACAGCGGGTTGCTGGCTAGACCTGAGCTTGTTCCGGGAAACGGAGAATAGGCGCTGCAGGAGAGACCTAATTCCTTTCGGCAAAGGATAAACTGGTCGAATCAGTGTCTGTACGACATAGCTTCGCTGCTCGGCACTGTTGAACTTCTCCAACTTTTCCCCGAACTACTCTAATCGAGTAACAGCGGACATTATCCTAGCCGCAGGCCGGAAATGTAACTGCTTTACTGCAACCATACCCCAGCATCGAAGGATACCTCCCCTGGATGCTGCGTTCCATCCTCCTCTGTGTTTCTTAACAAAGATTCGTTCGGCTTGCAGAACGATCCACCATGGATGCACTTTTTGAATGAGAATCAAGCTGCGTGTCTCCAGTCAATTTTGTACTCCGAGGAATGCAACAACGCAAATACATCTTGTCCGCCGAGATACTGGGCCCACTGCGTCTTCTGCAACCGACTGCAGCTGCTTGAATAGGGCCATTCCATTTGTCTTAGCCGGTGCTCTTTTGTCGATCCACACTGATATTGTGCTGGCCTGTCACCAAGACCGAGGGGCATTATTGGGGCTGTGCAGAGGGATGTCCATCTAGTAACGTCGCCCATCCAACAACTTACTGAGATGGTCTGTCGGCCACTACCCCCGGTTGAGCGGCAGACGGGATGGAAACTGCCTTTCTGCCCGGCCGATTTAGATTTAATTGTCATGTGTTCGTTGACCTATCATGTCAACGTTGACCGGCTGCCTCAAAAACGGATAGCGTCGAGCATCGGTGACAATTTAGCGACCGCAGCTCTCGTTCCTGGAGCTGGTCTTCCTTCCCACCCTCCACTCCTGCTCTTCTCTGTTGTCCTCCTCCACGTTTTTGAACCCTGCATGGCAGCTAGGGTCACGGACATACACACACACACACACACACACACACGCACACACACATGGACGATGGATGGGAGGGAGGGGAGCATTCGTTATCCGGATTGAACAAGCTTGCCCCATTGGTTCAAGTTTGGTGAGCAAGGCTCACACGGTACGGCAAAGTATCAAGGCGCAAAGAATGCTTCTCCAACTATGCGAGCAGCTAGTTATCCCAGTCCCGAATGCTGGTCTCCAACGCCTACCCCAAATCGACCGTGCCAGTAAATTCACTTCAACGCTATCGAATGAAAGGGGGCTAAAGAGTGTATTCGTTCCTCAAATGTAGCCGGCCGTGATCCCCGGGCGTGGGCACCTGACACCCCAATCGTATGAACCCCGGGCGGGCGCCATCCTTGTCTACCCCAGACTTTTTTTGGTCTGTTCTCAGACCAGCCAACGCCTTGCAAGCATCTTCGGGAATTGGGGGAAGGCAATTTCGGTCTCGTTGTTGCGTGACGATCAATCCCTTCGGCTCTGTTGCTACTCCAGTCAGTTTGTCCAATTGGGCCCGAGAATAGGTGCTATAAAGATGGATGCACACCACGGAACGTGGCTGGGATCGGATACAAGTCCTGGTGGTGTTCCCTGTTGTCCTTCTTCGCCGCTTGCTTGGCCTCTGGAGCTCATGCCTTCGGGGAACCTCAGAGGCGCTGTCAACGCCGCCTGCCTGCATGCTTATGCTGCTTATTCCCCAGCGTAACGCATATTGGGTTTCGTGACGGTGACGTAGGTGTCTCCGGGTTCGCCCCAGGGTCGGGTTTTTCGACCATGTTTTCAATCATCGTGGCCTGGGGTTGCAGTTTCGTTTCGCCTCTAGTTAGTCAGGGCCGATGTGGTGTATCTAATCATGGAACCGTCTAATGAGAGGCGAGGGAAACCGAACCAAAAGTTTCGTCACAGCTTACAGTTGCCTTCCTGGTTCGATCAAGATCCACTTTTGAAGACATCCAGTCGGACCCAGCCCACTCCTGTTACATTACGAAGTCAACTTGTCGCACTAGCGTCAAGCCCAACTCCTGCAGCACCCTCGTTTTCTCAGGGAGCGAGAACGGCAGTGAACTGTTGGCATTAGAAATCCGAAATATGGAACCGATATGCGGATGCCGGCGGTTGCCCCGACGGAGCATGGACTAGCCAAAGTGCCGTCTGTTCCGCTTGTCTCAAGGCAGACCCTAACCGCCGAGCGCCATGGCCTCCGTATCCGTTGCAGCGGGTCCCGGTTTGCTTGGCTACAACAACTTCGACTGTGCTACGAGTGCAAACCGAGTAGGAGAGCCAGATGAGGCGGGAAGTAAGCAACTACGAGCACATGGTTGAAAAAAACGGGCTGCGTGGAATTGCGTTGTGGTGGTGCTTATCCGATGGCTTGGCCCATCGTCACAACCGGCCACACCAGGTAGAGCTCCTCATGCGGGCCAACAGCTTGGTCTCATCGTGTGGGCGTCATTCAGGAGATGACAGCCAACTGCAATACTCCTCTGCTGCACTACCACCACGCACAGTGAAGAAGTTCGCTTCAATTTGAGTGCTACCTTCGTCACCGTCGTCACTGTCGTCACTCATTGCAGCTGTACATGGATCGTTTACGAGTTCTTCAATGCTCATCTTTATGTTGAGATACACTCGCCACATTGGTCGGCTAAAACAGCAACGGTTGTAGATAATCTGTATTCGCCACAGTCGATATCATTCGTTCTTTTTGCCCAGTTAACGCATTTATTTCTGGGCAAAAACACGTAGTGGCTTAATTGCACGTCCCGGCCCACACACACACGTCCACACAAAGGATGCACCCGCCAGTGATCATACCATGCTACGGATACTTGTTCCTCGCTGTTGCTAGCAAAGACACTAAAGGGCCTGGCGCCTATGTCACGCAGGAAAGCTGGGAGGCCGCTTGCCTATGGAACCTCTAGAAATCGCTAAACCGGGCCTGGCGCATACATAGGGGACCGCCACTAATCCCCCATTTCCTGCACCATGCCCCAAGAGACATCGTCGTCATTGGTCCCCTGCTTATGCTGCCAATTACCGTTCCTGGAATCGAATGCCTCGCAACGTCCGCTTAACCACGCCACCTTGAGTCATGGTGGCTGGCCTTTGTTCTAGCCTTTGAGTTTTTGGAGAGGACGGTTCTTCAGGGGAGGGCGGAGAATATCCCGCAGACTAACATCTGCCGCTGGATAGGTAAAGAATGAACGACCTGGCAACATGACGTCCAAGCTGTTCGCCGCAACTTCCAGCCTCAAATTTCCATGTGTCACTTGTTGGCCCCAACAGCTGTAGCTCCTTGAACCCCACGACCGAGTCCTGACTACTGTCTATTAGTGTGGGCTCTCTTTCATCTTGGCCTGGGCAAAATGTGACTCGGTCAGGAAGTGTTGGCAAGCGGACAGCCGCTCTACCGATGGAAAATAATTCCGGCCGTCGCCGCTGGCCATGAGTGTATATGTTCACCGGCTTCGGTTGTCGATCGGTGCCGATCCTACGGGGGTTTTGTTTTGTCTTGGAAATAAGTTCGGCACTACGGTATTAACTCGGCCACAATGTGCCACGGTATATGCAGCTGTGGCATTTGTGTGACCTGATTAGAGCGCGGCGCAGGCGAAGCGAGTGCCAGGGTCCTCGTCTTCGATCTCGCATCTTGGTTCAGTTGATCATCGGATATTATCGGTAGTTGGGGTTCAACAAAATTCTGGATTGGCCTGGCCACCCGCTGATCGGTATGGCGGCGATCTGTGGTCTTTGCGGGTCTGAACTGCAACGACACTGAAGCATCATGAATGGTGAGATGGTCAATTTGCGAGCGTCTGTCCTTGAGGTCATATCACTATTGTAGTGCTTTGCTTGATACTGAGACTAGTACAGACAATTACCATTGTTTGCCAATGTCACCAGCTATGGTTCTCATATCAGGATATGCGCGTAGGAATTAGAGCTTGTGATTTATGAAATATGTTTTCAACTACTTTAAAGTCAAACATTGTTTAGCATAACGGTTAAATGCTCTCCTTGGCTCCGGCCATGTTCAACAATCAAGGTAGTTCCGTCGATGGGCACAGTTTCAATGTTAGACGACTCATCACGTCGGCACCGCCAGGTAACTCTCTAAACGGCAGCACCATTCAGGCGGTGATACCGTGTCCGTGTCAGTCTGTATGATATCAAATAAATGCAAGAGTCTATTATAACATATTATTGATATACCCAATTTACACCGTTTGAAAGCCCAATCCAAGCCGAGGGGCTCAAGGCCAGCCTACGTGTAGTTTAAATAACCCTTTCCTGATTACCCAAACTCCAAACTCCAAACACCAAATGCAAAATCCACCGAAAACCCGATTAGATACATGACACGAACCGAAAAGAAATCATGCGCGGTTCCGCGTATGAATCCTCTCGTGCCTCCTGCAGTCGTTCAACCTCGCGAAGGCCTTTCCGCAGTGGGAGCACGCGTAGGGCCTCTCGCCAAAGTGGCTCCTCTCGTGGCCCTTGAGGTTGATGTTGCGCGTGAAGCTCTTTTGGCAAATGTTGCACTGGAACTTGGCCGACTCGACGCGCCTGCTCATCTGCAGGAACGCCGAGGGCGCGTCGCTGTGCTCCGGGTGGTAGTTGCGCACGTGCCGCTGGCGGTCCTTGTTGGAGGAGAAGCCGACGGGCGCGAAGCCGCACCTCTCCTCGAGCGGGCACGGGTACGGCCTGTCGTGGCGGTTCTGGTGGCCGTCGCGGTCCTTTTTGTTGTCGAAGCCGTGGTGGAAGAACTTGCAGAGCGTCCGCGAGCACTTGAACATGTTGGGGCCGTAGTAGTCCTGCATCGTGTCCTCGTTCGTCGTCCGCCGCGAGGGCTTGTGGTAGTCCCTCTCGATGAGGGCGCGGTGGGCTTTCAGGGCGGCGTCGAGGCGGGGGATGCCTACCTTGTTGCGCTCCTCCGAGGACGCGTCCTGGTGCTGGCAGATGTGGCCCCAGAGGCGGAGGAGAAGCGGGTAGAAGGGGAGGGTTTGGAACTTGTCGATGTCGGCGCGCGGGACGTCGGCGGCGGCGGCGGCGGCGGTTGCTTCGGGGAGCGGTTTGATGTCGGCGTCGTGGGCCGAGATGAACTTGGCGAGGGCCAGAGTCAGCGCCGCGGTGTGGTCTGTGGTGGTGGTCGTATGATGGTATGGCGCGTGGAAGTGGGCGGAGGCGGCGGCGGCGGTGTTGTTGGCGTCCGGGAAGACGTCGCGGCAACCTTGGATTAGTGTTATGATGTGCTTGTACCATTGGGACATTGCGTAGTCCTGGAACGAGAAGTAGCCCTCCAGGATGTCCTTTCGGCGCTCCGCTTCGCTGTAGTCGTCGGCGACGAAGCAGCGGAGGGAGAGGTAGCGCAGGCAGAGGATGGCGAGGTCGCATTGGACCGCTTTTGCGTCAATGTCTTTGGTCTGGACGAGGTATCTGTTGTGTCTTGTTAGCGCATCGAAAAAGAGGTAAGATTGGGAGAGGGGTAAGGTGACGGGACTCACTCTTTGGCTGTCGAGTGTATGAGTCGGATGTTATCCCCCGGTAGGATCTGGACCAGAGATCCCAGAATGTCGGTGATGTCTGCGCGAATCATCTTGAGATCGAAGTCGATGACCTCGGCCTCGGGGTCGAAGGACAAGATGGCTTGGATCTCGTGCCATTTCAAGGGCCGGTGGGCGCAGATGAGCCAGCCGAGGAGGAGCTTGGCTTTTGCCCAATGCGCAGGGCCCTTTTTGAGGAGTCTATCTTTGAGGGTGCCCAGGAGCTTTCCGTACATATCCTTGAGTTCACGTGGAAGCATTCCTGGTTTTACGTTGTCGAGGAGATCCGACTTGGTGTCCTGCTCGAGGAGGTACTCCATGGCGAGATGCGCATACAGGAATAGACCTAGCTGCTCGTTAGTTTGGACGTCATACTCCTTGGGGATGATAAAACTTTTACCGTCGCTCCTGGCCGAGATCTTGTCTTCGATGTCTTGCTTCTCCCACTCGGACAGGTTGAAGCCTCTTCTTTCGCCTTCCTTGGGGTTCAGCATCCTGTTCACATACCGCCGGATATCCTCCTTGTTGTCCTTGGGATCGAGCTTGACCTCCCCAGATTCGGCCTCGATACCATACTTTGTCATGAACTTGGTGACATCCTTGGCCGTCTGCGTCATGAACAGCACGCGCAGCTGGCCCTGGCTGGTGCCGTCGCGCGCGCTGACCTCCTCGGTGAACCACTTCACGGCCTGCTGGATCTCGGTGGCCTTACACTCGTCTAAGCCGTCTATGATGACGTACTGCCGTGAGTTACTCTCGAAGAACACGTCCATTAGCGCCTGTGCGACATCCGAGTTGGAGAGGATCGAGCCGCCGCTGGTTGTCATTTTATCTTCGCAGAGCGGGAGAATGGCTAGGTTGCCGTTCATGCGGCTCGCGTCTTCGTCGGGGGGTTCCTCGTCGGGATTGGGTATGACGGCGGCGTCAACCAGTTGGTGCAGGATCCCCCTGAGAATACCGAGATAGGTGTCCAGATCTTGATCGCCCTCCTGGCAGTAAAAGTAGCACACCTGGGCGGTCTTTGGCACCTCCCGCCCCTTCTCCGCAAGTTTGCGTAAATGGTCCACGACCAGCGACGAGAGTATCGTCTTGCCCATGCCCCTGGCTCCGTGGAGCCAGATGGCCGACCACTCCGGTATGTCCTCCTTCATCCAATTGGACACGGCGTCGTGCTGCTTCCACAGCCACGTCCCGTTTTCGGGACACGGCTTACGGATTTCCTCGAATTGGAGGTGGAGCATCTCCGTCTTGTTAGGTGCCGCGATCCATTTTATAATCTTGTCTTTTTGTTCGGCTTTGCGGGTGGCTTCTGACCGTCTGAACTTCCTCCAGGCATCGTCGTAGTCGTAGCGGTACTGGTGGAACTTGCGCATGTCGCCGTCGGACATGCTGGTCGGCTCGGCGCCGAACCCGGAATCTGTGCGGCTTGCATACACATCGCGGAAGGGGTAGCCGAGCTCCTGGATGATGGTGCAATGAAGCTTGAGAGTTTTGGAGAGGTGGTCGAAGGTTGAGTCGAGATCTCTCCAGGTTGCTCTGTGAAGTTTGGGCCATACTGGAGGGCATCTCATATTAGTCCCGAAAACAATTGGTAGGTGTATTTCTCTCTCTCTCTCTCTCTGTGTGTGTGTGTGTACTTACATGAGGGATCTCGGGAAAAGAGCTTGTATGCTATAGTGTGGAATTCGAGAACATCTCGGTAGATGTGCACCAGACACAACCTAGTCTCTCGGGAAGACTGGGACTGGAATAGCTGTATGTAGTCGGCCAGAGGAGGAATCTGGAGGCCTAGACGTTGATAAACGTCAAGTATATGGTCAAACGCTTTCTCGTTGGTGTTCGTAGTCTAAGGCTCCAAACGTTAGTATTTGACGGAGTCGGCGACAGTTGAGATCACCAATGAGAATGTCGCCAGGAAATAACACGACTCACCTGGAATAAGTATCTCATTGGGCCCCAGATGCAAGCCATGACACTCTTCACATGCTCGAAGCCCAGCTCCGTCAAAACAGTCTGAAGGGATCTCATGCCATTGAGAAACATGTGAAGCCGGTTAAGGTTCACCAATGTCCTCGTCTGTTGCTGTTTCTGCTGCATGAGTTTAAGGTCGCTGAGGACAAGCTCCTCTCTGCTGGCTGCAAAGTCCTTGGCGTCGTTGGTATTGAGAATGGCCTTGAACTTGTCGGCTGCGTCAATGAGGGCACCGGCTTCCGGTCCGAAGTGGAGGCCGGGCGGCCGGGTGCCGTCGGTAAACTCGGGCATGGCGTCTGCCGGTGGGATCCCGGAAGTTTAGTTCTAGTTAGGGGTACTCGGGGGTCCGTGGATACCGCTACGAGTTTGCCGCGCTTTGTTTACGCTTGTTTCGGTTCAGTTCACCAGCCAACACGGCAAAAGACTCAATTGTTGAATCATGACAAAAGAAAGTAGGGAGTGAACATGAGAGAAAGAAACTAAGCATGAGAAACGGAGACGGTCTGAGCGAACCCGCAACGGGAGCTTCCGAGCAGTCGACATCATTGAGGCTGATGCATCACAAGAAAAAAAAAAGAGGCAGCCAGTCAGGCGGTATTGGCATCCCACTGTTACCCCGTCCGAGCAACCCCTGCATCCCAGAGTTGAGGACACGAGGAGGGCCATTTGGGAGTTGATGGTGTTGCTGACCCGCCTTGGTGACAGGGGTAGATGGAGGAGCCACACAGCAATCAACAGGGGGGGAGGTAAAGGGAGGCCATGAGGCGCTAGGCAGCCTATGCACTGCCACTTCGTCACTCTCCACGTATTATACCATGTATCCGTAATCCGTAGACGACGTTAGCGGCTTGTGTGATGTGTTAGTGTATTGTACACCAATTCTGGTGGTCCACAAGCCACATCACTGCTCAGTCGACCACCCCTGATGGGGCTGACTGGGGGGGCCATCAAGAACGCAGTACGATGCAGCAGCCCCCCTGCTCAGTCGGCCATGGCTTTACGAGTTGATACGCAAGCCTGATTCGGGAATTTGCGACCTTCCCCTCCCCCCGCCGGACGCCTTATGAGGGGTACTAGATGATCTGTGAGGAATTGGAGATCTCAGGCGATGTAATGTGAGTGAGTGATTGAGGGGAGGGGAGGGGGGTGCTATTTGGTCCTATTTCTGCAGTGTACTTTTCTAGGGTCATTGGGTAGTTTCTAGGTCCTTTAACGTCCAATCCGGGTCGATTCTACCAACGACAAGGAGGTTTTTATCTCTTTACTATGAATTACTATGAGTTACTATGAATTACTGTGAGATTCTCTGATATCTTTACTATTTTCTGGTCCATAGAGTGGGTATTAACGGTGTTGAGCGTAACAACTCAACAGGTTATACTCTCAAGCATTCAAATCCACAACTCACCTGCATAGACATATACAGATACGAGTACCTAAACAGACAAATGCCTCATCATTCTCCAATGGAAACAATGACGACAATTCAATACATCTTCACACTGCTACGTCATCCCCAGTTTCCTCGGAGCCCTCTCCGAACTATCCACGCGAAACAAGCATCGGCAGGTGGGAACTCCCCCATCATGAGGCTCTTGATTCCCCAGGTCGGAGGACACCGAAGTCACGCTGTAGCACCGCGAAGCTCTGTGGCGGAGCCCCTAGGAGGTCCCGACGGTGAGAGGGCGGACCGGGGTTAGGGGCTAGGGTTAGTAGGGTTTTTGGCCCCCCCCCCCGCTGCGGCACCTCGGGGAGGCGGTGCAAACATGACCACCACAGCGCGGGAAAGTGGAAAAAACCCCCCATACTGCTGCGGTCCCTCCCAGCGGCACTGGCTTAGCGGACCGCCAAACGTGACCGGTGGTTCGTGGTTCGCACGAGCCCGATGGTCGCTAATGGGGCTCTGGTGTTAATGCTTGCTCGCTGGTTGGGCCCTGGAAGGGGGGAGCCCTGTAGAGTGAGCCCTGGAAGGGAATGTGGTCCTGCATTACGTTCCTGACAGGCACAGCGCATTCGGAGTGCACGACGCTAACCTGGCACGCTATCTGGGGGAAAGACGCTAACTAACGCTTGCTCTGCTTGCTGTTTATGCTCTTCTCGTTGGATATCGTCCGCGAACTGCGCCTCACGATTTTGAGCGATAATGCATAGTTGGAGATGGCCGCCTTCGATGCCTCACGTCACCGGGTTCATTATGTGGTCAAAAGTGGTTCGCCAAAATCCTTTTCTATCCTTCCCGGCCGAGCCTGGTTGATCTTCTGTCTCTTTTTCCGGGTGTGATCTACAAGCTCAAAGCACTGGCTGCAAAGGGGAATTATTTGTCTGATAGGAGAAGAAGAAGAAGAAGGTCTTCGTGTTGAACATGAACATCGTAAACCCCGTCCAAGGACATCACCAACATACCACGGGTCAGGCATACCCGTCATCAACCAGTATGTCCCTCAAACGCCTTCTAAACGACGTAGACGACGACAGTCAATACCCCGATCCGTCCTTCATCTCACCCCACGGCTCCATCTCAGGGTCTTCGTATCATAGCGCGGACGACTACTCCGGTAGCCACCCTCGCCAAACCCAGTTCCAGGGCTTGGATTACCCACAAGAAGACCCCATTCTCCAAGACCATTCGTCTCTGGGCGACGTCTTTAACAACATCCTCTTCAACTATGAAACCCCTAGCTATGACAGCTCCAACTATGACATCGCCGACCCGCTGGCGAGCTTGAACCTGGGCCTCGGCGCCGAAGATGCTCATTACAACTTGGAGCTTGAGCTGGAGAGATGGGGGAGGATGGCCTCTCCGGCTGCCTCGTACACCTCGCATCAGTCTCCCTCACCCGGTTCCGGTTCCGGTTCGGGGTCATCGCAAGATTCTCTCCCTGCCACTCATTCTCCTTCACTTGCCCCCGAGTCCGTCGTTACCGGCTCAGATTCGTGCTCGTCGACTGGAGATGACGATGTCGACAAGGTTTGCTACGGCATGGTATGCACAACGTCTCCTTCACCCTTTTTTCTGTTTTTGATGCACTTTCCTATGTTCTCCTCAACCGCACCCGTGAACACATCAAACTCACGATAGTACCACTACTACTAGCTTTACAATGTCGATGTCAAGTTGATCGGTGACATGAATGACATTGACACCACTCTCAACGAAGCCCATCACGCAGCCGCCACTCCGGGCAAGACAAAACATCAACGATTCACCTTATCCGAGCGACAAGAACATGTTCTCCTTTCCTTCCGAGACAATACCGACTTTGGATACCTGCGCTCCGGTCCCGGCAAGACCCTCTCGCCGCTCCTAGCCAAGAGATTCGTCGACTTCGAGCCCATCGCTCCGATACAGGAACTCCGAGAGGTTATCGGGTGTGCCAAGAAGTCGGTCGAGGCCATGGTCAAGGTCGACATCAACATCTACGGCCCACGGAGCGCGGCCCAGCTTGTCGGTGACACGCTCTCCAACGGAAAGCTCTGGTTGCAGACGCCGACGCATCCTCGCAAGGACGTCGAATACGAGAATCCTCATCTCTTGCCGCTTGACGGCGTTGAGGAGTTGACGGTACAGGAGGTCAGACAAGTCAATGCCGGAGGGCCAGCGAGGAGGCAACCGCGCGAGGAGAACCTGAGAAAGATGATGATGGAGGTCTATGACTCGCTGAAGAAGACTCGGCATTTGGATAAGGTTGAGGGAGGCAAGGGACTCAAGAATGACCTTTTGATGTGCGTTCTCTCTCCGTGGTCTTTTTCTTTCTTTTTCTTTTTTTTTTCATTTTTTTTTTTTCATGGTGTTGGATATATACTGACTTACATCAGACATCAAAAAGAAGCCCTGGGATTCATGTTACAGAGAGAGTCGGGCAACATTGAGGAACGGTATCGACTCTGGGAACAGGTCAAAGTCGATGGCAGCGACTGGTTTGTCTCTACCAGCTTTGATGCTTCTGAGGATCACGATGGCTGACTAGAAATAGGTATCGCCACAGAATCACCAAGATTAAGCAGCGCACCCGACCCGACGAGAAAGGCGGCGGTATCCTGGCCGACGAGATGGGCATGGGAAAGTCCTTGTCCATACTCTCGCTCATTGTCAAGACTCTGGAAAACGGCCAAGCATGGGCGGAACAAGAGAACAACAGCGACGAAAAAATCAAGGATGTTAGCTATTCCGGCGCGACGCTGATAGTGGTTTCTTCTGCTCGTGAGTAATGATCGCCCGGTACACAGGTACACCATGTAGTTTGACAAAATGCTGACCTGCAACAGTACTCATTTACAACTGGCTAGATGAAGTCGACAAGTGCGTTTCCTCCCATAATCAAATCCAAAAGTCACCGAAGCTAACCCTCGATAGACACGTGGAAGGCAACTTAAAGTCAATCAAGTACCACGGCCCCGGACGAGAGAAGGATATTGACACTATCAAGAACTCCCAAATAGTCGTAACAACATATAACACCTTATCCGCAGAGTTTCAACAAAAGTCGTCCATCCTCCATAAAATCGGATGGTACCGAGTGGTCCTCGACGAAGCTCACATCATCCGTCGCCCAGCCACAAAGTTCTACCTCGCCTGCAAAGAACTGCACGCCAACTCCCGCTGGTGCCTCACCGGCACCCCGATCCAGAACAAGCTGTCCGACATTGGCGCCCTCTTCGCCTTCATCCGCGCCAAGCCCTTCAACGAACCCGCCAAGTTCCGAAAGTACATCGAGGTGCCCTTCGAACAGAACGATGCGGACCCGCAAAAGGTCAAGGAACGCCTCATCATCCTCCTGGAGTCCCTCTGCCTCCGTCGGACAAAGGATCTCCTCAAGCTCCCCGGCCTCACGGAGGTCACGAAAGAGCTGGAGTTCAGCCGGGAGGAGCGCGAGCAGTACGACAAAACGAAGAACATCCTCATGCGCACGATCAAACAAAAGGTGGGCGAAGTCGAAAAGAGCTCCAAGTTCGGTCTGTTCCAGGCGAACCTGCAGATGCGCATCCTCTGCAACCACGGCACGTTCCAGAAGCCGTTCTCTTGGCACCGACGCGCGTACCGGCTCGACGAGCGCGAGGCCGTCGTGAGCGCCCTGGGCCAGAACGTGGAGATTACGTGCAGCGGCTGCCACCAACCCATGCCCATCATCAACTCCAGCAAGGTGATGAACGAGTTCGAGGAGCAGTGCGCGCACGTCTTCTGCTCCGACTGCCTCGACGAGTCGGTCTACTCAGCGGGTCCCACGAACGGGCAGAGGCGGCATTGTCCCGTGTGCGAGAACTGGATGAGGGCCGCCAGGGCACAGCGGGCTCTGCCGTCCGGCGTTCCGGTTGTGAGGGTCGACGGGCCGGGAAGTTCCAGCGACGTCGAGATGGACGACGTGTCGGGTCAGATGGCTTCCAAAAAGCATGAGGAGAATTACTTCAACCAGACGGGGCATTCGACCAAGATGCAGGCGTTGATTCAAGATGTCAAGGAGGATCTCTGGGACACCAAGAGGTACGATATTGAGACAGCAGTGCAAAATTTAATATCTAATTTGGGCTTCTTACTAAAACATCGTACAGCATCATCTTTTCCTGCTGGACCAGGACGCTTCACTTGGTTGCCAGCCACTTGACTGAAGCCGGGGTTGATTTCCTCCGCATCGACGGCGACTGCTCGCTCTCCCAGAGACAGGCCATGCTCAAGGAGTTTGCCAAGAGCAACAGGCAGAGGGTCCTAATAATGACCACCGGCACAGGAGCTTTCGGGTGAGTCTTTTTTTTTTTTTTTTTTTTTTTTTTTTTTTGTCTCCGAACCGTCTCGGGGGGCTGTTTACTAACAGACGTCGGACAGCCTCAACCTCACCTGCGCGAACCGCGTCTTCATCGTCGAGCTGCAGTGGAACCCCAGCGTCGAGAACCAGGCGATTGCTCGAGCCATCCGGTTCGGCCAGGGGAAGAAGGTGCTTGTCACCAGATATGTCATCAAGGACACGGTAGAAGTGGTATGTGATAGAACCCGGGGGAGCACCAAAATTCTCTTAGAAACGTCGGGCTTTACTAACAATCTGCCCACAGGAAATGAGCTCCCAGCAGAACGTCAAAAAGAATCTTGCATTGATTGGATTTGATGAGAATTACGATGTTGAAATGGACGAGTCCAACGACTAAAATCACGACATACGAGGGCGTTTGGAACGGTGGAAAGGATTCCCAGGAAAGGAAGAACAAAAAAAGAAGGAAAGGAAAGAAAAGAAAGAAAGGATGTTATTTTAAGGCTATCCTGACGCGATATGGCTGGTTTCACACGAACGACTTGTTTTTTTTTTTTTGGATTAATAGTTGCGACGGGTTGGTGAGTTGATCTTGCACTTGACGCTTGACAATACCCCTATAACAATTGAGTTGTTCTCTTTCTCGCTCACCAACATACCACACTTCACATTCATCCGCATCACTGCCCCGAGTTTCCTTGTTCTTTCTCACTTGCGCCTATGCCCTGTTTTGCATCCCCCCGGGCTGCATACCCAAAAATGTCATGCCCAATCGTGACAATGATAAAGTAACCCTCCCTCCCCCAAAGTCCCTTTCCCCGCCGGCTGCCTGGCCGTACGCCCTGTTTCGGCATTCGTGCATATTAGCCTGGTTGCCTTCCTGCAGGCAGACTACTCATGACAGGGGGGAGAGCAAAAAGGGGGGGGGCTCGATCAGCCAGCCTCCGGCCCCCAAACCCGGCGACACATAAGTGCAGGGCAGATTCGATGAAACCTAGCGCTTTCCGGTGTGCGGGCAACTCGTACAAGCTGGACTCCTCCCCCCCGTAATACGGGCATTTCGTGTTTGTTGGTTGGCACCACTATCACACACTGGCTGACGCGATTGGCTGTATTGTATCTGTTCGCTGCTCGAGGTACCAAGGTAAGGTAAAGTAAGCATAGTCATACAGCGGAATGCTCGCCCACAGACCCGCGCATCGCCGGCGTCTTTCGGAGGCGGATATAGACGATGAGAGCGTTCCGGTTACCGTGCGGAGCCGCGGAGAAAACTCCGATCCGGACGCCGGCTGCGTTCGCTGCGGTCTCATGTTCTCCACCGACGGCCTAAGACATCTCAACTCTGAAACTGGTTTCCGGCACTCTGTCTTCACCGAGTGTTGCGCGTCTATTAGTGGAGGTTGTCCGGCGTGTTACTACATCGCGGAAGCCATTTACGGCAACAAGGATGTGGAATGGGCCGGCGACGCTCCTCTTACGTTTCGGAACCGGTCTTCCTCAAATAAGCCGGAGAGGACGTCGCCGCCGGAGTACATTGATGTCTTGGAAGGATATCTCGCGTCGGAGCCTGAGAAACCGGTAGTTACAATCTACCCATACGCTAAAAACGGTATGAGAAACCCAGATAGTCACTTCAGCCAATGTATCCGTTTCTGACAGGATGACACAGGTGACCTCCTCTCTCACTTGATCCGCCGTCGCCCGCTCAAGCGAGACGTCAAGAGCAAAAAAGTGCTCGCCGCGGCCCGACATCTCTACAACGAGTGCAAGGAATCCCATCCCCAGTGCCGCTACGCCCGTGACGCAGTCTTGCCGTCGCGCGTCCTAGACGTCGGCACCAGCGAGAGACCCTCCCTCAGGCTCTTCGTCAACGAGACGGAGAAGCGGGGAAAGTACATTGCCCTCAGCTACTGCTGGGGCAAACCCGAACTGAAGAAACGCCCGACCCTGCTCCGCAGAGACACGCTGACGGACATGTCTAGAGACGACGGAATCGACGAAGCCAGCCTGCAGAAGTCGGTGCAGGACGCAGTGAGGGTCGCGAGGATGCTGGGTTTCAAGTACCTCTGGGTCGACGCCCTCTGCATCATCCAGGACTGTAACAGGGACAAAGACAAGGAGATTGGCAAGATGGCGATGATCTACAAGAACGCGGCGGTTACCGTCGCCGCGGGCACGGCGGCCAAGGCGGCGGATGGGTTCCTGGATACGAAGATGGTGTACCTCCCCGATGAGAAGGTCGTTTTCAATGTTGCCGGTGGTGGAAAAGGAACGGTACACCTCAGGTCCGGTCCGCATATACCTAAACACACGCTCGACGACCGCGGATGGGTACTCCAGGAATTCCTCCTTTCGTCGAGGCTCTTGATCTTTTCGGAATATGAGCTGCTCTGGCTCTGCAAAGAGCGCGAACTGCAGAGCGTCACCGGCGGAGAAAACAGCTTGGAGTACCTCCAGCCACTCGAGAGTTTCCCCTGGGTAAACTTCAGCGAGGAACACGGCGACTCGAACTTTGGCATGGAGGAGGCGGAGCAGAAGTACATCTGGAAGACCGTCATCGAGCAGTATTCCCTCCGCCGACTCGGCGACTGGGATGACAGGCTCAACGCCCTCCGAGGGATAACGAGGGAGCTCGAGACGCTGTGGAGGGACAGCAGCTACTTTGGACTATGGGGTCGATGGTTCGTGGAGTTGATGGCGTGGTATAAACCCAAGGGGAAAGACGCGGAGGAGGTGGAGACGACGAGGTCCGACCGCGCGCCGAGTTGGTCTTGGGCTTCGTTGAATAGAAGGGTGCTGTATAAGGAGAGTCTGAAAAGGACAGATGCCGAGATGAAGACGGTGGATATGGTGGGCACTCGGAGGCCGAGGCATGTTGTGCTTACTTGTCGTATATGGAAAGAGGAGCTTGACGACGAAGAAGAAATATCGGAGGTGGATGACGCTGCTTCAGCCTGTGCCGAGGCTATTGTAGAGTGCCCCGACCTAAATAATATCAAGGACGAGGTGAAAGATAAAGATATAGAATATCTACTTCTGGGGACGATTCAGCGCGGAAACAGGACGTTAGGTGTTGGGCTTATGGTGATCAAGGCAGGTGATGGGTTCCATCAGCGTGTTGGGCTGGCCGAGTTTAAAGACATAAGCATCTGGGAACGAATACCACACACGGAGGTCAGGTTAATGTGAAGCCAGAAATAAAGATATAGTACGGCTATGAGATCTATCAAGAGCTTTCATCGTCGGATGTCGTCCCTGACTCCGTTGATTCCAGCGCCAGGCTTGTGTACTTCTTCACGAGCTCACCCAAACGCTGCTTTTTGGGGTGTTTCGTCATATTCGAGATCCCGCACGGGTACTGTGCCTTGATGTGTCGTCCTAAACTGGTTCCCCAACGAATCTTCCGATCGAATGCTAACACACTTTCGCAGCATATCGAGCTCATAGGCGTCCATCTGGTTGACTAGCACGCACAAGATGTTGAAGGGTGCGTAGTAATTCAAGCCCTGTTCGTTGAGACCTTTGGCAGCAAGGATAAGAGTGCTTCTCGCATCGCTCAACTCATCAGGGGACACGCTGACACCGTCCGTGGTAGACGTGAGATTTTGGCAATTTTCAAAAGCCCTGAAGCCCAAGACAGAGAGCTCGTGAGTCAAATACGTGTCCGCATACTCAAACCCGTGACGGAGATAGTAGAGTCTCAGGAGGGCTTCGAAACATACTCGAGAATGGGATAGGTGCGCACGGATGGTACCCAATGTACTTTCGTCGATGGGCTCGCTGGAGTCATCGGTGTGTAGCTCGCAGAGATTCGTTATCAAATTGTGATAGCCAAGACTAACAACACGTTAACGTATATTGCGGCCTCGCCTGGGTCCATCGTGCGTTTTCTTGTGTTCTAGGGGCTGTCGACACCCCAAAACATGTACATGCCCACACAACCTGAAAGGCAAAAGAAGACCGAAGGCCGTAAGAAATGTAGTTACTCACTGGAGTTTGAGCTGAACAGGAAACACAATCTCGGATGGGCCCAGACATTTTGGCAAGGAGGTGAACCACGAGGTTAGTTTCGGCAGATACTCGCTGATCGTCTGCGACGCGGGTGGCGTGGAACCGGTCGGAGAAAAGAGGTGGCCGACAAGGGAGTTGATGATGACGGCGAGTCGAAACTTGGAGTTGGCCAGGTGGCCAAAGTGCATGGGAACCAGGGTTCGACTCAACGGGTACCGAAGAAATGTCTCACCATACCATTCGGGATACTGGTCAGGGTCGGGCAGCGGTGTTTGAGGGGGTTCTTTAATCAGGGGTGCCACGAGGAAATGATAAGATTGCAAGCTTTGCAGTTTAGTCTTGGTGATAATAGGAGATGTGTAGGTGAACCTACCTCGTCCACCAATAGAGATTCCACGCTGTGATGGCATAGCAGTGCTGCTTACGGCTTCCCTTGATGGCCGAGGCCGGGGCGAAGATGTTGAGATCATGCGCCATAGACACTGCGTGAGAGATATACGCAAATCCAATCTGGTCCATTGAATGAACGTTTAGAATCATGTTAAAAACCATGGCAGCTTGAACAACCGTGATAGAAGCCTTTTCGTTCACTGATATTTCCCAAAGTCTCCTGGCTTCAGAGAAGAACTTGTAGCCCAAGTTGGTGGGATTCCAGTGCTCCCATCGATCCTTCATGGCTAAGTGACAGTGCTGTGTCGGGAGAAAACAGCATTGTTAATATGGAAGCTTCTCACACTTGGTGATTGTGAGTGGCAAAACTTACACATGCCTGGGCGAGGATGACATTGACGAGGAGTGAAGAGCAAAAGTGTTTTTTACCAGAAAGCATGTCGTCAAGGAAATGATCTTTGCAGAAGCAGGATAGCCAGTGATACTCGTGGAGGAAGTATAGGCGTAGCAGAGTCCTCATGAGGTCGTCATCATCGCTGATCGTTGTCCACATGGATGGCTTCACGGCATCGAGTCTCGGGTCTTCGATGGCGCTTGCGTGGTATGGTTTATAAAACTGCGGCGTGGCATGGTCATCCATGCCAAAGTGGGTTTCTTGCGGCTCGGCATTGGGACCTGCGGTCACAGACATGACCTCGTACACCGCCGAGCGCATGTAGGGGACGTCTGACCGCTTCCGAATCGACAGCGGCATGTCTGTTCGGTATGGGAACACATAGCGATACCTCGTCTCCGGGGCCACACGCAACTGGAGCAGGATATCCCCGATACTGATGGAGCGCGCGACGGCTTCGATATCGACACCGTCCCGAATACGTTGCAAAATGGCTAATGCGTCAGTCCTGTTGGATGTCTTCATGGCTTCAACGACCTCGGATAAAGCAAGGTGAGAGTTCCGCAATCGCTCAAGCTCGCTTTCGAGCTGTCCATGCTTTCTCTTCAAGGCCGTCACCCTCGTCTCAGCTGGCTGGGTGCTGTAGACGCATTCTCTCTGGCGAGCGGTGCACTCGTGACAAGAGGGACGTTCTCCATTACACTGAGCGGGCACCGTCAGAATCGCTACATGATTCTATGGATACACATGGGCAGGAGAAATCAGATGGCAGATACCTTGACTCGACGTTTCCTACAGAGATCACAGGCGGCGATCACATTCTTCTTTTGTGGAGTAGACGGCGATTGGGGTGGTGGAGGGGCGGGAGATTGGTCCGGTGGTGGCCGGGGAAGGAGGGGCCGTAGAGCGCCGTTTGAGGCTGCGTCGGCCATAGCGAGGACATAATTGGGGAATGTGTAATTATATTGGAGGGCGGTGACGGAAAGACAACGAAATCACACAGAGCAGCATGTGAACTTATCCGGCTCGGTCGACGAAATTTAGCTCACGTGTTAGGAACGGTCTTAGGCTACGGAGCCACTTCCGGGCCTTGTAGCCAGTCAGAATGAGATAGTGACCTCATACCTTCCTCGAGCCTTCATTGACGGAACTTTGATTGCATCTGTCTCCTTCCAATAAGGAAGGCGAAGCTGGCTATGGAGTTATCAGTCTAAACCTTGATGACATAACACTCTTTAAGTGCATAACTCAGTCAGCCATCCTCATATGCCGCATAGCAACATTTTTGTAAGTAGCAAGAAACTAGGAGCAATTTGTTGGTTAACAAAGCTACCTATGCATTCGCATCGTCAGCGTACTTTGTCACACCAAAGGCCATCATCCATCATTCGCCATTTGACTGGAAGCTCATCAGTCCATACCGGTTTTTTTCGCAACTAGAAGCCGAGCTGGAATGTAGGCTGAGATTCAGCCAAGGTACCCATCCGCCACTCCCGTCTGCGACCTCAGTGCCGCAACCACACTGAATGTCTCCGGGTTGTCGCAGGTGTCTAACATTTGGGCATAGTTCAACGAGTGTCGCCAGCTTGGGAGAAGCAAAATTATGGGATGACATATGCACGACACCGCGCAAACCGTCAATGCACGAGCGTCCGATCCCCTGCGTCACCTGTAGCAATGGCTGCCATTGCCGTCAACCATTCACAATTGAGCACAGGCCAAAATGCTGAGCAAAACAGTCAGCGCTATGCTTCAGGGGCTAGAGGTACCATACTTCACCGCCTGCACCGCTGATCTTCCAGCACAAGTGGAGCCCTCCCGTCCTCTCCCCTGGTGCTTCAAGCCAGCCATCCTTCAGCCCCGGAAAACAAACTTGACTGGATTGGCAACACTTTGTATCCTCTGGAGTGTTATGTACATAGTAGAGCGTTATGTATCTGTGTAAGTATAGAGCGGATGTGTATGGAAAGAAGGTGGAGTGCTTCTTTCCCCAAGAGAATCGCCCCCGGTCACTTCACGTGACTCCGCACGACCCCTGACCGGGGCCTCCTTAATTTCGTGACGTGCCGATACGACCGTCATTGTTTTCCCCTTCCCCTTCCCATTTCGTCCTCAAATCCAGAAAAGAATACCCACTTGGATTCTTCCTGTGTTTAATACTCCTTCTTGTCCCACCCCGTTGTAGACCTTTTGGCACCTTTTTTCTCTGCCAGTCGTTCTTTTTGGTCCTCAACAAACCGAACCAACTATATCACACTCTTTATTTTTTTTGTTTAGTCACTGCCGATCAGTCCTTGACCAACCACAGTCTATAATTATTTTGGGAGTTTGCTATTTCTGCTTACAACCCCGCGACCGACACGAGCGCATTCTTTCTCAGTAACACATCAGCATAATCCATTCAAGATGAAGGCCTCCCTTTCCGTTGCCGCCCTCAGCGCCCTTGCGGCCACTGCCTCCGCCGAGAACTACCTGGGCTTCAACTCTGGTGCCACCAAGGCCGACCGCTCTGCCAAGTTCAAGGCCGACTTCGCCGCTGAGTTCAAGACTGCCCAGAACCTCGAGGGCGCCCCCGGCGACTTCAACGCCGTCCGCCTCTACACCAACATCCAGGCCTACTCCACTGAGGACCCTATCGAGGCTTTCGAGGCTGCCATCGACACCAACACCAAGATCCTCCTCGGTGTCTGGGCCTCCGGCACCGACAACATCGACAAGGAGATCAACGCTCTCAAGAAGGCCGTCACCAAGTACGGCACCAAGCTGACCGATCTCATCATCGGTGCCTCCATCGGTTCCGAGGATCTGTACCGCAACTCTGTCACCGGTGTCAAGAACAAGTCTGGTGTTGGCGCCGACCCCAAGACCCTCGTCAAGTTCATCGAGGACTTCAAGAAGGCTTTCAAGGACACCCCTCTGTCCAAGGTCTCCATCGGTCACGTCGACACCTGGGACGTCTGGGGAAACTCCACCAACAAGCCCGTCCTCGACGCCATTGACTGGGTCGGTGTCGACGAGTACCCCTACTACGAGAACGACAAGGGCAACGACATTAAGAACGCCGGTCAGCTCTTCGACAAGGCCTACGCCGCTACCATCGCCACCGCCAACGGCAAGCCCGTCTGGGTCACCGAGACCGGTTGGCCCGTCACCGGCCAGAAGTGGGATCAGGCCGTCCCCAGCGTCGAGAACGCCAAGAAGTACTGGGACGAGGTCGGCTGCCGTCAGCTCTTCGGCAAGACCCCTACTTTCTGGTACAACCTCCGCGACTCCAACCCCGACAACGAGATGAAGTTCGCCATCACCAAGGACCTGTCCACCAAGCCCCTTTTCAACCTCACCTGCCCCACCACCTTCGACACCCCCACCGGCACCGCTTCCTCCTCTGCCTCTTCCACCGCCACCGCTAAGCCCAGCTCCAGCTCCGGTGCCAGCTCTGGCTCTGGCTCTGGCTCTGGTTCTTCCGGCTCTGGATCCGGCAGCAACGGCACCGTTGCCTCTGGCACTCCCTCTGCCGGCTCTGGCTCTGGCTCCGGCTCTGGCTCCGGCTCTTCCACCAGCGGCTCCGGCAGCTCCCCTACGACCGTCACTGGCTCTGGTGCCGCCACTGTCAAGGTTCTCTCCACCGGTGCCCTGGCCGTCATCATTGGCGCCGTCGCCCTCCTCTACTAAGAGTAACTTGCATCACGGGGTAAAAGTTTGAGCGCATGGGGCTGGTGTACTTTGATTCTCACTGAACATGTGTTTCCGGTATCATAATCATGGATAGACTGAGTATAGACTGAAGGAAATGTGATTAATCATTCAACCCAACCAATACCTGCACACTTTTGTGGTGGCTTGCTGATGTGATGCATTCTCACTCATCTCACTCTCACCGTATATGTGAATTGCGCTCGTGTGTATGACAATGTCTCACCGACGGGCCCGTGTCGCGGCTTGAATCATCATTCCCTGTTTTCTCAGCTCCTGACTCGGTGAAGCCCCAACGCCTCTGAACGACGCCCCCTCCCGATCCGCGTTCCAATAGGGCAGCAGAAGCCGGAGATGAGGTGTGCTGATCACCCCCCACTTGGAGACGTGGCGCTAGGCAAGGTCACGGCAGGTTCTGGACCACTGGCGGCTCGTTCGTATTGGTTTTCTTCTCTCCTGCAAGGGGAAACCAGCAGCATCCACAAAACAGGGCGCAGGACTGGGGGGGAGGGGGATACCCAAGGCTAAATTTAGCCCCAGGGTCATTGGTTTACTGGGCATGCCCTGAACCTCGGATACTTTTCCTGCCAACGAGAGCGGCAGCAGCACTGATGCAATTCAACTTTTGTCTTGTCTGTCTGCTATTCTGTGCTGAATCAGTTGAGAAGCAACGATGTGCTGCGATGTGCAGTGCGAATGGGCAAAGGAAACTAAGCAGTTCCGTGTGGCAGAAGGATTACGCGTCGGGATGAGCGCCGGTACGCCTTTGTTTATTGTTTATTGTTTTTTTATTTTATTTTTACAACCGTGTATCTTCTTCCACGTCTTTCGTGTTCAAGCAAGGAAAAAAGGGAGAGAATCGACTCGTGGCGGTACCTTGAGCTAAACCGCTTCAGACGGCTCCAAAAAAGACTTGGCTTGAGGGGGGGATGACGGGCTCTCTGGTTCTGCACTAGAGGCTACGGGAAGCAGTGGAGCACCCATATAGCACGGTCGGTTAACTTGTTAGGCTCAAAATGCATTGACATTTCCACAATGCGTCCATCGCCAAATGGGATGAACTGAAGAAAAACTTGGCTCTTTTTTCTCGGGTGAAGAGATTGGATAAGTTTTTGAGGCAGTGCAGATTCCTTACCGGTGATTATTTGATGGCGTACAGATCCCAATATTTTAATCTTAATCTTTTTTTGTTTCCTTCCACGCTGTGATGTATGTCTTGGGGAAAACCGGGTTTTTACTCTCTCTCTCACTCTCACTCTCTCTCTTTACCCCCCTGTTTTCCTCCACCGTCCCCGATGCCTGGATTCTCTTATGCAAAAAAAGACTTGGATGCCATGCAGTACATTCCCCGCCGTACAGAGAATATTTCCCGACTTGGAAATGAAAACACTTTGCGGATACATTTGCGGGTTTGTTCGTGTTTTGTGCCAAGGTCGGGTGTGCTAGTGGTTCACCTCCATCATCCATCATCCCACCCGTCCCGGATTCCCGTGATTGCGCCCGAACCAAGTCTGGTTTAGGTGGGATGTGTGTTTTTGTGTGTGATTGTGGTGTCTCAGCCGCGAGGCGACGTTTTCAACGCCTTCAGGAACGCTGTGAGACGTCATCGTTTGAGTTTCCCATCTACCTGAGATGGGCAAATGATTTCCTGGCTCACATTCTTCGACGTGAGTGTCGCGTTGGTTCGTTTAGAATGCTTGCTAAGCTGCCGGACGGTTGTTTTGCGTGTTTTCAATCTGCATCCGGCCTCCTCCCTGAAAGTGGCAACTTTAACAGCAGCTAAAATCCCAAGGCGCTGAAGATCTGTCTCGTTACCTGCTCCTACAACTTGCTAGTGTTTCCCTTAGTGTATAGTATGCATCTACCGGGGCCAATCTCCGCATACAAAGCTCGTGAGTCGCAGTTCCGCAGCGGGCTACGGCTACAGGTAGTGTAAGCGACTCAATGGTGCTGCAACCACCCCACTCTTACGAGGCAGCCCAGGACCTATCAATACAAAAGTACGTAGTACTGTATTGTGGGTCACTGCTCAGGAACAAGGGTCCGCCGACCAAAGAAATCCTCAATCATTCGCTGAGCAGCCCTAATCCAAGGCAGCCCACAGCCACACACGGCATATGAGATTCTCCCCCGGCTCTTCTCGGCATCCACACATCTGATCCGCGGAATCCTCCAAGGATCGCATCACGGGAGGGTGGCCGAGTTGGTTATGGCGCCAGGTTAAGGTCAGCTTAACATCTGTTTCCTGGTGGGGCAACCCGCGCGAGTTCGAGTCTCGTCCCTCTCATTTTGCATTTTTTGCTGCTCTAGTTGGCAGTGATTTGGGTTTTTTTTTTTTTTTTTTTTAGTTTACACGATATTGCTGGGTGGGTTGGGTAAATCTGTGGGTTTATAAGACGGCATAGCCGCTGACGAGCAGTTGCTTTTTGTCGATTTGGTTGGTAACTCTGCGACACAGGGCATAGACAGAGCCTTGATATATATATTGAATGCATTCTTGCCAGATGCGTCTATCGTTCTTGTCCCTGATGTTTGTTCCAAGCGGGCTAACTAGAAGCCATAATTCTGGTTTCCTGCATCAAGCTGGGGTTTCCTAGTGGGAATCTAACTTGAGTCAACCATCATGGTGCCCCATAAAGTACATCACATCTTTACTGCTTGTCTCGCCCTACGGCAAGAGCCAATGTTTTTGTCCTTTGGCCGTAGCTAACTTACCCTTCTAGCATTTTGGTCAACTAAGTGTTATCCGACTTATCGGATGCATTTGGAATGCTGTAGTCGAGCCCATCGAAAAGTTACGTGCGCGAAGGCCCTGTCTCCTAGAATTGAATTAGCACAGGCTACTTACTGCCCCTCTCATCGCAAATACAACATATTCCGTATGGTAGAAGCTCGAAATGTCCGAGGAAACTTTGGGAGCCGCATTGGCTGCTGCGCAAGGTTGCCCGTCATTGGCAAGCTTGAAGATCGCCGGAAGCTACTTGTGCACAGCACTTTTTCTTGACGAGCCAACAGCTGGGCTGGGGGGCATGTATACAGTTATCGTAGAGCCAGTCTGTGGTCTAAGGCTCTGTAGCTAATTCATGTGTGACGATAATGGGGAGAAGGGAAGAGCCTTGGCCACAACGATGCAACAATTCAGTATCAACTCTGCCTAAGCAATCGGATCAGTGTGTGTTCTGCTGCTACTAGAGCAGATGAGTTTTCGGGCAAAAAACCAACCTCCCAAGGGAAACAAGTCTCACTCTGTCAGCACAATACCCACACTGAAATTTGTTTTGTTAATTTCCATCATGAAGCGCGTTGGATATATGTTTGAGGTCCAGCTTTCCATCTATCGCGAGTTCGACGACACGTGTTGATGACCGTATTACCTCCTCCAAGAGCCTGGCTAAGAGCAAGGCGCACAATGCCACAGGCTCCGTTTGCGCACTCCCTCTACAGAACCCGCCACAGCAAAAACCACGTTTAGCTTCCGCGAGTCGGACTTGGCGCCTTCTATGATATCAAACGAAAGCTTGAGATGGGGGTCAACGTGAGCGGCTGCGCTATCTTGTTTGTAAATATATACAACTCTATTTCTAATTCTATACATTCAGAAACACCACAAGTTGCTTCAAGTTCTCACTTCAAAACCTTCTAGGGTTCCCTTGGAGATGTACTCCGAAACCCTCTTCTTGAAGTCAAGAATACCCGAGCCCCAATGGACTCGTCTCGATCGAGCAGCCTGCTCCTCGGGTGTCTGCTTTCGTAGCGCCCCATCGGCTTCTCCATTGAACCAACCCGGGGTACAAGTCGCCAAAGCAGTGAACCACAAGGCTCTCTTTTGCACTTCATCTGTGTAGCGGTCCTCGGCTTCCTTGGACGGCTCAATGACCAGCAGGTTGCTGGCCTCTCCGGCTTCCCTGTGCGCCACAGCAACTGCGTTGGCCACAAATGTGGCCGCAACGTCGTAAGCAGAAGTCAAGTTGTATGAGACACCGCCGCCTGGAATACCGCTGAAAAAGGCGTTGGGAAATCCGGCGGAGCAAGCACCGTAGAAAGTCCCGTATTCTGGAGACCCCCACTTCTGTGAAACATCGACTCCGTTCCGCCCGATCACAGGAGCATTCAACTGGGCTGATGGTGACGGGGGGCCACTGATAGTAAACCCCGTAGCCAACACCAGAAGATCCAAGTCATACAGAGTCCCATTTGCGACAACCCCGTTTGCGGTAAAATCGTCGACTCCTTTCCCGTCAGTATCAACAAGGGTGACGTTGGGCAAGTTGAAGGACTTCAAGTAGTCGTCGTGAAAAGCCGGTCTCTTGCACCAACCACCATACCACGGCTTCAGCTTCTCGGCAGTAGCTTTATCCTTGACTGTGTTGGCTATGTGAGCACGCAGACGCTCTCCTCGTTCCGTGTCCATCTTGTACATGGAGTCGATGTGCTCTTCTATTGTCTCTGGCGTGACAAGCTTTGAAGAGCTGCCTATGAAACCGGCAACTGAGTGGGAGTCCGGCGCTGTCCATCCATCGTTGCACAGGTTGTTCTGAACCGGATCGTTTGTGACAAAATGGTTAAAGTTGTCCTGCCTTTCGTATTGCCACCCCTTCTTATACGCCACCTTCTCCCACTCCTCGGGTGTCGTCCGGCGCTGATTTCGTGGGCCAACGTAGCTAGGGGTGCGCTGGAAGACGTAAAGATGGCTTGCCCATTGAGCAAGCTGCGGCACTATTTGAATGGCGGTGGCACCTGTGCCGATGATGCCAACCTTCTTGCCTCGGAGGTTCACCATATCGGGTTGAGATTGGCTGCCACCGGTATATTGCCAATCCCATCGGGCAGAATGGAAGACCTTGGTTGTGTTTAAAAGATCCCGGAAGCCAGGCAGCTTTGGAACATGTGGCACATTGAGTCCGCTACCAGCCGCGATCAAAAACTGCGTCTCGATTTTGAAGTGAACAGAGGTATTGCCTGGACCGCGATCTTGAGTCATTTCGATGAACCAGCGGCGTTTCGTGTCGTCCCAATGTTGGTGGGTGACTTGCGTACAGAACTGGCTCTGGAGCTGGTAATGAGAGGCAATCCGCTCGCACTGCCCACGAATTTCGGCGCCGTATGAATACTTGTTCTCTGGCACATAGCCGGTTTCCTCAAGTAGTGGCATGTAAACATACCCCTCAACGTCACACATGAGCCCGGGATATCGGTTCCAGTACCAAGTTCCGCCGAACCCGCCAGCCGTGTCCACGATGACGATGTCTGCTGCCTTGAAGCCGGCGTCGATAAGGCGCACTGCGTAAAGCAGACCTGCATGACCGGCGCCAATGATGGTGAACTTGATTGATGATTTGTCTCTTAGAGAGGTATTGTGGGCGAGGACGTGGTCGTAGTCTACCCACGGATCTCGCCCCAGCTTGTCCCCGATGGCAGGGTCGCGAAAATCGACGTACTGGTCCACGCCTTCCGGACGAAGCCGCTTTTGGCGTTCATTGTCGTAAATCTTTCGCAGCTCTGCCGTAGTCATGATGTCGGTACTGGTACTGGTACTGGTACTGGGCTTGGTAATGATTGAGAAAGCGGAAACCGGATTTTGATATCAGGTGTAATACACCGATATTGAGAAATTGCAGCGTGGGTGATTAACTGGGAATTTTCAAAGGTAATGAGAACAATTATTTAGCATATTGAATACGCAGGATTGCCCGACTCATATTCTCTTATTATATGTAAGTGTCTTCGTCAACTGCCGGATTTTCGGGGGGTTTCGCCGGGCCGTTGTTTTAAAGGACAGCCGGTGTCGATAAAGCTTTCCTAAAACGGCTGTAACTATCGGGTCTTCGGGCTCTGTCTTCACCCGACTTAGCCAGGGACTGAATGTTAAATCACTTCCATATCGCGGCGACGGAGTGGTGAAAATAGTTGCTATTTCATTACAATTGGTTGTGTAGTGAAGTAGACCCCTGGTTAAAGAATCGGAAAGTCTGGTCTTAAAAGCGTAGACCTTTTTGGCTCAAATAGATACAGTGTCAAACTGAAAGCCTGAATACTTCTCAGACTGCATTAACCCTTTAGCACTTTTACTGATAAAGACGCAACCTGTTAGATTCTCATCCTCAACTCTGGTACCGTCACGTTCCAAAATCACAAATAACCCAACCGCATTCAGATTGGTCAACACTCCGAAGTGCGGCAGCCAGCGCGCAGCTTACAGCCTCAGTAGTAGATACGGTAGTCGATAGATAAAAATGTAATCGAGCTACATAATGAAGGGTGATATTAAAGAGGGATGCGCCTAGAGAAGTTAACGTGCTCACATGAAAAGTGTGTTTTGCTCCTACAGGTGATTGGAACCTGTAGGTTGGTAGACGTACACTTTCCTATTTTAAATTGTTTAGGAAATAAATACAGAGAGATTTATACTTCTGCGCTTTCCTGGGCTTGTTAGGCTACCAGGGTTTGTTAAATGACAAATTAATTAAAATGTTACACTTTGATCCCCACGTGCCACCCTCCCCTTTTCAAAGGTGGGCAAACTGTCCTTGTATCAACCCAGTCACGATCGTTACTGCAAGAGCCTCAGTACGGGGCCGTGGTGCCGCCCAGCCGGCCAAACGCCTGTCGCGGGAGGCAGGAGGCTCCGTATCCTCCCTGCCACACGTGACGGTGACCCCAGGAAACTACATCTCTCTCATCTACTTCGGAATCTCACTTGCCACTTTCATTCAAATGCAATGCGATCGCTACGAAGGCTTCATTGTCTTTCCTTTTATTCACTCGTGCGGAAAACCGCATACTACGCCAGTAGTCCAGCAAAGTAACTAATTGTGCCGGTCGTGAAACATACTTACTTACAGTTGGGAAAAAAAAACGGCCTAAGAGTTAAAGCAATCCTGCAGTACAACAAGGCAATAGTCATATAGACAGAGACCGAGGCAGAATGAGTAAACGACTTGTAAGTAAATAAAAAGAATAGCGGCACAAACATATGTTAACTAAGCAGGGCTATCTCATTCGGTAGGCAGGCTGGTAGCAGTTGAACAGCAAATGTAAACACATCTCTAGCTCACCTCAGGACCTGAATAGTCAAAAGTTGTCCTCTGAACATGACGAACAGACATTCACTGTTATGCCGAGAATTTACGTAGCTCGCTATGTAGTATTTTCGCTCCTCTAACTACTTATAGCTAACTGGTAACTAGAGGCCATTGTATATAGTATTATCGCTGTTATTAATCGAAAATTTCTGGTTTTGAATAGGGAGAGTTATTATAAATAAGCGAATGAAAGTGTCTTATTGAGTGCTTGTCTACTATGCCTTCCGTTAGGAAAGGTCTTCTAATCTGTCTCTGGTTAATACCTGCAAGGGAAAAAAGCCTGAGGAGAGACTGCCTCTTTGTGATTAGCCAGTCTCGGCTATCTAGATACGACTGTTAATAAATATTAGGTTTCAACTGTCTTGGTGCGGACTTCCGTAGGTTGGTTCGCCGCTGTATTTGCTATGCTTGGCCCGACCAGTGCGGCGTTTCGGGCAGTGCGAGCTCCGTCCGCGTCCGGCGGCTGCTTGAAAGACGGCATCCGCGCCCTCCGATCCTGATTTATGTCTTGTAGCATTTTCCTTTACAAGTCACCTATCGTGGCTGCCCGCTTGATTTTATGTCCAGAATCTTGACCGGTCACCAGAACCCCGGCAGTTAATTTTAATGCTGATACCATGTTTAGCGCAGGCGACACAACTGCTCGAGTGCCGACGATGAACATCGTCATCCAAGTAGTCGGCAGCCGAGGTGAGAGGCCGTCCACACATCTAAACTTCATTTCTATACCGCACCGCTGATGGTTACGCTTCCAGGTGATGTGCAGCCTTTTGTCGCACTGGGCACTGCGCTCCGGCTCCACGGGCACCGCGTGCGACTCGCGACCCACGATGCATTCGCCGACTTTGTGCGGAACTCCGGCCTGGAGTTTTATCCTATCGGAGGAGATCCAGAGTATCTTATGTCGGTATGAAAGTACTGCCAGTTCTCTTCCTGAATCGTCAAGCTCATGTGCCGCCGCAGTACATGGTCAGGCACCCCGACTTGATGCCGTCGATGAGCAGCCTCCGGTCTGGCGAGGTGACACGAAAGCGCAGAATGATCCAGGAGATGCTGATGGGTCTCTGGGATGCTTGCATCGAGCCGGATCCTTTATCCAATGATCCCTTCGTCGCCGACGCAATCATCGCGAACCCCCCGGGTTTCGCTCATGTTCACTGCGCGCAGAGACTCGGCGTGCCCGTCCACCTCATGTTTACGATGCCATGGACGCCAACATGAGAGCTGCCACATCCCTTTATAGCCGGGAAAAAGAAATATAGGGCGACATCACCTTACAAGCAGAACTCAATAAACTACTGGAGCTACGGCAAGGTGGACTATCTAACGTGGCAGGGGTGAGTTCTTGAGGGGGCGCTCACGTATGCACATGGGCACTAATGTGACTTATTTTAGTCTAGGAGACGTCATCAATCGATGGAGGAGGAAAGCTCTAAGCCTCGAGAGCCTGCCGGACAGTGTTGGCAGCGAGCTGCTCGAAATCGTTCAGCCACCCTTCACCTACTGCTGGTCGCCGTCGCTCGTGGGCAAGCCAGCAGACTGGCGGTCAAACATCGGTACGATCCCAGCCATACCAATTATGTGACAGTCCCCTTTTCTGACAGTTGATTTTTCTTGCAGATGTCTGCGGATTCTTTATGCGATCGGAACCGCAATACGAACCCCCTGAACGCCTTGCGGCCTTCCTCGCCTCCGGCCCACCTCCAATCTATGTCGGCTTCGGAAGCATTGTGATAGACGATCCATCAAAGATGACGGAGTGCATTCTGGAAGCATGCCGTTTGACAGAAACAAGAGTAATTTTGTCGCGGGGGTGGAGCAAGCTTGGAGGCAACCACGTGGACTCGGATCGTCTTCTCCTTCTTGACGACTGTCCACATGGTAGGCACATGGACGACTCAATCAATGATCTTGGAAATGTCCGCTGATAAATACCTAGAGTGGCTTTTCAAGCGCGTATCCGCGGTAGTTCATCATGGCGGAGCCGGAACTACAGCTTGTGGATTAGTCAACGCGCGACCTACTATCATTGTACCGTTTTTCGGCGAGTAAGATTATGTCCCAATGTCGATATCCCTCAAGAAAAACTACAAAGAAAAATCTTTCTGACGCACCTAGCCAATACTTTTGGGGTTCCGTCGTGGCTGGCAAGGGTGCTGGACCGGAACCGATTCCTCACAGGAGCCTTGATGTGCAAACACTGGTAGCCGCGATCCAGTTTTGCTTTACGGACGCTGCAAAAAATTCCGCACGCATCATAGCCGAAGGCATGCAGAAGGAAAATGGGGTTGAGGAGGCAATAAAGTCCTTTTATCGACACCTCCCCCTGGACGCCATGACATGCGAAATGCTGCCGACTCGGGTAGCAAGGTGGCGTTGCAGAGTTTCAGACAACGTAAACGATCAGCGACGCGACCTATCAATCTCAGATGCCGCTCTTAGTCGCCTTGTTGCCACAGGAGAGCTCAGCAAGTCTATGGCTCGGCCGTAAGTCTAGAAATGGGTGCACTTTGCTCTTTTCCCTTGACGCTAAGCTGTGTGCTCGTTACAGCCTGCGGACCAAGGAATATCCAATGGACCCAACGCGATGGGACCCATTTACGGCTACATTGTCATCCATGATGGATACCTTAGGCGATTTCTGCATGTCTCTTGGCGAAGGGGTTGTCGAACCTCCGCGGGCCTTTGCCCAAGCCCGCAAATTGAAAGGCAAGCGGTCAGGGACACGGGCATTCATATCAGCTGCCGGGAGGGGCCTCAAGAGGTCAGGTGGCGCCCTAATCAAAGGGACCATCGTCCAGGTTCCGATGGCACTGACTCAAGGTTTTCGAAGTTTCCCCCGCGTTGTCGGGGGCCACGTCGACGAGCCACTGCACGTGGTTGACTGGTCGAGCGGACTTCAAGCCGCTGGTAAGGTGAGACGGAAATCCACTGCTCCTCAAAGACTTGCCAGGGGCCCTACGCAGATCTGACATTCACAGAACTTCCGTACAGAGCTGCAGCAAGGGGCTTCTGGCATCGCGGTGACACCATGGCGCAGAGCTCGCTCCGAAGGCGGGGAAGGGTTCTTCAAAGCTATCGCCCGTGGATCATTCTGTGCAGTGACGAAAGCCGGCAGCGGTACGTAATGCTACGACCGGCCGACAGGGCGTATAGTGGCCACGACTAATTGAACGGTGTAGCAATAACAGGCCTTTTGGCTTACCCTGTCTATGGGACTTATCGCAGCATCAAAAAGAGGCATCAAACCAAAGCCGAGGAACTCATTAGTAAGAGAAAGGACTTGCTGCTTGCAACTATGACGAAGAAAGGGGGTAGTGGAGAGGAGAGGGACAGCAACATCATACGCTAGACGGTTGCTCTCCTAAGCCTAGGAAGCCAAGTATAAATGTTATAATTCTATGTCGTTATCTGGGCCTTTAAGGTTAGGTATGAGGCTTCTAAGTGTAAAACTAAGTAAGCTATTTTAATATAACTTTTTACTTAATAGTAGGTGGAAGATTGTATGTACTAAAACATAAAGCAGAAAAAATCAATATGGCATGATTGTGTAATACCAGTCAGGACATGGAGTAGTAGATTGGAGATGTGCTTGACTGTCAAGCCAAGAAAGCTCTACAATCTAGTTACCGAGCACTACTGAAAGGAACAGCCGCACAGTCGTGCGCGATGATAGAGAAATATACACGTATTTGTACGCTTAAATGGTCAGAATGTTTTATTCTGGATTTTATTAAGCAAGTCAAATAAGTGTTTGCTAAACTTGCTAAACTAAATTCTTTTTCTTTAGCTAACCTACAATCATTAAGTCCAGTATTTTTATTGAATAAACAATCAGTTTTTCAAATACTGGAGTTTTATTGAATCCTCTTGCAAGTATTTATCCGGCATAATAGATGGATTGAAATGATTATTATGACTTAAATGGACCTAAAATACCGTAGTATTTTTGGCAGGTCTACTAACCAGTAGCTCCTTGTCAACAACTCTATCAATACACTTGAAGCACCCTACCTATTTAGCTAGCTTGTCTGAGACGTCTTGTTAAGGATGCCCAGGACGACCACCATACATGCCAAAACTAGTTTGGTCGAACGGATCCAGGGGAACCGCCTGCCATTGCATAGGAAAGAGTTCTTGGTCCATGTCAGAAACCATATCATCGTATATGGAGCCAAATGAGATGGATTCTATGCTCGCGTCGGCAACAGGGGGGGCGAGGCCATGCCTGAGCTCAAAATAATGTACGGCGGCGTCGTGTAGGGGCTTAAAGCTGCCCAGGAGATGCGTGGCACTGGGCGACTCCTCGCTCTCCGCACTCTCCAGCGACTTGACGAAAGAGCCGAGGAGCCGCAAGTCCTCAGTTTGGAGCGTCCAGACGGCATTACAGAGAACAACGAAGAAGGGGGCAGACGTGACGGCGAGCATCGACCTGCTCCCGAGTTAGCATCTGCAACCAAACGGCCTGGCAGCAAGATCTCAAGCGTGGAAACCGACCAGTGGGTGCACAGTTCGAAGAGAAATGCGTCTTGCGTTCCCTCTAGAGACATGGTTTCCGTGTACTGCTTTAGCGCTTCTCTGGCCGTGGAGATGCATTCTTCGGAAAAGGAAGTGCTCCCTAGGGTGACGCTGCGATGGATGAGGCACACGAATGATAGGTGTGATACATGGTCACATCGCGTTAGCAAATCGTCGAGCTGTCCTCCGAGGACTTTTCGCCGCTCTCTCATAAATCGTGTCTGTGATGAAACGCCAGTAAGTGAACCAGAGCAAGTCACAGAATCCGCATAAAAACTCACGTTCGGCTGATCCCCCTCGTCCGTAATCCTCTGTACATCTGCCAAGAGGGTCGCTGCTCGAGCAACCCTCTCCTCTTGATCCAACGTCAATGCAAGTGGGCTGTAAAGTTCCTCGTACACTCGCCCCTCGATCTGTGCTAGTTGTAGCCACGTGGAAGATAGGATACCAAGCGTGCTTCCCCATTCGTAGCCGAGTCGGACATCTCGCAGCGGGAGGGTGAGGTCGTGATCATTGATAGTTGATGACCGGCCAAGCTGAAGCGAGAGATTCTTCTCGATGATGTAAAGCGACCAGAAAAGCTTCGAATTTTGCCGGGCCTCGGTACTGAAGCTCTCAGTCTTTTCGCATGCCACTCGATGCAGTCCTAGAGCTTGGCTCATTCGTGAGGCCACGCTGACGTAAGTCCACGCCGTCACGGTCTTGCACTGGGAGATGCAGTATTCTGCCTGAAAATCATCTGTAAATATGTGCCTGTTTGAGGGAAGTAGATGGACATGACAACTCACCGCCATGGTCATAGCGAGTACGCACTCGACTGTCGTCGGCAGATGGAGAGGGAGCCGGGCGAGTACGACATCGGCAATTTCCTGACACGAGTTGGCTTCCTCCAGGTATCTGGCTCGGCGTTCTGGACACGTTAGGGTTCTAGCACACGCCAAAAACAATGAGTGCAAGCCGATGTAAGTGATGACCAGCTCGGGTGGAGTTGATATGGTTTGAAGAGTATAGAGACCGAGCAGCTGGTTCGTGACCTGTCCAACGCTATCAAAGCACATGATCCAGAATTTGCTGATCAATGGACTTTCCTTAAGAATACGAAGGCATTCTAATGTTAACTGCACCGGGGGGAGATAGTGCCCGTGGGTCTCGGGGACAAGTTTCGAGCCGCTGCTCCCCGGAGATGGGATGGCTGATGTGCCCGACCGTCTGATGGTATCTCGAACGGTTTGTATAAACGACTGAACCTCATCAGTGCCAGAATGGGAGGCATTACTTTGCAAAGCTGACTCCAACACATCGGTGGTGAAGTTGGCATGGGCCGCGAGAGACGAGTCTCCCGTGTACTGCGACTCCTCGTCAGCGGGAGACAAATCGTCTCCTCCGTCAGGTTGGCATATCTGCCAAGGGCTTTTGCTGTTGGATTCGCGGCCGCCAGATAGACTTGATGAGCTGTATGCGCCGCGACTCGAATCCTCAAGGAGGACGAAGAGCTTGCCAAGCCGTTCAGAGAGATCATCGATCTTTGCTTCCCTGCATATAATTAGGTGCTGTGTTAGCCATACCCACAGATCACAACTGGGTCCGGAACCCACTCACAAGTGTCCCCGCTCCGCGGTGGCCGAGGGGCCCGGTTTGACGGCTCTTTTCGGCCTCGCCTTGTAACCGAGGGCGTACGTACAGACTACGCCCAGGCGTGTGCACCGCGCACACGGGTTCTGCCTGTCGCACCCGACCTGAAGCCGCAAGCTTGTGAGTCCTACCGTCTAAAAACTTAGGCAGACTGGGCTCTGAATGCTCACCTTTCGCAGTCGGCATGCATCGCACTACATTATGTAGCCCTGGTAAGTATGGGGGCCAGGAAACTGTGGTGCATGCTGTAAGTTGTTCGGTACGTGCTTACTGAGAGCTTGTGACGCGAAGCGGAAGCAGCCTCCACGGTAGCCGGGGTCGTCGATGTGCTTGCGGCCTTACCAGTTTTCTCAATGTCCTCCATGGTGGTTGGTTAGATTGCATCCAAAAAAGAGGCCTACGTTGTGTTGTGGAGGTTGGCGACAGCCACAGCGGTATTTCGGACGCGGAGACGGAGGCAGTGTCTTATAAGTTATGAAAGGGTCGGACTTTCGGATGGTGGCTGGTCCGCTTGGTCCGACTGTCTCAGTGATTACTGCATAGCTCAGCTGGGACTAACCAGTAGCCACGGCCTCGAGTGTCTACAGCAATCTTCGGACCCTGAGAGTTCCACAGTCTTCTGACTGCAGGCCTTTCAGGTCCGTACAAGGTTCTATTTGCAGCTCAGCGTTGTACTGCTGGGAGTTAATGTTGAGTGGTTACATCTATTAGCTCTTTGTGGAGGTGTGGACGGCGAACAGGGGTTGCCGCCCCTTTCAATTCTTCACGTAGTCACCACTCTCTCTGCCTTCTTGTCACTCACCTTCGACATTTTTCACCCCTTTGAATATTTACCCGCCACCTGACCATCCCCAAGCTTGAGTTTCTCAGAATGTCCCGTATCATCTCGCAAGACCGTGGTGCCCATGACAGTTATGGGCCACCGGATGGTCTTAAACTGGCAGAAAAAAATGCCAGAGACGGCCGCACAAGCGCCGACGGCATAGTTGAACAAACGTCGGCCGATGATATGCTCGGCCATCTTGGCTATGACGCGCAGCTGAGCCGCAATCGCTCGACCTCCCACGTCGCCTTCATGGCGTTCGTCTTGGCGGCAAACCCCTACGGCCTGGCGACTACCCTGAATTACCCCCTGATTGGCGGAGGACCTGTTAACATCATATGGGGGTGGCTACTTGTTGCACTTATCGTCATCTGTGTGGCCGCGTCTCTTGGAGAAATCACCAGCATCTATCCCACAGCAGGAGGTGGGTTTGTTCGGGCTCCGTCCATCTACGGTCCGGTTGATCCATGGCTGCCAACTGACGATGGTTTGACCAGGCGTGTACTACCAAACCGCAATGCTTACTCCAGAGAAACACCGACCTCTGACGAGCTGGATTTGTGGATGGCTTTTTGTCGTAGGCAATATCTCTATCACTCTGTCTGTCAACTTTGGCACGGCGACCTTTTTCGCGGCCTGTCTCAACGTGTTCGAGTCAGAGCCCGGTGTAGGCATCTTTCCTGGACAGACATATCAGATTTTTCTCATCTTCGTTGCCATTACCCTGCTATGCAACCTTGTTGCCTCGTTGGGCAATCGCTGGCTTCCGTGGATAGACGTGAGTTGCTGGACCACCCCAGGCCGCCCCCCCTTGAAAGATTTTGTTCCTCGTTGACATGCAGCCTGAAGACCTTCGCTATCTTTTGGACCTTTGCCGGAGTCATCGCAATCATCATATCTGTCCTTGTCGTCGCCCGTAATGGGAGGCGTTCAGCTGGTTACGTCTTTGGTCATTTTGAGACACAGTCTGGCTGGCCCTACGGGTGGTCGTTTTGCATTGGGTTGATGCATGCTGGCTATGCCACGTCGTCTACCGGCATGATTATCTCGTAAGACTCGTATCGCATTTGAGGGCGTCCCTATGGCATAGCTAACGAATCTATCTCTCACAGGATGTGTGAAGAGGTTCGATACCCATCCATTCAGGTGCCTCGGGCTATGGTGGCTACGGCATGCATCAATACTGTGGCCGGTCTTCTCTTCCTCATACCTCTTGTTTTTGTCCTCCCTGACATTCAAACGCTCCTTGCCGTGTCAGGGGGGCAGCCCGTCCCAATGATTATTAAGAGCGCCATTGGTTCTTCTGGGGCATCCTTTGCGCTGCTGATGCCGCTCGTGATTCTTGGCATCATCTGCGGCATAGGCTGCACGACAGCGTCCTCGAGGGCCACATGGGCTATTGCTAGGGATGGGGCCGTGCCAGGATCGCGGTGGTGCAAGAAGGTCAACAATGCCCTCGGTGTTCCCCTCAACGCCATGATGCTCTGCATGGTCATAGAACTTTTGCTGGGGCTCATCTACTTCGGATCGCCGGTCGCTTTTAGTGCCTTTTCCGGTGTTGGTGTAATTTGCCTCACAGGAGCATATGCTTCGCCCGTCGTCATCAGCCTCTCCCAGGGCCGCAAGCCTGTGGCAAAGGCCAGTTTTCGTCTCGGTCGCCTGGGATACCTCCTCAACGCTATTACTATAGGTATGCGTCTTGAAGTTTTACTTCTTTGTCTAGCTCAACCAAACTCGAAAATCGTAGCTAACCTTTGACCTTGATTACATTCAGGTTGGTCACTTCTGGCGATCCCGCTTTTTTGCATGCCGTCTCCTCTGCCGGTTACAGCAGCGTCAGTCAACTATGCGCCTGTGGTATTTGTTGCGGCCATTATGTTGTCAGTTGGTTGGTACCTGGCACGGGGTCGTCATCAATATACCGGCCCTCCGACTGGTGCTTGAAATCGTATGGTATACATATAATGTTGCGTTTTCTCTTGTATTGTATTTATTGAGTAATTATCATACCTCAAGAAGGGAAAACGAACAACAAGATGTAACGAAACAGCCATGCACATAGCTATTGGGGATTAGTCCGGCACGTGCTGCCTCAGGTGCCCTTCCTCAACATCAAGTTTATGAACACTGAATTCCGTTACTTTTACTTCCATTAAAACAAGCTACTTGCAACCCAATTGTGTACCCCTTGTTGTGTGCTATATTGTAATACAGGATTATTCTGCCCGAGACTTTTTCGTTATTTTTCCATGAATAATAGTACATGAACTCCTTGCGATGATTTGTGTCAGGGATCGAAGGTACAGCGAATTGACGAAGCCACCGACGGCTGCGAGGGATGGCAAAAAAAAGTGAACTACCAGTCTACACATAGCTGTCTTCTATTGACTAGACTGAACTCTAGCCCGAGTAGCAGTCGGGCTGGACTACGTCGTCCTATAAACATCGAAACAGCAGTATTGAGGATTGTCGTAGGAGCCCTTGTAATCACCCTACTATCTGTCTTGACAGTTTGTGAACGAGTTACCCTCTAGAAACTTAATGATAGGCAACGAGGGATATGCGCTCGCTCCGCCATTACACTTTGTGGACACGTAGAGTTGTCTTAACGTCGAAGCTTTTAGCGCCAAGCATCGTGGCAAGCCTTTCAACCGTCACCCGTGGCCAATATTGTGTCTTCGGCTTGATTACCCTAGGTAGGGTTGAAAGAGCCTCGTAGGTGCGAGACTCCATTGTTCATTGCAAATGGAATGGCCCCACGTATCTGAAGTAAGGGGAACTTCCTTGTCAGCGATGTTGACATCTATTACGTCCCGCCCCCAGTGGTTCGGAATGCTTCAATGCTGGATGATGTCTGGCTTGGATTCATGACGTGTCTGGTTACTCTGAAGGTTTGGTGCACTTCCTGTTCGGGAGAAAGGTTTGAAGAGTCGGGGTTTAAGCACCTGCGCCAGCATCCGAAACCCCGCGAGTTCCATCCAACCTCGACACAATTAGGTTCGCCAAGAGACGTTCATCTTATGGAATACAGAATGAAGTTCTTTAGGTGTAGCCTGGTCCTGCCGATCTGTGGGTAGGGGCAGGCTTGGCTGGTCTATCCAGACTCGGAGAGTCCGCGATGCGCAGCCCGAAGCTCCCTCTCGCGAGCATGCCACCTGATAAAAGCCCTCCTACATCAGACGTCAGGGTCAATATCCTACTCACTGTCATCCATTGAATTCCTTCACACTCACTAGGTTCTTACTTTTGACGTTTCTTTTCTCCGACCTGCAACGCACGAAATTGCACGCATACCGCTCGGCAGGTTGGCCCGTCTTACTAGACATGAGCGCCTCAATGGAAAAGCAGAAGCCCAGGAACAGCGTCTCAGACGTGGTGGCTGGTGCGGGTGAGAATTCAAATGCTGCTGGCGGATACATGAGGATCTTCCGCTATGGCGATAAAGTCGACTTCATGATGCAAGCTGTGGCCCTCCTGTGCGCAATCGGCTCTGGTGTGGGGATGGCCATGGTCAACTTGGTTTTTGGGCAATTTGTCACGATCATCACCAAATACAGCTCAGGGTCCTCTTCGCCCGCCGACTTTCGGAGTGACGCTGCACGGCTTGCGTATGCTACATTCATCCTGCTAGTCTTCAAACGAGCTGTAACCAGGCTAACAGAAACCTAGTCTCTATTTCTTCTTGATTGGAATCGGACGCTTCATCGTCTCGTACGGATACAGCACCCTTTTCACCCTCGCTGGGTATCGGATCACGAGAAATATACGCCGCGAATATCTCCAAGCTGGGCTGAGCCAGGAGATCGCCTATTTTGATTCTGGTGTCGGTGGTTCCATTTCCATGCAAGCGACCTCCAACGGCAAGCTCATACAAGCGGGCATCTCGGACAAGCTCGGTCTCGTCGTTCAGGGCCTGTCTGCGTTCATATCAGCCTTCATACTGGCCTTTGTCACAAACTGGAAGTTGACTTTGATTACCGGCTGTATTGCACCGGCTATTATTTTGTGCACACTTGTTGCCTCATACTTTGAAACGAGATACGAAGTTAAGATCCTCGGCTGGAACGCAGAGGCTGGTTCATTCACCGAGAGCATCTTGGCCAGCGCCCGAACAATCCAGGCCTTTGAGCTCCGCTCGCGCCTCATCCAAAAGTTCGATGGGTACTTGTCGGAATCCGCGAAGGTCGGCCACAAAAAGAGTCCAGTTTTAGGGCTGCTCTTCTCCAGTGAGTACTTCGTCATGTTCGCCGGAATTGGCCTGTGTTTCTGGCAAGCCATCTCCATGATCGCCAAGGGTGAGGTCGACAATGTTGGGGATGTATTCATGTAAGTTATCTTTTCTGGGCTTTGGCTCAGTGTCTTTTGGCCACTCTTGTTCATTGAAAATCTTGCCACAGTGTCTTTATGTCTGTCACTGTTGCTGCCGCCAGTCTTACGGCCATGGCTCCGCATCTCATCGACTTTACCAGGGCAGCTTCTGCGGCGAGCGAACTATTCAAGTTGATAGACCGCAAGTCCGCCATCAATCCACTGGACGAATCGGGTGACCGGCCCACCTGGGTCACAGGAGATGTCGAGTTCAGTAACGTCACCTTTAGTTATCCTATGCGACCTGATGTTAAGGTTCTCGACAATTACTCGCTACACTTCCCGGCTGGCAAGACCACCGCCCTAGTGGGTGCCAGCGGTAGTGGCAAGAGCACAATCGTCGGTCTACTGGAGCGATGGTATGACCCGGCATCCGGCACGATCAAGCTTGATGGGCGTACTATCAACACCCTCAACGTCCAGTGGCTAAGGAAACAAATTCGTCTCGTCCAGCAGGAGCCCATCCTCTTTAGCGGCTCGGTCTACGACAATATTGTCACTGGCCTTATTGGTACCCCCTGGGAAAACGAGTCCCGACCTGACAAGCTTCGACGCGTGCAAGAGGCTGCCAAGGTTGCTTTCGCGCACCAGTTCATTACTAACCTCCCCAACGGTTACGACACTGTTATCGGAGAACGCGGTGGTCTTTTGTCCGGAGGTCAGAAGCAACGTGTAGCGATCGCCCGCAGCATTATCTCCGAGCCTCGCATCCTCCTTCTTGACGAAGCTACTTCCGCTCTCGACCCCAATGCCGAAAAAGTTGTTCAACAGGCCCTCGATAATGTCTCAAAGGGGCGGACGACTATCACTATTGCGCACAAGCTAGCGACGATTCGCGACGCGGACAATATTGTGGTTATGGAGAAAGGCAAAATCGTTGAGCAGGGCACACATAAGTCTCTCTTGGATCAGGGCGGCGCGTATTCTCGCCTAGTTCGCGCTCAAGATTTGGCTGTCAAGGAGGATGACTCGGACGGAGCAGCAAGCTCCGATGTTGAGGAACACAAAGCCGAAACTCTGGCCCTGGCCCCCACTCTGACCAGTCACTCGTCGGTAGGGCATAATGCTATGGAACGACTTGTCGAGAGGGACGATTACGACAAGTGGCAGCGAGTAGGCTTCCTCACCACAGTTCGTCGTATTCTACAGGGATCGCCCGAGCTTAAGTTGTATTTCTTGGCCGTCGTTACGGCCTGCTGCCTTGGAGGTAAGTTCATCTCTTGCAACAACTGTGTCTAGATCTAACAAAAGTTCACTGCTTCAGCTGGGCTGTATCCTGGTCAGGCTGTCTTAATGGCCAGCTTCATTCAAGTCTTTGAGGCCTCAGGATCGGATATGCGTCGAAGGGGCAACTTCCTAGCTCTTATGTTTTTTGTTGCGGGAATTGGGGCGTTCTTTGTATACTTCACCTTGGGCTGGTGCTCCAATGTTGTGGCGACGGTGAGCATTTCTTTCTTTGTTGGCTGCTGGGCTCGACTAACCTCGCCATCACTACCAGGAACTCAGTCGCAAGCTTCGTAGGCGAATTGTTGACAATATCTTGAGACAAGATCTCAAGTTTTTCGATCGCCCCGAGAACACAACAGGCGCCCTTACCAGTAGGGCAGACTCATACCCCCAGGCCGTATTTGAGCTCATGGGATTCACCATCGCCCTAATTCTTACGGCCATCATCAGCGTCCTGGCTTGTAGTATTCTGGCTATTGTGTACAGTTGGAGACTCGGCCTCGTGATCGTTCTTGCCGGCCTTCCACCCATGCTCCTTGCGGGCTACGGACGCATTAGAATGGACTCTGCTATGGATGTGAAGATCTCAAAACGCTTTTCCCATAGCGCATCAATCGCATCTGAGGCTATCACAGCTATCCGTACTGTTTCGTCCTTGTCTATTGAAAAGTATGTGTTAGAAAGATATACAAACGAACTGGACCAAGCCAACAACGACTCTCGCAAGGCTATTCTGCTCATTATGCTTCCTTTTGCGTTCACCCAGAGCGTAGAATACTGGTTCTTGGCCTTGGGTTTCTGGTGAGTCTCGCATCATCTCGGCCCGTGGCTGGCATTCCGCCGTAAAGCAGACTGACACAGTTCTAGGTACGGTTGCCGACTGGTCTCTTTTGGAAACCTCGGAATGGTCAATTTCTTTATATCTTTTCTTTCAGTTTTCTTTTCCGGCCAGCAAGCTTCCATTCTTTTCGGATTTTCGTCCAGTACGTAACCTCTGCATCTAGTACATTGATGTATCTGCCTGCGGAGTACAGCTAATAAGCAATAGGCATGACGAAGGCAGTCAATGCAGCCAACTACATGTTCTGGCTCGATCAACTGCAGCCCGTAATTCGCGAAACACCAGAAAACCGGGACTTCGGCCCAGAAAAATATGCTGCAATGGAGTTTGACCAGGTTCGGTTTTCGTATCCCATGAGACCACAGACCAGAGTACTCCGTGGAGTTAACCTTTCGGTGAGTGGCATTCAAAAATTTGCGGTTCTAATAGAAGCTGGAGGTTAACTGACCCGCTGTAGATACGGCAAGGTCAATTCGTCGCCTTTGTAGGCGCATCCGGCTGCGGCAAAAGTACCATGATTGCCATCCTCCAACGTTTCTATGACCCTGTCTCGGGCCATCTAAAGGTCGACGGCAAAGCGGTCGATCAGATGAATCCATGGCTTTTCCGTAAAGATATTGCTCTTGTGCAACAAGAGCCAGTACTGTACCCTGGCACAATTCGCATGAATATCTCTTTGGGTATCCCGTCGGATAATCTAGCGACCGTTACGGAGGCCGATATCATTGAGGCGTGCCGCGCGGCCAACGCCTGGGATTTCATCAGTTCCCTGCCGGAGGGACTTGACACTCCATGTGGTGCCAACGGCACTCAACTTTCCGGCGGACAGCGCCAGCGCATCGCCATTGCACGGGCCCTGATCCGTAACCCCAGAGTCCTTCTTCTCGACGAAGCCACAAGCGCTCTTGACACACAGTCTGAGAGGGTTGTTCAGGAGGCTCTCAATAAGGCAGCTTCGTCCGGAGAGCGAATTACCATCGCGGTTGCTCATCGTCTATCAACTATCAGACATGCTGACATCATTTGTGTTTTCCATGGAGGTAGAATTGTCGAGCAGGGCACGCATGAGCAGCTTCTTGTGAAGGGAGAACTTTACAAGAAGATGTGCGAGGCACAGAGCCTAGGTACTTAGTTCAACTTTAACTGTAGGTTTCACAGGGGGTGAAACAGGGGGTGAAACGGAATTCCGTTCGTCAATAACAAATAACAGTAAATTGGTTCTAATCGATGGTTCATGAATGTTGAAAGTGGTGTTGTTGACTAGAAGGTGGGGATATTCCCCCTTGGCCTGTCACGTGGGTCTGGGAGGCTTGGGCCTCTCAGCCTGGCGGGCGTGTGGCTGGAAGTGCCACACGGCTCCGTATTCCAACTATCGCAACACTGGAAACTCTCTTTTTATGGTGTTGAAGCGGTTGGAATACGTTGTCCCTATACAGTTCCGTCTCCTCGTCAATTCGGCCTCCTATCCCTACTTTCTCCCGTAGTTACGGTCTTGTTACCCATCCCTCCATACGTATCGTTATCGTGTTGCTATCAACGAATCTCTCGAGGGCTCGATTTGGTTTGCTCTTCGTGAGGGCATCAGCAGGGTTGTCTTCGCCGTTAATCCAACGAATTTCTTGTAGTTCTCGTCTTTCGTACGATTGTCTCAACGCCATGATATCGATCATGAGTCGCTTTTCTTTGGTAGTGCCCAGCTTCACGAGACACTCGTACAGCGAATAAGAATCGGTACAGACAACTGTCTGAATCGTTGGTAGGTTGAGGTGGTCAGTGATTGTCGCCAGGGTTGTGGCGAGGGCGTAGGCCATATCGACGCCAGCGACCATCCCGTAGATCTCTGACGCTAATACGCTGCGGGTGACTCGTTTACTCTTCGTAGAGCTGTAATGAACGAGGTTACCGTGAATCGTGAATTCTCCGTTGTTGCTGTCAGAGGAAGTGTCGTTGGCTAGGATGATCAGAAACCCTAATTGGGAGGAGAGGTCGTGGTTATTAGCGAACGACCCGTCAACGAAAACGAATAGCTTGGCTGTTGTAAGGTCGAGTGGGATAAACGTTATTCCTCGGTTAGGCGATTCTATTTGCCATCGAATCCGTTGATTCAGTGCTTTTATCGCTTCTGGCGAGGGGTCTTGGTGTTGGGCAGCAGTGGATAAATCGAAACAGGCCTCGGGTTGGCAAATTGACGCGATGTACGCCCCTCTGGCGCGTTGTTCGACATATTGCTGTTTTGGGTTGGGTTTAGTAGTCTCAATACATCGTAACTTCTTGGCTTGTCCCTTTTGCCTCAAATTGATCGAATTGTCGGTTGACAGCGCGATTATCCCTCCGTTGAATTGGAGGGGTTCGTCAATTGTGAGGATATTCTTCGCTTTTGCCGTAAAAGCCGCTTTTTCTAACTGTTCGTCTTCTAATTGTGAGAACGCCTTGTCTGACAAACCGAGGGTATCGTCGGTTTGCATGCCGATACAGCCAAAGTGTGGATTTTCGGTAGATGAGATCAATAGGCATGGATCGTACGAAGAAGTAACCATCTGGAGATTCTCTCTGTGATGCTTGTGATACGTTGCCCACCAGTGGGTTCCAGCTTCTGCGATTCCGTACAGAGGCTTCACAACCTCCATAATGGTCCCTTTTGGGTACTGGTCTTGAATTTGCTTCGGTGGGTAGGCGAGAATAGTACGATTGAGCCTTGTGGAGGATTGAACGTAGGCTTGTGTGATATCTCGAAGCCATAGTTGTTTCCCTTCTCGTAGGAGTGACGGGGTAATTGACAGAATTAGCCGTTGACTCGCCCGCTGAATCGTTGGCGATTGGGTCAATATAGCCTTCTTGCCATCGTCGGCGTAACCCTGTATTACAAGTCTCGATTTCTCGTAGGGTTCGGTTGTTTTACCCTTGACTTCGTTGACGATACGAGATCGGAAGATTCGTACGTTCTGGTGCCTTCTCTTATTGAACTGGGTGAATTTGAACACTCCTCTAGCGATGAGGCTGTTGATCTCTTGTTTAGTTGACTGTTCGAACGGTTCGCCTGGTGTAGTAATAACACCTTCTCGTCGTAGTTTGATTGCTAATTCTTCGTCTGCTTGCTCCTTAATCGATAGGAATATTTGTTGATAATCCGGGTCATCGTTGAATTCCTCTGTGAAGTGGGCGATTGGCAGTGGTCTCTTCCGGGGTCTGCCCGGGCGTCTTCTCGGTGGCTCCGGTGCCTCTTGCGGTTCGTCCGGTTCACTGCCTCCGCCGGCGACGATAATTTCGTCGCGTACTACTTCCTGCTGCGGTATCTCAGCTTCGGGTTCTTCTTCTTCTGGCGCGGCGATGGAATTAGGTGGTTGATCGGGATCTTCGTAGTATGGTTTGACTACGGTAGACCGGAAGGTCTTCGGACCACGTGGCGTATCGACAGTACAGGTTTCGCCGTTTATGGCTGCTAAAGTAAACGGTCCGGTCCAGCCCTTCTTTTCGCGTACATCGTACATATCGCCGCTGTATTTCATATCGTCGGGGTATAGTTTCGCGAATTCTGTTAATTGCTTTCCGATACGGTCTGTTGACTCGTATGGTTGGAAGTCTGTTAACGGAGAGACCGTGGGATGTGGCGGTCGGTACGGTAGTTGCCACTGTTGTTGTTCTTGTGGAGGAGGTGGCTGTAGGGTTGGTTCGACTCTTCCTCCTGTGCTGTTGGCTACTGTTGCCGGTCTCGTGATCTCTTCGTGGAATTCGGGGTCTTTTATCAGAGCCTTCAGGTTGCGATATCTCTTGACGCCTTGTTCGAGTTCTTGGGGTGACCAGTAGTGGAATTCTTCCTTTTTGAGGGCTAATGCCACGTTTTTCGAGATTTTCTTGCCATCCATTTCGACGTAGACGCCGTTACCGATTAAATAGTCTCTGAAGAATCGTAGGATTGGGGGAGGTACGTTCTGGAAGTCTTCTTCTGACCAGTCGGCGAAATCGGGAGAAACTTCGTTCCATAGCTCGAGGCCCGTGAGATTCCTCTTCTCATAGGTCTCAAGTAGGAAACCCATATAGGAACCCAGTTGCTGTGGGCTAGCGTTTGTAAGGTCGATTGCCCAGTTGCCCCATACTGCTGGATCGATCATACTTTCGATTCTCTGTGGGATGGGGACTGTTGATTGGCTTTTGGCAGTGACGCCGCTCGCGGGCGATCCTTCTCGTGAATTTCGCTCCATTCTGACAGTATAAAAGGATTACTTCGTAGATTCTCTCGTGAATCTCTCTTTCTCGCTTCGGGCTTCGCTCCTTACTATTAAGAAGTTTAGAATCTTTCGGCGTGTTCTTCTTCTAGTGGGGAGGTCTCTTGTGGCAGGCGCCTCGCGGTTGGCACCTCGTCTGGGGATTTATTGAGAAACTAGCGGGCGCCTCGTGATTGGCACCGCGCGTGGGGGATAGTTGTAGTTGGGGAAGTTGTTGTCCCTTGTGGGATTCGTGAATCTTCGCCCTTGTGGCGTGAAGAGGTTGGAAGACCGTCGATTCGGTAGGTCTCTTCTTCTGGTGATTGAAAACGCGTGATGGAACGCTCTTGCCAGCGATAATTGGCTGCGATTAACCTTATCCCGCCTAGGGTGAGCGTAGCAGTCCCTAGGTTACTCGAATAATCGGATTGCTGGTAGATTCGAGGAAAAGAAGCTTTCTTCTGCTGGTTTCCGTAGATCCCAGTTACTCTCGCTTCTTCTCTCGTTAGCACGAAATCCCTACTTTTACCTGGGCTTGGGTATCCAGTTCAAGAAGTCGTCTCTTCTGGTGTTGACCTTGCTGATCTGCGGTTTGTCCGTAGCAGAGTGGTAATTGTGAAGTTAACCAAATTAATGGCAACTGTGAGGTTTACCACTGATCAGTGTAGGTTTCACAGGGGGTGAAACAGGGGGTGAAACGGAATTCCGTTCGTCAATAACAAATAACAGTAAATTGGTTCTAATCGATGGTTCATGATTGTTGAAAGTGGTGTTGTTGACTAGAAGGTGGGGATATTCCCCCTTGGCCTGTCACGTGGGTCTGGGAGGCTTGGGCCTCTCAGCCTGGCGGGCGTGTGGCTGGAAGTGCCACACGGCTCCGTATTCCAACTATCGCAACATTAACCTAACATTGGCAACATGTACAATCTTGAAGAATTTCATATTAGAAGTATTTAAAACACATGGAATAATTCTTTCTTGCTATAGATATTGGGATAGAGAAACAGACATAATTTAGAACTTTAAATATTGTTGAATGTGTTCTATTTTGATCGTAATCACAATGTAGGTTTGACTAAAGATGTCTAATTCTGTGAATGTCATTCTACCTACAAGACTTGGCCTTTGTACGGGTAGCAGTAGGTCTCGTGTGTTCCTTGAGTCAGTCGAATCCAACGTAATTTAATCCCCTCATTTGGGTAACCGAGGGCCGAGTATCCAGACTGTGCCCTCTTCCCTTGTATGTTACTGAAGCATGTGTATCATACGGTTATGAAATGCCGTTGTTTCAACAACTGTTCCAACAATTATACTAATTCTAGCTTACTTTACTAGTACACAACAAGTAGCTCGCTTCGTATGATTTCTTAGATTACAAGAGCCGTGAGGAAGTGGTGATGGCTTGTATCCGGTAGGCCAGATATCACAAGTGTCGTTGTGGCAAATTCATTGTCGACTTTGTGCACGTTAGTGACGATAGGTTGTCTTTGGCAAGCCGGAAGCATATGCCTTTATGGATCGATGTCATTTCTCCTTGAACAAGCTTCTCGATTTTGGCAGCGCCACCGCCACTGATGCTAATACCCTAAGCCATTACTGCTCACTCCTGGCCAACTCTAACGTGCCCCGATGTGCACCAATGTGCTCCTAGCTGCCGAGCTATTGTTTCTCTAACTTCTACATTAATTACATAGGTAGTTAAAGTCTTTTTTTGATTTACAAAGGTAGATATTTTGGAGATATGTAGGAGAAAGTTAAGTACTCTTTAGAAATCACATCATAATTAAGGAGTAATCAAAACTCAGCAGTCTCATACCCGAGTAAGACTCATGTGTGTCCCCTTATTAAGTACCTGGGAGAAATACCGAGTACTGTTATCAGACGTCTCCTCCGTTTTGAAGTAAACGTCTTATGTCTCATGGTAGCCAATAAAATCATACGTAGCAGGTTACTTGTGTGTTTTCTGGAATCTGTCCGTGCGATATGCCTGGATTAAACTTTTGATTTATATCTCGCTAATGCGTCGTCCCGATCGCTTGTTACATTGATACAGGCTATTAGCGGGCTTTCGGAGGCGGACTCGTGTACCGAAACTCCGAGTTGGTCCGGTTCTTTTGACTTGGCCTCCGTAATAGCGCCGGATCTCGGTAGCACATACTTAATAGCCTGCCTGGCCTTGCCATATTCGCATACGTATTTCGACCCCAATCATACCTCCACCTCAGTCACTATGTCTTTTTCTGCACATCCTCTGACCACCTCCACGAAGAATTCATCCAATCCCGCTCCTGGGACCAACTTGTCCAAAGCCGTAAGTTGATTTCGCCTGCTATCTATGCCATCTGAAAGTGCAACGCTGATTTCTTGGCAAAACTAGTGCGATAACTGCTCACGGCGTAAGGTAAGTTCTGGCCGATACCAATTTCCCTCGCAACTGCCTATCACTGCAGCAGGCGATGACAAGGAAAATGACCGATTGGCAATGCCTTCAACAGATCCGATGCGACAAAGTTGCGCCATGTTCCAATTGCCTACGTTTCGAGTTCCCTTGCACCGTTACCCCTCGGGTGGCAAGGTCGAAACGGCAAAGGGAGTCTATAGCTGAGCAGGTGTAAGTGATAAAAGCTGGCTTGTATTTTGAGGCCATGGTTGGTGCTCATGCGTCTTGGCATTTCCCTTGCTCACGTCTCAAACACTAGAGCAGGCAAGATTTCCCTTCTTGACGAGCGCATAAGGCAGATTGACCGCCTCGTCTTAGAGCTGGCCGGCGACTCTCCCTTGCGACCCGCGGTTAAGGGCTGTGTTTCGTCGATTATCAACACCCCATTACCTATCCCTAACAGTCCAATCGATCGATCAAGTGCAAGCCTCCGGGGATTTCGTGTTCACAAAGGTCTACTTCGCCACGAACTTGGTCATCAAGCACCCGATGACAACAAAGAAGTTGCGGTTGGGGTCGGTCACCTTGAACTTGAAGGATTGTCAGCCCTGAGTGCTCATACAAGTTTTGCAACCAAGTTTATCCAAAAACTAATCGACAAAAACGAGGGCGATTCACTTAGTAGCGACACTCGTGATCTACTCAACGATCTGAAAAACACTGTCGAAGCGGTACACAAAAGCCACAAGTCTCTGGCCTCGAGAAACTCTACTCACTGGCAAAACCCCGGCTCAGACTCTAGTCAACACAAAAGAAACATGATGCCTCTTGGCGTAGTGCTCCGAATGATCTGGAACCCTTGCGGTGAGCTCGATCCTTGAGATGCACTTCCCCCACCAAGCATGGTCGCACATCATTTCGGAGCTCCCTTTCTGACACTCTGATTGTTTAACACAGCGGAGAATGCGTTCCTGCTCAAATGCTTGAGCACGTTGATGCCGTCAAAACGTCTAGCAGATCTGTTTCTGGATGTGTATTCTGACCCCAGTCTCGACCAATACCTCTTCATTATCGCCAACTTCATCCTATACGGTTTGTCTCTCCGTCCCTGGCCGTTCGCCTGACAGCAACCTGGACAGATTGCTAACAAATGGGCAAACGTGGCCCGACCACGCAGGTATGACGAAGTGCGAGAAGAGCGACATCACTCAAGACCAAGCTTATCATCGCAAAATATGTGCCCAAAACATCGAAAGTGGTTTGGCGGCATTGCCTCTCTTCTTGCCACGTACCCATTCCGTGGCTTTGGCACTCGTTCTCGGAGTAAGTTGTCTGGCCGAACGATCAAACAACAACGAAGCTGTTGTATTGGGCTGAAAACTTGAGCAGTGCATATATTGGATGGAAAATTCAGAGCCTCATCTGGCCTGGACTTCGGTCGTTGCCGCCAGCGAGACCTCACAATCACTGGGCTATCATAAGCAGGGCCTGGGGTCTGACATTGGGTCCGACGAACCCAACTCGTCAGGCCTCCTCTTTTGGTTGATTTACTTCAACGAGAAGACCCTCAGCCTGCGCCTAGGACGTACATCCACCATTCCTGAAGAGGATATCACAATTCCTCCTCCAGGTGGTAACCATCAATCAGGCCCCATCATGTTCTACTGCCAGATCCAAATTCGGGTGGCTCGAGCGGCTGGCAAAATCTACTCCGACCTCTATTCCGCATACTCTTTGACCATGTCTCCATCATACAGGAGAGCGAAGGTCAAGGTACTCGAGAGAGAGATTCAAGCTCTCCAAAAGGCTTCTGCATTCAATCAAGCAAGTTATTTCACCCGCACTCACACAAGAGAGTGTTTCGGACTTTGCTTCAAGTCAAGATAGGAAGTCTGACTCGTGTTCTTCTCTTATAAACAGGAACGACTGCGATTGTTAAGTGCCTATGAGGAATTAAAGCCTTTGTTTAGCCTCATTTTCGCGTCTGACGACGTGCTTAGCCTCTCCATGATGACGTTGATACATCGCGCATCCCCTGTCGAGTCTTCGCAGCCATTTATGAACCAGTGTCTTGAATATGCGAGAGCGACACTAAACCGGTTCAACAGCTTTGACAAGATCAAAACCCCCACTATATTATCATACATCAACTGGTCAGTTAATGTACCTCTTCATTCCGGACATTGAAGCAAGCAGCTTACGAAACGGGATACTTCAGGACAGTACTGCTCCTACCTTTCCTTCCGTTCTTTGTCTTGTTTTGTAACGCGGTCGAGTATGGCAATAAGGAGGATTTAGAGTGTTTGAACATGTTTGTTCAATCACTTGGGGTGGCATCGGATGACTCGGGTCTCGCGAATCACCATCGCCTCTTCGGGGCCTTCTATACTCTTGCCAGACATTATGTAGAGCGAAGAAACGGCACTGTGGCATCTTGGCAATAGAGGCAAATTCTGAATCAGCAAATGGAGGCGTTCCTAGGGTCTCTGGGGTTCAGTTCGCAGGGATTTAATTCACGGGTAGACCTGGTAGACCCCTCACAGGGCTTTGATGCCTCTGACACTATGCCCCCGCCACGCCCGGTGCAGCGAGACTATGACGCCACCACAGTTAACATAACAATGCCTATGGGTGATGGAGGTAAGATACTAGATCAGCTCCAAGATCCAACGGGTCAGTTTTCAAACATAGACTGGTTCGCCATGAACTAGCACAAGGCGGATGTAGGTTTCACAGGGGGTAAAACGGAATTCCGTTCGTCAATAACAAATAACAGTAAATTGGTTCTAATCGATGGTTCATGATAGTTGAAAGTGGTGTTGTTGACTAGAAGGTAGGGATATTCCCCCTTGGCCTGTCACGTGGGTCTGGGAGGCTTGGGCCTCTCAGCCTGGCGGGCGTGTGGCTGGAAGTGCCACACGACTCCGTATTCCAACTATCGCAACAGCGTCAAAAGACCCCCTCGGAACTAGATTTTTTTTTTTTGGGGGGGGGGGGGGGGGGAGGGGAATAAATTAGAAGAGAACTGTCTAGAACCAGTAAGATAAAGGTGGTTCATACCAAAACATAAACGACTTTCCCCTTAACACGGCTTGGATGGTTGTTGAAAGGTATCCTAGATAACGATTGACTCTTCATAAGTTCAATCGTAGATTAGCAGAAATTGGTACAACTTTAAAGCAGCCATCAGCCCGCAGCCGTCGAATACACTGCAATAGCTACAGGAGTAAATAGAATTTTTCCATGTTCAATTGTTTTCCGCTTTGCATACATCAAAGTTGGACCAACCGTCTAACAATCGCTGATAGATGCCGTTTTTGTCTGTCATTTCAAGTAGATATGCTACCACGGCCATACAGACGACAACCGAATATATATCGACTTCACGCATCACGCCCCCTTTGGAATGTTGTCAGCTTCAAATGTGGAAAGCATCATAATGATCCCACCCAGCAAGCTTACGTGTTTTCTTTCCGCTGGAAAGTCTCCACTATATGTCGGTTTCGGCAGCCTTGTCCTCGAAAACCCAGAACCCGACGCCATTCAAGCCATTGAAGTCTTGGCTATGGCATCGAAAGGGTGGTCTCATCTGGCTGGCGCGGCAAGGGACGACGCCCGCAAGATTGGGGACTGCCCTGAATGTCTCTTTGCGCACCTGCAGCACGTTACAGCAGTTGTTCACATAATCCATGTCCTGCGAGCGGAATGCTAGCCCTGAATGAAGAGCCTTGGCCGTTATGGCATTCACGATCGACTTGACCAACGTGCTCTCTAGCGTGCCCAACAAGCTTGTGAAAGAGTAGTGAGTACAAGGATAAATAAAGCCGGTACGGGCGCGAGTCGAAGAGAGGAGTACAGCGACGGGGAGCTTGCTTGGAAAACAAACCTAGGGACGAGAGATTATTGCAGTACGGTGTTACCAAAAACAGCCGGCTTCGAAGTAACAGAAGATTGCGGCCACTTTGGTTGGCGCATTCGGCAAGAGCTTCGGCATGATGATGCCGAAGGTCTTGCTGGGGCGGGCCGACCTGCCCCTATCTTTCACGGAAGGGATGCTCGTGATATCTCGCTACTTCGGGACCAAGGCTCCATCACTGATGTCCTGTATGACGTTATTGTAGTGGGAAATACGTTGGCTTAGAGTCTAGTGCATGGGTCGAGCGACATTGTGACGGAGCCCGTTCAGGGCGACATCAGCGTGGTAGCTAACACTGGCGTGAGTGCTGTTGGAGTAACCGCCTGTCCAGGTGACGGAATCGCGAAGAGCACGTAAATAGCGGTTGGTAGCGGGGGGGACAAGTTAATCGCCTAGGCACTTGGAGGGTCAATGACCGCGGGAGAACTGGCTTCAATATGGGATAATGAGCGATGCCATGGTAGGTCTCTTTTAGAGGCCTAATGACCTGAAAATGTCAACCAGATGTTCGGCAGACATACTGATTTAAGTTGACCGCTCGTCGACGAGAACTGATAGAACACTGCGGCTGGTAGCTTGGAGAGAGTTGTGGAAGGAATGCTTGGATACTCTCAATACCGCTCGGTGTGATCCTGTCGTTGGAAGGAGAGGGTTCCATTGCCCACTTACGTTGTGGACGACGGATAGCAAGACTGCTACGATTGTAGTGAATATGTGAGTGGATTTTTAGAAAGCCATAAATGACACCACTGCAGCGGCTAAAGGTTTCTTGTAAAACTCAGGTGCTTGGAAGTCGCTGGTATAATATTGTCATTGAAATCAGATGCGATTCCACGTTCATAAGTGGCCAGATATGATGGTTCGTGCTTATAAAGTTACGGGACGCGCGGGTGACATGGGTTTTTTGCTGCTATATCAATCGATAACAAGCCTAAATAATGTCGAAACTACATGGATCTCTTCCCATTACGATGGTACACATTTTGCAGTCTTCTTGATAGACATATAGACGTTGGAACATGGCATCCCAACCTCAACACACGCTTAGCCCAAGAGGTGAACTGAATAAGACGATCCAGAAAAGCAGCCCAGCCAACACCGTTTCCGACAACTGGTATCACTGGTACAGTCCGTTTCGCTGGCAGCGTCCAAAAATCGGATTTTAGCCTATTAACCCCGAAAATCAGTAAACTATCACAACAGGGGTCAAACTGGCCCAACTGGCCCAACTGGTGTAAACTGGCCACTGTAGCCCAATTGGGCCACTTTCGTGGGGCCCACGTAGTGAAATCTCTGTAAATTACAATATCTCGTGAAAAGCTTTTCGTGATGCCTCCTCGGCGGGCTCGGGCCCCCTCAATTGATAATACCACTGGGCCGGCGAAGCGAAAGCGATTGAAAACAGCAAAAGCCCTAGAGACGAATACAACAACCGGCTCGCCGTCGAGGGTAGTTATCGTACGTACGAGGGCGAGGGCGAGGGCGCAGGCGTCAGAGCCAGCGAAGACCCCAGTTAAGCCACCTCGACGCCGTCGGGTAGTGGTGATCCCTTCCCCAGCCCAGAGGGTTGCTCAGTTAGCAGAAACAGAGACAGGAATAACTCAACAAAACCTCGAAGTTGACGAAGTCGAGGAAACCCAACCGGCAGGCCACTATGAACACCAAGCTATTGGGCAGTCAACGCCGGGCCAGCGACTTCAATATAACCTCAACCTCGATGAGGATCCTTTTGCTGTTACGCCGGCAAGGCCTGGTCGACGGCCTTTACCTGATACCCCAACTCCTCGACGAACGCAACCACAGTCAATCAATTTAACTGTTACGTATACTCCTCTCTTCTCAGGCGGTCGCTCGCCGCCAAAGCTTCCTGAGACTATATACAAGTGGATATTTGACGAGGAGAGCGAAGTTGGTCATAAGTTGATTATCCAGTGGTCGAAAATCGAGAGGGATTTGGCGAAGCGAATCGACGCCCGTTTAAGGGCACAATATAATATCGAGAAGAGCTGGATTACCACGAAAATCGCCTGGAGAAGAATAGGATTAAAAGCAGTAACTATTGTATACCGCGAAGAATTCGCTGTTGACAGTGGCAACTGGCCGGTTGTTCCATGGTATGATATTTCGAAGCAAATTATCGAGAATAGTCGCCTTGGTGAGGTTCTTCTCGATGTTGAACTGGCCTACTCTGTCACTCCTACTGTAGCCGCAGTAGGAGAGCTAGAAGGCGTAGGATCACCACGAGGGCGACCGTCTCGACTTAGTCAACGTCAGACTGTAACAAATACGATGCTTCAAGCGATTGAAACAGAAGGCGATCGAAAGAGGAAGTTATTTCGAGACCTTCTTCGCCATAATCAGTGTAACGATTCAGCAACCTGTCAGAATACCTCGTCAGCTGATCCAACAGTTAACTGGTGCTGGGTCAACGCAAGAAAACACTATAAACTGACCGTATTTGATTTCGAGAAGTGGCAAGAAGCTATTCAGAAGGGCGAGGAAGGCGTATCAATATCAAACCCGCCTGCCCGCCTAATTGTTGATCTTGTTCAGCGTGAACAACGCGATATGAAAAAGCCCGATAAATCAGCAAATCGAGGAGGCCAAAATAGCCTAGGTGAAAAGTCTGCTAATAGAGGGCTTTCAGACACACAAGACCCAGCAAATACTGCCAATAATAATAGCGCAGTAGTCAACTTCTATGGCCTACCTCCGCCAGGCGGCCCAACGCAATATTGGCCAAAGTTGCCGCCGCCAACGATGCCGCCCCAATATTGGGATCTTGAGCCTCAATTTCAACCGCAGTCAGGTGATTACTCTGCCCGTCGGCAAGTAGAGGCTCCGATTCGTTCTTCGTCGCCAGTTGTTCCTGATTCGCCCTCAAAAGCAACACGCCAAGTTGATGAGTTCGTTTCGTGGTTTCTAGCTGTGAACGGCAAGAAGTTGGGTATTGACGAAGTGAAATTTACTCCGTTAAAGGCTTCAATAGTCAGTCTCCGCGTTATTCGTGATTACCCAGACAGCTGGTTCAAAGAGGTAGGGTTTTCACCACAACTTACCGCAGCAGTGAGAAAATCGATCAAACTTTTCACTACAACACAGCAATTTTACCTCCAACAGAGCGAACCTCTCGCCGCTGTACAATCACTCGTACAGGCAACGAAAAAGCCAGCAGTTGACCGTGAGGTTGAAGACGAAGTGTATAACCGACTTTTTGACGAGCGATTCGGAGAAACAGGCAATATCGAACGAAGCGCTAGTAAAGTAGGCGAAATAAGCGTTCCAGCGGGTAGGATCTCCTCACCGCTGCCAACTGGCGATATTGAGTTTGGTCGAGGTGGTGAGTAATATTGACGGAAGTGACGGCGTCAACTAACCAGAAACTAGAATTAGACCTCTTCGTCTCCTCGCCGCCGCCACCAATCCTTCCTCCTAATACCGAACAAAATCCGATCGAAGTCTCAGACTATATATCGTCGCCTTATACCCAAGAGGAAGAGGAGGTTAAACTAGGATAAATAGCAGCGACTACTGCTAGCGGAAAGCTTTGCTTGTGGATGTGAGCTGCCCTGCAACACCCGGGAGGATCAACCCAAAGACCGTTAGGTAGGTAGCAGAGCACTTTGATACGCCACGGATACGATTTATTTCACTATAGGCCTGACTTGAGGTTGTAAATACAGGCATTATTCATGTTTTTCTTCTCCTACTTCTCCTACTACAAGTTCAACAACTATTTACTACAAGAGGTGGATTCAACTCTCCTCCTGCCTCAATATACATATCGCTACTCGTCATAGCGTCACAGAAGATATCCTGTGTGCCGTCGAAGTTGATATATGAGTTACGGAAGTGCCCAGCTATCTGTGGGAGACGTTGCCCAACCTCAAGCGCGCAGTCGCGGAGAAACTCAGCAAAATCACGCTCGTCTAGTTCGTTAGTATTCCACGTACGGAATGTCTTTTTTACATGCTTTTTGAGGTCGCCAAAATACTCCTCGATGGGGTTAAAGTCAGGTGAGTACGGCGGGAGGAATTCGAGGCGTACGCCAGCGGCCTCACACGCTTGCCGTATATCCCCTTGCCGGTGAAAAGAAGCATTATCCATTATAATCACTGACTTAGGCCCAGGGAATATTCCACACTTTGGCAGTAGAAGTTGCTGTATCCACGCAGAGAAGCCCTCGCCATTCGTCGATCCAGTATATACCAGCAAGTCTACGATACCGTCAATTGCGAGTGCTGGCAGCAGTTGTATCCGTTGACCTCGCTCGAGGGGAACTGACCGCGTTGGCGTCAGACCCTTAGGCGCCCAACCCGTCCTTCTTCTTCCAGTGTTTTTATCAACGCCTGATTCGTCTACGAATATTAATTGTTCTGGGTGGTATCGACGTATACGATATAACCAATCGTACCGTAATTCTGGGTTTCGTTGTGAAGCAATTATGTGGGCTTTCTTTCTCGTCCAGCCAGCTGCGTGGAGGTGGCGGCTCAACGTTGATTTGCTGACTTCGAGGTTGAACTGTTCGTATAGGAATTCTTGCATCTCTTCGAATAGGAGGTCGTTACGATACTTTAATAATTCGAGAAGTTCGTTCCGATGCTGTATTTCCATCTTCTGCTGGCTTTCACGCCTTCGAGGGTATTGTTCTACCTCGCCAGTTATGTCGAATCGACGACGCCATCGTCGAATCGTTCGTTGGCTACAGCCAACCGCCTCTGCGATTTCTTCGTCGGTTTGAATAACAGAGGGAAGAAGTAGGTTAACTTTCCTCAGCTGGAGTTTTGAGAGACGTGGCGCCATACTGACGCGTTGAAATGAGTAGATTTGACGATACGGTGGCTAAATGCAGCTGAATGCGACCGTTGTAATTTTCCCAGCGAAAAAAACGGAGTTTAGCATGGGTTTGCATTAACCCCACCCTAGGGGGGTAAAAACTCGATTTTTGGACGCTGTCAGTGCAACGGACTGTACTTTATGGGCTTCCTATTGATGCCGTCATGGGTTGTTGAACTGAGTCATTTAGACTTTAGGATCTGCAAAGATGTGAGCGATAGCCATCGCAGCGGGCTGGCGAAGTCCTGGGCCGCAACAACTCGTCGCTGGCAGACACAATACCTTTAGGTGAGTCTTAGAATTCAAGTTTTGAATGGATTGAATACGTCTATCTAGGCTAGTAAATGCTCTTATTCGACTGACTTTTTTTGAGGCATGGGCTCATCACAGACAGGCCTGTGAACAACTATAGTAAGGTAGTACGAATTTAAGAGCAAGGTCGTAAATGACCAAGACTTCGCTCACAAAGGCAGCAGAAACAAAATGCTCTACAGTACACCAAAGGATGGGGAAAAAAAAAGTCTCAAGTGGTATGCCGGCGATACACCATGTGCTACTATTCTATCCGGCGAAATCGCTGGTGCCAATGCCTTTTATATGTGTTTGATGTGAATATATACAACATTTTTTCCTAAGTAAGAGATCCTGGCCTCTGATGGAATAGTCTCATGAATGCGTATACACTTTTCTTTTTGAATATTGACAAGAAAAAATAAAATGTTGAAATTCGTTTATGAAGGGCATCCGCTGGCGGGGAAGTTGCATGAGCCGCCCTTGGCGCCTCCGGTAATCTTGGTGTTCTCGAAGGTGAAGTCAGAGCAGCTGCCCTCACCGCAAAGGATGTAGTAGTTGTAAGCCTTGCTGCCCTTGGTGGTACCCTGGACATCGATGAAGTGAATGCCTGCGATCTTGACACCGTTGGTGGGCTGACCAGTCGGGCCACCGTTGAGGTAGTCCTGCTGAACGTCGATACCGTAGGTGTCGATGTCGGTAAGGGTAATGTTCTTGTAGGTGACGTTGGTCACGGAACCGGTGGTGTTGGAGTTGGACTTGATGCGGCAGCCGTTGGAGCTGTTGACGACGGCGGAGTTGGAGAAGACGACGTTGTTTACGGTGTTGTTGCTCTTGCCGCCAATGGAGCCGATGCTGAGGCCGTGGCCGCCGTCGCAGTAGAGGTTGTTGACGGTGATGTCGTTGCCGCTGGTGACGGCAACGCAGTCATCCTGGTTGCGAACCTTGATGTTTTCGAGAGTGACGCGATCGCTTGAAGAAATATCAAATCCGTCACTGTTGTGGGCTGCAGCCTTGCCACCGCTCTTGGAGTTGGGAGCGTCACCAGCGGAGTTGTCGAGAACCAAGCCCGACACGAGAAGGTTTGTGTTGCCAGTCATAGAGAAGCAGTGGACAGGCCAGTTCTTGATGTTGAGGTCAGTGATTTTGGCGTTGGTCGTCTTCTTGACAACAACGAAGTGATTGGGCCTAATTCGTGTGTGAGTTTATACCATTCCGAAGATCCCTTTAGAGTACTCACTTGTCACCACCACCGTTGGAGCCCAGGCCATCCCAGTAAACGGCGCCATTGCCCTCGATAACATGGCCGGGAGCACCAGTGATTGTGATGTCGATTCCGGAAATGATGATGGGGTCGAAGTTCTTGTCGACAGTCGTGGCAAAGGTCTTTAAATAATCAGCATCATAACTAAACCCCTAGTAACTGGCAGAGCGTACAGTTGTGCCGTCGAAAGTGACCTTGGCGCCCTTTTGGAGACTCTGAAGATCAATGGGGCTGTTGGCGGGAGCAGCAATGTTAGAGAGCGTGATATCGGTGCAAGTCTTGACGGCGTTCGCAATGTCTTCGAATTTGGTGACGGTACAACCAGATCCGGTCTAGGAATATGAAAAAAAACTGGGTCAGTCCGAATGCCTCCATGGGGTAAATCATCAGACGAAATATCGGGGGTTTGGCTTACGGAGTTGTGGCTTGCGGAGTTGTGGCTTGCGGAGTTGTGGTGAACATGAGGATGAGCCGCTGCAAGAACGGTAGGCAGCAGAGCCGCAACAGGGGCGAAAAACTTGGCCATCTTGGCGTGGGGAAAAGAATGTGGTGAAATTGAAAGGAATGGTGGGTGTGTTGTAATGAGACTGGCTAGAGAACGATTGCCAAGTGAGCTGCCAAGGAAATGTTATATATCCCCAGATCCAACATGCAACATTGCAGGTAACAGAAGAATTGTTTAATCTCCTTGATTGGGAGAGGACTCTGTATGCCCTTGACCATCCGAACGGGTAGTTAGCACGCTTTGGGAATGACGGACATGGGCTAACAACAAGGGCATGTGGAACTGCTCATGAAGCTCCGAGCCATACGGAGTCGATGGAAAGAATCCACGTGTGTGAAGTATCTAATCCCATCTATGAAGGTTCATTTAGTGCGTTTGCCATGAAGCGATTTGGGCTTTACTCCAGTCCCGCTGCCATTCATAACTGAAAATGAAAGATTTGTGGGTTTGCGGGGCTAAATCCTGCCAGTCGCGGTGTTTCATGTCAATCGAGAATGTGCCCCTAGGCGGGAAGCCATCATCGAAGTCCAAGTTGATTTGCGGATGAATTATGTGTTTTGATCATTGCCACCCCCCTGCATCTACCAAGGTCTCCACCGACTAATCTCTTCGATTCAGGACACAGAGTGTGCAACGGCGTGGGATTGTCAGGGATCCCCCCATACGATTACACGAATCCACAATCAACATGATACTGGCTATGAGCCGCCGTGCCGAATTCAATTCTTGATAAACCGTGAGGAATAAAATTCATCTTTGTTCCTTCCATTAGGGTTCATTTTTAATTCTTGAAGGAGGGAAGTCGTCGTCTAAAAAGATTTAGCTGAACCTTGGGACTTTTTAGCACATGGTGCTTGGGATGTATCGGAAAGCTCAAAGCCCGAAATCTTTGTACAATGATTGGTCGAGAAGCCATTCACCCCATTCTAAAACCAGGCACATGCACTACTTCAGTTTCGTCCGGTAATGAGCTGAGCTTTCCAAACTCAAGCTTGATTGTTTCGTTTGAACGAGATTGGCGATCTGATCGTCTTTCTCTCCCTGCCGAGTGCACCTCATGCAGTTTCGGTCATCATTGGCTTGCTACAAGTCAGCTGACCAAACAAGCGATGAAACAAGTGAGGCAGATACTTGCAGTCAATTACTAACTGTGCGATGATGATTTCAGGAGTCGACCTGACAAACGAAAAGGATCATCAGATCTACAACGAAGTGGGAATGTTCACACAACACCCAGGACCAGTGATGGGCAACATTCGTTTCAATCTTGTAAAACTCTCGGCAGATAAAGGAACCTCTGAGAAGTGAGGCAGGTTCGCCTCAGATTGACGCAGAACAAGGGTCAAAAAGAATTGGGCCGTAGATTGCGATTAAAGAATGTGGCACAGAACACGCATGAACTCTACTTTTATTGAAAACCATGAGCATAAGTCAGGTCCTTTACCTATAATGACGCCATTTAATAGACTTTCCTTGCTGTGGGGGACCTTATTCAGGAGCTTTGGCCGCCCAAAGGAAAACCCCCTTTACGACTTTTTTGCTGTCAAGTCGTCTTAGTCAGAATTGTTTGTTTATGACTCGAAGTTCGATATTGAGCTTCATTAACTCACCAAAATCTACGAGTCTACGATTGCCTGTACACTCCCATCGCCAGCCCACTTATTTCCTTTAGAACAGCAATCTCTAACAGCCGCCAACCCAGATTGTCCATAGCCATTGGTTGTAAATCTCTAGAGACTTTCCGTACCCGCGAATGCCACCAATGTTGTTGTTCGCTTTAAAACATGAAAGAGTATACTTGAGGCCGTGGCTTTCCAAACAGTATGGAAGCGATGGAAGCCTCGCTACTGACAGTCGCTGATGAAAAACTTTTAACGAGTATCTGGAGAAAACAACATATTAAACTCAGCAACCTCTTTAATATAGTTTTTCTTACTTCTTCGGGGCTCCAGTTGGACCACTTACCTCATGTGATCGTAATGCCAACTTTGCCCTGATGCTTCCCAGAAGCTAGATACTCATACGCCTCTTTCATCTCCTCCAATTTGAAAACCTTCGAGTCAATTATGGGGCGCAACTTTTGCGGGTTCCCTTCAACCGCTTTGCACATGTCCTCCATCTGCAGCCGGCTACCGACCCAAACGCCACGAGCAGTGAAAAGATTGAGCCATGTATCTAGCAGATTTGGGATTGTCTGTTGGGCGTCGCCGCCAGCAATCCCCACAGTGCTGATGACGCCATCAAGTCTGATGCTAGCAACGCTTTGCCTCAATGTACTGGAGCCAGCAACATCAACAACCCAGTCAACGCCAACGCCGCCTGTTAGATTCTTTGCAAGCAAGCCCCAATCGGGGGTTTCGGCATAGTTGATCACCTGGTCGACACCAAGTTTGTCGAGAATCTTGGCCTTTTCGCTCGAGCTAGTGGTCGCAATGACTCTGGCGCCGACAGCTTTGGCAAACTGAATGGCAAAGACGCTGACTCCGCCAGTGCCTTGGGTGAGAACCCATTCTCCTGCCGAGAGTCTCTTCCCAGGAATCCCGAAGAGAGCATTCCAAGCAGTTAACCCAGCACAGCTCAGCGAAGCAGCTTCAATAAAGCTTAAGCCCTCGGGCATCATCACAAGTCCTTGCTCATTGAAGACGCCTGCGGTGCGGAAGGTTCCATCAACTCCGCCGCCCAGCCCAAAATCCGGTGCTTGTCTGTCAATAGCTCCCCCTGTATGTTTCTGAAGAAGGACGGTGACAACCTTATCACCTGCCTTGAATCGGGTGACGTGCCGCCCGACAGATAGGACTGTCCCGGCTCCGTCTGACCCTGGGATGACATTGGGTTTGACGTGCCAAGGATATTTACCTTGGCTGATCGCAACGTCACGGAACTAGAAACAAAACTTTAGTTGACAATAGGTTTACTTCGTTGTCAGGACTTACATTGAGGGTAGCGCCCTGCACTGACACTTGTATGTTAGATTCGCATTATTTCAAGGTAGTGAGGAGTCTTACGCTTCACAAGGACGTCATTATCTCCGATTTCGGGGACCATCTGTTCTGTAAAATGAAGAGAGTCAAGTCCGTCTTGTCCAGTAACGTTCCATTGCTTGACTGTTTTTGGTATAGGCTGGGCCATTTTGAACGTCGTGCTCTCGAGAAGCTATTGACTGTCTGAGTGTTGCGCAGCAAAGGCTTTTCGATTCATACTTCTAAAACAATCCGAAATGCTATTCCATGATATGGGTAAACTTGTTATAACATTCTGGTATGGTTTTGTTTGTAAGCAACTATCAGAGACATCCAAGTAATGACTTGTACTGATTCGTAAGCATAACGTTGTTTATGGCGTGATGCTGCCAATAATCCAAACAACCACAGATGTACTTCTTTGAAGAAGAATAATCCTATCAAGTAAGAAAAACTGGCCAAAGTCCCCTATGGAAACAGATAAAGGGTACACCTGAGTGCCTGGATTTATTTCCGCAGGCACACATCACAAGTCGTTATGATAGCCCTTAGAGTCCATCATGCATGTGCCATCCATTGATGTATAAACTATTCTAATGTTACAAAACAGTCTCACATTAGGCCTTCCACTTCCCGTCTCGCTATTCATGCAAAATTCCTCTACGGCGCCCTATATTTTCTTAAACTCAATCACCATAAGCTCACATATTTATTTAAACACTACGCAGTCGCTATGACTTTGTTGAGTGGTATCCAAGCCCGGACGTTTTCCCTTCTTCTTTAATGCCAGCCTTCTTTCATGTAAGGCAGTGCAATGCTGTACCATTTTCGGCAAGATGCTACATTTCAGTGATAAAAATCAAAAGTGAACAAAAAATCTCACTTCTCACTTGCCTCCCGAGCCTTTCCCGCCGGTGTCACTTCCTGGGCTGAAGCTACCGAGTCATCCTCTCCCATCTCACCATTCCAGCCTTGGGTGAGCAAGTAGGCACGGAAGTTCTCGTCCTCTTTCGAAAGATCGTCGCCCTTGAGATCTGGGACGAAAAAGTAGGTGACGAGAACACCAACGACACCGCAGATGGCAGCAATGATGAAGGTCCACCTCTTGCCGAGGTTGGCCTGGATCGGCGTGAAAGCCTGAGTGCCAATGGCGGCTCCAGCCTTTCCAACAGCGGCGGAGAAGCCGTAGCAGGTCCCGCGAACTGCAGTGGCGTACGACTCCGAAGACACCAGTCCGAGCATGTCGCCGGGGCCCATGTTACCAGAGCTCTGCATGAGACCATAAAAGACTACGAAAAGGGGCAGGATCTTGGTAATCTGGTCGTAGGCTGCGCCGATGATCAGTCCGAAGACAAGGTACCCAGAAAATCCTAGTATCATGACGTTTTTACGACCGATACGATCGCACAGGAAGGCACCCAGCAGGACACCTGGTAACGCAATGGCGCCGAGTAGAAGCTGATACTCTGCAGTAGATTTAATGCTCGAATCCTTCACGACGGATGAGATGATGACACCAGAGAATACGCCGTTGGGGAAGGTAACGAAGTCGTACAGGAACCAGGCTCCAGCAGTACCGATGAGACGCTTCCAGTAGTATCGGAGAACCAAGGTGTAGGGAACATGACGTTTGATCGCACCGCGGCGGTAGAGCTTCGAGTTCAGCATCTTTAGCCTGAAGTAGAAGACGGTCAAGGGCAAAGCGCAGCCAATTCCGAAGCAGACACGCCAGGTGGTAGAAAGATGCTGAGGCCCTGCCGCAGCGGTAAAGACGATGAGGAAGATACTGACAGCCAACGGGCCGCCGAAAGACAGAGGCAAGTTGGTGACGAGAATAAAGATGGGTCCACGGTTCTTCAACGAGTGTTCGTTGGCTGCTTCGGAAGCGGACGTCGATGAGGCGGGATATTCGCCGCCAGCACCGAAGCCGATAATGCCACGGGCCACAGTCATCATCCAGAACATGCCGTCGACAGTAACTCCACTAGCAGCAGTTGCAAGGATGGAACCGAGGACTATCAAAGATGTGGTGAGAATGATGGCAAACTTACGACCGAGGTAGTCGCAGGTGAGACCGATGATGACTTGACCGAAAATTTCGCCTATAAGAAGAGCATTGGAGACTCTTGTGCTGACAGATGAGGTGTATTGTTTGGGATATTCAGCCTTAAGGATGACGTTCGTCATGGTCCTGGAAAAGTGATTAGCGAGATGGTGTGACTTTGTGTCATGCGAAACACTCACATGAGGTTATTCTGGTAGCCATCGCTGATGAGAGCGAAGCCGGAGCAAGCAATGGTGAAAATGTCGCTCCATGACTGCTTCTTGGAGGAGACAATTTCAACAGGCGGCTGATCGTCAGAGTCACTGGCTGTTGCCGATGAGCTCGGCATAATCGCTTCGGAAGGCTCTTTGTTGGAAGTCATATTCATTGAGTTGTTGAGTTGTAGGGATTGATGCACATCATGAGGGTGATTAAAGTCTATTATATGTAAAGTGAATCTCAAAGAGAGCACGCGACCAAGAGCTACCAACATTACAAACGAGCACGACACGATACTCATTCGGCACACATACAGTAGTTCGCATATCACCTATCTTGCGGTTCTTGTTGTGTGATTGGTCCAATGTTTGTCCACAAGCTTCTGTCGTTGACGACAACAAATTCCCGACCAGCCCTGTCTAGATGGTAAATGCTCGCAGCGAGACACGTGGAGTGTCTTCGTTGTTCTCATTCGACGGTTCTATCCAGGGTCCGCAACGACGCGCAACATCTGAAGGGAGTTAACTTGGACGTGGGTCTGCAGTTGAAGCCGAGTTCCGATCAAGAGCTTCAAGCCGCCAAGATAAGACAAGCATTTTTCCACGTGCTGCGTGCTGCTAACCGTGAAATAGTCCTGGCTTGAAAATGGATGCATTCCTCCGGCATTTTTTGCCGTCCAACTACGAGATTCGTTACTCATGCCATGAGGCAGAAATTTCCCTTTCGCCACTTGGATTTGGAATCGGTTAGATTTGTTTCGTTGATCGCATCCTACTTACTAAACATGCCCAGCTCGACGGTTGTGCGATGCCATATCGACGTTGTCTTCAATCTATTAGCTGTACGATGTACCTGGGTTGTGCTGGGAAAAGGTACCAACGGCGTTGGGTGGGGTGCTAAGAAGGAGCCACAGCGGGTCCCAGAGCGGTAATTGGTCTGGACGACAACACACGTTCTCTGTGGAAGTCCGAAGCTGTATCCATGGATTTGTATTCAAGCCATAGGAGATTTGTCCCTGAAAGAGCTTGATCATCTTCAACATTTTTCCAAGTATACTATTTTGAAGCTATGGTGTTCAACGGTAAACCGGGATTTAGCCGGTCTTGTAGCACTTCCATTCGGTCTTCCAGCAGACCTTGCCTTGTATCTTACATGCCGCTCAATGACTCTCCCTCTTAAAACCGTTGGTGATGCCAAGTTTCTCAAAGTTCAACGCCTCATTTTGTAAACTTGGAAGCAACGAACATTCTTATTGGGAAAAAAAAAAAAAAAAAACACAAAAAACTCACGAAATGCCACGGCACAATGAATTGTGATGCGACACGGCGATTCCGTTCCATTACAGCATCTGGAAACCTGGGATATCACTCGCCGAAACAGTTGTGCCAACTTATGCTGCCCGTCCACCAATCCACCAAGCAATCCAAAGAAATACTCAGATCTCCTAGCATTCTCCTGAAGAAACTTCGGCGTCCAAGTCTTGGCCAAGTCCAAACCTGACGTCCTTGGCAGTACCAAAATATCCATCGTCCCAAATGTAGCAAACCGCCACCTTCATCCAAAGGTGACCGGGCGACTTCATCGAGAAGAACCAAGAGTCAGATATTGCCGGAGTCCGCCGCCTTACGAAAGGACCCCGCAGAGACGGGGGTGTGCCAGTCACAGATGCCAAGCCGATGAAGGCTTGGTGGCGGCCAAGAGTTGCTTTTCCTGGCCTGGAGCACGGGCATCACCAATTTGGGAATTTAGGGCTAGCTACTACCTAGCTAGCTAGTGCTTGGGTCCGAGTTTGAGATTCCGAACGCGAAGCTCTTGGCCTTTTAGCTTGTTGGAGAGCACTTGGCATATTGCACTTGGCGCATAGCAAAACGGCGATTAGTTTATGGATTGCAGAAGCCTGGGTGGTGACAACAATATGCAGTCCATATGGCGGGAACTATGTGGGTTAGGTCAGAAGATGTATGCTCGGTTCGCTCAGTCTTGCAGCTTCGTATACGATTATGGGAATTACATATGAGATACATCAAGTGCATTTTACGTAATAACTTGATGCAGCAAGCAATGGCCAGATGCAATGGACAGCTGGTTTCCCCGAAAGGTAATGTCCAGCTTGAAGAAGGCCAGCGGTAATCCTTACGTGCCTCAGCATTACTGTCTGCTAACCTTCGTATAAGTTACTCATACTTTTGCTCTTTAATCCTGCCTTTATATAGGGGCCTACCCAAAAGCCTTTCACTTCTATGAAGGGCTGGTGGGCCATAGCAGGAAACGCTAATCAATTGTAACTAGCCAGGTTTTTATATGTTAGGCGATCAGGCTCGTTAGATTTCAAAAAGTAAAGCAATGAAGTGTAGCAAAATAACACCGATAGAGAGCCCTCAGTTATGACCCTCAGGTTGTGATGCAACTTAGAGTCTTTCCAGATGGAGAGTGTGAAAACCAGACAACGATCTGACTGAAATCGTTGCATGCTCGGAAATCAAACATTTTCCGTAAACTTCCGCTGCAGTAACGAATATGCAAAAAGATACAGAGCTGATCGTCCCTTTCCGCCCGTGACGCCTATCATTTGTCTCATGTCCCTGACTCCGGCGGCCGTTAAAGTCACTTAGAGTACTCCTTGGGACAAAATGATTCTAAGCCTCACCAAGCGCTTCGACTTCGACTTGCACAAGGTCTTGCTAGAACTTACAAGTGAACTTTGACAAAGATAGATCGCCATAGTTTGCGAGGTGATCTAGTTATTTATCAAGAGGCACATTTATTATGCCAAGTTTCTCGGCTCCCAAGTAAGATAAGGTATGTGAAGCAGTGCTCTTTTGATGCTGGGAATTAACAGACGCAAGTAAGTGCAATTCATCTAAAATAGTGAGAACCGGTTTATTCTTCATTCGCATATGAAGAAACTGTCCCAAAGTCGAGGATACTCCCATCTGCTATTCATAGGCCCGTGCTTTCTGATCGCTATAAAGTTTGCGTGGCATCAACGGCCTCAGCCCGCACGTCCCAGTTCGAGTGTCGGCTGTCAGGCTCATGCGTGACTGGCATTTCGAAACTGCAGTCAACAGACGAAAAGTTGACACCTGTTCTGCGCCCTAGACGATTCTAGTGAGACGATAGTGATTCACTTGGCTAACGCACCTCTCTGGGCTGTCTGAACTCGAACCTCCGGGCGTCCGACCTTGGCATCCATAGAGACCACTCAAAGAGACAACCGCTCGCGATGAAGGCAACTTGAGCCGTGGCTCTTTATATGCGAAGAAAAGGGCGAGCGGCAGATGGAGGCGGGTGAATATATAATTAGTTCAGCATGCTGATCTCTTCCCATGAAACCTGCACCTCTAAACTTTGAGGACGCTTGGCCGGATTCGGGGGACATTCGAAATGGAGTCAGTTGACGCTGGCAGAGGAGGAAAGCCCCGCAAAAATTAACAAGGCACGGACCGACAGCAGTCCCATTTTCCATCTCCACTGGCTTCCCGCAAGGAAGAAAAGGTAGACTACTCTATCTAACCTTAACGGTTAACTCTGTCATCTGTCTACCAACTCTGTTTGCGAAACTTGATCCTTTTTCGGCATTCATAGTACTGCCTTCTATAATTCTTTCCTATTTTCTGGTGTAAATTGTTTGGTCTATGGGCCGATAACTGCACAAGTATGGTCTGATTATTAGGGACACCTGGGCAACTTCAATGCCGTGTCTGCTTCAGGGCTGTCTCCACCGTTGGGGATCCCTTACTAAGATTGGCTGGGAGATGATAATAAGGCTTCTGAACAAGCACTTGTGGGATTCGCAAGATCCTCGATACCATCGTTTTCGGGTCATTATCCATCTCCCAATTGGTCGACAAGGCACCGGTTTCTTCGGCTCTCGTCACTCCCGCCCCCCTTCAGGTTGCAGGTCACAGAGATTCAACTCCCTACAAACTACACAGTACTCGGTGAGCAGCCAGAAAGAGGGCCTTGACAGGGTAAAGGTGACCCAATTCGGCTTAGTGGCATGGGGGCATCACACCATGTGCTTCCGTTTTCGTCTCAGGGGTTTGTCTGATCTACGATTTGAGCCCCCCTGGCTTACCTGCAACCCCCAGTGAAATCTGCGACGCAAGGCCACTAGCCGTTGTTTGAGATGCCCGTACCGGACCACTCACAGCGGTCGCTAGCGTCATTTCAAGTAGCCAAGGCCGACCTGCCAAGTCTTGAATTCTAGCATCCTTGACCTCCTTCTCTTCTTACATATAGTATTAGGAACGCTTGAGACGACAGTGGAAGGAGTCCTAAGAACTCACTAGAGGGAACATCGCCGTTGCGCACTGAGAAATTACTGCGAGCTTCCCTTCACCCCAATAACGACATTTGCCGCATTAGCCACTACGGCTACACTTGGCTTGGCTTGTATGCCAAATTTGGATTTTGGCTCGTTACTCTTTTTTTGTATGGCGGCATTTAGTCCATAGGGCGACTGGTATTCTCGAGCTAAGAAAGGTAAAAGGGAGAGAAAAAAAAAAAAAACGTGTAGCCCATGCAACTTTTGAGACAAGAGTGGTTCCCCTTCTTCGACCCGAACACTACCTTCACTTGGCGTTGACAGGTGGGACACAGAGCACCTGCCTGTTCGTCTCTCTCCCTCTCTTGTCTTTTTTGGGTGTGTGCGTGGTGGCTTTCTCTCCCACCCTTGTCGATCTACAAAGTAGTATTCCTGTTCCTATTCCCGTCGCGGCAGCTCTCCGTCTGTTTCTCCTCTCTTTTCCTTCAACCTTTCCTTCTTCCTCAATCGTTGTCTGCGTCGACGGTGGAGTCCCTGCTTCTATTTTTCCCACTTCTTGTTCTCTTCTTCTAGCACAGGCCTGTTTTGCATTGCGTTGCGTTTGCTGTTTGAACGGCATCTTCTCGCCTACTTCCGACCGGATCGTCGTTCCATTCGCTGTAACCATCTTGCCTGTTGCTTTCTTTTCCGATAGTCTTCCATTCTTCATTTCTTTTGCTCAGAAGACCCTTTCATTCGCTACCACCATAATACGCTCGTTGATCGACGTCGGCTGCACGGAAGCATACTTCGAATTCGAATATCAAGTCCTCGAAATCCAGTCTCTAACCCAATACCAAGAAAACCCCGCCTCGAGCGCCTCTTAAAGACAGTTCCCATGTGGCGACGACCGCGATAGCACGCATCCCACCTCTCCCTTCCCGGCGCCAGAAATGGCGCTACTCTCCTCCGCCTTATTGGCACTTTCGCTTGTTGCCCGTATACAAGCATGGCCTCAGCTACCGACCGACGACGGCGACATTGGTTTTCTCACGACCCTTCCTGTTATTCCTTACACCACCCAACACCAGACCCAAGCCGATGCCAATGTTGCCCCGCGAGGCCTTTCCCTTCCAGCCGATGAGGATTCCGAAACGATGGTCATGACCCTGCCCGTGACGTCAAGATTGAGGAGGAGACGTGTCAACCAACGCCGCCCACGGAAGGTTTTGCTCGACAACCTCCTCGGTGAGGATCTGGATCTGGATGTCTTGCCTGTCGCCCCAAAACCCAAGCCTCCGGTTGCGGGTCGAGGTCTGCCCGTTGACGACCGAGTGGAGATTACGACCTCCTTCGTTACATTGCCCGTCATCCACTCCACCAAGCGTGGTGTCTTTAGTCGACAAGTCGAAGCGAAGCTTGCCAACCGTTCTGATGTGGCCTATTATGCACAACGTGAGCCTCTAAGACCTTAACTTACGAAACGTCATGAAAGTCTCTCGAACTTGAACTAACATCCCCCAGTTAACATCGGCACACCGCCGCAGGCCGTCTATGCTCAGCTCGACACCGGCTCCTTCGAGCTCTGGGTTAACCCGGACTGTTCTCTCCTCAGCACATCCGACCAACGCTTCTGTGAAGCCGTTGGTTTCTACGACACCGCTCGATCTTCTACCGCCGTAGCCCTCCGAACGACGAAAACGCTCCGCTATGGCATTGGTGCTGCCAACATCACCTACGTTCGCGACAATCTCGCTCTTGCCGGTTCCCAGTCCACGATGCAGCAAGTTCAGTTCGGCGTCGCCCTTAGCTCTGAGGACCAATTCGCCGGCATTCTTGGCATCGGTGCCGGGGAGGGGGTCAACACGCGCTACAAGAACCTTATCGACGAACTCGCGTCCCAGGGAGTAACGAAAACCAAGGCTTTCAGTTTGGCTCTAGGATCGAAGGACGACCAGGAAGGAGCCATCATATTCGGCGGAATCGACACCTCAAAATTCTCTGGTCCCCTTGCTCGCCTGCCCATCATTCCCGCGGACCAGTCCCCTGACGGCGTTGCGCGGTACTGGGTCAACATGAATCAACTCAGCATCACACCGCCGAGCGGACGCACACGATACTACCCGAATAGCAACATGCCAGTTTTTCTTGACAGCGGTGCCACTCTTACCTTGTTGCCGGCCGATCTTGCCAACATGATTGCTACCGACTTTGGGTCACCTGGGCTCGACGCCAACGGTTTTTATCCCATCTCCTGTACACTGGTTAACCTCAACGGAACGATGGATTTCGACTTTGATGGGATGAAGATTAAGGTGCCTTACAAGGAAATGATTCGCGAGGTGCGCACGACCCCACCGGCGTGCTACCTGGGCATTGTTCCAAACTCGGACTTCACGCTGCTGGGCGATACCTTCTTGCGCTCAGCTTACAGTTCGTATAGCACTCCACTTATATACTGACTATGCTAATGAAATTTTAGCCGTGTTTGACCTCGACTCCAACGTCGCTTACCTCGCCCAGTATGTCAACTGTGGCACCCAGACTATGCCAATCAACCGGCCCGAGGACATTCCCGCCATGCAGGGCTTGTGCAAGGGTGCCCAAGGTTCCATCACCGCGCCCCCGGCCAGCAACGGCACCAACACCCCAGTCCCTAGTCCCGGGTTCGGGACCGGTACCGGCACCGGCTCCGGAACAGCCCCGGGCTCAGGGTCGGGCTCAGGGTCTGGCTCAACCCTCCCGACTGGCCCCTCTCCGGGAATGTCTGGCCTGCCGGCATCAGACTCGATGTCATCAGCTTCGATATCGACGCCAAGTACCGTCGCAATATTATCGTCTCTCATTTTGGCAGCGATTATCATGTAGGGAATGAGTGTTGGACAGCAAAAGTGTGCATGTTGGGACGGATGATGGGAGTATATGTTGACAATTTTGTGGGAGCATTATGAGCGGGCTTTAAGGACTTAGCAGTATCAGGCGTTCTGGAATGGCGGGTCCTCGTACCTTTTCAATTGTGCATGCCGGAAGAAATCTGTTTTCCTCGGCGCATGAAACGCAGCGAGCATTGAAAAATATCCGCATTGGAGAGTTAATAAAAAGGGCCACCAAGCCGTGGTTGTTGAATAAGAGCACAGTTTCTCTTGGTTGCTTGTGGATTCGACTAGAGGTATAATCATATTAATATGCAATTTAGACTACTCAACTACAGGTTCGTAGGGCCTCAAAGTACATAATACACAAAACAGCATCAGTGTCGTAATCTACCCAATTCGAAAAGTTCGGCACAAGGCAGGCTCCGCTAACCATCTCTCCATGTTTCGATACATTTCTTTGCAAGAAGCGGCGTTCTGCCCCGTGACCAATCCGACATCGATATCGTAACCCAGCGAGGCTTGAGCCGCCCCGAGGTACTTGTATCCTAGGGGGAACCTAGCCAGAACCTCTTCGGCGAAGAGCGGTGTAGATTGACCATCCACGAGGACCACCTTGTCTTTCTCGTACACCAGCTTCACGAATACGGCTTTCCAGTCGTGGCGTCCGTCGTCATTTGTAACTTTCTCGCAGAAGAAAATGAAGCGACAATCGCAGTCGACGTCGTACTCGAAACCTTCTGGGTGCTTGAAGCGCTGCGTGATTGTGGCCTTCATTTTTCCGATGGCGCGGTTCGTTTGCGGGTTGACCTCAACTAGAGTTCCGCACTCGCGGTGCATGATGAAGACACCGGCCTCCTTGCCAGTGATGGAGAGGCGGATGAAGTCGTCTATGGGCTGCGGGCCGCTCCAGGCTACATTGTGGGAATGTTCAGGTTAGAAACGATAAAGGAACCGGGGACAGTGAGGGTGTGATGGGGGCTACGGACTTGTCCAGACGTAGGCGTCGTCGGTGAAGAGGGAACGGTAGTTTGCCCATTCGCTGGCATCGCGGTATACTGGCCAACCTTTGCACAGCTCCGATACGGCAAAGCGATCAAGGAGCTCGAGAGTCGTACCTCCGATGTGAGAATATTGCAAAGCGTGAGGATCAGTCATGGCGAAGTGAAATTTGAACAATGCTGGCGGAGAGGGATTACTGAGGCGGATGATGTTCGAGGGGATGTCCATTTTCAAGACTTGTTGGACGGCATTCATCGAGACATGGCGCCTGTCTGTCTGATTTCGGAGAGAACATATCTTATTCTTTCCTTGTCATTAAAGATCTGGTTGTGGCAGGAGTCTCCGCCGCAGTTGCACCTTCTGCAGCCGTCAGAACATCAATGCCACCATTCTTGATAGAAAGAAGGTTTCTGGCCCGAAAAAAGGGTGACAGCCACCTGTTAGTTCGGCGATTACAAGATCATAGTCATAACCAGCTTTGATGAAGTATCATCAAGACCTGCCTCAGTCATGGTGGGTTGATGCACAGAGAAAACGTCTTATACATAATCAAAAAGTCATATCTCTGAATAACGAGAACGGAGCGTGCTAGAAAGTGGTAGAGAAGCAAGCAATCAGCATGTGATTGAACAGTTTGATAAGGGTGAGATTACTCCTGTACATGTACCTATTCATAGATTGCTAAGTTACGAGTTGTGAAAATTCCTGTGTGTATCAGCAATCAGATCTGATTTGTAAATAGGCAATGCTCTAGAAAGAAGAGCTACTTCAAGCAAGTCGCATTTGCCAAAATGTTGTCGATCTCGGCGAGACCATTGTAGGAATCGGCTCCGTGTCCGGACTGGGCTAACGTCCCACACCCACTTCTGGGCACCCCCCACATTTGGGCACCCCATTTACACCAAAAACGCCGTTTTTCGAAATTCTATATTAAACTAAATACTTTACTTATTAAAGAGAATAAATATATGTTAAATAGATTAAGACTTAATTATAATACTTAAGTAGCTATATACTAGTATTATTGATAATAAGTATTATAAATTCAAGTTTTAACATTTATAATACTAATTTACCTAGCCTATATCTTAATATATAAAATAGGTAGAGATATTTAACTAATATGATTAGAATTTTTAAGTAAGATATAGTAGATTTATATATTCTTATACTTAGTAAAAAATTCTTTAAGCTTAGAATAATATTTTAAAATTTCCCTTAAGAAAAGTTTCTATTATAGAATTTTAACCCTTAATTATACTATATTTACTAAAGTAATACTTTTAAATCTCTTTTAGATATAATTATATACTTTTAATAAGTATAAATATTAATTTCCTAGATTTTTTAAATAAGTATATATAAGCGAAAATATATTTTTCTAATGTTAAGGAATACTAGTAAGTTACTAGTATCTACTAACATTTTAAAGCTTTTAGTTTTAAACTTCTATATTATAACTATTATTATATTTAAACCTTTATAAAAAATTAGATGGCTATAATTATACTTAACATAGTTTATATATATTTTCTTTTCTTAGTAAGTATAGTAGTTAGTTTAATATAGAATTTCGAAAAACGGCGTTTTTGGTGTAAATGGGGTGCCCAAATGTGGGGGGTGCCCAGAAGTGGGTGTGGGACGTTAGCTGTTCCCGCAATTGCTATGTGCCGAGGCACATCCGCAGTGGAGCTAGCTTTAGTCAGCGGTGGTGCCTCTTGGCTCTTGACAGAATTAATTTTGATTCATCTTGGATTCTGATTAATTCAGGGTTTTACAACTGCCAGACAAGCAAAGATGGCTGCAGATAAATCAACAGTGGATGGTGCGTTGGCGCCTCGCCCACAGGGCTTGCGAGTCATATACCTTACACTGTACAACACCCTCTTCGCTGGCTTGTGGGCATCCATTTTCATCACCGCTGTGACAAACGCGTCCAAGGGCAAATTCGAGGTCTTCCAAGCGACAGAGCCACGGGCGCGATGGGTCCAGACGCTTACATTGATTGAAGTCGTGCATGCGGCGGTTGGTGAGTGCTTACTGAAGCTGGATCATGGCATAGCTGGTCGCAACAAAGTTGAATGAGACATTTTCTAACAAGAATGGAAAAAACGCAGGCCTTGTGAAGTCCCCCGTGGGCACAACCGCACTCCAAGTTGTTGCGCGCACCATCATCGTCTGGATGGTGTGGTTCAGCTTCCCAGAGAGCACAGCGTCGTCAAATGCGTATCTGGCGCTAGTTTTGGCATGGTCTACGGCTGATACCGTCCGCTATGCCTATCTCACGTTGAACCTACATGGAAAGGCCTCCAGCGCCCTCGTTTGGCTAAGGTTAGTGGACCGAATTGAATGTTTGGGAAAACGACAGAGACTCATCAATGATGTCGAGCAGATACACACTCTTTTACCCCCTTTATCCAATTGGCATTGCGTCTGAATGGTGGCTTCTGTACAGAGCCATCGAGCCGGGCAGCCAAATCAGTACCATAATCCCGTCAATCTTCTATTTCTGCTTGTGCTTGTATATCCCCGGTAGGTCTCCATTGGCATTGGACCCTTAGCAGCTTACAGCTAATGATACGTTTAGGATCTTACACAATGTACACCTACATGATCAAGCAGAGAAAGAAGACGCTCTCGAAGAAGGACAAATCTCAATGATTAGCTTGGATGGCGATGTCTCGGCTGAGCCAGGACTATTTCTCATTTGGGAAAAAAAAAAAAAACTTTGTTGGACACTCATGTCGGCAAAAGACACCAGAGATTCATCTCACAGCTGCTACTACTACTGCACTTAGTACCTAAAGCACAGCAAAGACCTGTACATATTGTTGCAACCTTGGTCAACTAAGGTTCCACAGTAGATTTTGATAATATTAATGTTGTCATTGCACATATTAGTGGATAGTCGACTTGGCAGGTTTTCTCCTATGCAAACTCGGGGGGAACGTTTTGATGTTTGCCGCTTACTAAGTAATATCCGACACCTAGCTCCATACTTATATGGTGAGGCGAGTATATTGCTTGTCCCCATGCTCTTTAGGAGCCAGTCAAATGCCAAGTTCAACCTAAGGGATCAAAGCCCGCAACTAGGGGGCCGATCAACTTTTCCATCATACCACGACGTTTGGAGATTTATCTACGCGATGTAACAGGTTCCTGCATGAGTAAAACGGCAGACAGGAGTGGAACAATTCCTAGAGTAACAATATTGGCCTAATGCGTTCGTGCCTACCACCTGATTAACATTGAGAAGCAAGGGCTCTTTCATTACACAGCGATAGGAGAACAAACCTCTCTTTGACTGTTTAGGTGGTCTCGAGAATCGAGGTAAGAGCCTGGCACGTGCGTGGTAGGTTCAATACCTCCAATCCTTGACTCACTTAGCTGTTATATGATTGTTTCGCATCGCCACGAACCTGACTGTTCGAGTCAAAGTGGCTCCGCTGATCTTCCGGGGCTTAGGAACCACCCGAGTAACAAGATTGGTTGGATTTTCTTGGTGTTGGCCGCAGGTCCACTGTGCCATCCGTTTTGTTGCCCGGGCGGGGAGCCTGTCTGCGGACCCCGATGGTGACCATGATATGCGGCCGCCCTTACGCGCCGTCCCATCTATCCAGGCAAGTTCGGCATCGTAACATGCCCGAGTTCACCGTACCCAAGAGACATGTTCACGAAGCAGCTGCTTTTTTACCCAATATAAGTTCGCTTTCTCCTACGAAAGGCTCAAAACAACTACTCTATCTTCTGGCCGCTACACTCATGACAATCGGTCTTCTTTCTTTTAACATCTATCAATCACAGAGTCAATATGGGATCAGTCCCAAATGTTTTCTCAAACACAGAGTCTATTAAAAGACAACCTTCATCAGGATTGTCTATTCTGATAGTGGGCGGTGGTATTGCCGGGCTTAGCTTTGCTATTGAGGGACACCGGAAGGGTCATGATGTTCGCATCATCGATCGACGACCTCATTTTGATGACTATGGTCAGTTACAAGTATCCATCCATCGGCTTAAAGTTTATATGAGTTTTAACATTCTACAGGTGATATCATTGGTATCGGGGACTCTGTTCTGCACTCTATGAAACAATGGCCTGGGTTCCTCGAAGCTTGCTACAAGACACCATTTCCCAGGGAATATAGTGCGTACAAGTTCGACGACACCCTCATTGGCAAGTTGGGCGAGGGCCTGGGCATGAGCCGATCCGAGTTCCACCGGTTGCTGCACCAGTACGTTCAGCATATCGGCATTCCCATCCGTTATGGCGCCAGAGCTGTAGATTATTTCGAGACTGAAACAGAGGCCGGCGTTGAACTTGAAAGCGGAGAACGGATCACGGCAGATATTGCTGTCGCCGCAGATGGCATCGGCTCGAGATCCTGGCGGCTGATAGCTGGCACCAAGGAGCAGCCCATTAGTTCCGGATTCGCCTTGTTTCGGAGCACGTACCCGGTGAAGTTGGCACTGGAGAACCCATTGATTGCGGAGGCAATTGGCGGTATTGATTGCGTCAGCCGCTTGTACTTTGGTCCCGGATCTCACATCGTTCTGGGCATAACATCGAAGGACATGATTTGGATGCTGACGCACAAGGTACGCTAGTGGCCTTTGCATAGACATGTCCACGATTGTTAGTTTTAGCTAACCTTGAAATTTTCGTTAGGATGATGGAACTGCCGAGGAGGATTGGGCCAAGCCTGCAAACCCTCTAGACGCCCTTCCTTATGTTGAGGGGTGGGCACCGTGGTTGCAAGAGGTCATTAAGATGACCCCCAAAGACGGTGTGGTCGACTTTAAGCTCATGTGGCGCAACCCCAGGGAGAGATGGGTTTCTCCAAAGGCCAGGGTTGTGCAAATCGGTGATTCAGCCCACACCTTTCTTCCCACCTCAGCGAGCGGTGCGACTATGGCAATTGAAGACTCGCTCTCCCTCGCAGCTCTGCTTCACAAAAGTGGAAAGGAAAATGCACCCCTTGCTTTAAGAATCCAGAACAAACTCAGGTGAGCTCAAAGTTCTACTCATCAAGTGTGGCGTCTACGTCTATCCTGTATGCTAATCTCCTACGCAGATTTGAGCGTGTGACTTGTACTCAGAAGATGGGATTCAAGAACAGGGAGAATTTCCATAATACTGACTGGGATGCTGCAGCCAAAAAACCCTCGTCCATCCTAAAGCAGGTCGATAGATGGGTTTCTGAGCATAATCCTGAGCAATATGCCTACGACATGTATGACGAGTGTGCCGCGCACATTCTTGACGGCAAGGTATTTCAGAACACAAACACGCCGCCTGGTCATACTTTCAAGCCTTGGACGGTCAGTGAGCTGTTGGCGTACGCCGAGCGTGGTGAAAGAATTGTCGATGATGGCGACTGGTCCTAAACAAATCCAACCGGTTAGAAGCATTACAGGCATGTAGAAACATGTATTTTCTATTTTGCTTTTAGATTATAGAGCATAACATAACATATAAGGTGGATATATGATTACAAAATGTAAGTATACGCATGTGCAACAGGAACCTGTTTGGTGACTCACAGAAACAAGACTCATTAATATCGATATCTCGAACTCACAAGAAACAATTATTCGACTAAAGGCTAGCACATCAACCAACTGTCTCCTGCTTGTAATTGAACTCTAATAACGTAGATATCTTGTCTTTGCGTAAGTCAGACAGACAAATAAATCATCCTGATCTTTTTGAACTCCTATTCCTCCACGGCTTGAGAGACCATCACGACCACCAGAGCAACAACAACCGACAGGCAAAGCAGCAAATGGTTCAACTAGCCTCCTTCTCAATTAAAAGAATTGATCCTGTGATTTAGCATAGCCTCACTCACTCGGTGAGCATCTTTCTTTTCATTATCCCCCGCAACGGTTTTCAATTCGTGTCTCGGTCTGATATACCTCTGTCTGTATGACCTAAGGGACAACTTCCTTCGTCCAACAGCCATTTCATCAATAGGTTGCCAATCGTTTTTAAAAGTTTATTGTCTAGTAATGAAAAAGGGGCGTTGGTCTCCCTGGATGAGATGGTTTCTGGTAGAACTTTTCACTGATTGTGAGCCATGTTTCGGACATTCTTTGGAACTTATCTGGTATGCAGAGCATTTTTGTTGATCGATAAGGGCACGACAGAACTGAAATGGCAGGTCAAGGGGCCATCCTTTCAACGGAAGGGTATCTGCCTGGAATATCTCAAGAATTCACTCAAAACAAGGTAACAATGGTTGCTGGTGGAAACCAGAAAGAGGAGTATTCACTAGTCATCCAGGTGAGAGGAACTGGGTCTTTTGAAAATCAAGCAGGTTGATGCAGACGCCTGGTGTTTTACTTTCTATTACTGTTGAGGCTCAAAAAATCAACCAGCATAGCATAGCGGCTTGTAAGCTAGAAAGCTTCCGGCCAAGTACTCATCCGGGTTTTTCTAAAGCGGATTTGCTATCCGGGCAAATGCCCAGACAGGTACTCAAGTACCAAAGCGGCAGTAAATTACATCAACTTACTCCTAACTAGGTTTATTGTGTCCGCGGCTGGCCGAATGTGTGATTGTGGGGCTACCATGCAAGTTGGAAAAAGACAGAAAATACAAGTTAAAATGATTTGGTTCTTCTTCTCTTCTTTTTTTTTTCTTTCAATATATGGCTTTATTACTTCCTTCCATCAGCTCGAATCTCGCATATTCTTCCCAACCAGGCTTTTTTTCCCTTTTTTTTTTCTTTCAAGATGGCTTTCATGCTTCCTTCCCTCAACTTGACTCTTGCATGTTCTCCCCCACACCTTGCCGCAGCCTATGAAGCGGATGAAAACATCGAATATGTTTTACGAGTCCTCCACATCATTCTTGGCATCATTGCTATGCCTCTTTTCTGGACCGAAAGCATCCTCTTCTGGATGCTTGGACTTCCTACGTCGACGAGTTTCCGCATGTTCCCTCGAGCAGACACTGTCCCCAACTATCCCACTGCTATAGCACATAGCTATGTGTTGATTACTATCATGCTTATACCCTATTTCGTCTCCCTGGACCGGAGAGGGACCGGCAGAGCAATGCTTGGGTGCCTCCTCCATCCTCTTACGAGAGGAGCCACCCCATTTGTTGAATTCTCAATCATGTTTGCTCGCGTTTGGCTGGCGGCTTCTTGGGCAAATTTTGCGGCGGCTCAGTTCACGACAGATTGTGAACTTGCACCGTTTTAATACAAACTATCGTGTGTGTATTTCATTATATGACAGGCTCAAAACGTTCAGAGACATGAAGCCATCATCATCGTCTCAATTATTACGTGCTGGCGGCCTGATGCATCTTAAGCATCGCCCAGACTCACCACCGTAGCGCACTCATCAATGCCATCGTTCTATTTTGATGGCAGAAATCTCGCAACAGGTAGCTCAACCACCTGTGAGGAGTACGGGGCGTATTATGATTTGATACCTGTCGCCCACGGATGAAAAATCTTGGCTCAAGAGAATGAATATTGTAGGGGAAGATATGGAATCCTCAGATAACACATATTCAAATTGTTGAGGAAACGAGGAAACTTGCGAGAGCATTGGGAGTGCCCTGTTAGCATTCAGAAGACATCATCTATCTTTCATGATTAGTAATTATGTTTCTTTGACTCGACTCTGAGGATAATACGTCAGTAATTACGAAGACAAAAATAAATGTGAGCATCGACAGAACATCAAAGCCGCACGCAAAATCACGCCTTGCATGGAAATGAAAAAGTAGTGTTCCATTGTCGCGGTACAGCTCAGAAAGCAATCAGCAACCCGATAAAGCCCTAAGCTGCAAGTCATTATACATGTATGAACGGAAGACACATGGCACTTGCTTTGGCCCTCTCGATTTGGCGATACTGTAAGAAGAAGAAGCACTGTCGTGACATTGGTGCCCAATAGGCTGGGAGGCAAGGCCTGCAGATTACAACTGCATGCGATCGATACCTTATGGTGTAGGCCGACTGGCTAGGGAGGCAGCAGCGGCCTCGCCCTGCCTGTTCGGCAAAAGAGCCCTTCAAGAACGGAAATCCGAGAGGGTACCCTGAATGGTAGCCCCATCAGCTTTTTAAATGATGAGGACACAGTCGAAAAAATGGTCTATGCATAACGAAAGGGTGCCGGTGCTTCCTTTCCAGGGAGGGGCGATGGCTGCTGAACTCAGGCAGTTCATCGCTTAGTCACCTTACTACAGTGGGGGTGTTGGCTTCAACTTCAACTTCATTCTGAGCTTTCTCGTGCCCCTCAACCTTACTTTTTCTCTACCCCATGTCAGCTTTACCCGTCACCGCTTCCAAGTCCATGGATGAGAATTCTCCACCGATCCATAATAGAAGCTTCGAACCGATCTGGGCGTCTCCGACGTGTCAGATCCCAAGCTCACCATAGCCATGGGTTGCCCACTAAACCCTTGGTCGTCTTGATGCCCAACGAAGTATGACGGTTCAAGCCTTGGTTGCTAACAACTCTGCGATTCCTCAGTTATCATCCTCATTACCACACAAATGATTCTTAGGCGGCAACTAGTTGTTCGCGAGGCGATCTTACGGGACTTTGCTAAATCAATTATCTGCAGTCAACCCCAAGGCATCAGTCTATTGCAGCTCGATAGCCTCACCTGACGTGACTGGCCGACCTTTTCCCCTCACTACACCACTAACACGACCCCAAGCTTGGGCTGTGGGCGGCCCGACGAGTGCGGGAACTGCTGCATGAGGGGACCATTGCCACGCCTGAGGCCAGCCCATTGGTCTGCCTGCCGCAGACGGCACGCATAATCGTGTCCAGCCTGCTTGTGCCCAGCTGCACCTCGCTCTTGTTTGGACGCGGATACATACTCTTACACTCCTCCAACCTCCGCATTCGCTGCGCGGTGCCACTCTTGCATACGCCCTCCCCATTTCCATCCTCTCAGGTCCATCACGGAATGCTCATCAACTCAGGCGAGATGCCAATGGGCTCGCCTGTCACCCATCCATGCTCCTGGGCTCGCCCCCTGGAGGCAAGACTCAAAAGTTAAATATGCCTCACGAGTCCTCGACGAGCATCATGCAGAACGCCTTTTGTTTGCTTTTCTGCACTCGTCATGTTCCATCATGTTCTTTTTCTACACTTTTGGTGTCCATACTTTGTAACTTGGTAATTACCCTGGTGTATTATAATCCTTTTTCGTCTTTCAGCATTCATCCCTGCCCAACACCCATCACCCCACCCCCTCATCTTGGATGTATATCCCACTTCCCCGAGCCCGAGCCTCCGGGTCTGAGGCTGAGCGGCGGGCAATTTCGGTTGTAGGTTGGACAAAATTTATGGAATTGGACCCCTCGACCCCTCTTACGAAGAGACAGGTCGGCATCTCAGGAGGGAACACTACGAACGTCACGGTCGGCGTAACTGTCGGAGTCGCCATTCTCATCTTCATCCTCGGCGCGTGCGCCTTTCTCTACTTCTATCGGGCACCCCTCAACAGGATCAGCCGCCGCCGCCGTCGAAGTCGCCGTCACATATACCATAAGTCTGTTAGTTCGCGAAGTTCCAAAAGCTCAGCCACGGACGGCCCGCCGGGGCCACCTCCGTCCGGGCCCCCACCTCCCGCCGACCCTCCGGCGAATCCTCCGACTCCGCCTCCTCCTGCTGCTGCACCAGCGGATAAGGAATAGCACAAATCGTTTTTGATTCCTACGGTTGAAGTTTGGCGCACGCAGTCATAAAAGTCTGCTCATGTTTGTCAACCCGGCCGACACAGGGTTACTTACACTGACATTGCTCAGGTGCCCATTCTCTTTGTACACTGACGTGATGTAGGTTAGGTTATTAATTTGGGCCCCGGAATTTGCTTTGAGCGGGAGTTATGGACGGAGAGTAACGGCGACCCCAGGCGCCAGATGAAAACAGCCATGTACGGTCGAATTTTACATTACTTCTCATTGCGCTAATTGAATGTCTTTTGCATTTGATTTCTTTACATCCAAACATCATATCCAGCCCTTGAATATAGATAATGAGAAAGGACACTTTTTCCCAAGCACCCGATACGAACTCGGCTGCTTCCAATATCAAAAGATGGGCAACGTACCACAGACCCGACATTGACACCATCAGTCGGCCGCCATCTCTTCATCATCCAGGGGTGGATATCCGTCATTCGTAACCTCCCTCCTCAAATCCCGACTCGCGGGCTCAATACCGCACAAAGCATCCCAAAACGAATAGCAGCACTGATTGCAAGTTATTTCCTCTTCGCCGTCGGGATCATCGGCATCCGCAAATTGCTCCAGCCGGAATCCGGGGTCCACGCCCCAGCCCATCTCCAAGCCTAGGTCTTGGTTCTCAGGTGCCGGCCCGTAGTCGATGAAGTCGTCATCGGGAATACCCATGCCCATACCTATGCCCATGCCAACGCCGGCAGCTGCCGCTGGGGCCATGGGAACCTCCATCAGTGGCATCGGCAAGAATCTTACAGTCGTCCCACGGGGTTTGGTCGAGCGAGTTTTACGGTGCGTGGACTTCCGTTTCTTTTTCGCTGGGTGTTTCGAACGAGGCTTTTGGTGTTTTTGTTGGTGGTGTTGATGAGAACGTCTGTGATGGTGATGTATCCATTTGTGTGTATGAGGAACCTGGGCAGGGAGGGCATGGACACCATGACAACTTTTCTGGGGATGTGCATGGTGGTGCGTATGTGACTTATGCGCGTGCTCATGTTGGCCTGTCTTTTTGAGCTGTTTCTTGGGTGAGAAGGCGCAGTTGAAGCAAAAGTACATGATGCCGAGGGCCAAAATAGCTGCCAGGAGACATCCGACAAGCATACCCGCTATCCGACCCTGTTCTGCATCGCGATGGTAAAGACGGTGCAGCCGAGTTCCTGGGGCATCGACGTGCATGGGGGGAATCGGCGCCATGTCGTGATCATATGTCGTTGATCAACTGAGCAGTCGAACTTTTACAGGCATATTTCTTTTGCTCTTTGGGCTGTTTTCAGAGATTCTGATTTGAAGATTTTGGAAGTGGATGTTAATGGCCTGCCTTAAGTCTAAAGTCAATTCATCTACATCTGCATTCTTGTTTGCCGCAGGTCAATGGCAAACCAACAAGCAAATACGTTCTCTCACGTAAGGTTTCTGCACCGAAACTCGCAATCACCCATCATGAAGCTTTCTGACCCTGAGTTTGTTTCACCGTACCGGCAAACGCCTCAGATGGCATCCGTCTCCAAACCGCCGGAATCTGCAGCATCACGTCGCACATATTCCATACACTCGGTACCCAGTCAAATCTGCTCATATGATACAACATCGTCATTGCTGACTCTATCCCCTAATCCGTGACGTGCGTGCCGCAGCAGAACACGACGGGAAGGACTATCTATTCTATCCTACAAACTTGCGTGCCTCTGACAACCCCGGGGGGGGGGGGGGGAGACAAAGAAAAAAAAAGAAAAAAAAAAAAGGGTGAATCTCAGCCCACTACGTCGCCAAACTCCTAAACTGCCGAAAAACCGCAAAGAAACCGCCGTAAGAATGGGTATCGTATCTCTCCCCAACGGTGAAATTCTCAAGGAAAAAATGAAAAAAGTAAAAACGTCGTAGTCAAACACTCAACCTCTCCGACGACCTCTACGCTCCTCCCTCCTGTCCTCTCTTCTCCGAACCTGTACAAGGACAGCCCCGATGGAGTCTTGCACCTTCCCAGACCTCTCCACAAACGCGTCGTAGAACTCGCAGTTGGGATGTCCAGGCTGTCTTGCGTTTAGAGAAATGATGGCATTCGAGAGCGCCTCCAGCTCAGCTTTGAGAGGGGCGTAGTCCGTATGTCTTCGTCGTCCCTGACGCTCATCCCGATGATGCCGCGAGTGCTCCCTCGAGCCATCGCGGCGATAATCCTCCCTTGACCTGCGTCTATAACCGTCACGACTCCGTCTCCGTCTCCCGTGCTCTTCGCCATGGTCTTCGGCTCGATTATGAGAGCGCCCACGCGAGTTCGTGTACCGATCACGACTGCCGCTTCTCCCCTCCATCTCTCTTGTCCCCTCAAGACCCTTGGCTCTCACATCCCCGCGTACTTCCTCCTTATCTTCGCCCCCTTTCCCGAACTTCTCAATCGCTTTCGCCAGAATGCTCTTTCCCAGGTGCTCCCACATCTCCATGTCCGAGTTAGGAACGCCGCCCCTGGGTCTCTGGTCTTCGTCCGGATGACTTCTTGTTCCTAGCCGATTGTCGTGATGTCCCTTGTGCCCATCCCTGTCGTTGTTATGGTTGGGCATGTACTTCCGTACGGCATACTCCACCAGTCCTCGCGCGAGCACTTCGAGAACAAGCTCAAACTGCCGGTTGTGTCCCCCGCCGTTATTCTCGTCCCGCCGAGATTGATTGTGGTCCCCGCCGCCGCCGCCGCGGGTCGGTGAGGACGTCTTGCGGCGTGCTAATGTTCGTAATAATACGTCCATGGCCGTTGACGCATCGGGAGTATACGAGTGGTGTGTTTGCGACTTTTGATGGATTTAGTCTGGGGTTGCTTGAAGAAAATTTCGATTTGAGGCCTTCGATATTTTTTTTTTCTTTTTTTCTTCTCTTCAATTATTTTTCTTGCCGCGATTTTCGCGACTTGAGCGAGACTCGCGGTAGTATTTAGCTCCTTTCAGTGGCGCCGTGTCCGTCGTCGGGTTTAGGTCATGCGGTGATGGCGGCCTCTACTTGCGGTGGTGCCTCTCATGTGATTCACTGGGTGCGTGAGTAGCGCGGGTGAGACAGCCGAGTCGCGAGGAGTCACTCGATCCCCCTTGTCTTTCCTCTTTGAGTTTCTGGTATTAAATAGGCAGAAATCAGGCGCAGTCCTGGGTTGGTTTCTTGTGTTTAAATGACCTGCGTCTGCTGCTATTTCGGCGTGGTACTGCTTTTTTTACTGCGTGATGCCGTTTTTGGGTCACTGTGTCGACGACGGGTGAGCTACAAGTTGAACCCGACCGGGGGAAAGCGGGTTGGATACCAGTGCTTTGGATCGTGCCGGAGTGTCGCGTGCGAATTAGTCGTATTTAAGAAATGGCTGGTGAGTGCATCCCGGTTTGAGGCGGGAAACGGTGATGTGGTAGGGTCAATGTTGGTTGGGAAGGTGAGTTGAGTCTTGTTCCAATTTGGCGCCGACCACGTTTGCGGCAAGGCGATGAAGGCAAACAACAAGGCTCTTTTCTTCTTATTCTTGTTTGTTTGTTTGAAGCGGAGGACTCACAGTTTTAGCAGCAGTCTTTCAAGACCTTGGATCTGAGTCTTTGTTGTTGCTGGTTTACTCAAGTGCCAGGACTTCCTAATTGCTCTACACAATGAACTTTGCAGCTGAGAATAGAGTCTGGTTCTTTTCATCTTTGATGCCGTATCTTACCGTCTTTATTAATACTGACGGGATACATAGGCTATGTCTTCTTCAAATACTTTTCATGTCGCCCTGGGTCATCTTTCCCAGGATATTTTACATGTACATACCAGCCATGAGCATTAGCCATAACTGCTCGTTTAGCTGAGGAGCTCCTTGATATCCTCGATACGTTGAAGCTTCTTCTCTTCATCACTCATCATGCCCAAAGAAGTCGCACTAGAAAAGTTAGCATCGGCACAGCCACCAAGGCATGGCGGAACTCACATGAACTTCTTTCGCTCCTGCACCCGGAGCATCCTCTCCTCCACACTCTCCTTCACGATAAATCGATAAACCTTCACTTCCTCATCCTGCCCCATGCGGTGCACACGATCGATAGCCTGCGCCTCAACAGCAAAACTCCACCACGGGTCCATCATGTACACCCTCTTCGCCGATGTCAAATTCAAACCCACACCACCAGCACGAAGGCTGATGAGCAAGACAGTAAACGTCTTGGAGTCCTGAAACTCAGTCAGCACTGCGGCGCGTGCCTTTTGCGCCATGCTACCGTCAAGTCGCAGGAATTTGATGTTAGCCCGCTCCAACGCCGGCTCAATTAGCGTCAGGAACGACGTGAACTGGCTAAACACAACAGATTTTACACGTGGCTGCTCCTTCCTTAACTCACGCAGCGCCTTAATCAGGGCGACGACCTTGGAAGACGAGTTGTTGACGCCAAGGCGCTGCAGGCTGATTTTTGACTTTTGAAACATATCTGGGTCGTCGTCGTGACGGACAACTTCAAACAGATCGCGGTAGTTTATCTCTGCGCGGCAGTTAGGACATGTTGGTACCTTATGACGATCTGTTTGGTGCTTCATGTAATCCAAGAGGCACTTCTTGCATGCAGAGTGCCAACACCCGGTAACCGTCTGGTCGATCATGGGCTCTTCTGAGCAGATGGGGCATTCATTGGCAGCCTCATCACGGATCTGACCGAGGATGTGTGCGCCGAATGCGTTAGGGTTGGATTCTGATTCAGAAACTGTGACCGAAAACTGCTCGATGAGGGAGCCGAGATCCATGTCATCTGCAAGACCGGCTGCCATGTCCGCTGCCGCACCAGCCTCAGCCTCATCCGCGACTAGCTCTTTGTTTTTCACCAGAACGGGGTGGCAACATGACTGCCGAAGGCGCAAAATGTTGGCAAAGATGCTAGTGAAGGCCTTCATAACGGTTCCTGCTTCAACATTTTCCCTGAATGATTGCTTTGCGCGTGTAAAAATATAGTCGTAGATCTCTCTTTCCGTCTCGCTCAGTTCAACATCGACAATTTCGATCTGTTTCGGGGGGAGCGGCACAAGTGGTTCACCGTCAGGCGTCTTCATGTCCTTCGTACGCCTGAGTACCAGCGGCTCGAGCACTGTTTGCACAACATCCAGTGCACGCATGAAGTCCTTGGACTCAAACGGTACAGTGATGAAGGTTTTCCAGAAGGAAAAGTTATTCCAGGGCTCGACTCTGAGGAAACGAACAAGGCTAAAGAGGTCCTCCAGCTTGTTCACAATCGGCGTTCCCGTCAATGCCCAACGGTGCTCGGCGGATATCTCGTAGCAGGCCTTGGCAGTCTTTGATTGTCGGTTTTTGATATGGTGAGCCTCATCTAGAATGACACGGAAGAAGTTCAGCGAGAATAGCCCATGATGATTGGACTTGTCTCCCTTTTTGGCGGCGACTTGGTTGAACTCAGACAAGACTACACCGTAACTGGTGATGAGCACATCAGGTGCAGACGCAGCACTCGCCTCGCAGCACATAGCCTGAAGGTTGCTGGCTTTCTCGTTACCATAGTAGACCATCGCCTTGAGAGTGCCCTCTTTCGAGGCCTTCTCCGCTTCACTTTGCCACTGTGCCAGCAGCGACATGGGTGCCACAACAAGCGTGGTACACGGCGCCGAGAGCACGTTTGATGAGTTTGAGGCGAGGCGCGGAAGCTCGTTAACAGACATGGGCAGCCCAGCTGTCGCCTTGGCGCGTTGTGCGACCTCGGAACGGTGGGTATGAACCAGACTGAGCATTTGAATCGTCTTGCCGAGACCCATTTCGTCTGCTAGGATACCACCCAGGCAGTTTTGCTCCTGAACCGGAAACTCAAGTGACAAATCACCCGAGTAAGGATTCACATAAAAGTGTTCTTGATCCTTAACCTGCGGAAGCTCCTTATCATCTGTATCTTTGAGTGGCCATGCATACTCTTCCCACAAGGGATGCATACTAGGTTCTCTATTGCTTTTCAGATCTTTCTCCTTCGTCACCATCCAATGCAGAGCTTGCTTCTGGTATGGCCGGAGGTTCATGGCAAAGGAATCAGCAGGCTCCGCCTCAGGCGTGTTGAAGTCAAACGACTGAGCTTTTCGATACAGCGCGTCGAGTTGGTCTTGTTCCAGTTCTTCGCCATCTTCCTGCTCGTCGGAAGGGGGAGACGAACCCCGCTCCCTGGCGTTTACTTTGGAGGAGTCCTTCTCCTTCTTTTCATCCATCTCCGCCACTTGTAGCAGGCCCTGCCTATGATTCTTCGATGCAGCGGAGTTGGCTCGTGTCGGATCAAGGTTAATTTCCCGCAGGAGCTTCACCAAAGCGACCTGTCGAAGGCGAAGTTCTTTTTCCTCTGTAGACTCTTTCTCCTCGAAAAACCCAGCCGCTCTGTTGTCCGCGATCTTGAACCCGGGACTGTGGAACGCCGATGCCAGTAAATAGCATTTGAGCTGGATGAAAACTGTATCATTCGTCCTTAATCGTTCAGGGGCGTACACACATGTACCCTCAAACCTGCAGATATTTTGGTCCATCAGGGTCGACACCCAGTCAGCCGTATCCTTTGCCAGTCTTCCGATCTCAGTCCCGCTACTGTTCGTAAATCGTACAAGCACATCTACCCGCCTTGCAGCAGCAGATCCTCCGCGAGGAGTCACGTTCGTCACACCAAACTTCGTGAGCCTAGTAGATTTCGGTGGTTGAATCTTCTGTCTGTCAATCTTGACGACGTCGCCGTGCTTGAGGAGATTTGGACCGCTACGGGTAGCCCAGCCCTCAACACCAAGAGCGCCAATGTATCGGGATTCGGGCATCGTGCGTCGAGGTTTCGGTGGATCTTCCATTGGAACGTCCCGCGTTGATGGAGTGGTCGTAGAAGCTGGAGGAGGGCGAGCGAAGGCGCCAAGCGCTGACGGCTTCTTCTTCTTGAAGTTCTTCCATGTTCCGTCGAAATACATATTCACGGCACGCTCCAAATTATCACCGCAATTCTCACGAATCACTTCCAGCACATCCGCCGCAACTTTATCACCAATGAAGCTTTCAAAAGTCTCCTGGTCGAAAGTCATGGCGGCTTCGTCGCTTTGCAGCTCTGATAGAGGGGCAGAGCGGTTCGAGGCTTCTTCGAGGGGTTGTTCAACCAGTGGGCCGCGGGACTTTGTGGGAGACGAAGGTGCCTCTGCATCTTCGCTTTTGATATGTGTCGTCTCGTCGTCAACATCCTGAAAGAACCGCTGCTTCGTGTGTGTTGGCGGGGTCGGTAATGCTGGGCTGGAGAGGTGACTCTGTGCATCGTCATCTGAGGCGAAGAAGCGTCTCCTCTTAGCAGGAGGCTCTGGGGACCCTGTATAATCCATGGCGAGGTCAGTATACTGCCATGGGACGATGCACAATCCCGGACGTCGTGGAAGGTGCCACTTGCACTGAGTAGGCGACAAAAAAGTAACCCATGCTAGAGAGAACTGGAGACGCGAGGCGATAAGTCAGCGCGACTTGCCGCGTCGGGCTGTCATGTGACTGCGTGTTACTTATGTAAACTCATTAAAGCCATAAGACGTCATAATTGGATAAAAAAAGTTCGACTCGGGGATTTTGTCCGTCACGGAGCTAAAAAGAGAAGATCCACAGGCTTCAAGCTGCGATTTTCAGAACGACTGGAAACAGCCCCGACATGGCGCATTACACCAGCGCATTATCCTGAATGAATCGACCACGCATCGTCGGCCATGGCCTGAGAAGGCTAGTACAGACTCCCCCGAGGGGAAGTAGGGGTATTGTCACGGATGCAGACGTGTCCAAGGCGAGGACGTACTGCCAGTCGCAGCTCCAGTAAGTATACGCAACTCATATTCTGCAATATATAAGCTGGTTAGTTGTTAACAAAATCCGTAGACATAGCCATTACGATGCCCACCTGATTAGTCGTCTCCTCTCTCCGCGCGCTCAAGACGCATACCTCGCCCTCCGAAACCTCAATCTCGAACTCTCCCGCCTACCCGAAGTCGTCTCGAACCCGGCCATTGGCCAGCTGCGCATGCAATTCTGGCGCGAGTCCATCGACAAAACATTTTCTGGGAACCCGCCTGCGGAACCCATCTGCGTTCTTCTCCACCAGGCCCTGCAGGACTTGCGCGCCCGGTCTTCCGGCAGCAGCACTGCGAGCTCCATGCGGTTCTGGGCGCAACGTTTGATTAAGACGAGGGAGAAGTACATGGACAACCGCCCGTTCACGTCGCTGGCCGCACTGGAGGAATATGCGGAAAACACATATTCGACTTTGATGTATGCCACACTGGCAGCGATGCCGTTGCGCTCAATGCAGGTTGATCACCTGGCAAGCCATATTGGCAAAGCGTGCGGCATTGTAGCGACAATACGTGGTATCCCGGTGCTAGCGGCTCCGCAGCAGCAGCAGATAACCACACCTGCCGGAACTGAGCCTGCGCGCCCCCGCGACCCGGTTTTGCTGCTCCCTCTTGACGTTATGACAGAGGTCAACCTGCGCGAGGAGGATGTCTTCAGATATGGCCCTGAAGCGGAGGGTTTTCAGGATGCTGTGTTCAAGGTGGCAACAAGAGCGAACGACCATCTCATCACGGCGCGCGAGATGCTCAAGAACCTTCAAGCAGGCCAGAGTGCCGGTCACGAGTTCGAGCACGAGGGCGAGGCAGAGCACGTCTACGAGGAAGAGGACGATGTGCAGCGGGACATTAGGCGCGGCTTTGGAGTGCTACTGGAAGCGGTACCTGCGCAAGAGTACCTCAAAAGTCTGGAGGAGACAAACTTCAACCCCTTTACCGTCAAGTCGAGCTGGAAGCTGCCGTGGCGACTATGGCGGGCAACAAGCAAGCAGCAAATTTAAAGGTCACGTTTTTGATTTATGTCTTTTTTTGAAAGACATTGCAATATCAATTGGCTGCATATGTAAAATAAACATGTAACATTATAGTGGCCCGAAAACAATGGCCGTGTAAAAAAATAATAACCTTCCTCTTGATCAAAAGTGACCCAAGGACCAGTGACATTACACAAACGTCTGGATGACAATATCATCACCTGGATTGGTGCAACTGATCGCGGGGACAGTGCGAATGACCGCCCCCTATCACGCGCCACACAGTCGTGGCTGAAGCTTTTTAGAGGACCCATATCTCTGCACAGCCATAGCTCGGAAAAATCCATTGCTGTGGCGCAGGCCCATGCCGAAATAATTTGGCGATCGCAAGCTCCATCCAGCTACAGAACCTCGAATCATACGTAGTAGAGCGTCAATGTCGGTAACAAGATGTTGTACGAACTCATAGGAATTGTGAGTCTCCTTACCTGCTTACCGTCGCATTATACAACCACATAATAGCTAACAATTGAATCAGGTGCGACCGGGCAACCTCGCCGAGGTGAAAGAGTACGCGCTCCCTCTCCCCCCCCCCTCTCCCCCGAAAACCACGATGATTTCGAAACCATCCTATCAACCCTCAACACAGCCCGTGAGACGCACGTTTCCTAACCTCGCATCGCAGAATCGCCCTCACCGCCGGCCAAATCATCCTCCGTAATGGCGGCGTCATCCGCGGCATCTCCAACTGGGGCGTCTTCGCGCTCCCCCGCCCCATCTCCAAGGCTCAGATGAAGCACAAGAGCGGCCACTACTTCGTCATGCGCTACGACGCCTCCTCGGCCACACACGCCGACATGCGCAGCACCATCAACCTCGACCCCCGTGTCATCCGTTCCGCCCACGTCAAGCTCGGCGACGGCAAGCTCGAGACTGCGGCGCGCTTTGGCGATGTCAAGTGGGACCGGTAGACGATTGATGCGACAAAAGAGGCAAATAGTGTACGGTTTCTTTTCATTGGAAAGAAGCCAAAAGAAAAAAAGACTCGACGGATACGCAGCGGGTGGTTTCCGCGCCGTGGCGGATAGGGACACGGGAAACAAACCAAAACGGAGGATGTATGATATTAAGGTCCCGGGGCCGGCGCCGGGGTTGTTTGACTGCACATGTATAAAGCCGACGACAGCTCGGAGTGTACAACTACGTGGTACGCCACTGATACAATAGACCGAGAGGTTCTCCAAGCACCAAGACGTCCTGTCACTGATTAAAAAAAAACACTCTCTTCATCCTCGCGCAGGTCCGGCCACGGTGGTTAACAATCTGAAATTCATGGCTCATATCTGCATGCAGGCTAATGCTGGAAGTTCATACACTGGTTATGATGCCTGGCTCCAATCCGATGCAGCCCGCTCCCAAGTTGAGCAGCTTCCAACGCCAACGGACAGCCAGTCTTATGTATCGGGTATGAATATGCGGTGATGCACTCTCCGACCTGTCAGCGAGAGCGTACCAATCGTAGGAGCCCTCTAATAATCATTATGTCCCCTCTTTCGTTTGGCTCTTCTCGGTCTCAGGACCCTTTGTGGCTTCTAGGCGTCAGGGTCCATCGACTCGGCCTTACCGACTCCTTTTTCTTTGCACCATGCCACAAAATCATCAATTACGCTGGGCCACGCTCCATCTTCGTTCCAGAATGACAACGTCTCGTCGGACATCGTCTTGGTAGCAAACTCAAGAGTCATGTTCCACATATCGCGGTTGACGGAGCGAGTCCACTTCTCATCCAAGAATGACGTCCACAGCTGGAGCCAGTCCTGGGACTTGGTCTTCCATTGCCAACCCGGGGGTGAAAACAAGACGCTCCAGTACACCTTTGCCACGTCGAGGGCGACCGCTTTCTGGTTTTCTTCCTTGCTGGCAACAAAAGTGTACCGATATACCTTTTTGAAGTAGGCAGGATCAGATGCGAGGTTGCTAACCAGCGATTTGATATGCGAGGCGTGCGCTTGGCTGGCTGCAGGAGTACTGTATTGTTGTCAGATAAAAGTCGGTCTTGCACGTTTCGTAAGGGTGCTCATACCCAGTGGACTTCCAACCATCGACATAACCTTTTCTCGTGATCGCTCCGATAGACGGCGACTGAAGAAGCTCCGCCACTACAAGCATCTCGGCATTCTCGATGTCAACGCCGAGATCTTGGAGGTATGCCATTGTCGACTCGACGCCAAGTGCGTCCTTCTCATCCCTCGAATCATCTAGGCCTGGTCAGTTTTTTTCGATGTGCAAACAGCCACATGAAACATACCCCGAAGTTTGTCAAACATTTGGCTCAGCGTGCCCTCAAGTGCTGACGTTGTGGGAGTGGTGGCACCGCTGTTGCCGCCGGAAAAGTAACTGGTGACAATAAATCAGCCCAATGCTCCGTTAGACAATGAAGTATAGACGCTGCCTGCAATGGGCAGAGTAAAATAGCATTTGACTCGCCAGAGCCATAAGAAGGATCAACTGGCAACTTTGCACAGGACAGGTATGGCGGGTGAGTGGAATACCCAGACTGGTTCTTCTCCTGCAAAACGAAATCATTCTTAGATGCCTTTCGTTTTGATGAAAACAGGCTCATGCCCTTGGAGGGCAATGCGCTTTTCACCCCCTTCCAACCCATCTTCGTGCAGCCACCAATATTTCAGCGACAGTTGTGATTCAACAAACTGCGTGGTTCACAGACGCAGTATAAGTTAAAGCAAGTCGCCCAAAGAAGTCAGGCTAAGAAGGACGACAAAACTGGAGAACGGAGCAGGGTTGCTGTCTGACAACATGCAAACGTAGTGGGAGGTTCGGAAGAGGCGGGCAAGTATGTTTGACTGGGACCCCCTTTCAACGAGTTGTCGAGATCGCCGTGAATGAGTGGCACCTGGGTGGCAGCCGGTCTAGTCCGTGAGGTGACGCGCCGGTGCCAATTAGGTCGGCGGAAGGACAAAAGCAGGCTGATCGAAACAAGCTCGGGTGGCGGCTGCCACGGCAGTTCGTCGCTTTAAGGGACATTTCAAGTGCAGATTGAATGTTTCAGAAGCAACTGGCCATCGGCGTCGATTCGGCCTTTCTCTTGATGTGTGTGGACAACATATGGTCCCAAAAGGGAATTGTACTGTGACCTCGTAGGTGCGGCGGGCTATTGTGCAGCGCAGCGTGTGCAGCGCATGGTAGCGGCAGCAAACCTAGAGCAGCAGTGGTTCAGGGAGGGGGATAGTAACCGCAGAATACCCCACTGAGCGCATCTCACGCACACCGAGCGAACGACAAGTGAGGTACCAATGCCATCCGTACCCATGCTTGCTGGGCTGCAGCCAAATTGCCCGAGAAGGGCCGGCGCACCTTTCAGTCCGATTGATGGATGCTTCGGAAAACATTTAAAAGGGCGGTAAACGTCCGCGGCAAGGCTGCGGGGCCGGGCAGAGGCATCAAGCTGATTGAGGAGAGACCAAAACGAAACCGAATTGGCAGGACAAGACAAAAAGAAAGCCCATGTCAAGCATGGATAGGTGTACTTACGCATCCACGGCCTCGTCGATTTTGAATCCTGCGTTTTTCAGATACTGTTGGAAGGCTCATAGTCAGCATTCCGATCAACATCTAGGTGCCCATTTATTCGTCGTCCTCTCCCGGCTGCCCCTCCCTCGCCAAGGATGCATTCGCATTGGTGCCCAGTCAATCGCTACGTCCAGACAACGCAACACAACACAACATTGCAAGGCACGATGGTTACCGATGTTTCTCCGCCATTAAACGACATGATCCACGTATCTCGAGGTCAGGTAAGGCGATGAATCGATGATGGTAGCGTTGGGAGAGCAGCCAGAGTGGTGGGTGACGGCAAAGGTGAACATAATGGAGGTGGGATATGCCTCCCTCTCTCGAACGTACCCGTTGTGCAGTTCTGTCGCTTGCACCCGTCAACTGGACGAACTGCGTCGTCAACGCCTTCTGTGAGGTTGATGAAGGTGGCATTCTGGCTGAATTTGTTACGCTTGACTCTTCGTATCGGTAGGATTGGGATTACGGCGTCGGTAGGCAAAGGTCGAATATCGCGTGACGCAACCGTTGTCTTCGGATAGTCGGTGACAGTGCGACAGAATGGTAATGTCGAGGGTTGCCGAAGGTATATCGGAATATTGTTCGTCGTAGAGGGTGGGAAATGACATCCAAATCGCGCAGTTAAGGCGCGAGGTCGGACGACAGGTTGATTGTCGTGGGAAACGAGGCGTTGGTGATGATGATTCGAGAGGAAGGCAGAGGGACAGGATGGAAGAGCTGCAGGAAGAGCGAGGCTGAATCTCAGGATGGTGGGGTAAGAGCGACAGGCCGATCCGTGGCGGGGCTTACTCTCTTTTTTTTTTCCCCCTCTTCGTCTTCTTTTTTGTTCAGATGGGGTACAAGGCTTCCGGGCTACACAGAAGCATAGGGCCTTTCTACGCGTTGGGCGGGAGGCTCCAGCGGCAACTGGAAGCAGTAGCTTCTAAAGTAGGGCGCCGGTCCCTGCCGCAACTCTACCTAACGAAGCGGGACGCGATGCCTTGGCTACCCCCGCCTTCCTGATTTAGAACAAATATAAAGTAAAGAGCCTACATATTCCTCGCACATTGTTTAAACTTCGTCTATATTATCATCACCTCTTCCTACTTGTTGTGGTTTGCATCCAGTACTTTACTTCCGTTCTTCAGCTTCATCTTAACTCATTTGATCCCAACTACCTTTCATGCAACATCAAGAAACTTGATCCAAAGCCATGCACAGTAGATATACATCGGACGAGTGTTTGGTCAAGCTCACCTTAAGCGAACAACAAAGATGATGCACCAGGATCTCGATTTATGCTGGATGTTTTGCCTCCAAGTAATCACCGCCCTTTGTTGCAGTGGTGACTGTTGGCTTGTGATGCATTGCACTACCATCCATACCATATGTTATGCTTGAAGTTGAATAGCCTTTGGATAGAAGAGAGATAGATGTTGAATGTTCAACAGCAGAAGCAGGGCAACGACTTTGTATTGCACTCTTCTTTCTATTTCAGTAAGTATTTGCGTCGAGTTCAGCGGTTTACTGAGTACTTTGAAGATATTGTAATATTTTCCATCTTCCAGTTGCAGGCCAACTCCCTCTCTACATACATATCATTTCAAGGTTTGTACATGATTACAGATATGGATGCGTTAAACGTTAGGGGGAAAATAGGCTGCAGCTGGTTCAGACCTGGTGACGATCAGCGTCAGGCGTACGAGACCTTGCTCACTGTATTCCCGCCCGTTTTCAGTGTCTTGGGTGGCTAAACTTGCACTTTTATCCACTGTAGCGTGCTGACTCGCTAGCTCCCAGCCCCAAGCATAGCAGTGCGAGCGTCTCTTAGGCAGCCTCAGTGCCCTGAACCCCACAAGCATGACGTCTACCAATAGCGCTGCTGAGCATCTTCACTTAATTGATTGGAGCAGGCAGCAGACGCGACTTTTTTCCTCGACGCGCCTGTTTGCCCTTGGAAACCGAAGGTGCCAGTCCAATACAAAGCCGACCTCAAAAGTCACACCTGCAGCTTCCGCATAGATTCCGCAGAAGACATGCTTTAGAATGGAGCATTCAAACAGTCGGGAGTCGAGCGAGCCACTCGTCGATCCTGCTCACCCTTTCAAGGGCGTCGTCGTATGCTGCACGAGTATTCCCCCAGATCAGCGAGTAAGTGGTGATGCACATTTGCCCCTCCCACCATCGACACTTTAACCACAAGACCTTGGGTCGGCATGGGCTAAAACCTCCTCCAGACAGAGATAGCCAAAAAGACTGAAGAACTCGGCGGCGTTCACAAGTACGACCTCACACCCGACGTGACCCATCTTATTGTTGGAGACTATGACACCCCAAAGTACCGCCATGTCGCTAAAGAACGGACCGATATCAAGGCAATGGATGCCACTTGGATTGATGCGCTGGGACAGCTATGGATGGCAGATGCCGATATCGACTTTCCGGCTCTTGAACGAGAGCACCAGCTGAAGCCGCTCGAGACCTGTGGCGAGGTCCCCGATGCAACCAACCCAGCACAAACGAAAAGAGGAAGCTTGCTGCTATGCATGACCGGGTTCGACGATCGTAGGTTCTCAACATAAGTAGATGGGAAGAGTACATGTCTGACCTTGTGCAGCCGATCAGCGCAACTTGATCATTAGCCGAATACAGGCCAACGGTGGCACTTACACGGGCGACCTGACGAAACGAGTATCACATTTGATTGTTCACAAGCCGGAGGGAAAGAAGTACAAAGCCGCCCGTAACTGGGGTATCCGCACTGTATCTCTGGCGTGGCTTGACCAAACAATCGAGCGCGGCATGGTCCTTGACGAGCAGTGCTTCGATCCAGTTCTTCCCCCCGAAGAACAGGGCCAGGGTGCATGGAACAGAGCCAGCTCGAGGCGAGTGTCCCTTGGCAAGCGGTCGAGGTCCGGCGCCGGCGAGGGTGGCCAAAGGAAGTTGAGGAAGACTGCAAGCATGAAACTCAGCAGTCAGCGAGATACACTATGGGGAGATATCCTGGGCAGCAAGCCAACTGCAGAATCCTCTGTGCCTGATAGGAGCGAGAGAATCGAGGTGCGAGATTCTGGGATCCACGATGCAATGGTCCAGCCTGCCCCCGAAGCAGGCATATTTTCAGGCTGCTACTTCTTCATGGCTGGGTTCGAATCATGGAAGTCCAAGATTTTGGCCGAGACGATAGGTTCACTGGGAGGAAGGACATTCGACACTTTTGGGGAGGTGGTCACAGAGGCGGCTGTAGCAAGGTCGGCTCACAGGTTCCTAATCGTTCCTCAGGAATCACAACCCTCAACTCATTTCCAGGTGCCCCCGGCCCACCTTGATCAGATCCAGATCGTGACCGAGTTCTTCGTTGAGCGGTGCCTACACAACAAGGCCCTCTGCGACCCGAACAGTCACGTTCTGGGCCGTCCGTTCCCCATGTTCCCTATAAGAGGCTTTGAGAACCTGTACATATGCACAGCGGGCTTCACCGGCGTCGATCTTCTTCACGTAGAGAAGGCCATCAGGCAAATTGGTGCCAAGTATGCGGCCAGGCTCAACGAGGTCACCTCAGTCTTGGTGTGCAAGTCTCTCGCGGGGACACGCAAAGAAAAACTCAAGTTTGCTTATGACAACGACATCCCCATCGTCAGCTCAGATTGGCTCTGGGATAGTATAACAACTGGCTACAACGCACCTGTAAAGGCCTTCATGTTTCCCGAACTGCAGCAAGACCATCGTCTCGAGCCAAAGCCAAGAGCAAGAGGGCAGCATAAGGAGGAAACAAAACAAGCAATCCAGCGAACGCGCTCCGAGCCTATTCCTCACATGCCGAAGAAGCCGGCATCCAGGCATCCCTCGGTTACAGCAATTGATCCGACGGCTTTCCAAGACGGCAACCGGCCAAAGTCAACAGCTGTCAAGTACACAAACACGAAGGAAGACTCGGCAGCTTCTTTTCAATTCCAGACGGCCAAAACTCATCAGATGGACAGTTTTGGTGGCGGCACAGTCGCTGCGCAACCTTCCGAAAAGGCCTCCGATGCGCTGAACAAGTCGCATATTACAGAGCTAACAGCGAAGCCCCTGTTAGCCAGGACAACGAGCGTGGCTGACAGCATGGACGCGACTCCTATTTCGGGGGTAGAAGCACGATATGCTACTGAAGAAGAATCTCAGGCTGCCGAAGTCGCCGATGAAGTATCAACGAGAACCGAACCCGATGCTCCAACAGCGCTTGAAAGTGGAGCCCATGAGGAGAATGAAGAACTTGGTCGCCCTGCAGAGGAGACAAAGGAGCATCCGCAGGAGTCGAGGGACGACAATGAAACTCAGCAGGGAGAAAGCCTTGGGTGGCAAGAGACATCTACAGAAGACCGCCCTCAAAGCAGGAAAGCCAATCAAGAGATGGCAGCAGAGGACGATCAAGACGCTCGACTCAAAGCTCAACGGGAGGCACAAAAGAAGGCAGAGAGGGAAGACCTATCCTCGAGACTCACCAATCTCATCGAGTCAAAGGGGTCGGGGACAGGTGCGGAGACTTTACATGACGATGAGCAACAACAACAGCAGCACCAGCAGCAACAGCAGCAACGTCGTCCCAGGAAACGTATCTTTGGTAGGGCGATCAGCAACGCCTCAGCAGCATCTAGTGGCAGCGCCGAGTCGCGCATGGATGCCCTGGGCAGACCAGCGGAGGACCAGGAGCAGCAGGAACAAGAACCAGCGTCGACGCAGATCCAATACCAGGACCCCGGGGCCCAGCAGCACCGCGCCAAGATCATGAGCAGGATGCTCGGCGAGGATGTCAAGGCGCCCGCCATGAGCCAGGGACCCAAGACCAAAATCGGCGGCTTCGAGTTTGACGGCGAGGCGAGCAGGTTACCTCGTCGACAGACGCGAAGGAATTTCTAACGAGGTTTGGCTCAGATGGTTTAATTATGCGGAGCATGGTATTTTGGAACACATGTTCTAGGATAAAACTCGGCGTCTTCCCCCATTTCGGGAACCTTTTTTTTTTGCACGATCGACTCGTTATAGCATTGCATAGCTGATATGACAGGACATGGATGATGACGCGAATGGGGTTCGGGTTAAATAAATTGGAGTATAAATGTATTTTTGTAGTTTTTTTTAACATCTTTTTTTGGTTTAATATTCAAGCGGGAACCTCCATCAATCTGGGTATCTTTGACTCGTATACTATATATATACACATACATCTACATCCACATCCAGGGGGGAAGAAAAGGGCAATACAGCTTCATCCACCTTTCCATCCCCCCCCCCCCCCTCCAAGTACAGGCAGGTATCATATTCGTAATTCGTTCTCATGTCTTTCTTCTTGATTCCAAACAAATGAAAAAGAAAATGAAATGACGTCGTGTGGTGATTTTTTTTTTTTTCTTTCTTTCTCTTTTTTTTTAGCCCATTTTGCACTCCTTCTCCTTTTCTTCAGCTTCATAAAAATGTCCTGTGTTCCGCAATACTGTTGGAAAACGCTGTGTATATGGGCGCAGCCCGATACATGACAAAAAACAAGTAAAAGAAGCGTGATATATGACGAAAAAACAAATAGGCTTGACTTTATAGCAGACAGTGACAGATTTGATACAGAATTTTCCTTCTCCAACAGAATCGTACAAAACAGGCAAATGATAATATGTGACATGGCGAGTCTACTACAAAACAGAAGCGGCTTCCGTAAGGACGCTGAGCAGACTTGCTGCTGCGCCACCAATACCTACCGCACCTAGCGTCTCGCCCCATGCCTTCTTCTTGTCCCGCCTTTCGCGGTCAGAACGCTCACGGTGGTGGCGGCGCGGGTAGTGGTCTCTGTCTCTGTCCCTGTCGCGGTGGTCACGGTGGTCGCGATCGCGGTCTCGTTCTCGATCTCGATCACGGTCACGATCGCGGTGATCACGATCACGGTCTCGCTCCCGCTCTCGGTCGTGATCCCTACGCGATGGCCGTCGTCTCCTGTCCTTCTCATCACGGTATGAACGCGGCGAGGAAGACTGAGGCTCGACCTCGTGCGGCTCCGGGTCGAAGCGCACATGGTTCTCATTCTTATTCTTGAGAATCGGCTTTGGCTGTACCGTCGCCGCGGGGGAAGTGCCCTTTTCCTTGTCTGACGGCGGCGGAACGATGTAATATGTCTTGTTGCCCTTTCTGTCATCGTTGCTTGCTTCTGAAGATGCATCAGATGAATCCCAGAGGATGTCGTCTGACGAGGAGGAGGCACCACGGGAGTCGCCGCGTCGACGGGGATGTGAAGTCGGGCTTGTGTTGGTCCCGTTGCCGTTTGGCCTGCCACGGGAGCGAGCTGCGCGGGCTTCGGCAGAGAGACGGGCATAATTTGTGATTTCTTCGCGTGAGAGCACACCTAGGATTGCGACGTAATCTGGCCGTGCCTCATAGCGGACGCCTGCGCGCTCCAGGACCTCGGGGGAGACGAGGGCGCGGCGAATGCGTGTCCATTTTGCCTCGAGCGGGATGTCCATGCCGTAGCGGTCCGGAGCTAGACGGCTGGCTGAGGTCCGTGGGGAGGCGCCATAGGAGGTGGGGGGAGGCCCGCCGTTAGGGAACGGGATAGGTGGGACGAAGCGAGGGGAGACGCCGGTGTTGCTTGTTGGAGAGGAGGAGAATTCTGCGGCCGCGCGAACTGCGGCTACATCCGGGGGCAGATAGCGGGATGACGGGGAGGCGGACGAGGGGGAAATGCTATAGTTTTGGAGGGGTGCAGTGGATAGGCGAAGGTTATCCATGCCGGTATTGAGGTTGTCCATGGCCATGAGGTCGCGGGTGGAGATGAGGGCGAGCGAGTCGTTGTGCTCGTCGTCCGTGTCATGCTCATAAGTCGACAGGGTGCTGTACTGGTTTGGCATGTTCGGGACGGAGGAGCGCGGGTCGGCCATGCGGCGGTTGCCCCGGGCGTCGAGGGAGCCATAGGTCTCGCCGCCGTCAGGGTAGGACGCCGGGGTGAAGGCCATGGCTGGGTGCGGGTGGGCGCGTTCTTGAGCGAGCAGGCCGCGGACAGACGGGGGTGCCGTTGCGTCGTTTCCAGTTGATTCCTCCAACTCGCGGATGTAAGCGCGTAGAACCTCCTGTGGGGGCAAAGATATGTCAGTCAACCAGCTTGTCACCCATGCGTAGACGATGTGGAGTTAAGAACTGCGTACCTTGTTTTTCCTCAAAACTTCCTTGGAAAAGCCCTCCTTCTCCAGTTCAGTCCTGAACTGCTGCCATAGGTCCTCATCGTCGTCGCCGATGCCGCTGTCTCTCCGGGCGAACAGTCTCGCAGCAATGGCGTCCACCTTGTCCTTGATGGCGTCAAGGTTACCACCCTGCTCGTCGACAACACGTTGGGCCTTTGTGGGGTTGTGCAGCTGGATGGTGTCGAGGAACATGTCGATGTTTGTCTTTTGATCAGCAAGCTTAGTGCGGATCATGGCGACCATATCACGCTCACGGCCCTCGAGCCTGTCGACACCGCCATACTTTTCGATGATGGTGTCGAGCTGCTTGAGGGTGAAGTCACAGTCCTCAACAAGAGGAGTCAGCTGGCGGGTGTATACGGCAGCGCCAGTGCCAGAGTTGAGGAGCGAGTCCGGGTCCTCTGCTTCGACTTTTAGGTGCTTAAGGACTGTATGCAAGCGGCGGACGACGGTTGCGATGTCTGCAAATTCTGGGCCGGCCGTCTTTGCGCGGCGGAAGAGGGCGCGCGCAAAGGCGTCAACGGCGCTGAGATTAGGGACTGGGGTGCCGTTACTCATCACGGCGGCAGTGATGGGGGGAGATTGTGGTTGTAGTCAGTATTGGTGGTTTGCTTGCTCGGTGACGAGCGATTCCCGTATGAGAGGTTGTTCTTGGTTGTCTCGGAAGAAAGTGAGGTGGAAAAGCTGGGAGACCAGAGGATCTTCTACTCAAGTTGTGCAATTGCCGGGTCGATGGGAAACGAGACAAGAGGTCGAGTCGAGGTGGCAGATCGACGGGTATACGCAATATGGAGGGCGCGTTAAGATCAGGGAAAATGGTGCAGGTCAGGAACAGCAATAAAGGTGTGGCATCAGAGGAGAGGCGCGAGGTCTTGTCTTGAGTAAAAGACCAGGGGGGGAACGTGGGTGACGAAGGTGCGATGGTTGAAATGGGAAAGGCTGGATGATGGTTGGGCAGGGGGAGTCGAGAGACGAAGATGAAGGGTGAAATGAGGGGATTGTAATGTGCGATGGGCTACGTGAGGTCCAAGAATAACACCAAGATTGGGAAGTAGTCAAGGACGGGGCGGCCAAGGTAGATGGGATGGGATAGTAGTTGATTGTGTACAGTGATACTCGGTGAGGGCAATGAGAAAAAACAAAAATAAAAATAAAAAATCGAGATCAAAAAGGCAAAAGTGGTCGTCAATCACAAACTCCAAGGGCCTTGTTATTATGGCCGGAAAGACAAGGCCAGGTGAGAAGGTAGAGGTGGTGACCTCCGAAACGTGGAGGCTTCATTGTGATATTGTCATCAACACCCCCAGAATAAGTCACCCTTTCCTTTGGGAAACTTGGGGTCATGGGCATGCATGGGTGTGGTCGACGTGTACCTTGCAAGAGTACTCTACCCGAGTACAGATACGTCGTTTTGGGGACACGGCAGCAAATCATGTGGACGAAATGGCGCAGGCGACTCCAAACTTGGGCCCCGCGTCGCTTAGAGGGCCACAGGTACGGATATACATGGTCTTGAAAGTGAGTGCCGGGGCATGGCTGGCCTGGAAGGAATTCAAGCTCAAAGGGGATATCTCTTTGAGCATCCGTCGTTTGGTTCAGGTACAGCCGGTCCAGAAGGTACAGAAGGTACGGAAGGTACAGCAGCAAGAAAGCTGTAGCATCAGCGCAGCAGAAGCCCGATCTGCACGACAAGCCCAATCCGTTTCTTCCATTACAAACGATGGTGTGTGGTCATAAGAGAGGCTTGAGCTCTGCCACGGAGAGAGGAGAGGTTGAGTCAATCCAAGCGAGGCCAGGCATCAGGTACCGTTAAGGCAAATGATTCGTTCAGTACTTGTTGTACACTCAGTCTTAGTACAGAACAGTGGCAGAGCTCAGAAGGCTGGCTGTAGTAGTGTAATGTGGTGATGTATGCACAGTACTGTGAGGTAGGGGGAAGGTGGGATGCGAGACGGAGGTCCTGTCGGTGACGTATTGGTCCCAGATGCATGAAATCATAACCCGTCCGGGGGTCACTGAAAAGGGCTTCTTTCCAAACAGAGGTACAAGGGTTGGGTGGCCAGTGACTGCTGGATCTGCACCGTTTCCTGCCCATCGGAGCTTAGCGCCCGAACGGACAAAAAGACCCTGAGCAAGCACCCTCCCAGCCTGTGTCTGCTTTGCACCTTCTCTCCATCTCATTCTCTCTCTCTGTGAGTGTGCCTCTCTGTTCTGCCGCCTTCCTCTCTGGGCACACTCATCATCAACCTTGAAGTATTCCACGGCGATGACGATGGGCTATTCAGGGATCCATCTCCTAACGGGCACAACATCGAGAGGGGAGTATTTAATCAATTTGACGGCTATTTCCAGATCTTCTTTATATTTTCTTGTTACTTGACAACTCCTCTCCATAAACATTCACCCTGAAATAGCACCGTCGTGTTTTGGACAGATTTTGTTTCTCCATAGGGCTGGGCTGTATCCATCTGCCAACGTTGGACTCTTCAATCACCACCGTCATGCTAACGGTCAGGGGGGGATGAGTTACTAACTACGTAGTACCAGTAGGCACCACATGAGCCATGTGGTCCGGGCTCAATTTCTTGCATCGTCATGACTGCATGGTGGCTCTGGGGGTGCCTGCTCTTCGACCGCCACCCCAGCCAGCTGGGATGGGCCCTGTTTCGACCCTGCGCCACCAACTGGAGGGGTGCGAAGGAGACCAAATATGCCCCTCGCAAAGCCTCGATGAGAAAGAGGAATTACTGGGCCAAGAAAGCCCTGGGGGCGTTTGTGAGTGGGTGACCAGGTGTCAAGGCAGAACTCGAACCGACGAGCAAAATTCCGACCGACTGAATTCTCACTGTCAGAGAGGAATAGAACCCTGCTTCGTCCCTGGACCACCCCGCTATCCTAGCCAAGCTGCATCAAAGACTCCATCCACAATGGAGGAAGGGGAAGGTTTCGTCCGGCGGTCCCCGAGATCTGGACGTTGGAAGAACCACCACATCTTTCGTGTCCATCTCGTTCGTACCTACATTATGGAAAAGGGGTTTCGGTCCAAGTGGAGATTTGGTGCAGCTGCAGCAGAGAAAATGCTACTACGGAACCCGCGAACGCCCACCTTGGAGAATACGGGGGGCGAAACAGCTCTTTGGGTTGGGTCATGCATATGAGTTCGTCTTGGCCCTTGGGAACTCACTCATCCACCGTCGTAATATGCCTGCAACACGAAGGCATAAAAGAAAAAAAACAAACGCTAGAGTAAGTTGGGACCCTTCTAGAAGCTCTGTCCCCTTCGTTTCCATCCGTTGGACCGCTGACCAGACAAAACGGCCATACGACAAAGCCTGGCTGCCCTAGTAGACTGTCGTGGCGTTCCGTTTCGAGTTGTTTCTCAACTGCAACTTCAAAGACTACACAGTCCAAATGTGTACAGAGGCAAAAGAGAAAGCCCTGAAACGGAGTCTTTCTTATTTGCAGTTTGCTGACGAACGCCCGAGTCGCAGGAGGCTTGCAGTTTGCACATGTCATGCCGCTATTCCCGTGTAAATGCCACTTCTCCGACAAACTCTCGAGGCCTATGACTCTTTCGCTCTGGTCCCTAAGTTATTACCCTTTCGTCTCATGTTGATGTTGCAGGGTAGCATAACGAAAAGCGCATGACGAGCTTTTGCGCAACCTTGTTTCCTCCAGACCCTTCCATCCATCCATGCGACTTGCCGTTCAACATCACAAACCCGCCTTGTACAGTACTTCCGTCTGCCTCGTCCGAGATGCTCTGGCCTCCGACGTTACTCCCCGTAAAGAAACGTCTTGAACCATCGTTTGCCTCATGCGGATAAGCTGAACCACTAAAACGCGGCCTTTACCAGCTGGACCCAAGTCTGCAGCAATAGTGTCGTAGCAAACTGCCCGATAAGCCACATTCAGAATTGCCCCAGAATAAGCTGCCGAAGCGTCTGTCCGCAGCAGCTTTGAGTGTCTGAAAAGCTAGAGCTTTTCAGCCAGAGAACTATTGCCCGGCTCATGGTCGATATTTTCTTGTGATTGGCCAGCCCAGCCCCCTGCTTGTGAGAAAAAGCTGAGCCACCACGCACCCAACCCGTTTTGTGCTGCTCTTTCCTGGAAGACCATTGAAACTTAGTTAGTCCAACTTGTGAGACAATGAGGCTGTCAGATTTCCTCGGCGTCCTATCTACCAGGCAGAAACCCTCCCCTCTTACTTGTACCCTCCTAATTTCTGCCTATGGACTTGGGACGCGGAATCCAATCATGCTTCGGATGGATGGTAAACCACAGCCCTGCCGCGAATCAACTTTACTGAAAAGTCGAAAAGAGTCAGGTCAAGTCGTCTGACCGGGGGGACCGGGCCTCCTCTGCAGATGCTCTGACGGGGGATCGTCCCGCTCTTTGATAACCTTTCTTCACCCTTCCCCTTCTTGCACATGATGTCCGTTTGGCTACACCGAGGAATTCACAATATGAAGGTTTGATTTGTCTTATTTTTAAGTCTTTCGACCTTTTTTTTTTTTTTTTTTTTTTGCACCATTTCGGATGTATTGGTAATCCAACTTTTGTGTGAATGAGTCAATTATGCTTTTCGAGATTCCTGATATTCTGCAATAAATGGTAGAGTTGTGCAATGGTCTAGTTTGTCACACCTGAGCATCATGTATGTCGAAATACATTGTTTCTGAGCAAAATGACCACAAGAAACCTTGCAAACTGGATCAACACTTTCCATGTACACACACACACACACATCTGCAAAAGTGCACATTCCCCCCTCCCAAGATCGACGAACAAACTCCGGTTTGCCGTTTGCCCCCCCTTTGGATACTAACTAGTAGATACCTACCCTTTGATGTCAGACAGAAGTAAGAAAAAGGTTCTGCTGGTTCCGATTCGTCCGGTATTCTCACAAGTCACTCGATCCGATTCCCGCCTTCACCCAAACGTGGTCACCTGGCCGCTAGAACTCCTCGTTAAACTGTTCTTTAATCAATGCAAACTTTATTATGTCCAGCCATGGAGGGGGTTGTTCTTGGCTTTCTCTCTCTCTCTCTCTCTCTATCTCTATCTCTATACCTTCCGTCACCTGCTACTAAAGGTTGGCTTCACCGATTGTACCCGGGTCGTCGCGCCTCAAAAAAATGTACGCTTCGGTATCCGTTCATGGTATCTTTTTTTTCCAATGGGGGCGTTGACTCTTTCTCTATGTACGCATACTCTGTTTCGTCTCCCTCCTCTTCCTTCCTCTCTCTGACTTCTGCGGCTCATAGGACTTGGTAGACTAGCCACCTCCTTCAGGGCGCGCTCCGTTGCCCCAGACCTACAGCTCCGTGCAAAGCCTCGCTCCCCCTCCTTATTTTCTTTTGTCATCAGCCCCAACTCCGAAGCCCGTAATCTCACATGATAGTATCGTCCTCGTCTGACATGCGGCTCAAATGGCAATCCGCTCAAGCGAGTATGCCTTGACCTTTTGACTCAGCAGGTGTCCCCTCTCACGGGAGCTCCTCTCAAGAACCTCGCCGCCCGAGACAATCTTCAGATGAGGCACACTCTGCTTGGAAACCAGTCCCAAAGGCAGACGGGGCGAGCCCTCGACGTCGAGTGACACCGGCTTGGCGACCTGTCCGCGTCCTGCCATCGCAGCCTTCCCAGCTGTGGCAGCCCTGCCGTACTGGACTGCCTCGCCGACAATGCCGTCCAGGTAGACTGCCTCGTTGAGTCCTTCCAGCGCTGCGCTGACCTCGAGCTTCAGCGCCGTAATAAAGTCAGCCGCATCTGCACGGTCGTCTGATGATGTTCCATTTGTAAGCCAGCCACTGGGTCCAACGGAGTCAATGCAGCGAGACAAGAGCTCTGCAATAAGGGAAATAGCGCCATCCGGCGGCGCCCTTGCGGAACTGTCGCCGTCGAAGTTTGTAGGGTCCACGTATCTCGCCGTCCACGCGCTGCCAATAAGCTGGACTCGCAGAAGGTGGATGAGCGACAGGACTTCGGTTGGGTTGAACGTCTCTCGCAGAGCCCGGACCGTGGCGACTGAGGCATAACTGGCGAGCTTCTCAAACGCTGTTGTGAGGGCTCGTGCGCGGAGGTTGGAATCGTCCCCAAGGTGGTACTCGGCCAGCTCCAGCTCCTTCTCCAAGTGATCAATCTCCATCTCAACGTAGTCCTCCTCTTTCGTCTCCTTAGGCGCAGGGAGAAGCAGTCTGGACTGCTGGTCGAGGCTGCGCATGATGATTCGGATGACGAGAAGCAGCTCCTTCTCGGCGAGCTTAGTGGAAGAAACGTAATTCAGGAGTAGCTCCATCGTAGGATCCATGTCGACGAGACACTGGATGAGCTTATCAATTACCGTCTCCTGGCCAGTGACCTCGGCCATTTCGGCCTTGAATGCCGCAGACATGTTGGCGTTGGTAAGGTGCCCGGCCGAAATGAGGTAGATGAGGACGTTGCTGGCAGGGAGTGTGCAGCGAAGGACCGAAGCCTCCGATCCTTGCGTGTCCATCGTGAATACTCTGCTAATGGCGTAGAGAACCCATCGGCGATCTACAGCAGGATACTTCTCTGAGCGCTCCAGCCACTTCCAGTCCGGCGTCTGCACTCCATTCAGATCCGCGTCTTGGTCAATGGCAACCCCGAACCTCTGAGCCAGTAAGGCCTCAAACGCCTTCCAATCCTGCGCTTGCAGGAAACCGTCTGCCTTTTCCACATCCGCCAGTGACTCCTTTACATATTCATCAGAGAGCGTGCCGGGAAGGTATTCCTCAAAGGTGGGGTTTCCGGTCCGCTTGGGCAGACTGGCTGGCACGCGGTCTGACCTGGGCAGGCCACGACCGATGGAGTCGATGAGGAGGCCTTCCTTGCCGTGTGACTTGGGGCGCTCAATCTGGATAGAGATGAGAGTGTTGCCGACAACAGCGACTGCCATATCCAGCTTGGAAAGGAATGTCACCAGGTTTGGCGCCTGCTGCTCGTGGCCCTCGGGCAACTGAACTGATGTCGATGCTTGGACTGAGTGGAACGTGGGGTTCAGGATGCTGGCGGTGTTCGACGACAGGCAGAGAACCGAGTGCTCTGAGAGTTGGAGGAACGAGGTGTTGTCAGCCAGCGGCAGACGACCCTGCAACTTAGGGACAGCACTCGTGAGATCGTAAGTTCGGAGTAGAGGGCCAGTGAGCTGGAGAAGCTTGCCGGACTGGACGTGGAGCTGGTAGCTAGCCGTCTCTGCCAAGAACTCGTCTTGAGATGGCAGGGGAGTGACGTGAACCTGAACCAATGGCTGAGAAGAGACAGTGGGCAGGACGCCAAGAACGATGAGAAACCTTGAAATGGTGTTCTCACTGCTGGCACGGACGACGATGGTAAGCACGTCCGGGTTGAAGGTTTTGGGTTCAATCTGACGCCCAAAAGAGCCAAAAGCATCTTGCCTGCCTTTGAACACCCCGTTCAAGACCTCATAAGCGGTAGCATGGAGACCAAACTCCACCTCGAACTTTGCAACGGTGGACGGGAGCAAGTCTCTGCACAGGTTGTACGAAGATGCACTCCACTTCTGCTCCAAGGACTCCGCGTCAAGGCAGAGAACCTGGCCATCTTTGCAAAGTCCAATCAACTCACCCTTCTCTGACTTGTTCAATTCGGCCTCGGTGGCATCGACGGAGGATGAAGTGAAGAGATACGTGACCGGCGACTTGTTGCGCAACCGCTGGGAGGTGCTCGTAGAGATGGTCTTGCCGGTCGCATCGATGGCATCGCGGCAAAGGGTAACCTTGGCGCCCGTGGAGTCTTGAGTAGAAAGATACGTGTAGTTGTTGCGACCGTTTGCAGTTGCATCTTGGTATCGGATCGAGTGCGGCGCGCAAGTGAATGATTCTTGGGGAGGAATGGGATACGAGGTTCGCAAACCAGAGGATGGAACCTGATGAGGTTAGCAAGGCATCGTAACAGCGCAGAAACCCAGAGACTGACATGGTAGATGTTGGCAGCCTCGCCATCGACTCCAACGACAACTTCAAGTCTCTTCCTCTTCTTTGAGCCAGCCTTCTGGGTATAGACTTCACCGATGTGGTACTGGCCCTTCGTATGGTCGAGCGGACGCGGCAGAGATGCGAGGACATCTGGCCGGTGGATGCGAAATGTGGGAGCCATTTTGAATCGTCGCAAAGTTGGGCACTATGTCGTCGATTCGAATGGGTTGTTGGCAGTGCCTAGGTCGGGCTGCTACTGCAATGGCTCTTCTCAACCAAAGGTGCCTGCCGTGTAAGTGATGGCTTCAAACTCGAGGAAAAAAAAAGTTGGAGGACTTTCGGTAGTGGGGTGCGATATGCTGACTTTGCTAAACTCACACTGTCTGGTCTTTCTAATTTATTAATGGCCTGACAGTGCGTGAAAACTTTCTGAGCTGCAGCTGTCGGATTATCCACAACCCGATCTCCGGTATCGATAAGCTTGATAATTGATAAGCGATAAGCCATGAATACGGTGTGGATCCAGGATGTTAATGGCAGTCGCGCTACACGCTGCCTACCCCGGCGATTCTTCTACGCGACTCACGCGACTGGTGATGCTCTACATTGACAACCCACACCCCCCCTCGACAACTTCAACCCTGTGCCTTGTCTCTACCTTCTGCTGAGGAGACAAGTTCGTAACCTGACGTTTCATTTTCGCTGAGTCTCCTGTCGCCCATTATACTGTTTTGTGTAATAAGAATCGAGTCGCATGCCCTCTGACGTAGTTTGAGGGCGCGACGGCCGTAGCGTACGGCTCGACTCCCCCAGATCTTGAACTTCCTTGAAGCTAACCATCAATTCAATTGTAGCTTCGCCTGGTCTCATGGGAACTCTCTTAGTAGCCAACATGGCTCCCGAAGGATTAGAAAGCTCCCATGCAAAACTTCATCCATTCTTCATCCTAGGAACGACTACCGACCTTCCAACAGCCGAATCGAGCACGAACGGACAAACCCCGAATGTGAACGAGCAGACGCCGAGCCAGTACTCGGATAGACCGCCAAAGCATACACAAACTCCCCAGCAGGCATCCAGTGATATTGAAGGACACTCGTCTGACTTGGGCGAGGACGGGCGTGGGTACAAGAGACAGAAGACCATCAATACTGAACCTGGCTCTGGGAAGAAGAGAGGACGCCCAAGGAAGAAGCCCAATGTGCCAACGACAGACATAGCGAAACATTTCTCCCAGAACAATGGGGTGCCCTCAACGCCACTTGCAAATGAGGTCCCACGAACACCGCCTCCGGAGCCCGTCGCTGCTCAAGAGGGCCCTGTCCTGTTGCCTGAGCCCTTTACCCCGGCCTTGATCCCAGGTCCGCCGGCACCAATGCCTGGTTTGGAATCGAGCGTTGCGAAAGATGACGCCCCCAAGACCACGAAAGTACTCAAGTTCAACCCTAAGACTGGCACAATTGGCTCGCCTCCCAAGCCAAAAACAAATGCTGCAGAGGCTTCAAAGGGTGCTAAGTCTTTATCGTCACCCGCCAAGCCATCTCGCATTGTTACTATTAAGTACGGTCATGATGCGGACTCACGCGCACGTATTGGTCCCAAAATTCAACAGATACTAGCTAGCCCATCGAAAAAGCCTAGTCCGCAGTCGAAATCAACCCCTCGAAAATCTCGCGCCAAAGTCCCGAAGGCAGACCAAGATAAGTCAAAGTCAGGTATTACTCACCCCATGTTCCTTGGAAAGTCAAAAAACGCTGCCAAGCCGTCGGATACACCCACTGCACCAGCCCCAAAACCACATAGGGCAACCGTTTTCAGCTCGACGCCATGCTCTCCCAAGAAGCACCGGTCAGTTCCTATGTCTGGGAAAATTCCGCAGTTTGGAATGAAATCCATGGGACTGAAAGTACCGGGCTCTTGTCATCCCGCTTGGCCAGCCCAAAGCTTAGCTCATGTCAGAGGGTTGTCGGCTGAAGAAGAGAATATACCCACGCCTCAGCATATTTTAGATGTGTCATCTCGAAAATCCAAAGGCCAAACAACAAATATTTTGCCTGGAGAGTCTATCATTGATCGACTCGCCAAGTCTTTGGATACTCTTAGCATAACGAAGTCGATCCAGGAGGCTACCGACGATTACAAGCCACCGCCATCGGAGCTTCGCCTTCCTGGAAAGCACTTCGAAAGCGGTCGCAAATTGCGGTCAAGGATTAAATCTGAGCTGAGAACATGTCTGCCGCTCGGTGCGCAGGCTGAAGAAAGTGACGAAGAAGTCCTTACTGCATCTACGCGAAAACCTCATCCGGCAGTTGCTCGGCTTTACAATTCACTGGAAACCAATCTCTCAGCATATGACAGATCCCAGTGCGAGGAGCTTACCTGGGCACAAAAATATGCACCGATCTGTGCTGAGGAGGTTCTTCAAATCGGTAAGGAGGGTGTACTACTCAAGGACTGGTTGCAAACCCTCAGAATTCAATCTGTGGACACTGGCGCTGCCAATGCCGACCAGAAACTGTCCGGCGTCAAGCCTGGTTCTGCTACCAAGAAGAAGCGGAAGCGCAACAAGCTTGACGGATTTATCGTACCGGATGGCGATGAGGCAGAGTTTCTGCCGACTGTCTCAGATGACGATGAAGATGACTGGTTTCCTACACACAGCCAGGGCAGCCCAAAGAAAACTGTAGTTCGCAAAGATGTGGGCAAAGACATGAGCCGATTGACCAATGCAGTCGTTCTCAGTGGTCCTCATGGCTCTGGGAAGACTGCCGCTGTCTATGCTGTCGCAAAGGAACTGGGGTTTGAGATATTCGAGATAAACGCCAGCAGCCGCCGTAATGGCAAGGACGTCATGGAAAAGGTGGGCGACATGACACAGAACCATCTCGTTCAGCAGAATCGCCAAGGCGGAAAAGATGACAACAGCAAAGGAGATGACGAGACATCAAAGGACATCAAGTCCGGCAAGCAAGGTACCATGATGTCGTTTTTCAAGCCCAAAGCAACCAGTAAGCCCGAATTGAAGGCTGAGCCGAATGTTGAACCGAACCCCGAGCCAGAAATTGAGCAGCCGACCGAAACGCCAAAGGCCACCAAGGCAAAGACTCAAAACCAAAAGCAATCGTTGATTCTTCTTGAGGAAGTGGATGTTCTTTATGAAGAGGACAAGCAGTTCTGGGCAACCATCATGAACCTGATTGCCCAGTCCAGGAGACCGTTCGTCATGACTTGCAACGACGAAAATCTGGTTCCATTTCACAACTTCATTTTGTACGGCATATTCCGCTTCACGCCGCCCCCGGAGGACCTGGCGGTTGATGTGCTTCTCCTTATCGCTGCCAACGAGGGCCATGCTCTTCGACGGGCTGCAGTAAGTGCGCTATACGAATCAAAGGGCTACGACCTACGGGCCTCTTTGATGGAGCTTAACTACTGGTGCCAGCTTGGTGTTGGCGATCGACGAGGTGGCTTTGACTGGTTTTACCCCCGGTGGCCCAAGGGGTGCGACAAAGACGAGAACGGGGACGTCGTCCGTGTTGTCAGTGAAGGAACATATCTGGAGGGCATGGGATGGGTCAGCCGTGACCCTGCAGTAACCTCAAACCCACAGGCCGCGGAAGATGAGTTAATGATGCAGGGTTGGCAGGGCTTGGGACTGGACTTGGGCAACTGGCATGATTCTCTGGACATGATGTCCTGGGCAAACCGCCTTCAAACATCCGCCGCCGGAGACAGAGCTGCCGCATTAGATGCGTTTTCCGACTTTACAGATGCCATGAGTGCGGCTGATCTTTGCTCCAGCGGTGACTTTGGGCTTAAATTCCAGGTAAGTTACTCAGCTGTCACTAGTAATTTTGACTAGGCAAGACTAATAATTAATTACAGGAGCCTCTCGACCCTACTCAACCAGACATCTCGGGCAAGACGCGGGATGACTTTATAATAGGAAGGCGGCTTATCGAAGCGCCTCTGCTCACAACTTACACCTATACAGCTACTGCCATTGCAACCACCCTTAAATCTACCGCCCGCCAGATCCTCCAATCCGCTCCAGTAACGGTTGGGTCTGGAGTGGATATGGGCTGCGTCGGAGAGGGCAAGGCTATCCGGCAGATGCGGCAGTCCTTTATCAAGCCAACCAGGGACACAGTCGTATCACGCTATGACATGAGTCTGGCTTTTGACCCCATCGCGGCCTCTGAGAAGGCGGCGACCAGCTTATCCAACAGCCTGGAGCCTTCAGTATTCGACAGAACTATGCGGATGATCACCCTGGAAGTTGCCCCTTACGTGCGCGGTATCATTGGATTTGACGACCGCTTGTTGCACGAACGGATACAAAGGGGTACACTACTCAGCGAGGGTGGCCGACCAGGGAAGCGTATGCGCAGCACTCGGAGCGCGCTTTCGGCTCAAGAGGGCGTGGCGCGCGGTAGTACTCGCAGAGAGAGTTACTTCACAGCCGAGTTGAGCACGCCGCTGGTGATGCGGACTGGAGGAGAGAATTGGCAGGCGGCCGTAGACGCAGAGATGAGGTTGATGGAGCGGGCTTTGAGTGCGGCCCCTAGCGATGGTGCTGGCGAGATGCCTGCTTCAGCGCCCATCACTGAAGCTCTGGTAGTGAACGTGGAATAGACGAATATAATGAATACGATGCATTTGGAGGGTTGGGTGGCGTCGTTACTTGATATCAGGAAATGGAACTAGAACTGACTGCATCTGTCGATAGATAGCCCGACTAGATGACAATTAAACAACGACTATTTATACATCCTTGCATCTTGAGTGCTGACCCAGTAATGTCTGTCTTCCTAATAGTAGTCTGACCTCCGTCGAGATCTCCGATCAGCAGGTATAGGCTCAGGCCTCCGCTCGTCTGATGGGGAGGGCTCCCGCCTTGCATCCCTTCGATTCCAGTCGTCTATGGTATCCTCGAACCGTCTGCGAGACCGCGTGTCTTCGTCAAAAAGCCGATTACTTTCCGCCTCCGAGCGCGCAGTTGACGCTTTCTCGTATCTCACAAGCTCATCTCTGCCCCCGCCAAACGCAGAACCAGCACCGTCTTCTGCCTCCAACCCGCGCCCCCTCCGATCACCTATTCTCTCCCTCCGCGGAAACCTCGTCCTCTCGCTCGGAGAGGGGCAGTAGTCGGAGTAATACGGGTCCCCGTCGCTCTCGTCGTCGTAGAACCTCGATCCGCCACGGCTGCGGTAGTCCCTGTCGTGCAACTGCCGTCTGTTGCTGTGGTTATAACCGCCGCCATCGAGGTACCCGTTGTGCCTGTCACGGACTACATTCCGCCGGCGGGAGTGGCGGCCGGGTGAGTTCTCCCAGTGGTCCTTCTCCGAACGGGCGGTGCGTTTCTGCCATATGCGATGGACGCACACTGTAGCGACTGCTAGAGCGGCGACGAAGATTGCTGCGGTTTTCACGCTGGGGCGGCGGAAGCGCGGGTGGTTGCGGTTGCGATGTTTGCGGTGGGTGTTGCTGCGAGGATGGGGACCGGCGGTGGAGGAGCGGGAGATGGAGCGGGCACGCGGACGGGATTGTGAGCGTGAACGTGAGCGTGAGCGAGAGCGAGATTGAGAACGGGATCTTGAGCTGGATCGGGAGCTCTCATCATCGGATGAGAGGGAGTATTCGCGGCGGCGAAGAGGCATTTTTGGTGGTTATTTGGTGATGGAGCGTTTAGTTGTGTTGATGATATTAAGACATGCGCCTCCTGAGATTGCGGCTGTGAGAGTGAGTTTTGGCTGCCGCGAGGGTGTCTTTGGCGGACCACCGGCTGCTCTATGTCTGAGGCGGCCGAGGTTATATGAGCTGTTTGCTTCCCTCGTCGACCGAGGAGAGAAAGGATGAAAGAAGGAACAAGGAGGTCCGGATAACAAAGACGGTGAGTGACTTTTTATCAAGGAACGTCCCAGAAAACCAAACACAAAAAGGGCAGTGCGGTCACGGAAACCTTGCGACTGGCGGGTTGAGCTTCGAGTTCCCCGGTATCAGAGCCTGCACTCCTCGAGTCTGGTGTTCGGTCCGAGCGGGGGTCAACCCGGTATGTCGGCGGTCGTGGAGGATTTCTGATGGGTGAGCCGAGACAGGGAAGCAAACAGGCAGGCAGGCAGGCGGCTGTCAAAGTGGGAAAAGGCGATGATGTTGTTCACATGGAGAATTCACTTGCAGTGGCGTGGTGTGAGGCGAATATTGGGCAGCTACGCCGAAACTGTTGAGGTGAAAGTGAGCACAAGTGTGATGAGATAGTTGGGATAAGGGGGCGAGAGGGACTGAACCGGTATAGAGGCGTTGTATAATCGGACGGTCTGAGTGTTTACTTTGGATTCCAAAAGGAGGCGGAAGCGCGCAGATGCATACGGAGGTTAGAAACTCACATGAGAAGCCAAATGGATAAACACGAATGGAATCATAACCCATTCCAACGCTACTCAACATATCTGCCTTGTGTATGACGACAAACGGCCCAGTCTAGTTTAGTCTAGTCTAGGCAGAACCTCCCTCGGGCGCTTGTGAGGGACTGAAGTCGGGTTTCTTGTGTGACGGCAAACCCCGCGGCCACGATGCGATGCCACATGGACGGACCGCGCAAGAACAGACAGGGGAAACAGGGCGAGACAAGCTTCCCTTTTGGCGCGGATTTGTTCCCCGGCACTTTAATGCACGAGGCACCGTGTTCTGATGTGTTTCCGTTTTCCACCTGCTCGTTTTGTTCTCTGATTTGTCGCTTGTTCTGATTAAATGATTGGCTCTTGTGAGTGAGCTGGAGTGTAAGATGAGCGCAACTTACGGCGATCCTGGGGGAGGGCCGTCCCGTTCGGAGGTTGCATCGTGAGCTGGGATCTACGGATTCAATGGTAAGCTGTCAGTTTGGAGGTGGAAAGGGAGGACGATCGCCGAGACTGGTCGAAACTAGCTACTTGTCGTAGGTGACGGGTGGTGATTGGTCAATGCGTAGTGAGCCCGAGACCTTGGGGGCACCGATGTGTAGTGACAACAGATCGGCGCCAGAGGATGGCGGTTCAAAGTTAAGAGTATGCGAGGAGAAAGTCAGCAGACTTGGCTGCAAGCAATGGACATGGTCTCAAGTCAACAGTTTGACGGCGGCTCCTATATCAGAAACTGGGGGCGACTATACCTTATATCCTTGACCACTCATCAACGACACCCTCTTTTAATCCAACAGTAAGTCAAAAACCCACAGATGTTGATGTGAAGTACTTACAAAACCCGTACCCAAAGCGCAATCATAAAGACCAAAAGCCGCCCAACAAGCCTCTTCACCCTCTCAGCTGCCCGTCCCAGGACACTCCGCTGCCACATCTCCTTCCTCGCGTGTCCAATGGCCTCCTCAACTCTCTGCAGGTCGACCTCCAACGTACCACCCTCATTGCTCCTAAATCTGAACTCAGCAAGGCTCGTTAGGGCACCCATTGCCGTGGCCCGCCCCCTCGGATTTCTCACCAACATCTCCCGAAGCAATTTGCAGAGGATCCCGTGGTTATAGCCGTGGCACCCCTTGACCCTTTTCTCCAGCCCTACAAACTCCGCCGCAGACATCTCCGCAACTGGTTTCGATGAGCGAGGGACCTTGTGAGAAAGGCCGTAGGCGTGAAGCTCCCACAGCGCCAGCCCAAGCATCCACACATCGGACGCGAAAGTCGGTTTGTATTTTCGGCCCCGGAGTTCTGGGGCGGTGTACGCGGATCCTGGGAAAGACCAGTCTCGGATGACCTTGGGCACAAGGCCGTGGCCCATGAGCTTGTAACTATATGAATGGTTCCTAGAGGACGATGGGAAGCGAGGATACGAAAGGAAATTCTGTGGTCTGATGTCTCCATGGACGACCCCGCGTCCATGAAGATACGCAAGCGCCTGCAACATGTCCCAGGCAACGTAGAGCACGACATCGTCAGACATGGCGGCCTTGCGGGGATCGATACCCTGCCAATCCAGGTGGTCTGTGACGAGGGCGTTGATGAGCGGGACATAATCTTCGTAGCGAACTACATGTTCCTATGCCTGTCAGCAAAGCCCACTGCGTTTGAAAGGATGAGATACTCACAAAGGCAGAAGCGTCTGATAAACCCACTTCCGAAGACGCCAACTCCTCGAGTCTCTTCTTCCTCTTGGCGTCTAGACACACAAACTTGATGAATGTAAGGTTATGCTCCTCCTCATCCGTTCTGTCCCTACCGCGGAAGTGGTAGCCCTTGTGAAGCTCGTATAGACAACTCTTTCCTCCGGTGCAGCCCTTGAGGATGTATAATTTTCTGCTGGTGCCGAATTGGTACTGGATATTTTGGTCTGCCATCGCGAGCTGCCCAGGGGATTTAGAGCCAGGGTCGAGTTGGCGATGCCTCAGAGATGCATATTTATGTTTTGATGTTGGATGCAAAGCATTGATACATGTCCCTTGTCGGCAGTTCCTTTGTGACTTTCCTATTGTTGCTCTGTGGACCGAGTCGTTTCTTGCCGACCCCAGATGCTGTAGGAAGTCAGTGGTTAGCAACCCTCATTGTGAAGAATTTCACGTTGTCATCTGCAGACGACAACACTGTTCCGAGACAATGAGGGCGTACAAAGATAAAACAAAAACACAAGCTTCTTCTCACAACTCGCTTCTGTCTCTGGTTACTTTGGAATCCTCAGTGTCCATATCCCTTTGATTGCAAAAAGAAATATTGGTCACTCTGAGACTAAAGCGACCTTTATTCGAATGAGATAATGTATTGTACCAACTAATTTCAACCAAGAAACTACGTCCCGAAACCGCTGGAGAAGGGGGAATTGAATAGGACCTGCTTAATATGATTTTGACATATTGAAGACAGCCATGCCAGCATCGAAGTAGGACATATCATAGCCTCAACCGCTTGCTCCTACACACGCCTTCATACAAATCACCCAAACCCAGTCAAGTTACAATGTCATCTGACAAAAGAACGGAAGGGATCTTATAAAGAATACATACAAATAGTAGAAACTCATTTCGTATTCTCCTTATAAACGGCCAATCAGCCTGCAAGCATCTTGCCAACCAGAGTCTACATCATCTATGAACACCACCACTCAGTCCACATGACCCTTACTAAGACTGTGCGAAGTGCGAATTCACACTTCATGCACGGTGCACATCATCTTCAACATTGCAATGTCACTGTCGCTCTCCTATTGGTCAGCTGCTCAACACAATTCGATACTGATTTTTCACTTCTCGCATTTATACCAAAAAACAACTTTCAAAGGTACATGTTTTACTTATTTGATTGTCTCGATCTTTCATGATCTAGTGCCGTCATTGCTGACATTTGCATCTATCTACTCTGTCAGACGGTCGAAGCCGTCGGAAGAACCAAAAATCCTGAATCTTCCTGCCCATACTGAACGCTGGTAGGGGCATACTTGTGCTGAGGAGCCACCTCGCACTTCGGGTAGATATTACACGAACCTGGGCGGCCCGGTTCTTCCTAGTCCGCCCACCGATTCCCAAAAAGACGCAACTCCACCTGATGCAAGTTTTTCACTAATGTGTGATCCGTAGCTTCATTCCATCCTTCCATCAACCAAATCCCAAATTCCAAGTGTATCCCCAAGTGCCAATTCCGGCCATTGCCCAGACTTGTCGTAAAAATAAATGGCCCAGCCGACGCCGCAAATAATGCAATGCTAGAAATATGATCACGAAACTTATAAAAACCACGTATGCATATCCATGCTAGTGATGTGTCCACAAAGGTGGTAACGGTGGAAGCCCAAACTCCTAGTTCGGGTAAGGTCCCTGAGGAAGACCATGGAGCATCTGGGGCACCTGGCTCATTCTGAAGGGAGCATTCATAAACTCGGGAACAACTCCGGTTCGCAGGTCGTTGCGTCTTCCGAGGGGTTGATAGTGCATCTGCGTTGTAGGCAGATGATACTCGTTAAGAGATGCCGATGGCGGGGGATAGAGAAGAGTGTTGACATGACGGATCGGCTTATACGGGCTCGGTCGTTGCTGCAGGTACACACTAGGCGAGTGTGAGATAGGCGTGTGGGCGATAGGAGTGTGAATGACCGATCCTGGGAACTGCTCGCCGAGAGGCGACGAGGCATAAACCGAGAGACTGCCAGGGCTGTGTCTCTTGGTAGGTGTACCGTAACCGATTGCAGGGTGCATCGAGACAGTCGCCGGGGTGAGAGATGCCTGCGGCATGGGGACCGTCGCCGGCATAGGCAGCTGTGGCATCGAAGTCGTCACGGTTGTAGGCGGGAAGACAGTTGCCATGGCACGAACACCGGTGCCTAGGGGAGGCAGCGACACGTGAGGCTGAGTGGAGTAGGCAGTCGTCTGAGGGTATGCCATCTGTGAGGAATTGGGGTTGGTGTTCAGCGTCAGGTTAGGGACTGGAAGACGCATCGGCTGCTCGTTGACGACCGGGGGTCGGACGACGGGGGCCATAGCGGTGGGCTGTCTCGACAATCGCTTCGCTGGGGGGTCGGTGACATCCTCCTCCGAGCTTCTCTTCCTTCCGTTCATGCCCACGTGCTTACCAGTAAGGGGCGAGACTGGGACATTGTGGTAGGCAGAAGGCCATGCCTGAGTGTTGGGTTGCATGGTCGTGTTCGGCGAGTAAATGGCGGTGGCAGAAGGTGTAAGGGGAGGGAAGGTAGCCGCAGGCTGTACGACTGCTGTGGGCGAGGTAACTGGCGAGGTGAAGGCCTTGCTCAACGGCGAGGTTGGTTGCTTCTGGGCCCGCTCGTAGTACTCCGAGAAACATGCCAGTTTGACGAGCCACTCCTCCCACTCCTCCTTGGTCGCCAGCAAGCTGTAACGCATGTTGCTAAGGAACTCGACCTCCATGACGTGAATCTCCTGTACAGAGATGCCAGACACCTCAGCCCAAGTCTTATTTGTGTACGTGTTGTCATCCAAAACTAAACTCGTCAGCTCAAGTCCCTTAGCCCATGAATAACCTGTACTTACACTTGTTGCCTAGCATCAGTGCCACCGTCAGGAGACGGTACTCACTGCCAGATCGACCCTTGACCACGGGATTGGTCGTCTTGAGTCGGTATACGAAGAGAAGCGCAAGGAGAATGACATTTTGTGTTACTTGAGTCGTCGACAGTACGCTGTAGGCCCATTTCTTAAACTGAGGGAACGGAGTCGCGTATTCGGTCAGGCGGGCCACTGGGGCATTCGACGGACGAGATCGGATCTTCTCGGCAGCTCTCAGTGTATCCATGGACTCGAACCAGAAGAGGCAAGTGATCTGTAAGTTGTTAGCCCATCGTTTCGTCTTTTTGATATCGATTTTCCCACCTGAGCTGCAAAGTCTGCCAAGTTGCCGCCCTTGGGATTGATGCAGCTAGGAATGTGCAAACTGTGCAGGACCAGAGCCGAGGAGCCTCTCCTTGACGAAGTGCCATCTGTCCTGTTAACGGCGCCAGATGACGGTGTTGATGGACGAGTAGAGTGTTTCGAGGTCGTGGAATACTGGCTCGTGGCGGAAGCGGGGTTCGCTACCGGTGGTGCCTGCGGGTAGGTATTCGTTGATTGGGGGTATCTAGGATATTGAGGAGCTCTCGCGGCCTCGGCCACGACAGCCTTAGGACCCCTTGCCTGGGCAACAGCCGAGGGATATGAGGGCAGGACATGGCTGTCGTAGGCAACGAGGTGAGGGGCGTGGTAAGTAGCACTCATGGCTTCAGTTGGCGGCGTGCGAAGCCCGCCTCGGCGGAGAGCAGTTCCGGCCCCAAGATCAAACCTAGGGTTCTTTTGTGAGGAGGCAGGCTGGTAAGTTTGCTGAGAGAAGCTCTGTCTGCACGATGCAGGATGTGCAGGAGAGAGGGGGAGGCTGTAGAAGGGCAAAGGTGCGGCAGTCGAACACATCGGAGCGGGAAATCGAGATAATTCGTCGGAGACCTCAAGCCGGTCGTTTCCAAGGGGCCAGTTGTTGTTCGAGGATTATGTCGGAAGAGTGTTCGGACAGAATTGTGAGGAGGGCGGGTCGAGGGACTCAAGTGAAGAGGAATCCAAAGCTGGCAGTTACTACATTTGCAGTAGCAACAACGACTTCTGGGCACCAAGAAATCTAGAAGATCGGATCAGGAGACAAAGTTGACCTGTTGTGTTTGTCTGACAGGTCCAATCTCCGCTGTTTGAGGGTGTGGTTCTTCAAATGAACGAATTTGCTGCCGTGACTATAGACAATCCCCGTCTACTCGCTGGCCATATCAGGGTAATTCGGAAACTCGTTCGTCGGCGTTGTTGAACCAAGGAACTCGTCACTTTGGTCAGTCGCTGATGTGGGGTGGAGAACCTAGAGCCAGTTGGAGGCAGAAAAGCTTCAAGAAGGTTGAAGGTGAATCGGGGATGGGTTCGATCCGCCCTACTCTCGAAGTGGTTGGAGTTTGAGAGAGAGTGTGTGTGAAGGCGAGAGGACAAGGGAATTCGGCGGTAGGTATAAAGTGGAAGAGGTGAAGAAAGGTCGACTTCAGATCGTCCGTGTAAATGAAGTAGGTGGAGGGTTGCCGGGCGTCGTCAATGGAGGGCCGTGATTCGGTAGACTGCAGCAGATGCAAGAAGAAAGGCAGGCTATCGGAAGTGTATTGGTGAAGATTGCGAATCAGGGCAGGCTGACAACGTAAACGAAGCAGGTCAAACAAGGACGAATGAATGGGGTCAAAAGGAATCAAGGGCAGGCAAGTACGGAGCTGGCAGATTGAAGCAAAAACGGAGGTATAGTCTAGTGATATGGTTGCGTCGTTGGTTGTCTGGACTCTCATTTTTGGAGTAGCATGTATCCGCGGCGTATGGGTCGTCGTGGTAAGGTACAGGAGGGCATGGTCGCTGTGGCATGGGACAGCATGGGATTGGGGGAGGAATGGGACGGCTCAAGGTAGGCAGTACCTTGTCCCATGCGCCTGAGGTACGTACATGCCTGCCTGGCCTGGCTTGGATTGTTGCGGATGGAGAAAGACCCCAAGCCCAGCCCAGCCCAGCCCAGCCATATCAGCAGCGGAGGAGTATACGCAGGCGCAGCCCAGGAGGGAGGAGCCAGGTAGGCGGCGGCCGAGGAAAGCAGGAAGGAAGGAAGGAGGCGGCAACAGCAGGCGACGGGCAGGCGTGTGAGGATGGGATGTCGCAGCGAGGAAGGAGGAGTAGGTACCACGAAACTGCCGCAGATTTGCAGCAAGCAAAAAGGTAGCGGGACGGAGGCAGGGCCGGTTCAGTCAGGTCAGGTCAGGTCAGGTACCCTGCGCCAATTAGGAACGCATAGGGTGCAGCTTAGCGTGGGCGGAGGAAGGAGGGGACTGAGAGGGGTCAAGCGGGTACCTCTGCCGCGGAATCACAGTGAGGCGGTACTTGTGGATGTGGTATTTTGGAGCACACTCAAGCTGGGCCACCAGCACTAGTATCCCATACGGAACAAGTAGAGTAAAGCAAGCAACGCAAGCAACCCAACAGCGCCGCAAAGCAGTACAGCACAAGCCGGCGCAACTTTCCAGTTCGCTCCCGGGGCAAGCCCAGACAGAACCAGGCCAGCCAGTCCCCGTCAAAGGTTCCCACGCCGTAGTGGTCCTAGCCCCCCTAGTCAGCCCAAGGTACCGAAATCCCCCCCCAGTCCCCCGTCCAAGTCACAGTCCTAGAGACCCAGTTTCCCAGTCCCAGTCTTTGCCAGTCGGTCAGTCGGTTTGATTGTGCTGCTGTAGAGTTTGGGTCTCCAGTACGCTGTTACCCAACCTTGCCGCATAGGGTGTCGCTCACGAATAATAGGGGAATAAGCAAAAAATGCAGCAAAGTACATCTTCTTATGCTCGAAAGAAGAGAAAACACCAGTACCTACAGAGGGAGCAAACAGATACAGCAAAAGTTAAGAGGAGGTACGTATTGCACCGCATCAGCATCACACTTGCCTACTTTGATCCCTAGACCCAGTCCCATATGTGAGGCAGGATGTGAGTGGGCGTGTGAACGGGAATGTGGAAGGGGCAGGGAAGCAAGTGTGTGAGAGTGTGCGAATGCGATGTACAGGCAAGTAAGGGTGTGTCTGCGTGTGTGGTTGTTTCCCTTCCCTTTACCCACCCTTTCTTACCAACCTAGTTTGGGCTAGGTCATTTTCCTTTTTACACCAGTGCAGTCGCGGAGGAGATGCAGATGCGGTACAGGCCATTGTCCAGTGACCACCGCCAGAGCCTGCTATGACCATCACCGCCGGGCTAGGCAGGCACGCAAGGAAGGGGCCACCATAGGGAGAGGGAAAGAAAAAAAAAAAAAAGGGAAGGGGGCAGGGGAACTTGGTCCAACCAGGGTTCAGAACGAACGCTGGCACTGAGAGGCTGATGGGAGAGGGATAGTACGTCCACCGTGCCTGTCCGTCGGGTGCGCCATTGATTTTGAATGTTGGCCTCACCCCTTGACGCACCCCTTCTGCGTCACACACACACACCCCTCCCTGCCTCTTTTATCTTTTTCTTTTTCATTTCCCCACGTCCCTTTCTCCCTCTTTCCCATCTGTGGCGCTGATTGAGAGTTCCAGGGTACCTGGGCAGGACTGAGTGGGGTTTCGAAGCCTCTGGTCCCTCGGTCGGCTTTTTTGGTTTTGTTCTCTTTTTGGTTCTTATTTGGTGTCTCTGGTGGCATTGCAGAGCAGGAACAAACTGCAGGCAGGCAGGCAGGCAGGCAGGCAGGCAGGCAGACGGACAGACGGGCAGGGGCAAAAGCAGGATGCTACGCAACATGTGCGGTGCCCGTGGCGGAGATGATGGAGACTAGAATGTAAAGTATCTTATACATGAAGCCACGGCTACCCTGACTCAACCTCACACTCATCAAGCGGTATCTGGTACGCACCTGACTAGTTTTGTCGATTTTTGGTTTTGATCCGTCATTGTATTGCCAGGACTCCTCGGCTGATGCAGTTTCTTTTCCGCCCCGACTGGCGGTGCTAGCGCCTGCTTGCAGGCACACAGGTACAGGCACAAGGGCGTCAAAAAAAGACACGACAGAGGCAATAAAATGATAATGATTTCTGGTTGCTTCGCAACTTCGCATTGGCTACGAGTGAACCAGAGTCGACAAGGATGGCAGGGGGCTGCAAAGCAGACCGAAAAGGAGACGTACTGTACACAGTAGTCAAAGTGTAGCATTAGCCCCGTCCGTCCATCCCTTCTGCGGCCTTATCCACTCGCGCTATCCACCATCACCGCTTTTGCCGTAATTCATCATCATGTTCATCAACACAACCACCGCCGCCGCCGTCGTCTTCGCCAGGCCAACATCCTTACAACTACCCTTCCAAGTCCCCCATACCGTCCCATTGTGTAGTGTGTCTCCATCATATCCTATCCCGCCCTGTCCACGCCAATCCGTCGTCGTCGCATCCCCACACAAAAACTCTCTCGGCCTTTCCTTTTTGAGGCCATGCCTACATAGTGCGCAGTGGGCTGCCTTTACTTTACATAGTGTACTCGCAGGACCTTGCCAAACTAACATTACGAACGCCCATCTCTCACCAATACAGATTTGCCCAGTACAAGTCACGACATGGCTAGTGCGCCATAATCCGTAATACATCGCTCACCGTGACTTGACTCGGGGGATCCGTACACTATACCACATCATTGATGAAGCGACAAGAGGGCAAAAAAAAAAAAAAATAGAGGTACGTATCGCGCCATTGCCTTTGCCTCTCTCTTAGATTATGGACCTTGCACCACTCGTGACCCCCTCACCCTAGGTGCCCTCTAATTGGTCTGTTCTAGTCAGTCTTACTCTTTTGATGTTTTATTTCTTTCCTTCGCTTTGCAGATGGGTCCTCCTCGTAATCTGGTCCGCCGCCGCTTTCCGATTCAGGACCGTATAGTGGGTAGGCGTACCGTGGCATTTTGTTTTATTTTATTTTTTATCTTGTTGATTATTTTTTTAATCCCTTCCCACCCTTTCCAGCATTGCCGCAGCAGCAACATCAGAGTCAATCATCTGTCGTACCGAACCAAGGATATGATGGAGCAACGGTGCTTCTCCTCCTCGCTGCAAGACCCAAATGAAAGTCAACCTCCGATAATGGCCCTGTTCTGAGTGGATGCCTTCCACCTCGTACTCAACACGACATGACCATAACAGGTAGGGCCGTATCATTGTGTCATCACATCTACCGAAGTATCCCGGATTAATATTGAATTCGTGTGCATCCACAACGTCTCCTGTGGACGTGAAGTCGTCTGCTCTGTACCGCCTAACTGTCACCCACAAACCAACAAGGCTCCCGACATGATGCAGGCGGCAATCGCCGTCGAAGGGGGGTTCGGCTGGGAGCACACCTTACCCTCCAATATTCAAGACCTTCACTTGAAAGATTATGTGATTATATCAAAGGCCGGCGGCCACAGGGTACTTTGCCCAAGCGCTTGCTCAAGCTCGTTCGGGAATAGCGCCGCGACATGTTGGCATGATATTTCGACACCTCGACAATCTCATCTTGTCTCAACTACTCAAGACACCCTTCGAGACGACGGCTGACTAGATACCTGGCTCATAAAGTCAAGTCAAGGAATTAAAAAAAGGGACACAAATGTCTCCACGATAATTTACCTTATAATACGTCTCAAATAGGTGTCAAGGTCCAAGCAGGTCAGACGGATGTGCAGTGTATCGCACCGCACCTTACATCAGGCGGCCGACAGGGAAGACTATCCAGGCTAATTCACTCTGAAAAGGCAACCCAAATCAAATACTCAATCCAATCTGTGCCTCTCGGTATCCGTAAGTTTCGGCACGGTTTGCCTCGCCACGTTGGTCCCCTTACTTTCCGCCATTTACAGCCCGGCGACAAAGCTCCCAAGCCCTCCGTGGTTGCCAGAAACGAGATATATCCGTAATCGTACCCC